CGTGAACAAGCTCCAGCTGTGCAGCCTTGAAGGCACCTTATGAAATTTGGTAAATCAAGCATATTCATGACAATATATCCATAATACATTTTGTCTTAACTATTCATGTCAACTTCAGGTGGCAACAGAGAAGATAAAAAAATAAAGAAAAAGAAACAGAAAAACAGAAAAAAAAAAAAAAAACCCGATGTAAAATATGTAACAAAGGGCCTTAAAAATTTGGGTCCACCTGAAAATGATCACAGCTCATTTTTCAGGTTTCATGAATGTTGTTGATGTATCCTGTTCAGCCTAAACCAAAGTAGAGAGATTTAGATGGATTATTTTGCTTGCTGAATAGAACTATTCCAGGTGTTGTATTAGATCTACTGCAAGGTGTCATATAAAATCCCTCCTACTGTTGTTTTGGCGGCCTTAACTGCATTAATTGTGAAAGAAACACCATAGCTATAAGAGCATTTTAGTTTCACTGCTCAGTCTTTTCAATTGCAGCAGTTGATTCATCTGGATGATCCCCCCACCAGTCCAAACTGGTAGTGATTACCATTTTTGATGCTGATGAATTCAGGCAGGAGGGAAATACTGAAACATTTAGAGTTTCCTTCTAATTGATTGCAGATTTATTTAGCTATTATTTACTATCAGCATGCTTGAACTGAACAACCACCATCATCCACTTCAGTTTACTGGATTAAATCTAATCGTGGAGCAGCTCTATAGCCCTGGGTGGCATTGTTTTGGCCGTACAATTTATTAGCTAATCGAAAAGACAGTGCCAGATACCACCACTCATGAATATCAAGGCAGAATGAGAACCAGAATGTGAGCTTTCATTAGAGCATTTCTGTTCTCTTGCTCTTTCTACATCTTCAGAACACACATCGAGTTCAAATGGGAACTCCCAAGCGCTTCCAGCTGGCAACACTTTGGGATAATGATGCTGGATTCCACACAAATGAAGGGTCTAAATACCACCAGAGAGGTACCTGAACCCCCCTTCTCAATGCACAGACATGCATGCATGTATGTTAAAAGACACACACATGCTTCGAAGCAATCTTTTCCCCCTGCATGGGTTAATCACACTTGAACCAGGCAGCAAGCGGGAAAGCCAATTTCCCAGCGTCATCCTGGACGGTCATTGCTGTCAGATACAACCCAAAAATAATCCCCCACACACGTACACACTGAGGCAGCGGACATCCTCCGACTTTCAGCACTGCAGATTGGGTTACTGCAGATCCCTCACTGCAGTCTCTAGGTATCCTCTTTTGAAATCTCGCTATAGTTGAGTCATCAGTGTTATCCGGATAGAGACCACCTTCAGTGGTGTAATGTCAAAATGATGGATGTGATAATAATACTGGTAGAAGAGCTATTGATAGCTCTTTTTCCCCAATGTTGACATGTTGATACCACACGACCCAGGCAATAGACACACACACACGCAGAGCAAAAAGGACGTGTCGACATTAAAGCCATTAATATCCCTTCCGTTTCCACTCAGAGCCGGATCTTTGAAGTGGAGTGGCAGCTGAGGCCTGAGCGAGTGAGTGTGTAAGAGGATGTATACAATAACGCCAGCATACCGTCCTTGCTCAAGATGAGTCGGCAGAGGGAAAGTAAACAGGCGGGGTTCCCCAAGAGGCCGTCGTTTTAAACAGACGGGTGTGCTGAGAGGGGCTCAAGCTGTTTATTTTTACATGAGATCTCTATGTCGTTTGAAGTGCCCTCTGTGCTCTCTCTCCTTTTTCACTTGACCTTCTTTTCCCCCCAAAACTCACCATCACCTCCCCTCCTAACCCCACTCCAACATCCATCTATCCGTCCTCTCTGGGGTTCACACCAGCAGCTTGCTCATTAGCAGTCAGTTGGGTTCCATCATGCCCTTACATTTGGCCAATTTATTATAAAGGCATATGTTGTCTACAGTGACACAGTGTTTAGAGCTCAACTGAAGGGCAACAGAAAGTGTCTGTGGACCAGTAAAGCTGTTCTTTTTAGCACACATTAGCAGTAATGTAATGTCCTATGTGCAAGAAGAAATTGATTCTTTCAGTGTGACTTGACTTTTACGTGATTACATAACAGTCAGTGGGAAAAGCAACAACGAGACGACCTTTAAAAATAGTATAACAATACACGGTTTGTGTGTCTAAAATTTAATGACCTCAATTACCGAGTGACGTCAAAAGCTGTTGCATTACCATCTTCTTGTATCTGATGATAATTACTATACTTTATTTCAAATATACACAAGGAGGTACCCATCAACCCAGCCCATCAAGCCCCCAATTTTATGCTCTACCAATTATTTTCATAAACAATCACATGGCGACTCATGTCCCCAATGACCCAGGTATGAAAATAGATGGGTACAAGTGGGTGGCAAGAGCCATCTGGGTAGCAAGGGTGTCAAGTCGGCACCTTTCAGGTCCTGGAAGCAGCCTCCTCACACCAGCCCTCACTACCTACCACACTCTAAAACCAACATGCACAAGAAAAGCTTTGGGAAAATTTCAGGTACCAGTCTGACTACAATGTGATTAAAAGAACAAACCTTTCATAAACATATTTAACAACTGTTGATGGTCCTCATAAACCTCCCTCATGGGCCCCAGTGGATTGCACCATTTGCACCACCAATGGTTATGCTCCTGGTGCTATCCCTTCAAATAAAATCCCAAAAGTATACATTGCCTCCTTGCTAATGGGATTCCCCAGTGTAAAAATCTGCCAAGCTGCAAAGCTTCTGCTGACTCTGACTGCTGTAGCTCTCTCTCTGCCAGCAGTTGTTGTGTGGTTTCAAGCCTCAATCATAATAAGTTACCTAAAAGCAGCTCCTCTCCATCTTCACTGTAATTGCTACTAGCAGCCCAGTTAAATCTGCTGTGAGCCACTGGTATAGGAAAGTGAATAGGTACTGATTTTTGTTGTAAAAAGTTGATTTTTTTCAAAGCCAATACAATTATTTAATCAGTTTAATGTGCAGACTGACGTAGCTGTCTGAAAAGACTACATTTATTTTTCATCAGGTTGTCTACTGTTAGAGATAACATGAGATAGGTTACAACCAAGCTTTCTGAGGTTTGTGATCAACAGCTGTTTTTGTGCTTTCTTTGCAAGGATGTAAGGTGGTAAAATGAGGTTCCTGTTGTGATGCATATTTAAACTGTTCACCTGCTATAGAAAAAGGCGTGTCTTTGCTCCTTAAAAAAATAAATAAATAAAAATAAGTAGTCAGCTCCTTGATTTGACGGTTTTAATAGAACAATTTCCCCTTATTGGTGTTGGGAATCACGACTAGAGAGTTGATTAAGGTATGGCATAAGTTAAGATGCTGTCCGTTAATTTCCATAAAGTACAAGTGAATTAGAATAGAATAGAATAGAATAGAATATTCCTTTATTGATCCCCCATGGGGGAAATTTTTTTGTAACAGCAGCATCACAGACAAAGAGTGCAAAAATGCAGTTATAAAAAAATAGTAATAATCGAAGAACTTAAATAAATGTAATAATTAAGACAAAATTTAGGAAAAGGAAAAAGGGAGAAGAAAAATAAAACTTTATACAATATACACAATTTGAATGCCAGAAAAATGCCCAGCAGACCACTGCATAGAAAAGTGCAGATGCTACCACAGAGTCGTAGAAAGTCCTGAGCAGAGTCCTGCACACTCCAAAGGACCTCAGTCTCCTCAGCAGGTGGAAAAAAAGTGTGTGGTTACAAAGTACAGCCCTAAAGTGATAATGGTTAAAAAGTCTGATTAAAAGAAATGCATGATGTGAAACACAAGTTATAAAACACATAGATCGTCTTTACACTTGAAAATTGCACCTGTTGATTGAGCATTTTGGCTTATAAAGCATGGTTTTGATATTCAATCTAAAGAAGTAAAAGTAAAAGTGAATAAACAAGCAGCAGAATACAGATGTTTAAAAAGTTGATTGTGATTAAAAACACAATTGAAAAACTTTAGTTTCAAGAGGTTAATGCAGACTTGAAAATTTACATTTTTAAATAATATGGGTATGATATTACTCAAAATCCATTCTATTCAGATTTTTTTTAATAATCTACTGAATTCATGTAAGTTTAGTAAACTTAGAAAATGGCTCCTATTGTATATTATATCATTACAGGATTATAAACCTTTTTACAGCTAAGACTAATATAATTAACACACCAAACATACAGTAGATGTTACTGATGGCATTAATGATGGCTTTATTTCATTCCTCTGCTCCCTTGCTTACTGTGCACTGACCAGTCATAACATTATAAACATCCTGGCAATCCAATGCAGTACAATACAACAGAAAACTTCAGAAAGCTTCCAAATTACATGATAATTGTACTTTATATTCATTATTTCTTTCATTTATTATTATTTATGGTGGCTTAGTTGTGTTATATTAAAAGGCGTTGCTTATATTTAGTCCACTTTATTGGCAAACAAAAGAGTAAAATATTAGGACAAACTTTAGATATTATGTAGTCCATCACACCACCAACACCCATAAAAACTTCAATGATTAATTTAAAGAACAGTTATTACCATGTCAACAAAAACTGAAACTGAAGCAGCTTTGTAAGAGTGTGATTTATGGTAGTTTTTTAATTGTGTTAGATTGCACAGGTGTTACTAATGTTATGGCTGGTAACTCAGTAACTGGGTCTATGTCTAAAAGGAACAGAAACTTGGTGAGTAATAAGTAACACCTGTGCGCTCATACTATGAGAAGTCTTTGTGTTTATTATGAGAACTGCTACAGTTATAAGAACAGGATGAATTTCGGCTGAAAACGGGGTAGGATTTCAAATGAGGCCTATGTGTGGGTCACTTATGCCTTGCTCACCCTCAGCCTCAAGAGGGCGCCATCCCTCCAGTGAAAACCAAGTGAAGGGGCTTTCCATCTGGACAAGGCTAGCGTCCCTCCTTGCACCCAACAGCAGGGGCGCCCACCAGCAGGGGTGCCAAAAATGAAGCGAGGAAACGAGCCGGAGGCTGACATTTTCTCCAGGGTGTCCGCCACAGGGAACCCAGCGCTGAGAGCCCCGGGCTTTGAGCTCACAGACCACTGAGGCTTGTTTTGCAGACAAAATCACCAGACTGATCCAAGTGCAACAACCCGAAAGGACCGAGGAGAGCTCCCCGCCTGAATCCCATCTGACAGCGAGTGAGTGTGTTGCCTGTTGTTGGTGTTGCTTTCTTTCATTCTGTCTTTAACGCAGTCCAATCTCTCCCACTGGTAATTGGAGAGATAATCTTCGTAGATTAGTGGCTGGCTGGCGGGGCCCTTTTATTTCACACAAATGCATCAGAATTGGCCCTGCGTGGGGAAAAGTGCGTGAACATGGACTATGTTGTCACTTGGTGAAAAAAGACAAAACACTGTATGTCTGTGAATAACAGAAGGTTTGAGCTGATGGCGCAATGAATAAGTTTCTAATGTTACTGAACTTTGGACTTTTCTTTTTTTTCTAAGACATATATTTTTTTAAACAACTGAAAGCTTGCAATGATTGTTTCAATAATCTGTTTTCTGCCCTATTATCTTAAACGTCTTTTTAACTTGTGAAAAACACGGGAAAGTTAACTCCAAGTGTCCAAAGAGTCCTTTCCTCACTAAAAGGGATTCCGGAAAAGTCACAGCACATGGAAATGAAAATGATACAGGAGAAATGCAGATAAATTACCACAGAAAAAAAGATTAGTTGTGCAACTAATTTGGATCTAAATTACGCTGATTAAAAAGTTATTTTAGAGTCTGATTCACCCAGAAGACTCGCTCACTCAAAGAAAGGGACAAAAGGCCAGAAAAGCCAAATGAGTTATAACAACAAAAACAGGTTGACGGAAGATAGATTTTCAGAGCCTGGAAGACTCATGGGGAAATGTGTTTTCACGGCTAAGAAATCCCTTTAATTCTTTGTACACTGATCTATTACTCATAATTTGCCCTGCCTCGTGTTTAATTTAATTTAATTGGTTCATGTAATTGAATTTAGCCCATTTTTGATGAAGCTGGCACCAGCTTCCCCTCTGGTGTTGAAACCCATTAATTGTCAGTATCTTCTCCATACTTTCTGCTCCAGCGCTCCGCTGACATCGTTAATTAGTATTGGCTGCAGGTGTGTTCTGGTGTAGGCGTCAACGCGTACGCACACACGCACACGCGCATCTAAAGCAGGATTGAGGTTAATCCTAATTATTTTCAAATTATCCGCGGGGTTTGAACACGAATTTAAACGCCCTTTGTTTGAAATAAATCACCGGAATAAAAAAGATTCATGCTCAGCTCTGTCCCGGGCCGAGCCGAGCCGACCTGAGCCGGGCTGGACTGGGCTGTTCCTTCCAGAGGATGGTACAGTAAATACAGGAGGAATGTTAAACAGCTTAGAGCGGAGCCGGGAGCTGCTCGGGATTTCATCGGCCGTGATGCTCGAATTCTGCTCCAGCGGACCGGTGGGTCGACTGCACCTGTAACAACACAGTGCAGCACCCAGGCTGTTGACGCAGAATAAACGGGAACGAGAAGCGATGTGTGGCCTCTCCTGCGGTTATTCCGGTGTTGTTTTACAAATCTTACATGTGTTATAATATAGGATTTACAACAGTAATGCCCGTAGGGATTCAGTGTGAATGACAAGGACAATCTCAAAGTTTTAACTCCCAAAACAACAAATAAATCCTCACCAAAAGGCTGTCCCCTGTTTCCTCTAACTGCTCTGTGTTATTCGTGTCTTATAAATTACAACTAAAGCTTGTAAGATACAACCATATAGGTTAAAAATCACTGTGGCTCTGTAAGAGATAACGTTTCCAGTGCGTATTTACGCACCGCCCTCCTCAACTGCAAATAGTTCCACATGGTACACAACATAAAGATGACCCTCTACCTTACACACTAAATTGAGAGTTATAGAACCATATATATGTAGTTAATGAGTTAGTATGCTGCTGTCATGGCAGAGGGCGCAGGGCCTTATTTTCAATGCAAGATTAACAGACTTGATGCAACAACGACTCTCTGCTATGTTTTATTTTAATGTTGTATCATTACATATTCAGAAAACCATTACAGGCAACATATTTGCAGTCTTGACGCAAAGGCGCACGCTAATAAATCCAACATGTGTCGTACTATTATTAGGATTAATAAGTTATAACGTTCAGCATCTGCCTCTTGTTTCAGTGAGCCCCGGAGCCCCGCCAGCTCTACTCTGTTCCAACAGGTTCAACGTTGTGTTCTCATTACGACCTCCATATGGCTGCCTGTGAACACAGCGAGCCATGGGGCATTTAGAGCAGGCAGCGCAGTGAGAATCAGTCCGTAAAGCGGCGGAGGTATTTGTTGTAAAAGTGAGACCAGTTGTGTTGTTTGAGGGGGGGCGGGGGGCAGCAGCATCGAGCCATGTGGTAATTTGGTGAAGTGTTTATTTTCGTTTGCGTGTTATTTTGGATGCGCAACGTAACTTTACGTATCACCAAATAAAAAAGATAAAGATTTAAACTTAAATTCAAAGGACTGTGAAGTGTGGATGCGCTCTCTCTCTCTCTCTCTCTCTCACTCTCTCTCTCTCTCTCTCTCACTCACTCTCTTTCTCTCTCTCTCATACACGGTTGGGGAAATCTGGGTTTGATTTTAATGGGGAGTTGCCTACCCGGGACTCGCTTTACAACCTATGGATGTACAGGACGGGTTTCAGTTGGTTTGAGCAGCAGGCGCGGATGGGTGCAGTCTCTCTGTTCTGTGTCCCGTCACTTTTTGACAGCGTTACAACCGTTCCCTTTTCCTCTACTATCTTAACGAGACGAGTGAGAGAAACACGAGACGCCTCTGCGTTTTGAGAGGACAAATTTCCGACTGAAGAGAAACTAAAAGCTAATTTGTGTGGATGCCCGGGGACGTCCTTTTAAACTCAGAGACAGCAACAGTCACGGCTTGATACTGGGGTAAGTTTAAAACTTGTGGATCACAGTGACTGTTGATGTGATTTTCTCTCGTGTTTTTGTGGATGGCAGACTTTTACTTTACGCACCACATATTCTCCTCACTAAAACGAGTGACTCCCGGTGCCTGCTGTGACGAGGGACGCCCATTACCTGCCATTTGTTTTAAGTGGAGACAATGACTGTCATTACTTTATTATAGGCTGAGATCGCGCGACTGTAAGTAGGTGTTTGGGTCGCTGGAGCAGCAGGGCGCGCTGGATCAGAGAGGCGGACACCGCGGGCAGGTGTCACCCTTCTCGGTTTACAACTGGCCCGTGGGTCCAAGCAAGAAAAAAAAGAGCGAGAAAAAAGCGGCCCGTGCCGAGAATTTAATACGAGGTACAAGAGGTGAGCTATGAAGCCAGTGAGCTTTAATAGCGACTTGGAACCAAAGCCAAGCGCAGATGCCAAAGCAAGCAGCGCGCCTCTCGGTTCCCGTCTTCCTCGGCACGGAACTCGCCAAGTCTCCCAATGCGTTTGTCACTTTTAATATTTTCCTTTCCCTGTGCCCTGCCACCACGTGAGAAAATATTAGTGTAAAACAAAATAATTTTTTCATTCCTGAAGTTTGATGTTAATTCATTCTGGTGGGCATCTCCCGTTTGCAGAGGAATGATCAGAGCAATGTCATGCGGCTCAAAGTTGTATTTTTGTGATTAATTCAGCAACAAAGTGATGGTTAGCTTGATTTGACAATGAAGCTTATTGTGGCCAAGGTGTGACAGGAAACAATAGCCTCTCAACAATAAGCACGAGCTCCTCCCTCTTTAAGCTCATCCTCTCTGCCCACAAGCAGCAACAAGCCTGGAAGCGAAAGCCACAGTCCCATACAGATTGCTTATCTTAACTGCTTCAATAGACTCAAAGTATGCCCCTATTGCACCCTGAAACAGTGTCAGCCACTTGACCTACTTCTCACTCTCACCGCAAATGACTGGAAGCAGTCCATGAAGAAGGCCTCTGAATCTTCACTGTTCACTGAGAGCAGAGCGAATGAAGGAAGTGTAAACTGGGGGAAATGTTTGAGCTGAATGAGTCCGGTGAAGTGTGGTGCTGTTCATCTGGAGTGTGGCCATGGTCTCCTTGTTTTTGCAAATTAATCATCATTATTTAATTGCATCACACCCCGCTTCCATCAATAACAGAGCAAGGGAGGTACAGCCAGGAGCGACTGAAGGCACATGATGTAGAAGTTAATCCAAAGCAACATAGTGCAGATTTTAGTCACTCCTTGGAGTGTGCATGTGCACTTGTATGTGGTACTTATGAACCCCAGAGAAAAGCAGAGGGATTGAAATGGAGAAAGCTCCAGAAAAACAAGAAGAGTGTTTTTCTTCTGCTTTGAAATGGGGGGATTTCTCCAATGTCTTGGCTTCATCCAGAACATGTAAAACTGACACGCTCCATGTTTTTTCTTCTACGGTTTCAATAGTTTGACCAAGGGAATCCCTCTTTATTTGGTAACCACATATGAGTTTTTATACTCAGTCTTTTGTCACTTTTAACAAATGACCTTAAGCAGGTTTAAAAAATTAGCTCCACTCAACCGCACAGTCAGAGTTCAGACAGATGCCTTTCATTTCACAGCTCGAAAAATGTAGCATTGGGCGCTTGTGCCAGATTCCACTACAAATCTGACCCTCTATGTTTTCATGAACGGTTGATTTATATTATCATTTGACTCCAGTAATAATTTCTTTTTTGGTATTTACTTTTGGGATGTTTTCCATCCCTGAAATGAATCTATCTGCAGACCTGGAGATGAATGTGGTGTGAAAATACCCACATTACACACTTTCATTCACTCCGCCTCAGAGGTGAGAGTGAAGACAAAGTGCTGTCTTACAGCTCACTTAAGTGACTGTGTGTTTTCTCTTTCAGTTACAAATTAAGTGCGTGGATATGTGTGTCTCTGTGTGTGTGTGTGTGTGTGTGTGTGTGTGTGTGTGTGTGTGTGTGTGTGTGTGTGTGTGTGTGTGTGTGTGTGCTACCTTTCCAGTTAGAATACCTGTCATTCGTCAGCATGACACCCAAGAGGTCTCTCACTGTGGGAAGATCATCCAGGGGCAGAGACTCACATGCTTCATCCTGCCACTCCCTGCACCCTGCTAGGCTTGCATGTGTCAGCCACACATTTCCTCCAGATGCAGAGGGACATGTGTGTGTGTGAGGTCCATATGTGTTTGTCTATGCCCACTGAATACCCATTACTAGCCTGTCTGAGCATCGTACGAAAAGGAGACATCCTCTGTAGTGATGGCAAACTCAGTTCACAGAAGTAAGGAGTGGAATTTTCTTAAGATGATCGTCCACTTACCAGTCTGAGAGTGGCTGTTACATAGAGATACATAGTGGACTGGATGTTTGTCTGACTGGTTGGCTATGACACATATGCTAGCTCAATTCTCACAATCATGTGAGGAAAAGTCAAAAAGTACAACCTTAAAGAAAAGTGCTACAGCATTTGACATTTTATGCATCTGTGTTGTGATTGTGTCAATGCCAATATACTTTTTCTTCTTATGTTGACCAAATGGTCATTTGAACACAAAACACAGTTGAACCTCCACAAATAGAAATACAGGAACACGCTGTCAGCAAAATGACTTCTGAAGGATGCAGAAGACTGTTATGGAAGCTGATATGAGGCAAGGCAACACAACTCCAGAGTGTCGGCTGCATCCGAACTCTCTGCACTGTTGGTTAAGTTGATTGAATAACCCTCGACATGAGCGGTTATGACCTTTAATCCTTTAACAAAATCCTTTGTATGCTCCACTGTGGTGAACTCTGTGCCTTTAATGTCTCAGGTGCCGTTTAGTTCGGATATCTAAATAGAACGTATGAAAATGATTCGTACTGATTGAGGTCACCACGGAGACCATGCAGGGTAGTGTTTCCAACTCTACTTTGACTGCGAGCTTTCACTTAATTTTCCTAATTCTAGAAACAGTACACCTGACATTAGTCAGGCCAAAGATATGCATTCAGGATGAGACTGTTGACCTTTGACCTCCAGGCACACATTTCTGTATTGAGGCGGGGACAGGGAGAAAAGGGAGTTGTCTGATGACTCACAAGCTTTGGCGGCTTTTACATTCATGCGAGATTTTAAGCTTAATTGGGAATTAAACTCAAAGAGCATGTGTTGGTCCATCCTCAACACGTGTGTTTTAAGTGTAATGTACAAAAACACGGGACTATTCAAAGCACTTAATAAACTGATTTGTGGGTTTCTCCCCCCTGTGAGTTCAAAGCGGGTCGTTGCTTTCGGCTGTGGGGTAGAGGTTGCTCTTGTGCAATGGAAAAAAGAGAGACTGTTTTCCTGTTAGGGGGGCTTTTTTTGGGGAGGGAAACCACGGCTCTGCCTACCGCAGTAAGCCTTCAAAGGGCTTTGAAAGAGTGCTCACCTCACCTCTCCTTAAATCCTTCCATCCCTCCAAACGAGCGACTTCCTCTCACACCCAAGAACATCTCACCTGCTTCTTCCCAACCACTCAGCCGTCCAACCACTCAGCTGTAAAGTTGTGGTCAGGGTTGCACTCAGGTCCATGGGAAATGTTCAATCACCAGGGCCTGCAGTCCACCCACACACACACAGACTCGAAACAGTCCACTTCTTGGGCAGCTTTAACCCCTCTGTGTTTTTTTCATGTCTGTATCTTCAGAGTTACTTTGCTGCATGGCCTTCATCCAGTGACAGACTTTGAGAGGGGATCTGTTCACATTGCAGGGCTCTGGTTGTCTGCCTTTTTCTCAGGCTCATCTTGACAACACATGTAGGGGAATATTTCTTGTATTTGAAAGCAGATCACAGTTTGACATAGGAAGCAATAAATTCTTGAACTTTTATCCCCTCCCTCCTAAGTCCATCTCTATGTCAGTTAAAAATCCAAGACAGAGCACAACTTTATCCCCCCTCCCTTGAAAGTTCACAGAAATATAATTCATTTGCTCGGACTGAGGCTGTTTTGGGCCTCTAAGTAGCTGCTCCTTGTTATTTTCAGTGACACCCCAAAATAATCCAAAATTAATCCTCACACGTGACTCATATCAGATGGATTCTTGGGTGCTCATGTGTCTGTTTTATGTTTTATATGAAACTTTTGCTGTTTCTTGAGTTTGGCAAGTGATTTGATCCCCTGTCATGATCTTTTTGCACTTGAGCTAAAACAGCTGATCAGTTGAGCATATTTCTTTGAAATTAAGAGCTCCTCTCAATCTCCATATCTTAGTTTTAATCCCCGTGAATTAACCCTGTTCAACTCTGAGTCTAGTGAGTCACTTTTGCCCTGAACTTTCTGCCTGCTCATGTCCTTTTCCCTTCCCTACGCCTCCCATTTTCTCACCGAAAAACACTGACCTCACAAATACTTCATTAACAGAAAAATACCCCACAACTTGTCCTATCAGCATTTCTCTCAGACTCTGTCTCAAATGTTTTAATACAGAGAGCAAGTAGCTTAGCACAACTTCCTGCCTGTGAATCGGTGAGAACTGGTTTGACCTCATATTCCACCTCTCGCTGTCTGTCTTCTCTCCTCCTGGTCGGTTCTGGATCAGGTTCTGTTGATTCAAAGAACCGCTGTCGGACTCAGGGCCAGCCGTGTGGGCTGGGCCACAGAAGCTGCTGCATTCCTCTGCTGGGCGTTCTGTCTTTCTCCCTGCAGTGTGTCTCTTTCTGCCAGATGCAGGGATGGAAAGGAGATGGAAATATTCACAAATATGTTTTCTGGTACTTCTTGGATCTCCCTGCTTTGTCTTGAACCTCACAAACACCTGAGAGCCTGACATGCATGTCAGTTTGTGATCCAAGTAGCCAAGAGCAACTAGATCATTTGGACATTTTACCCCCTGAATTTAACATCAGCTTTAGTTGGAATTAGAGGAAAGTCAAGGAAACGAGAGACAAATTTCAGACTAAACCTTACAGATACACACACACTCTCTCTCTCTCTCTCTTTCTCTCTCTCTCACACACACACACACACACACAAAATGAGCCTCTGAGCAGACATAAGCAGGCTTTAAAAAATTTGTCAGTGATCCCCCTGCTAATGATGCTCTCAGCTGTGAGAGTTGACCCCCTCCTGCCCTCGTCCTTCCCCGCACCACCCTCTCCCCTCCTCCTCCTCAGTTCTTAGTAACTGCCAGTGAGGAACTCAGAGTCATCTCCATCCTCCTCACCCTCCCTACACACACAGAAACACTCACTTGAGCACTAACACAAACAGGCTGATCACCGTTACCACTATAGAGACAGCTATCATCAAGTGGAACTCAGACCACCAATATGACCCCTGTTACCCGAGAACTGTCAGTGATGTTGATTCACCTGGACAGGTTTGTTTACCTTTTGAATAAGTGTGTGTAAAAGAAACAGATGGGAAGAGGCAATTATGTAACAATGGATTTAACCCAATGAAAGGGTTTTTTCTGCATCGCTATGAAATCATTAATTTGACATAAATGTATGCCAAACTCTTTCCCATTTCATTTCCATTTTGAAGACTGCACTATATTTCTTCAACAGTTTTCAAACAATTGTACATGATATAAAAATCCTGTAAAATTAGGTTTTGGACAGCTGGGCCTACCAAACAAGTCCTGCTGAGATATCATCATTCACTTAAATGTATTCACTTTGGATGTCTTTGGTGAAAGTAGCTAACGAGAAGAAAAAGGGATACCAACAACCTCACACTTCGTGAAATCTGCACCTCAGAGGGTTTCTGACTTTGTTGTGGCTCGTGCTGTTCTTTTACACTCACACAGTTCATCTCGCTGTAATGATAATGAGAGAGGAGGTGGCCTGTTGTTAGTCAATTAAAAAGTCCTCCACGGTTCTGGGCAGCCACTAATAACCCCACCAGGGATTACTGTACAGCAGGCTGCAGGGACAGCAGGGCACCAGTTTGGGCCTCAGCTTGCTGTCATCCCAGAGCGCTAACCCAGTAGACCTCCATTCACTCTCCAGTCTTAGAGGGGCCACAACGCCAACTCTCCAGAGCAGCGTGAAAGGCTCCCACATGGGATACAAAGTGGCTCAGCTGTCCCTATCCTATCTTCACCTCCCACAGCGTCCTCCTCTACACCCAAGCCAAATAAAGCCTCTCAGCGACTTCTGTTTTCCTAATCTGTGAACTCTGACAGAGGCACCCACGCTTGAAAGAAAGACAACTCAACATGAGATGATCTCCTGGTGACAGGGGGGAAGCTGAAAAAACGTTACTGAAACCACCAGACCACCCTGTTATCTTCCACTGCCTTTCTCTTCCCCTATGTTCCCTGTCCCTTTTTTTTTAAGTCTAATTTGCCTTCTCTTTGCCCTTTGTCTCCCACCTTCTCTAATTGGGCTGCCACTGTTTGATTAAAACCGTTGAATCCCTTCCAACACCCAAATGGCCTGAGTAGTCTCAACTTTTTATGCACGGGGCCTCCTCTCTAAAAGCCTCGTATTTTTTCATCCATCTACATACCCTGTCCATAATACTAATGGGCAAATTATTTAGCACTGCAGTAGCTAGCCCACCGGGGATTGTTGCACATCAGCACAAGTACATTTTCCTCGCCATTAATCCAAAGAGGAATGCTGCGGTGATGAATTGGCTGAGCAGTTTGTATTTGTCACTGCACTCCAAGCGGCCATTCAATTGGAAATGGCTTTGCTGTCACCAGAGTAGTTTGTCTTGTAACACACCAGATGGTGGTAAATTTGTGTGCCGGGGTTCAGGTCAAACTTTAGATCTATATAAGGTGAGCTGCAACCCCAAATCCAAAGAGTTGGGACTCTGTAAACTGTTGATAAAAACAGATTTAGATGGTTTGCAAATAGTGAAAATGGTATTATAAAAATAAATATGCTTTTTTTTTTTTTTGGTTTGATGCCAACAACACGTTTTGACTAAGTTGCAATGGGGACAGGGTAGGAGACAAATTAGACATGACTCTGTAGTGGAAATCACTGCATCACTACTCGAGATTTTATAAAAAGAAATCATCTGTGACCGTAGATTGTTGTTGCATACAGAAATACAGCTAAAAACTGGACTTTACATAAACAATCTTTAACAAACACAATCAAGCTTGCAACTTCTCTGAGCCCAAGCTTGTTCGAGGTGAAAAAACCATCCTGTAGTCGAACGAATCAAAATTTGGTAGTCTTTTTGGAAACCATTGATGCCACTCTTCTGCGCTTAAGAAGAAACGGGCCATTGGGCTTGTTATCAGAGCACAATTCAAAAGCAAGATAGTATGAAGATGAAGGTGGGTGGCTTACAAATCTAGGAAAAAAGATATTAATACCGAATGATTGATAGAGGTTTTGGAGCAACAAAGCACTACAATTCAGACGATGCCTTTTTAAGGAGAGACAGCTTATCCTAGTACGACAATGCCAAACCACGCTCTGCATGTATTACAACAACATGGCTCCCTGATGGAGGAGACATGATACTAACCTGGCCAGCCCGCAGTCCTTACTTCTCACAGATTGGAAACATTTGGCACATCATTAAGCAAAAAGTACACCGAAGAAGACCTTGAAATTTTGAGCAGATGAAACTTTATATCAAGCAAGAAATGGCATCATTAAACTTCTGATGCTCCAGAAACTTGTCCTCCTGGTTTTCAAACATTTACAAGATGCAATAAAAAGAAGATGTAATGTAGAACGACTGTAAACATGCCCCTGTCTTAACTTTTTTTAAACAAGGTGCTGGAATAAAATGAGAATAAACTTTTTTTTCTTAATAAAATCAAACTTTTGCATAAATAAAGGGTTTTAATAATTTGAGAGCCACCAAAACCAAAGAGCTGTCAAGAGTTGAGATAAGAAGATCAACACAACTTTTTGACACAGTGCTAAGTATGAGCTCCAGCCTGCAGCGTTTTTCCTCTTAAGAGAGACACAAACATCGGCATGCAGCTGTAGCTACTTTAACCACATTTAATTGAAGACAATGTCTGCCCCCACTGAGGAGAGCTTGTGGCTTGTTCAGCTCAGTGTCAATGCTGAAGGCAGAGAATTTTCTTGCTTAAACACACTGTTATATTCTCAAAGGTCAGCCAGCTACACCACTGTGCTGACATCCTGGCGAAGCTTACGGATCCAGGATGATTATGTGGAATTGGCCTGCTCTCTGCAGTTTTTGAAGCAATAAAGAATAAGTCTTACAGACGGTTTTTAATATAAACCAGCTATTTGTTAGATCTTTACATCTTTGGGGTTTTTTCAGAGAGTTGTTAAGGCTAGCATCTATTGTAATGGGCACACAGAGTGGAATTCAACAGCCTTGTCACTGTTCTCTCTCTCTGTTTAACCTACACGCTCATCTGCCAGACTCGCCTGACAGCACCAGACCCTGGAAGAATCTCCCAGCAGGCCCGACAGCACACGGACCGCACCATATTTAGTCATCCAGAGTCCAGACACAGACCAATACAGTCCTCCACCGTAATCTGTCTCCCCTCTGTTTCTACCTCCATCCCTCAGATTTTTTAACATCCTTTCCTCTGCTTCCTTCCTCCATCTCTGTCTTTTTCTCTCTCTCTTTAACTGCTTTATTCATATCTGTCCTCACTTGCCCTCCCTTGAGTCACTTCTGCTTTATCACTGTCAAGCCTTTTACTGTTTCTCCCCTCCTTGCATGTCCTTTTTATGTTCCTCACACCTACTGTAAATCATCTTTTCTTTTTATTTGCCTCCATCTCTAGTCTCCTAAGCCTGTCACATATTTTCCAGCTCGGTTTTCACTATGCAAAACTTTTCTAACTTCCTCTTGGTCCCTTAACAGCATGCCCATCAAGCCAGAGTTATCCCCTCTTGCTATCTTTTTTCTTGTTCCCTCACCTGTCAAATTTTCTACCCCTTCTTGGAGCCTCCCCACTTTCTCTTTTCTCAGTTCAACACGCCGCCGATGGACGCTGAGCTGGGATGCTAATGAGTTGCTAATTCTATCAGCTGCCTCTCCATGCCCTCCCCAGTGGGTGTCGGGCCTGCCAGCTTTGCCACGGCCAGCCCTTTTTGATGAAGTGCTTTGGCTGATGAACTCCTGCCTGTGTGCCCACTCTAACCTCCTCGTCCTCGGACACATGTCATTGATCAATGTCCCTATCTTTTCCTGGCGAGGCTCACCCTTACACCAGTCATGTATGAGCCAACTAACCCTGCAAACCGCTTTTAATATGCTAAGTGTGGTAAAAGCAGCGAAAGTCTTTGACTAACTTCTTCAGGATATAAAATGTGTCTTTATGTTGTTAAAATGGGGCAAAAGGAAGTCAAGTTGGTGTAAAGTTTTGGGTTATTTTAGGGTGGCCACAACACAAATTTGTACTTCCACTGCATTCGTCTTCCTGCCCCTTATAATCCCCTCACACCATTTTCCTTTAACACCCAATCAGTGCTTAAGAAGAGGCCAAATGGCCGAGCTTAAGCACTTGAGCACAGACGAGTGGTCCTATTTACCAGGCCACTAGTCTCTATTCTAAGGGGTGCTAGCTTTGGACCCCTCTCATAAGAAAAGAACAAAACTTTTGTTTTTTTTTAACTCCCTTAAATCCGTCTGTCTGCCTTCCCCGCTTGACTGAAATGGATAAAGAGGCGGCTTTTTGTTCTGTTAAGATGAAGAGGGATGCTGTAGTATAAGAAAGAGATTGAGGGGAAGGGGAGGTGGGTGTAATGCATGGTAATTTAATAAATACCTCTCAATGTGGGTTGGGGTGCCTTTTTTTTTAACTCATCAGCTGTCTAAGAATGGGGCTCCTCTAGATTTGACACCCAGTGGAGTAAAAAGGGGATTAGCTATGAAAAGCCTCGGGCTATATACCTCTTTCTCTGTCTTATTCTTTGCTCTTAAGCTCTCTCTCTCTCCATGCGCCTCTCAGTCTTTTACTCCTAAGGACCATGTGGCCCCCTGCCTCACTGTGAGCAATTGAATGATGTCATCCAGGTACCTATCTTGACCCTGAGCTTTAAGAAAGCTTGAATGAAGTCTTACACCATCAGTTTTCAAGTATAACCCTCAAATGCCCACCACTTAGAGTGAGTTTTTCTGGCTCAGTGAATGAACATAAGACTTCCCTCTTTTGGATCAGCTTTGTGTAACAATACTGTTGTGACAGTTGGATTACTGCATTATCTCATATGTAGGATCTTTTCATTGTATAAAAAGATAGCGTCATTTCTTACAGGACATACTCTTGAAGCAGCGGTTTGGCCAGGGTCACTCATGGTCCACTGCTCTGCAGCATCACCAGGGATTATAGGGTAACTTCTGCCATGCTGTTCGAGCATGACCAGCAGGCTTGGCCAGTTTTGACATGAATGGAAGTACTGAATGGGAGGCCAGCATTGAAATTCAGGATGCAGTCACTCGCAGCTACTAATGTCTCTCTTTAAATGGTCACATCCTTTTTCTTAGCCCCCCCTCCATATAGCTTTCTTATCCTTGACAGGCTTTTAGTCAATGAAAATACCGCTTGTGACTGTACAATTCAAGAGGTGTAATTCCATTTCCTTTCAGACAGCAAACATGATTTGGTTCTGAAGATGCATTAGCATATTTTTCATACAGTTAAATGGAATCACTTCTGTTTAATCTCCTTTTATGGTAAAAACATGTCTGTGGCATTGACCTTTCTGTTTGTTTTTTTTCTCTCTTACAGGAAGGGCCAGCCTGAAGTGAGGGGTCACTGAGCTCAGACGCTCTCTCTCCACTGAACCAAAATTATACACACATAGTGGAAATTCAAGCACACACAGACTCATCTGCAAGACAACTCAGTCACATTACACCCACAGACTCTTGGGTACAAACTCAAAAAGGCATCTGGGCATAAACGTTCAGAAACGGAGATTTACACAGAGGCCCTCTTAGCAGGATGAGGGAACCCTGGAGGTGCCTGCTGGGCCTGTGCCTCCTGGCATGTGCAGCCTCCACACACAGTGCCACCAATCCCTTTGCAGGACAGCAAACCCCCCCAGATCCTTGCTATGATGACACAGGCGCAGCCCGTCGCTGTATACCCGAGTTTATCAATGCTGCCTTTGGCAAAGAGGTCATGGTGTCAAGTGTCTGCGGTCGTCCTCCATCCCGTTCCTGTAGTGTAGTGGAGCGGGGCGATGATCGACCATCTGTACGTACATGCCAAATCTGTGATGCAGCAGACCCACGCCGTGCCCACCCTGCGTCCTACCTCACTGACCTCAACTCAGCCCACAACCTTACCTGCTGGCAGTCAGAGAATCTGAACACTTCACCGCACAACGTGACTCTGACACTTTCACTCGGCAAAAAGTTTGAGATCACCTACGTCAGCCTGCAGTTCTGTTCACCAAGACCTGAGTCCTTAGCCATTTATAAGAGCATGGACTATGGCAAGACCTGGATGCCCTACCAGTTCTACTCCTCACAGTGCCGGCGCATGTACAACCGGCCAAACAAAGCAACCATTACCAAGCAGAATGAACAGGAGGCTCTTTGCACAGATGGCCACACTGACCTCTACCCGCTTTCTGGAGGACTCATTGCCTTCAGTACTCTTGACGGACGACCTTCTGGAAAAGACTTTGACAACAGCCCAGTTCTCCAAGACTGGGTCACCGTCACTGATATCCGAGTGGTCTTCAGCCGGCCACAGCTACCCAGAGAGCTGGCACTGGGGGCTGGAAGCAATAGCGGAGGGAGGGATGACGATCCCACAGCAGTTACGTCAACACTACCGACTTATTTCTATGCAGTGGGAGACTTCCAGGTGGGTGGGAGGTGTAAATGCAATGGACACGGCTCACGCTGTGTGAAAGATAAAGAGGGCAAACTGGTGTGCGACTGCAAGCACAACACAGAGGGACCTGAATGTGACCGCTGCAAGCCCTTCCACTACGACAGACCATGGCAGAGGGCCAACGCCCGTGAGGCCAATGAGTGTCTACGTAAGTTTGACCCCATCTACCATTTCACATGTGCTTTCAGTGATATCTATAGCAGACTTTCTTGGACATCAAAACCCAGTCATAAAAGAATATGAGGTATTTTTTATTATTGTATTGACCCCTGTAAAAGAAGAATGCAGATGTCCTGAGTTAGAAAAACCCTCTCTTGTTCTATTCTCCAACACTTCCCAAGGATCCAGATGGAAAGTTTTCCTCAAGTAATAACCCTCTAAACCATGGAATGTTTTTGCCTATATGGACATGATACATAGGGGGAAATAATTCTTTTTTATTCAGGAGGCAGATGAGGACGAGAAAATAATTAAAATTGTGGTTATTTATTTCTCACTTGGGCAAAGTTATGACCTTTCACCACCCTCTTCCAGGATATGAGGACAGCAATTAAAATGCTGGCCAACAAACTGAAATACAAACACACTCTGGGAAAGAGAAGGGGAAGTAGAAAAGGAGATATTTAACTGAGTTGACCTGTGTTTGACTGTCACAGGGGTAATTAAGAATCTTGCCAGAGCTCACCGGATGGGTTTGTGTTTATACAGGTGAGGAATTCTGGTAGCATAAAGTGGTTGAACCCACAACTTTGGCAGCGTCTCTCTAAACATGTGCCATCCTTCCCTTGCATTTCCCCTCAACTCCCTCTATTTACCATTCCTTAACGGGGAAACAGGCATACTTTCCAGAAAATCATGTTTTCTGGACTTCACCATGAAAATACTCCTCTCATAAGCAAGTCTAAACAGTGGATGACAACAACTCGAGTCATTGGCACACAGCTACCGCTAAGTCATCCAAGAATGTTATTTGGCAGTGTTTGCCTTTACCTCAAGACATGCTCTGAGAAAGTCATCCAGACATGCTCTGAAAGCTTGCCAAGGAAAATTATAGCAATTTCTGTTGCAGTGTTTGTTGATATAAATGGATTACCTTTTTATTGGATTAGGCTTTGATATGATAACAGGGTTTTTGGTGCGATATTCATTGCATTTAGTCATTTCATGACTGGAAAGATACAAGGGTTTGCCATATTAGCCATGGTTCTTTGGCAGAAATTTCTGCTCTCATATGTGTATGTTGGTGGTAATTTTGACAGGATTTTTCTGTAAGTATAAATAGACATAAGAGGAACTTAATTCAGATCAATTTTGCTTGTCAAAAAAATTTGTTAGCGTAGGAAAATAAACCCATATAAGAAACCACTGTCCCCTTGTTAACCCTTCCCCATGATAAAATAAAATTACAGCCAGAAAGGAAAAAAAATGGACAGAACATAAAAAAACATTATATATTTTTCTAACATGCTTTAATTGCCCGCTGAACTGGCTTGAGATCATATTTGACATTGAACAGTGCCAGATCTGTTCAAAAAGGGACAGAGAGTGACACAGCTAGAGGAGTTTGGCCTTTTTAGCATTAACCTGGCCAACCAGTCAAACCCTCTCTTTCTGCTCCTAAACCTTCCAAGCCAACACTACCTTACTTTGGCTTCTCGTCTGTCCTTGACACCCTCACTTACTCAGCCCGTACAAGCACTCACACACACACCTAGCCCCTTCTAAAACAATATCCTGTGAATCCCTCAGTGTGTTCACAATCATACTTTCACACACACCCTTTTTCAAATGTCCCGTAGCTGTTTCCGAAATGTTACACACACTTCCCGTAGATGGCTTCTCAGCGGGGTTGATATGTCACTTCAATCCACAGTTCTTGGACTAAACAGCCGGGCTGCACTCGCCAATTCTGATGACCTAATCCCAGTGTTGATACACGGCAGTTAAAGTCTATTGGAAGTTGCACGCTATACCTGATCACACATCCGGACACGCCAAATGTCAGTCCCAGATGTCTCCAATTTCATGTTCCAAGAGCTTTTTTACAGCTTATTCCAGCCAAAATTGTTCCTGAATATCCTCAAAGCAGCAGGGGAGGCTTTAAAAATCCTCTCTTGTGTGTATTTAAGTCCATTCTTAAAATGCTCCCAACCCTTGTTGATTTGCTTTTCTTTCTGACACTGTGCACAAATGGGGACAGGCTGAAGTGCAAGCCTCGAGGCATGCCGCTGTGGCTGCGAGGTGTAAGTATTTAGACTGTGAACATGTGTAAGAGTGACAAGTTGTAGAGACAAGGAGTCCCTTAGGTGTCACCAGAGCATACATGAGCCCCTCTGGGTGTTTGGGTTGGACGTAGGGTCTGAGGGGGCCAGGCTGAGGTCATGATCCTTTGTGGGGTGGTGACAAGGTTAAGTTTACAGAGGGATGGCTTGTGGGTAATGTGGAATTCAGAGTGGGCAGATGTTGAACCAGATCAATAGCAGTTTCCCCCCCAAACTCTGAAACTGTCAGTCCTTGAGAAATAATGAGTCTGGTAGAGTTCACCACCCAAACATTATTGTTGGGATTGTTTAAAAGACTTTTCAGAGATTTGCCCTCACTCCTAGCAGCTTCGACCTCGGCTCTGGAAACCTGAAGTCACACTCCAGGCTTCTGGCTATGTAATTCATCTCCTCTGAACATAAAATATGACATCTAGAAAGGAGTTTAAATTGGTTTTAATAAAAACTTAAAAATATTTGCTTAAGCTTCTGGCAGAATTGATTTGAGTTGAGCAAAGTGAATTGGATTTTATGAATGTTATTACATTTAATTCAGCTATTTACAGCAAGTATGCACATTGTTCATGATATTTATTAATACTGGATGGTAGTTGGATGGGGCTGGTGTCAAGTGGCAGCAGGAGGAATTTAGCTCTGGGTTAATATGGCTCAAGTTCACACAGCACACTTGTCGAGCGATATTGTGCTAAGGATGCTGAGTGCCAAAACCCATAATTGCATTAGCTTTGAAGAGAAAAAAGGCTCAGCCAAATCGCAGTTAGTGGACACAGGCCCTGATGAGATGCTCAACTTTGATTTCATTTGCGATTTCGCTAGTTTGGACCAAATTTTAATGGCTTTCGATCTTTCCCCTGCATTTCATTGTTTTGAACGGGCTGGTTCAATAGTTCACTTGTCTTTGGCATTCATCTTCACTCTCTAATACTTTCTGCAGTCTGCTATGAACACACATGCCCATCTGTGGCCTACCTCCCTATGAATCCCGCCTCAAGACAACAGTTTACAAATCTGCTCTCTAGGAGTCAGAGAAAGCAGCCTTGTAAAGAAGTATGTCTGTTTGTATTGAGAGAGACATGATGGAAAAAGCTGTGATTTATCTGCCTGAAGTTTAAGCCACAGGACAGAATGAGGAAACAGATGGATGAAAACTGTTTCGTTACTGGTGACCGAGTGATTGCTTCTCTGCTGGCATGGTCTATGTAGATACTTCTTGCTGACTTAGAAATGTGTGACAATATATCATGCCATAATGGAGTCTGCCAAAGTCACAGAATAAGATGAAGAGGCCTCTTGCAGAGTCAATGACAGTGTGACATGCTGAGTAGATGATAATTTATGGCGGTGTAGACGCTCTCTGGTCTTGGCTGTGTCTGCAGCTATCTTGGCCTTGTTTGGCTACGGCACCAAGCCCTTCCTTTCCCTCATTTGGACTGAGCCTGCAGGAAGTCCAGAGTACTGCTCTGGGCCAGACACCATCCATCCCTAATGGACCAGCCAAGCCAGGTCTGTTCCCAGTGTTTGCCAAGCACTGTGGTATGCATTCATAGCATTAACTACAGAGGTCACAAGGAGGCTGTTTGCCATTCGGACTGATTGGACAGAAATGCCGGTGAGCTGCGGTTGGTAGAGCTGGGTGTTCCTCTCTCTGCTGCAGCACTTGGGCGTGGTGTTGAATATTTATAATGGTAAACTTTGTTTTATACTGTGTCCGGTGGGGGATGAGTGGTATGGCAATGCTGGTTTTGCACAGGAGGGAGTTTCCTTTGAAATTAAATCAATCAACCGAGGTATTCATTTTAAACTCCCATTACACAAAAGCCCATGTCATCACCTGAAGGAAATTCACCTAAATTAGTTATTACCTCCAAAAAAGTTACGACCAGTTACATAATAAACTTTATTTGACCATGTCTCCCATACTCATGAATGAGGTAGTTTTAAAATTTGAGTTTAGCTTCAGAAGGATGCAGAAACTAAACATTAAAGCCTCCAACAGACTAATCTGGTTATTTTAGTGGGCTCTGCCTATTTTTTGATGAAACTAGGGGCTATAAACTGAGGGATAATGAAGATTCTTGGGACCTGCTGAGGTGAATATGTGTGAACATTTGTGTCCAAGGAAAGGGTCGGTGGGAACAAAAGCCCTGGAACAAGAGCACCAACGAAGGCTCAGAGTAGAAACTGAGGAACCACAGCAGCAAAAACTCTCTTTTTGAAATGTCTCATTCTCTCTTTCATCATTTTTCTTTCCGACAAGTGGCAGATGGTTGTTTTTTGCTGATTAGAATTTCAAAATAGGCCGCTATCCTTTCACACCAATCCCCCACCCCCACCCCTCCACATCTCCTTGCAAGGGCAAGTACAGGTCAGGCCCATGTCCCAGTCTTTAGAGCAGATTTGTTGAGGCACTTTGTTGGTTTGCTGATTGAGAAATGACTTCACATCACGCATGGAAATATGGCATTGTATCTAACTATGCAGTTTGGGTTTTGATTCTCAACTGTTGCAAATGAGTCAGGGTTTGTTTGATTTTTCTCTTTCAAAAGTTTGCTGTTTGTTAACTTTTTAGATTACCATGAATCTAAATACTCATAACTTGAATCAGTTGAAATCGAGAAGTCACATCCTATGGTCAGCTGAAACTTTGCTGTCTGTCCCTAGAGGGCAACATGATATGAAGCTCAGCCAGATGCCAAATGTAGCCGGCTAGGGATGAAAAAAGCCAGAGCTGCTGTGACATTATTGCATGAATGTGCCATGTTCCTGCTTTTGCTAATTGGCTTAAAGACCTTGCCTCTACTTCCAAGTCTGCCTGGACGCCTGTCGCTGGAGGCTAACAGGGAACCAACACTTGAATTACTTACAGAACGACGCGCAAATGAGTAGGAGATGTTTATGTGTGTACGTTGTAAAGGGTGATGAAGGGGGGGCTGAGTGAAAGAAAGTGATTTTGAGAAAGAAACCTCCTGTGCTTTCCAATAATTACACAGCAGAGGAATGTTGTTCTAAAATCAACAGCCCTATGAAATGATGCCTCTGGGGTGGTTAGCGTGAGACGTCAGGGCTACGAGGCCAACAAACATGAGGTGTGAGAGGTTTGTTTTTGTTTAGCGTGAGCGTGTTTTTAAGAGCGGAGAGTGGGAACTTCCTTTATCTGGCTGAGACAACAAGGTTTGATCAGTTTTTGATCAGTTTGAACTTCAGTTTTGCCTCTTGCCTTTATTCCCTCTGTCAGTAATGCAGCCTTGGTTCAGGACCAACCCACAAAAGATTGATGCTTTTCTCATTCTACAAAGCCACCCATAAAGGCTCCTGGCAAGTAGGGAACATGGTGAAACAAATGTTAAAGACAGCAAAGTGTCAAATAACAGAGTAAATGTCAGCTGGGTTAAAACGCTGGATCTTGAGGAAATGCTCTGCTGCTGCCTGAGGCCAAGAGTGTGTGAGTAAGTGTGTGCGTGCACCTCTTTGCATTTTTGCGTTGGTGAGAGCGACATGTAATCTAGTCGTCCAATGAGCGTTTCATCCCTGTGCCAAAGCAAACTGGTTGAGCTGCAGTGTGCCCACCCTGCTCTCCACGGCCCCCATCAACTCTCCCTCACAGATGGTAGCAATCACCTCCCGAGGTGCCCGTCACCACCGGCGCTCTCTTCCTCTCTCTCTCCATCCCTGTGTAACTGACTCTTGTCAAAGATTAACTCCTTGCCTGGATGTTTTCCTGCCTGTGACCTCTTCTTTTATTTCATTTTTATATATTTTTCTTCTGCTCAAATCAGCCTTTTTCCATCTCTCATTGACTTCCTCGTGTTTTGCTAACAGTTTGCCTCTGCAGGCCTCTTTTGCCTGAAAAAACATGTGGTTTTTGGCAGCACGCCGGTGTTGCTGGTGGCAGCAAGATTCAGAGGCTGTTAAGAGAAAATATATGTCTGTTTGTTATGAGCGCATGACAATGGCTCTGCTCCCTTTTGAACTGTGGTTTTCTGTCTGCCACAGGCCGCCTGACTGATAAGACCTCAACACTGCGCTTTATGTCACGTGCATGCATTTAATACTGCCTGTTTTTTGCATTCATGCATATTCAAATGGATATTGATCAAATGCAGCTATATGCATATAAATGTATTGATCGTAGATGAACAGACAGATGTGGCTGGGCTGAAGCATAGAGTGTATAAAAGGAAGGGTGACTTGATAGCTGCTCAAAAGCTTTTTCTGATGATTGGCTGCTGTATAGGTCATAAATCCAACCTCCTCCAGTAACAGATGAGATATGGTATAAACTAATAAAAAAAATTAAACGCAAATTACTTTTTTCCAAAACATGCATTCTGTCCAGATGGATAGGTCGTACTATGCTATGCTAGTTTATGTTTTAATGTTTAATTTTATCGGCAAAGTTTAGTTTCAGTTGTTTATATGATGCTAAAAGGAGGAGATGTGGAACCATGACTGAAAGCTTAATGAGCTCTTTACTGGATTAGCAGAGAAAAAGAAGACAGGTAAAAGTAAACCAGACTGTATAAAATATTGACTCAGACCCTGTGAGGTCACCCTCTGGTTTCTGAAGAGGACTTATGAAGCTAAATCATGGAAGTCACCATGTTGAGTCAGCATGACTCAATCCAACTTTCAGTCAATTTAGGTCCAGACAAAAAGGTTGGCGTTAAAGTGGGCATTAAGACCCCCTGCAAACAATTACGGCACATCTACCTGCCAGTCAAATTAGCCTTGTCCTGAATTATGCAAATCCAACAAAAATTATCTGAAACATAAACCAAATGGGTGGGATACAATAAAACTCCAGCGTAAGAGGAGGAAACAAGCAACCTCAACCAAAAGCATCTCTGAACCTGGTTGTAACCATGTTCAATTGTAACAGAAATATGGGTATGTCAACATAAGCTAATTAAGGTATTGCAGAGCTTTTGGAGCCAGCCCCAAGTGGACTCCTGTTTCTTGTACTTGAGCACATGCTTCATCCTAAAACACTGAAAGTTGCAGGTTGAGGAAAACAAACTGATCACCAACTTAAAAGTCATTTAACTTCCCATCACTTTAAGTATTCACTCCAAATGACACAACAAGCTATTACGCTGTAGACTAAGCCAACCTGAGAGACCCTTGCTGTTTTATTGGTAAGTTAAATGTTTGCTTTGGTTAGCTGAGAGGGTTTGAAGTCAACTCTGCAGCTACCAGGCTGCTACACAGGCTCCAAAACACATCGCCAGTGCGTTATGTCAGAGCCCAGAGCCTAGTGCAGCAGGAGTTAGTTCATAAACTGTCAATGGACTCATGCAAACAAATTTTTCCATCCAGTTTTTAATCCTAATGGGCAGGCAAATAAAGGCCAAACCAACCAGTTCTGTTGAATAATCCAAAGGGAGTTTCTTTAGCAATAAGAAGGCATTGGAAGATTTGTGGTAAACAGTCAAAAACAAAAACTCTTGCTGCCATCTTTGAGAACTATAATCACACATGGGCCACATGATTTTAACTTTCGAGTCAAACAGGCACTGATTTGAATCCAAAGATTTAACATAACAGCTTCACCAGCAGATGGTAGTTTTCAATGGAATTAGACAGACAAAAATAAACTTAGTTTTGCAGTAGAAATGTAAAAGTCTTTGTACTATCATCAGTTATTGGCAATGTAATTATGATGGTTAATGTCCCAGGAGGCCACAGGAATGGAAAGAACAAACAGATGTATTCAAGACTCTAACTTCTTATCTCAGTTGCCTTCAGTTCTGGTTCTGCATCCTCACCCCAGGACCATCTTAGCCTTGGTCTCAGAGAGAAAATACATTTTCCCAGGATGTCTGGTCACAATGATGCATTTACATCATATGTTCCATCCATCACTTCCTATTTATAAAACCAATACATGCCTCGCCAAAAATGGACCATGTAGTCATGTATGCCAAGACTCACGTCAAAGTGAATCTGTTTTACCTTGGATCTCAGTGATGATATGATTGCACAACAGTGGTCTACTCCTTCCCCTGTAATCAGGAGTGAAAAAAAAAAAAAACACGAGCGACTAAGACAGACAGTGAAGGCCAAGGCGGGACAGAGATAACAATGTTTAGATGTGGGGAAGTGAAGTGGACCAGAGAGAGGGAACAGAGCTAAGGACTCAACTCTCCACTGACACCAGGCCCCCGAACCTGGCAACCCGCCAGCGTAATCTTGTTAAAATCCCTCTCTGCCTGATGCCATCCGCAGAGAGAAAAGGGAGATGGAGGAAAGGATGCAAGGGGTGGAAGAGGAAGCAAGCAGAAAGAAGAGAGAGGCGAGCAGCGAGAGTATTTAAGATGGGGTCTCATGAAAGTAAGAGGAGAGAGTGAGAGAGACGGGGAGGGGGGCGGGGGAGCTTGGGGAGGCTGGGAGAGGAATTAAGGAGACTCTTAGTTCAAAAGGGCTCCCAAGAGCCGGCTCTTAAGCCCACGACGTGAGGCTAACCGCAGAAACCATTTAAGCGAGGGAAGGGGAGGGTTGAGACATGGTGTCAGAGCTAGAAGTAAAAGATATGTCTGTGTGGAAAAGAGCGAGAAGAGCTTAATCGGCTTTGTTGGGGAAAGCTGGAAGTTAGTAGCGCTATTGCACGCTACATGTTAGGGACATATGTACAGCTCAAGTAGTAGTTGTTCTTTTTATTCCTTTAGCTTTATTTGAGTCTGAGTCTCAGCTGGTTGTCTAGCTAAGACCAAGAAGTGTATACATCGCTTAAAGTCTTAGCCTTATAACTCAAGTCTAGCAATTCTCTAACAGTCACTTCCTTTTTCAGGAGGCACATACTCTAACGTGTGTATGTATGTGTGTATGTCCACACTGTATACACTGCCTTGGCTCTAATGAGGAGCTAATTAACCGGGTGTTACCCCCAGTGCCCTGAGCAGGTGGCTGGAGCAGCCAGGCGGAACTCAGCCCAAACACACACACACACACACACACACACACACACACACACACACACACACACACACACACGCAATGGCAGGAGACCATATAGTAGAGCCTGTTTGGCCAAGCAGGGAAGAGCACCCAATAGGGGGAGGGTTGCAGCAGGTCTGGACTACGGCCTAGACCAAGAGGGAAGAGTTGGTGTTGAGAGAGCTGCACTCCAAATTTCAAGGACCAATTTTAGCCATGGGATTTGGGTTTTGCATGGGCATCCAAAATCAATTGGCTGTGCTTACTGGCTTGGCTTTGGGCATGCTGAAGGAAAAATGAGGTTAGATTTATCCCTGACATATGGAGGGGAACAGAGAGGAGGTGCACTCCACAAACACACTTGCATTTTATTTGTTGAGCGCAGTCTTTATGGGCCAATTTGTCATTGCACACTTGACAGGCCAGTGTGTGAGCTTGTTCAGGGCACATTTACTTGTTGATGCACCTGTTATGAAAGCTGGAATAAAGGAAAGTGCTCCCATGTCGATCTACATTACCTGAAATACTCTGTTTTTACTCCCTGTAGGCCTGTGTCAAGAAGTAAAGGCCAAGATCACAAACTGAGATTTACAGGACAAGATGTCTGACAAAAACAAGACATGTACTCGAAGAAGTTGTTTCAGCACTGGAGGCATTTGGCTGTTTTCACAAAACAACTATTCTCTCTTTAGTAAAATTTTCCGAGGGGTTTCTTCTCCTACCCCTCTCCATCCCTTCATTCAATTTTTGTCTCCGCATATGCCAAGCCTGTAGCCTGTGTTTGTTGCTCGATTTCCATGACAACACCAGAAACCAGATTTACGCATCTATAAATTGGACACTGACCCATAAAGGAGCCACATCCTCTGAAAGATCACCTCCTCTTTGCTTGACTTTCCACCACCCACAGGACTCCACTTTTTTTTTCCTCCAACAGATAAGAATTAGTGTGTTTGCAGCGCACTAGTGAGGCTTTGATGTGTTAATGAATTGAAAAATGGCCTTCAACAGTGTTCAGTTATCCCCGCTGAGCCTAATTTGAGTGGGTTGGGTGTGGGTGGGTGGGTGTATGGGTGAGGGATGCTGGAGTGGTGTTTGGAGGGAGGAAGGGGTTGCAAGAAAGGGAAAGAGGTGGGATGTTAGAGCGTGTGTATAAGTGTGTGTGTGCGCAAGCACTTCAAAACAAACCCATAAACATTCCAGGATCCTTGGGCAGCTGCAGCTTAGAGTTGAAGTTAACAGCACACAGCATGTAGGCTATTAAAGAAAGCACACACAGATGCACATAATAACACCTACATAATCTCTTCTGAGGCTTTTTCATCATCTATTTTTCCTCCTGGGTTCCATTTCATTCACGTTTTTCTGCGGCGAATCCTTCCCAACTATTCCTGACAGATGCCGACCTTCCCCTCCTTTCATACACACTCCAAGAAACGCACTTCTACACATGCTAAATCATTTAAAGGTTAAATTCTGGAGCTTTCTTTACATTCTCCACACTTCAACATATCCTCTCCTACTTCAGACTGATCTTATTGCACAGCTGTAAACGGAGGAGATGCCTTAAGAGGGCCGTTTGGTACTTCAGCAAAGGAGAAAATGCGATCCACGGCTTTCATGTTCTGCTACAAGGTGTTAATGGACACAAGTGCTCACAGCTGTGTGTGTGTTTGAGACGCTTGATCACAATCACAGCCGCCCCACCTCGTTCTCCCCTCCCTTGCAGCCCGCTCACCAGAGCTGGTGTGTTCTTTGTCACATTCCCCTTGGAAGAGGCCGGACAGGTTGTTTGGTTGTTCACATGCACTCGCACACAAGATACACTCGCACATGCTCAGAGAGAGACAGGAACCAATTTCAGGAAATGTGTCATCAATTGTGTGCAATTTTTTCATTTAAAACAAGGACAACATCACTTAGAAGGAGAAAGTGTTTTGAACTCGCTGAATTTGCTGGCTTCCTCCTGCCTTGCCTCGCTCTCTCATCTCTGGCGGATTCTCTTCTTTTGGACTGTTCTCTGGTGTCAAAGGTCAACCCACATCTTTAAATCACTCATCCGTAAGAGCACACAAAAGATCCCTCACTGTCTCTATCTCCAAAACATGAATACATATATAAAACAGCATTTCATTGACCAAAGAAGTTTATACAAAATGAGCCACATAATAACCAGATGGAAGAGGGAAACAGTCTGGGAATGTGCACCCCCTTTTTCAAGGTCCAGCCAGGGAAAGCTGGGCCTCTTTCCCAACCTGATGCCAGGCTTCCCTTTCATTGTGGATGGGGATGCATGTATTGTTCACTGCTGGCAGTTCTTCACATATGTACAGTATTTGAGTGATCCTTAAGTCTCATTAACAGTCATTGATGTATGATAACCTAAAAGGAGCCAACGTAATATAGTACAGATACAATGAGCTCAGTGTAACTTTAGAGCTGACCTTGGCAGCAGCAGGAAGGAACACGCAAGTCAGCTACCAATCCTGTGTAAAGATGTGGATTTTTATAACTGGTTCAGTGGTAGCTCATAACACCATGATTCAAGTCAGAGATGCATCATCTCCAAATCTCACAGGCTGACTTTATATATGTGAAACAGAAAGTTTAAGTTTCTTTCAATGGACTTTGTTGTTGCAGCTCTAATGCCAGCCACCATAGCAAATTGTAGCTTTAGGGGGGCTTTCACATCTATGTCATTTGGTTCGGACTTTTGGACTTTACTGTTTAGGTGTGAAACCTCCCCAGGACCTTGGTCTGGACCAAAAGAGGTGGTCTCGGTCTGGACCAAACTGAACCATGCTCTGGTTCATGCCCAGTGTGAAAGCATTATTTTGAGAGGTTCGGACCTTCGTACCAAAGACAGGAAATAATGCAAGGAGTACAAGTGTCTGATATTATGTGTAATCGAGATTGTCTGATAACTGGAAATTTGATAACATTGTAGATACTGTTATACCTCACTATTGACAGCTTATCTTTTCAAGAGTTTTACAACACATACTGTCTCTCCAGAGTCAGTGTTGCAATGGCTCGTAGGATCATATACTTTCCTCTACTTTCCTGTCGATGATGAGAAAGTTGTCGTCTAATGATAAAATTCATAAGACGCACTCGGACCAGCCTCATGTACAGTTCTTCTTTATCACTGTTGGTAGTTAAAAACAACAATAATACGATGGGGGAAATGACGATTTTATTCATGTTTACAATAATCAAGATTCACGTTATTCAACGTGTTGACGTCAGATGCCCACCAGCCAAATGACCGTCAGTGTAGACTACAGAGACATGCAAAGCACGTAGTTGATGACGATATCACGCAGGTTTGTCATGTTAAGTTTGTTAATCTGTTTTCAATAATGACGGTGCGAAACTTAAACAGACCAAACCAAATGTATATAATGTAACAAAAACACGGACCTTGGTTTGGACCTTGCGCTGGACTTTCAGGTGTGAAAACACCCTTACAGACAGTATTAAGAATTCAAAGTTTGCATCAAACTCTAAGCAAAAGAAAGATTAACATTTCCAAACAATGCACTGGCTAAAAAATGATGCAATATATGAAATACAGGCTTTTGTGCCATATTCAAAGAGAGGACAGTTGAAAGAGCAGGAGACAGAGACAGAGCGTGGGGAGGGACATGTGGGAGGGGCTACAGATTGGAGTCAAACTCCAATCTTGGCTTCCCGCTAGACGACTTTTGCACATTAGTGCATGAGACTCAACTGCTGCTGGGCCAAACAGGCATTTAAATGTTTATTGCTACTTCAACTTTTGAGCGTAGTACTGATCAGAACTGGTTTGCAAAACACATTTTTCAAATGAAATTGTTCTGTCAAGATTGTAGCCAAAAATTTGACATTGAAAAAATGTCGGGAGCTCCCACAGCTATTCGTCCTTCTGACAAGCAGAACTTACACAGTGTAGAGGCTACTTAAACAGTTACACATGCTCTTATAATCACTGAGAACATGAGTGAGACAGAGAAACACTCTGAAAGTAGTTGAAAAATAGATGTCTTATTAAATGTTTCAGCTTCCTACTCATCAGTCATTGTAGTGCACATAAAAGCCTGTCAGGTCTCCAGCCATTCTGTCTTCATTTACTCCCCATTGTTGTTTTTATCCTCTTGTAAACATCCATTGTTAGTGTATTTCTCAAACACATCCCACTGGATTAAACTTAATTAATATCATCTTTAATTCTGATCCCTAATAATCCTACTTTGCCCTAACTGTTGAAGTTTTTGGTCAAACAGCTTTTCTGTTGTTTACCGCTCACTAATTTATCTGTGGACAACTTTGAAATGGAGCAGAGCCCCGCAGAAGTCGCCTTTGAAGCCACCGCCAAGTCTTCAGGTCCCAGGTCTGACTCTGATTTAACCAGTGGAGGGTCTGGATCAAACTCAATCTTACACAAACACGAAAGGCAGGTTTCTTATTAGGCTTTGCAAATGCAAACCCCACATGGAGAGTGGACTGAGTTTATGAAAAATGCCAAAGCCAGTGGATGTGGTCTAATATTGGGGAATCAATGGAAAGTCTTGTGAGGAAAAGAGACATTAAGGAATCAGCCGGATTTCAAGTGGAACTAGGAGAGCTTGAGAGGAGATATAAGCTCACTTCACATGTCCAATATATTGCGGCTCGCCTCATTTAGAAGACAGCCAGCCCGAACTCATTCCTTTATGTGAATCGCTCCCTCTTTTAATAGATCTACAGAGTCTTTACTCATCAGTGATTCGCAAAATTAATGTCCCTCTTTCCAGTGATTAATAACTAATGGGGCTGAGAGAAGCTGAATTCATTAATTATGAAATGGAGAAAATGAGCTCTGCAAATATCACTTTTGATTGATGAGCTCTGGAATAGCAGCCAAGCACAGAGCCGCAGTGTAGATTATAAACCACTCGCTGCTGCTGCCTTACTGGAAAAAAACTCCCCCTGCTCCCTGCGCTATACATGGAAGTAAGCATATGTTTCAGCGCAACGCACACGCCATGTGAACATTTAATCCTCGCTAACTTACATTTAACCTCTAAACGGATAAATACTGTGAAGTTACTATAAACTTCTACATTATTTATGCAATCACACGACTGACGCCATTAACTTTCTTCTTCCCTCTGCAGCGTGCAACTGTAACCTCCACGCCCGTCGCTGCCGATTCAACATGGAGTTGTATAAGCTGTCAGGGAGGAAGAGCGGAGGGGTCTGCATGAACTGCCGTCACAACACTGCAGGCCGCCACTGCCACTACTGCAAGGAGGGTTTTTACAGAGACATGGCCAGACCTATCACTCACCGACGGGCCTGCAAGGGTAAGTAAACAGAGAAAGCTGAAGAGTGCACTGCTTGTGAAGCTGTACAGAGCCAGCTGGTGGACATAGTTATGAAAAATATTGTCAGTTAATATTCTTACCAAGCATTTCAATCCTTTAGTTTCCTCAATATTAATGATACTAGATACTGAACTTTGAAGAAATGACCTCCTACCCCAAACCCACAGTATTCAACTGTGGAGTTACAGGAAAAGCTGCCTGAATTAATCTAGTTGTGCAAAAGCTTCAATAACTCTGTCATTTCAAATAGAGATTTTCTTTTCATGTTAAAAGTTATGATTGAAAACACACACAATTATCGTTCCTGTCCTTCAAAAACATCCACTACAATAGGAGGCAGAAATGCCGTCTGCTAAATACCACACACCACATGATATTATCGCTCATCCGAGGCTCTTCTCATGGAAACATATTTCAACACGTCATTATTTTCAGGGTGATAGAGGAGTGAAAGCATTTCTCTCCATTTGCTGGACAACTCCACTTTCCCGAGCTTGTTTCTCAGGGTAATATTTTACATGAGTGGCCGGGACGTCATTTTCGTTTTCTTCTGTTGCTCCGCAGGGAGGTAGAGGATCACATCCAGAACACTAAAAAACAGCATCACTATGAGTTGTGAGTGAAGATCTTTTGGTTGAATTTTCTTGGCGGGAATATTTCACTGGCGTACGCTCAGTTTTCCCTCTGCAACCGACCCAAGATGTAACAGAACACCAGGAGGTTAGAAATAGCACGATATTAGTTTTGCAAAGTAGTCGGGCCATTCATCACACACACAGCAGTATCGTGGTTGCATACCTCAAAGTTAAGTCATTCGACCTGTTACTGCGGAGCACAGAGACAGATATCTGCCTCTATCCTGGCCGGAGATCCACACTGAGACATGCGTCCTCATGTGCAAATTGTTCCCTTATTTTCCATTTCCTGCAATACCTTTGTGTGATTCTCTCCCACACTCACACACGGCCCCTGACACTGCAATTTGTCCTTATCAAAGCCTCAAGATCAGGTGGTAAACAGTTTATCTCCCTCCCATACAGAGAGCCCCAGATGTGACGGAAATGAAAGTTAACGTCCGAAAAGCCTCTCCTGAGCTGCCGGCTCTGTGATTGATCAGAGCAATTCCACTGCCTTCCAGGAGCCGTCATTCTCCTCCGCCTCGGCCTTTGCTCACTGTTTTTCTTCTCCAACTTCTTCATCTTCCATGATTGTTTATAACCACCATCTCCTCTTCCCTCTTGACTTCTGGTTTCTCTTTCCATGACAGATACAAGCCTCTAAACCGTTCTCTTTTTCCCCCCATCCAGTTTTGATCTCCTCTGTGTTTCATCTCCATGTGTCAGGGTTAAGAAAGAGGTCGCGGGTGTGGTAGAGCTGTAGAGGGGGTGGGTGTCATGTCTGAAATGGACTTAAAACAATAAAATACAGGTGTTTTCTAGAGGCCAGACAGGAATGAGGAGAGCTGACTGGATGAATAGGCCATGTCTGTTTCTAATAAGACCTCCTCTTACAATAGGTGTCCAGACAGAATCCGACCATATTTTTCCTGCTTCTATCCCCACCACCACTTACCTCCCACATACGTAAAGTACATTAAGTACGAACATCCTGACCCGAACTGAATCTCCACTGTGTGACTGTCCAGCCTCTCCAGCAGCCCAAGGTCAAGAAATAAACCAGATAAAGGAATCATGGCAACAAAATACGTGGTCTCAAAAATAACAGGCTTTCATGTAGAGCTGGGCGATAAACCGAAAATTTACAGACACCGAAATTTACGATAATAACCAACATTATTTTGCCCATGTCAATATATTCGGTGTCCAAAATAAATAAATAAATAAAAGTTGGTTTTGGATGTGTGTAGGTAGGCTATGGTCTCAGGTCCCTTTAAGACGCTGTCCTACATCAGAGACGTGACTCCACCCCATCCAGTCTGTAACAAAGAGGGAAAGACAGGTGAGGAGATGGAGGATGGTTCAAAAGTTGTAGCGGCTAGAGCGGCGGCTGAAGTAGGCGAAGTTAATGTGGGAGGGGGTGAGCAGCTTGTGCAGTAGTTATCGTCTGTTTATTATTATCAAGTATTTCTGTGCTCATCAGTGTGCATCTGTCGACCACAAGCAGCATGGATAAAAAACATTCAAAATGAGGCTGTTGGTTATCTATTTAACCCGCCAAGACAAACCAAACTATCTGTATGTTTCAAGTATTTGACAACAGGACGTGTGGATGTTTGCCAAAAGAAAACTCAGACAGAAAATGTGTTGCGCGATATCATCACAATTCACTCAAGTTCCCAACACAGTGCCTGTCAAGTCTGAAAGCCAACCCTTGAAAAGTCATCAACCTTTCGGGACATTTTTACTGCTCCTTAACAGTCCCAAGCCTACTGCACATAAAACTTCAGAAAAGCAGTTTAAGGAGGAAAGCTAAGGGTGGGGATTGACACACCACTACTTCAGTCACACATGCAGTCACAGATGGCAGTCGCTGGTTGTTTACTGAACAACATGAAGATTGGCAATAAACTCTGATGTCTTAAAAGCTTGTGGTGGTTAAGACAAATGGGGAACATCTAACATGACTCCCATCTTGATCTAATTGACCAGATTGAGACGATAGTTTGTTCTGTGTAGTGATCAGCTGGGAAACAGTGGCCACATGTCTCTGCAGGCATGACAGACTGACTCCAGACTCGAATCAGACGGATCAAGTAACAGGAAGTTTATCCCTTATGCGCTTGGAAACCATCCATCAGGCAGGACTAAACCTCAAATTAGCTCAGCATTTTTGCATTTTCACAAAAGCTTGTTCTCTTTAAGCCTGTATCTGCTTATATGTTCATCAGTGCAGAGGATATGTGATTTACCATAACTGTGTGTCAGGTGGGTCTCATCTGAGGAGGCTGCAACTGCCCAAAAAACATCATAAGGAAAATAAGAATAGAAAAAGAAATAGATAGAAAAAGCCAAAACAACGGTAAAACAGCAAACACACTGCAAATTCACAAATTGTGCAACACCAGAAACTCACAAATATAGAAAACATGCAAAAGAAAAAACTGAAACTGAGACATGACAGTGGCAGTACTCCAAGCCTCTAGAGGTGCCGAGTGGAAAAGATTACAACATTTTATCACTGACAGGGGAGAGAGCGAGGAAGACCACACAATCCCACGCATTTTTTTTTCCTGACTAGAAGAGTTTAATCTTTTCAGTTTAGCTGAAATTAGCTTTGATACTCATGTCGGTCACATGTCTCGTAGTGCCATAAGCCGACTCTGCATAAAATACAGAGTGCTAAAGCTGTGAACTTAATCAGACCTGCAGATACTGTCATTTTAACACAACCTAGTCCTTTCTCAGAAAAAAAAAAAAACCTTGTCAAGTTTAAATGAAGCTGAACAAGAAATCAAAAGGTCAAGTCACTAATAAGTTGCTCTTCTCCTGCCCCTGAAGGCCTGGAGCACTTCTATTGTCATGTCTCAATTTGCAACATTTCTCCAATAGCTATTTTCTGTATATGAGCGTCTTCTTCTTATATTTTGCAGTGTTTATGTATTTGCAGTTGGTTTAATGTTTCTACAGATGTTTTGGCTCTTTGCAGCTTGTTTTTTCCTTTGCAGCATGTTTCCATCATTTGCATGTGTTTATAAATGTACCTAGCTTTTGGATTTCCAGCATGTTTCTCCAAATGAAAAACTACTGCGTTTAGGCTGTTAGTGTTAGTGGTTAGTGGATCTGTTAGTCTTGTCAGCCACTCACCGTATTAACATTTTTAAGGGCTGAAACTCCAGGAATGCCAAAGATTCTTCAATGATCCATTGCAAATGTGATCTGAGTAACTTTTGCAGGAGATCTGGCACTGACTGTTTTGAAAGGGTGGATAAAGATCAAGAGGTTGGAGCAGCAGACAATCCAGGGACCATATTAAAACTGACCCTCGTCATCCAAGTCCTGCTTTGTACACTGCCCTCTGCAGATGTGGTTTTGATTAAGGTTAGTCAGAAACGCTAACAAAGTGTCCTCAAAGCTTGAGTTTCCCACTTGGGTTTGCGTGACTCAAATGGTGGAGATTTTGCACGGACACTTGAAGCATCAGATTTACGTCTCAGCTTCAAACAGAGCGCAGCCACTTTGACACCTGTGGACCGGTTGGCCTTGCCGGAAAAGGCAAACGTGTTCCTGAAGATCTGAGCAGCAGTTAATCCCCTCTCCACCCTGCCGCCAGACACACACGATCACTCTTGGGTCAGTTTCAGCCATTTAAAGTCTCCCTTTGCCCAGTCAACAGGTGGTAGGGTCCTCAGGCTCCCCTGTGTTGTAAGAGCTAAAAAATGTCTGTTGCAAATAAACACATTCACAGTTCTGTCAAGTGGCTGGAAGGAACTGCGGCATGTTAGCAGCTGCCTTTCTCTGGCAAGCCCTTCAACAAACTGTTGGGTTACAGGGTTTTTCCCCAAAGGGTAATTCTGGCCTTTCTTGTCTTTTCTTGATAATCTTGGACAATTACAGCTATCATGTTGCAGTCAAGTCACTATAAGTTTGCTTTCCTCCTTTGTGGAAAACAGGAAAAGGCAAGAACAGGACAGTTTGTATGCTCACTTTCATTACCTAGTCAAGCTTTCTTAGAAATAGAAATGTGCTTTCCCGTTCTGTAGCTTGTTTTAATCTGGACAGAAAGTTGCAATGAAACCGATCAGTAACACCACCAAAGAAAAAACAAAAGTCTGTTATTTGTTTTCATCTGTCACTTATGTGTTTGTTTGGCTGGACTGCTGCTAAATGTTAAGTATGTGTTTATTACTTAAAGAACAAATGTCTGTTTTTTTAGTGGAGTCAGAGAAGCCGCAGTTTGGTTAGATTCACTATTGTTTATGTTGGGGAGCACAGCGGAGGCTCTGTTTGGTCTATACCAAAGCACTGTGTCTCACTCTCTTCCTTTTTCTCTCCAGTCTTCTTCATTTCTCCCTCTCCGCCGTGTTACTTCACCCGCTCCCTGTCATCCTCTCTAACATCTTGTAAAACTCTCTCGGAAGGCTTTGCACCAACACGCCAGCTCTTGTATTTAACAGCTCTTTAAACAACAAGAAAAAAAAGAGCCTTGTGTTGCTTAAGAGGGCTTAAATAAATGGCCTATAACCAGAAGAAGTCATAAAAGATTTCCCAAAGTGAGGTGACCGGAGTATTACTTGTTTCTGTTGGCTTTTGCCGGGCACCAGCAGAACTTTCGGGAAGAGACGAAACAGCAGGGCACGTGTGACCGGGCAGAGACACCGCATTTAGAGTTTAGAGAGTGAAGTCAAGCAAAGACAAGGACAGAAGGTGTTGGACTACATCTTTTGACTATGAAGCCCATAATGTGACACCACTTCCCCTTTTTTCTTATTGTCTATTTTTCAACATAATTTGTGTCTCAGCAGCTAGATCACTTTGCCTTTCAGTGCACAGATTTTCTCTTTAAAGTGTCTCCAGCTACAGGAGTTGACAGGAAAACAAACATTTGGCCCTAAATTTTTCTCTTTTTTCAACTATTGCACATAAGTTAAGTCCTGCACCATGCAGGGACTGTCACCTCATGAGAATAAGCCTATGAAATGTAAATTTGGCAGCATGTCATGATTTAATTATCATATCTCACATATTTCTTTTCCTTCTGTCTTGTGTCACATCCTTATCTCCCACCCTCCACTCCTGTACCCAACCCATCCCACTCCAGCTTGTGATTGCCACCCTGTCGGCGCCGCTGGCAAGACCTGCAACCAGACCACGGGCCAGTGCCCCTGCAAGGACGGCGTCACCGGCATCACCTGCAACCGCTGCGCAAAGGGTTACCAGCAGAGTCGCTCACCTGTGGCCCCCTGCATCAGTGAGTGACTCACATGAACATGCTAACATGCCCGTCTCCTGATATTCTTTCAGTCTGTCAGCAGTAACTAGAAGGAGGTGACAATGACTTGATGCATAAAACTACATAACGTTTAAAGGACTGGAGAGTACCGTATTGAAGAAAAGTTTATTTATTTCATTTATCGAGCATAAAAACAAAAATAAAATATGAAAAAAAAGGACTTAAAAATGGATAATAGCTTTGATCTGCATATACTGAGCATAATTGAGAGCATACATCACAGTTGCATCACTTATTCAGGGTTTTGACAAGTACACCAACCCCAGTCATTATACACAATGCCTATGCTCTCTAGGGCCCTTAGTTATCAATCTTGCGCAAATCTGAGCGCAGGATTCATCCTACGATAGGACACACGCGAGATTTATGAAAGGGTTCGTATCTGACCTATCCCAGCGTACATATGGTCGGGTCTGAAATCGATCGTCATTAACATGTTACGCCCCTAAATATTCGTGGTTCAGAAGCCTCGCCCACTGAGGTCACACATGAAAGAGGAGAAATATTAGAATGATGCGAAAACTTTTCCAAGCTGAAAGTGGATATCCTCGCATCTGTGGTGGAAACTAACAAGGATTTTCTCTTTGGAAGCATCAAAACTGGTATGAAAGCAGACCAGAAAACTCCTGTCTGGAGCAGGATTATGGTGGCGGTGAACAGCGCTGCTGCGGAATAGTGGACAGTGGCTGAATATGAAATAAATCATTAGTCAATAAGTTGCTCATGATGATAAATTAATATCTCATACATGCCTCATATTTTTTTATCGCCATGACATAGGGTACGTTCCTCCTATTATTGAAAGTATTTAGTTTTAATTTGTTGCGTCTTTGTAATGTAGAGCAGACTGGAGAGTCTGACAGAGGCTGAACAAAAAGAATTATTAACCTCACCAAACAGTGTGTTGCTGCCCCTGAGGCACATTTTTATTGATTTCAATTGGATTTTTATCACAGATTAAACAGCAAGAGCACTTTCTAAACTTATAATTCACATCAGAATCCATGGATAAGGTCCTGTTTCCTCTGTACAGCACCTTTGTGGAGTCTCTCCTTGTTATTGTTCTCCAGGCATCGGGTCCTCACATTGCACTGGCACAGCCAACGGCACTCCATTCACCAGTGCAACATTGTGCAAAACTGTACTGGCCCAAATGATGTCCCACAACCTCTCAGAGTGTACAACAACGTCCCCGCTGCTGGTCCAAGACAGAGACACCCACCTTTTAGGAGTCAAACACAGCGCTCCACAGTGGCACGTGTGCGTGTGTGCACAATGTTAAAACGGCGCTCCTGGCAGTGTTTCTGGGCAGGATTATCAAATAGGCCTATTCACTATGGACATAACAAATGTATTTTATTTTATTTACGTCTTAATCTTTAATGAAATGTGGCTGATTGTGCTTAATGACAGGTTTGAGGTTTGTTTATCGATTATTTTGAGACAGAAATATGCTGCACCGCAGATCCACACTGACTCAAACTTGCGTACACGATGTCAGACCTGTTGTGAGATTTGGTCGTAGCGTACGCTCACATACAGATTGATAAATGCCGATCCTCACATCAAAATTGTCGTACGCAAGCTGGATAAATGAGGGCCTAGGTGTGCATATCTACATCTTCTGCATTGAGTTGACCCTTGTTGGTCCATCTACACAGAGGTTCACACATGTAGCCTGATGTGCACCTCCCCCAAAATATGACTCTCCTACAAATCAACTCATGGAGATCAGAAGATCTGTGATTGGCCCGCTGTGAAGTGAATTTTTCTGGTACCACCATGGTCAACCACCCTCTGTCAAAGCGGCCGCACATTCAATCTCCTGATGTCTCCTTTCTTTTCTGCTTCGCCAAATTTAAGTGTGATTAATTGCTGCTCAATGATTATCTGCTTCAGCTTCAACACAGACTCATGGTTTCTAAGACACAAACCACAACAGGACTAGAAACTGGGATCACACCGCTGACTAGCAAGTATACAGGGTATTGCACATGGCCGTTTAAACGCATACATATGTGCTGCTCACGACATCACCGGCCACTACAGCGCAGCCACGGCACAGAGTCAACACAGAGGCATAAGCCAGGCTTAAGCTCTGTTGTGATCGCTGTTAAACTGCAAGTCATACTTGAGCTCAAAGCAAGTGTACTTAAATATTGTTGCCCAACCTTTCACTGGTTTAGAACGTGTTTTGTTGTTGCTAATTTCCTTTGACAAGCCTCCATTTGTGTGTGTGGATTATGACACTTGCCAGGGTGCCAGGCGATGCAGGCAAAAACCGCGCACACACTCACAAGACTACCTCCACCAAAGCAAACCGTGCCGCCCAGTGCCACACCGAGCTGTGCCACACTGTGCCACATTCTGCCATGTTGCTTCTCTCACATGCAGCCCCCGGAGCAGATGGTGGACGGGCAAGAAGGAGAAAACAACTGTGGTCACTGGTCATGGATAGCAAAGCCCCACTCATTTGTGGCACTACACCATCCTGTGACAACATGTTGTGAATACGCATTCAAGTGCACGTGCGCATTTGGGTCCTTCGCGAATGGTGTTAATGAAAACTGTGTGCGCCAATATGGTCTCTTTTTCAGGCTCTTGGACCCCACAGCAAAAGACAAGCCAGTTAAGCAGCCAATTAGTATGACAGCAGCAACCCTCATCTGAATGATCCTTTCATCATCTGTCTGTCTTCATAAGATGTGGCCATGAGGGCACGCAGACTTCAAGTGGCTCTGAGCAGCTGTGCCTGCCTTCAAACAGTCCCATGCCCCTGTTTGTTTTGGTTGGCAGGGTGTCCATAATTCAGAAAGACAACTGCTGCTTTTGCCTAAAAAAAAAGCTTTCTACCAAACCCCCCCTTTAACACTCCACCAACACACTCCCACTCATTCGGTTCAAACCCCCAACCTCCAAATCCAATCAAAAGCAGATCCTCTGGGTGGATGCTAAGCCGCCATTCCAGTAACTCTCTTTGCGGTAAACGCTGAGTGCTCGTTGTTAGCATTAGCATTTGTATTGGAAAGTTGCATACGATTACAAGAGATGTCCTGGAGGAATTCCACGAGGTACTTTTTAGAGTAGCCAGCAGGCAGAAAGAGGGAGGACTGCATCTGTCTCAAGATGATCCAACCAAAATTGCCCCTTTGCCATCTGTCCATCTGTTAATGCATGCCTGTATGGAGATTACACCGCAGTGTTAACTCAGCATCTGTCAGGGGAGGGCAAGACTAATCTTAACATTTGAATCAGTGTCCCTAAAAGAGTCCACCTCTGTCTTAAATGTATCAAGTGTACCCACTTTAAAAGAATCCACCAAACCGCAGTGGATTACTTTTAAAACTGCAGTAAATCTACTGAGTTTGACTAAAAACTGAAATGTGGGCCTGTGATCTTAGAGGGTCTGTTCTTACAGTCTCTCTATGTGTTTCTTAGAAATGACGGTGAAACCACCACATTAGTCCCAGGAATGCATGGTTTATAAGAGCCTGTCTTCCCTCTAACCACCAATAAGCCTGGCTGTCAGTCTGTCAGTGTTTATCTAGCATATCTGCCTGCCATGTCCCATGTGTTTTAATGTAACATAACTGACATATGTCACAATCCAAACCTACTGTGTGACAAGTCTGGTGTTTCCTCTTGCTAGTGTTGGTGAGCAAAGACACTTTTCTTCCTAACACTTTGCTTGAACTGTTTTTGTGGCAGTATTGTTGTATTTGAAAAGCCTAACCAAATCCACTCGCTTAATGAAATCTGACATACCTCATCTCTCTGACCACACATGCACTCTTGCAGACTGCAGCTGATTGGTTACATCATATTTAAAGGGTATGGCTTCAAGTTTAACACATCCAATCAGTTAAAAAATAAGTATTTTTTGTGTTTTTCAGAAATCCCCGTGGTCAACCCTACAGCTGTCGTGAGCAGCACTGAGGAACCAGCAGGTTGGTAAACGCATTCTGCACCTCACTTATGGGCAATGCTGCTTTACGAGAGGAATAAAAAGACATTTTTCATATTTCTAGACCTGACATTTTCGGTGTGGAATAAATGTTAATAAAAGGTGGGGTCCCTCCCTCCCATTTGAAGTTCTCTACAAAGAACAAGCGTGTATAGGCCTGCAGTATTTTCCATTGTCTTAAAAACCTGTGTCCTTGGCACAGTTTCCCCAGCCGCTAACCTGAAGTTAGCGGAGCCGTCGCTATGCTCATATAGCCGCAGCTGAAAACTCGGGCCAGCAAACAGACAGCTGAGGTGATTAGTTAAAGTTTAGCTGGGAGATAGAGCTGAGGGTAGAGTTTTGAGGCGTGAAAAGAGTGCTGGCAAATTACAGGGGGGAAATTTGTTCAGTCTCTCCCTTTAACGGTCCAATTTAAGCTCCAGTCAATTACCCTGCCCTTATTTTTCATTCTGCGGCTTTTGATTTAAATAGTGGTGTTGATTTGGAAATAATGATTCATTGGTAAGTTTATGACATATATCACCACTTAGGCTGCAGACTGTAACCCCCCACTTAGCCAATGACACTTTGCTGGGCCATTCAAAGCATATAGTTTTACTGTTTTTATATAATTTCTCTCCTACGAATGATAAATTTGTCAGACAGCTCAGTGCAAATTACACCTTTGACTTATGGACTTCTTCTATTTCAAAGGTTAAACAGAGTTTCAGGAAATGAGGTATTGGTTTGAGAATGTCGATTGACCCAGCAGGCTCTTTGCACAGGGTTTTATTGAAGCTGAAGGTCAATTTGGTCACAAACATACATACAGAGGTCCAGCATAAGGAGAAACTAAGTGCTTCTTGTTCTTGTGTTTAATGAATAAAGAAAGAAAAAGGACTAGTTTGACCTTTTAAATGACTGTATGTCAGACTTTCACTCGTAGTTAAGTATAAATTTCAGGTTGTATTATTAAAAAATAAAGGATCTGAGCTCTTTGACCACTTGTGCTTTATCCCAGATTGCAGGTCCCACTCATCAGTTAGCCTCTACCAGCCTGCATCTTTATGGTGTTTAGAATTAAGATGTAGCCATGTAGCCTGGCAAAAACCTCTTTGATAAAGCCTCTCTGTCGTCACACTCATGCTGTCCTTTGGCTTTTCAGACACACACTTTCCTCCTCAAACTTCTCTCTCTGCTCTCCTCTCTCCACCTGCAGCTGCATGACACTTTGCCCTGCTAAGTGTCACAAAATCTATGACTGACAAACTTTGTTTCGCACTGATCTTAGCTTGTGGAGATGAAGTGAAAGTGAAAGCTGTTGGAGGGGAGGGGAGCACATGCTCTGCTTTTTAGAAAATACAGAGGAAACACTTCATTTACCAAAAAGGACAAAACATGCTTCTGATATTTATTCAACTATGGGCATGAGAAAATATTAACTTTTTTTTTTTACGCTACAGTATCTCTGTCAGGCTTTGATCATTTTCATTCCATTTATTGTAATAAACTTCATTTGTAAAACACTTTTTTTAAAGTTAAAGTGCTTCAAAAACGACTTGAAATACATTAAAAGATAAAGCCAAATAATCCATAATGAATAGACATCAAGAGGAACAGAAACCAGAGTAAAAATGAACAGATTTAAAAGTTTTTCTGCAGAAGAGAATAATTTTTAAAAACATGCTGTCATATTTTCATCTGCAGCTTCTCCATTTCCTCTCATTACTTGGGCCTCTTAGGCTTTAAAAAAGAAAACAAAAATGCACATGCCAGCCTTGTCTTGTTTTTCCTACCTCCATGGGAAAATGTTACAGGGTCCTAGAACAACAGAGTCATTGATCGCCAATTCACCCCAGGCTCAAGAGCATTTCCTCCATCTTTCTGCTTCCCAAACTACCAAAGAACAGGCATCGCCAGAGCCCCGAAATGTTTTTTGTGTAAGGGGCGGTGGATGCAATTTGTCCTTGTCATGGCACAGTGAGAGGGGCTCAAGGGAAGAGGGCATCGAGAGCCCCAGAGCCAATTGTGAGTGTTTTCAGTGGGCTGGTCTTCAGGGTCAGTGGGCGAATTAACAAGAGCTTTTTCAGGTGAACAGCTAGCAGTAAGTGGCTCTTCATGGGAAACATATACACTGTCTCCTCGCCAGAATTTCCCCACTGATACCTTCAGGCCAGCCACTGTACACCACACACAGGCACACAGTGGCAGTAATGAAATCCATGCACATCTCATGCAAATGCATGCCTGTCACAGTTGCATGCTCAGTTTCTTAATAACGATCTGCACATGCTCACGTATAATTCAAGACTCCAAGCAAGTTGTGAGATCTAACATCATCTACTGACAGTTTTTCAGCAATGTGCAATACACACACACACATACACACAAATCAATCCACACGCACACCCCAGCATCTGTCAACATCTACACCTCCACTCATAGTTTTCCTTTTAAAGTCACCCAGATTATTGGAAGCTGCCATCTGCTCTCTCTCTCTCTCCCCCCTTCTTTCCTCTTCTCTCCACTCTCTGGCTAATAAAATCTCCAGCGCTCTGATATACAGCCAAGCCTCCTGGACATTTTTATGGGCTTCTTAGTCCCCTGTTTCTCTCTCTTCTTGCCCTCTGTCCGTTTCTCCATCCTTCCCTTTCCTCAAAAAATGAATATTTCAGCACCCCGACTCTCAAGCTGAATTTCTCTCGCATATTTTTTTCTGTCTGATTAATTTCTTTTTTTATGTCCAGCTCTTTTATTTATTTTTCTCTGGGAAGGAACATGACCGAATGGTTTTTCCTCTGAGAGCCATGAGGGACCTTACCACAGATACCAGTGCAGTGAGCGGCATGTGGTTTTTCAGTTTCATGCCCTGACATTCCAAGAGTGCCCCGTTTTTCATGTCCCCTCACGAAAAACAAACCAAATGCACATCCGAAATGACTTTATGGCAGACCAGAGATTTAAATTACTTTTCCTTTTTACCTTAATTTTATGTCCCCCTCATGTTTTGCAATTGAAATAAGTGGATCCAAAACTCCATGCTTCATAAAACTTAGCGTAGAGTTTTGCTAATGATCAACAGTGTCTTTTTTTCTTGTCAAAGCTCTGGCAGCATTTTGAACCTCAAATTTAGCTTTATTGATACCAAACTATAGCTAATATAGTCACTGTGAAGTCACCTTTACTGTGAAGTCAGCCCAACAGCGGCGCTCACCATATTAGATATACTGACCCTAAGTAAGTCTGGTAAGCAACAAAGAACTAGAGCTAAGAGGGGTCTACAACATCCTGGCTGATCGCTACAGTTTGCCCCCTTGTAAGTCAGATCAACCATGTACATAATTATGTATAATAAGTTCAGTATCTTTGAATGAGTTATATAAAAATTAAAAAATTAAAGGAAACCATTTCCGTACCATTATACACATTTTTATTTTAGCTGTAAAATTGGACGCTTTAGAATGGGTGTTAATGGGATCTCCTTGTCTTTTGGAACAAGCCTCAAGTGGCCACTTCAGGAACTGCAGTTTTTGGGACTTCCACACTGTCTTCATTTTTAACATCAGCAGTTACAGACTGTACCTGAGGAGATGACTTTTACTGAAAAGGTTTTGAAAATTTCCTGAATTCTTTGTTCCCCATTCCTTCAACTCTCAGCTGATCAAGCAGCATTACTGTTTCATGATCACAGAGAGCAAAGCTTTAATGTTTAAACAAGGAAAATGATTATATTAGCAGAGCAAGTAACTAATCCTGAGAAGAATTACCTGCATGTTCTTTAATAGATGTAATACGCAACTTTCTGGTCCTTACGTGAAGTACTGTATCCAGTCAACTTTAGAAGTGATCCTCCAGTCACTGTTAAAATAGATTTTTAAGGCTCAGTAATGATAAAAACTTGACGTTGTAGCTGAAGGAGTAGTCTTAGATTACTTTTGTTTTTAATTTTGCCAGGTCCCTATTTTTTCTCTTTTTCTGTATTTCCAAAGAAAGGTTGATCTGAGAAAACTTGTACATAAATGACAACTACAACTACCAAAGGCTGATTTTCAGTTCAGCTTAGAAGAGCTCTGAGATGGGTCACCGAGCCAAGAAGTCAATTTCGACTGTCACAGTCCTAATTGTAACACCTCATCACTGGTGGCTCCACCTACATGTGGTCATTAGAGGTCATCCATCCAATGTGTGGTCCCAGTTTTCATGCTGGCAGCCAAGGTCTATTCACATATATCCAACCATGACCTGCTTCCAGCATGCTCTGCCTTTCCTCAAGATCCCAGAAAACATGTCAAACGGAACACTTTTACTACTCTGGTCTATTTCAGTTGTCTCCTAGCACCAGCTGTTGCTGGACTTTGTTGTGTAATTTGTCAAAGGTTGTATTTGAGCACATAAAATCAAACAAGGTTAGCATTTTAAAAACTTATCAGGTTTTCCATGTACACCTTAGTTTTATTGGAGGATATAAACAGGGGTGAAGGCATTTGAAAAAAAGCATGACTGCATTAAGATTACCCCGCACCCCTGTAAAGAAAACACCTGTATCAAAGATCAGATATACAGTTTGTGAATGTTTTTGGTGGTTTTCAGACTGATTTTTCAAGTACTTATCTCGGCAATACCACAGAACAGATTAATGTAATCATATAAATAAGCTTTAAAATGCAACTTCAGTAACGCTCTAGATTTCAAACATTTAAGTGTCACATCTTGAGTGTGAAGTGATTGTTGTTTTCTTGATTTTTTTTTTTTGTACAGATTGTGAATCCTATTGTAAACCAGTGAAGGGCAATCTGAAGATCAACATGAAGAAATATTGCAAGAAGGATTACGGTAAGAGAAGAATGAACAATCGTATATGATGTGTGAACAGAAGAAAGCCTCTGTCGAGATTAATGATCAAAATATATTTTTTTTCTCCAGCGGTCCAAGTGAACGTGCTCGACATGGACACGGTAGGAGACTGGGCCAAGTTCTCAGTGAACCTGGTGTCCGTGTACAAGAGCCGGGGAGAGCCCCTAAAGAGAGGCGACAACATCTTGTGGGTGCACATGAAAGACCTCGCCTGTAAATGCCCCAAAATCCAGATGAGCAAACGATTCTTGGTGATGGGAGGGAGCGACGGAGGAACGGGACCGGGCGCAGGTCCAGGGGTCGGACCTGGCGGTGGTGCGACCAGCCCAGGAGCAGAGCGTGTGGGCCTTGTAGCTGATAAAAACAGCCTGGTGATCCAGTGGAGGGACGTTTGGACGAGACGCTTGAGGAAGTTCCAACGCAAAGAGAAGAAGGGGAAGTGCAGCAAAGCGTGATGGGAAAGCATTGTTTAACCCTACCTCTCCTTACATCTTGAACCCTCCCCCTCCAGCCTCCCTATCCCCCTGAACCCTGTTTTCCCCATCATGGAAATTCTGCACATTGGAAAGACTGCATGTACCCTACCTGATTTAAGGACCACTTTTTGTGTATATTGTATAATTATTTTACTTTTATTTTTCAAGTATTGTCTTTATGTTTTTTGTTTTTTTTCTGTTTTTGTCAAATTGGTTTGCCTTAAAAAGGGACCATTAAAAAGGGTATGAAGTGTAAAAGCAAACGCCATTCCCTCCCTTGGCGACGACAGCGGAAATGTCCACTCGTCCACCATCTCCTGCTCCTCCCTGAACTTTGGCTTCCTCCTTGAAAGACTGACTGTCCTGCCACTTTGTTTGACACATAACTATATCAGTGCTCACACATCACATGCCTCTGTGAGGATTTTATTCAACAGTGTCACCGCAGAGAGACTGACTGATTTCAACAAGCTGCACATCCCCAGCTTGGCCTCATCATGTTTCACGCCTGAAACAAACACAGCTTGAGTCAGTTACACCGGACAACCTTTCAATATAATCTGATCAAATGTTCATAACGTGGGCCTAGCTGCTCCAGGTCTCTGCAGTAACTTCTACAGACTGTTAAAATATAACTCTTGTCCCGCGAGGAACCAAGGGCTCCCTTTGCAGGGACATTTTCCACAGCAAACCTCGGTCTCACCACCACAGCTGCTGCCACCAGGCAACCCTCACAGAGTGAACTGCTCATGTAGGCGGATATATCTGCTATGAAATGATCCCACTCTTCATATAACAGTTTATATTTTTCATGCGACCATGTTTTATCTCATCCATCCATATCCCAGCCATATCCTTTTTTCAGATATATCACATTGTTTCATTTCGAGCAGGGCAAACCCTGTTAGCACGTATGAGTCACATTCCAGCCCTTCCTCTGGGATTGTGCCTCCTCACCACCAGTCCCTCTCACCAGTGGTTTATAAAGTCATGCATCACCCTCATGACTCATTGCTCGTCATTTTTTGTGGAAGACAGATTAAGCGTTGTGGACAAATGGCTGGAATTTTAGAACAATACCAATATTTCCAAGGAGATGTTTTGCTTCATGGATAATGTCCTTTGTTGGGTAATGGCTTTTCAGATGTTGCTGTGTGGCCATTGTCATGTCTTTGTATTTAAATGTCTGAACATTTTCCTGATGTGTCCAGTGACTGGCAGGCTTTTGTTTGCCAAAATAAGAGATTGAAACGAGAGTTCCTTTTCATGCAGTAAAAAAGAAAAACCGAGGCAGATAAACAACATAGTTCTGTTTTTCTCGAGCATATTTTGACAAAATGAATGAGGCTGGAAAGTTTTTAGTGCTCACTGATTGTATTATGACATGAGAGGATCATATTACATTCCTCATGTGCTTTGTTATGTTTGCATGTTTGTGGTTTTTTTGCTGGTCCATCAAAATGTTACAGTGAGCAGACTAAGACCTTAAACCAATATGAGCATCAAGATCCAAAGGAAAACTCCCCAAGTCATCTTCTCCCCACTTGCCTTCCCTTACACAGACCCTGTCATCCATTGCCAAATAAGCATAGTCAGTTTTTAAATTTAATTAAGAGACTATGAAAGTCAGGACCAACTGAAACCACAGAGAGACCCATCTGGTTGCTTTCAAGCTTTTTATCTGCCTTTTGCTGTTATTTCATTTTGTAAAGCACATTACAATTTATTTAAATAGAGTACAAGATAAACACACAGTTTTGAGGGGCGCATCAAGCCTGCATAGCAGTGAGTGTGCCGACAGGCATGTCATGCTAGCTTGTGGTTACGCTCCTTTGGCTGCAGTGGTTTGTTTGGTTTTTTATCCATCCAAATATGTCTCTCCTCTGCTCTCTTCTCCATGTCAGCCACCACCCTCCCTAAACCCCCCTCTTTAACCCTTTTTGCATGTCGTGTATTCAATGTTTTTTAGATAAGCGGGCAGCACAGAACGAGGCTGCCACTGCTCTTCAGTGGTGTACTGTACTGCACTGTACTTCTTTATTTCACATCCTCTGAGAATGTATGTCAAACTGTGAAAAACACACACATGCAGGTGTATGATCTGATTGTAAGTGTTTATAAAATAATGTCACCAAGCTTAAGAATGTGGACGCCATGACATTTGATGCTATTATAAACTATGAACAGGGTTAGATGTCGTTGAAAGACTGTTGATATTCATTCTTTTCTGTCTCATATTGACACATTTATGATCTAATCCAAAAACAAACATGTAACCAAAACACGGTATTATCCACTACGATATCTGGTATGTGAGAAAACAGCAAGGTTGAACCTGTTTTATAGGGCCAAATTCCCGACACTGGAATTTCACAAAAATGCAGAACCAAATAGTCAATCATTTCTGCGATGGCTGTTTAATACGGCCTGTCAGACAGGTGGTGTTACAGTAGCACCAGTGTCCTCTTCATGGTATGCAAGTGTGGTGCGCCACATATGATTGATGGTCAAATTACGTGCCCCTAAGGCCTCTTTGGCGCTTAACTTCTTAAACGCCAAACACTTTAGTGGGTAACTGCAGTGCCCTTGAATCTGAACTTGACACGAATCGCACAAAATTCTGCTTTTCTTTCCATCGACTCTGTTTGACTTTTCTTAGGTGCCCACTCTGAATGTTGGAATAAAGATAAGAAGTGAGCCAGATGTTGTTTTTGGAGGTGGGAAGTGTAGTCTTGTGAAAGCTATTTAGCGAACCTCATAGGGAGAGCCGTCCTGTTGTTTTACATTAACAAGGCAAGCAGCTTGGCAGTGGAACTGAGGCCCTAACTGCTTCGCTTTGTTTCCTCCCTCCTTCTGCAGCATTTATAGCATTCACAGGTGTGTGTGTGTGTGTGTGTGTGTGTGTGTGTGTGTGTGTGTGTGTGTGTGTGTGTGTGTGTGTGTCTAATTAACCCTTCTCAACTTAACAAGTGATATATGCATGAACTGAATGTGCATAGAGGTGAGAGAGCTCTCATATGAAGGCAGCCTGTTTTCGTACTCCTCTGAGGACGATGAAGAACTATCATTTTCATTTTTCTGTTTCACGTCCACCGTGCATTCTTGTTTGTTACATCCCAACACGTTTTTTTTAAATGTTGTAAATATGTACTGAACTGCCTCTGCCAATCATGTTGTCTTTCGTAATGTATCACTTGGCCCGGGATGACTCGCGTGTATGGATGTACAAACCAGATGATGTTATATGGATGTAGAAACCAGAAACATATGCTTTTGTGATCACCACCAGAAGACGTGGTTTAAATATTACACAGAATGTATTTCTTTTTGGATTTATGTTGTTTCCTGACGACTACCGCCCAATTGCTAATGACTTTGAAGAGAATCAAGACAGAAAAATGTGACATGGGCTTACCTGATTCTCTGATTTTCCCTCTGAGGGAACTGACACAACCAACATCCACTTTCTGCTGAAACACCCCGGTAACAATCATTCACTCACACAGAAACAGTCCACCTACTCTTCTTTGGGAACAAAGGGGAATCTTCCCTCGGTTCACTCCAGCCCTTCACTTCTGTTCATCAAAGTCTTCCTTGTACATTTTCCTCTGAGGCAATGAACCACTGACTTTTTAATCTAAATGATAAAAAATAAATTATTAGTTAATGAGCTGTTGTGTTGATCATCTGTCTCTTTAATTGCACTCGTGAGCCTGAACAGCAAAATAATATCAGATTGATGTATGCGTGATCTCTACTGGAAAGTATGCACACGTACAGTGGGTACTGCTCTGGTGAATTTCCACTCACACTGGCTGGACGGGGGTTTTTGAGAGGGGAAGGGACCAGGGTAGAGCAGCTCCCCTCCTTTATGAACAGAGCAAGGGCTCGAGCTCTGCAAATAAACAGTGAGGCACACGCACACGCATTTGAATGTGTACCTCACCTCTGTGGAAACCCAACTCCCGAGTCAGGTCCAAAGCAGGAAACTCCTTATTCCTTCTCTTTTTCCCTCCCCCCCTTGTACCCCCTCTCACCTACAGTCTCCTCTCTCCTCATCTCCCCTCCCTCTAACCAAACAGCCAGCTCCATCCATCCTCCTGAAGGTAAATTACAGGAAAGTGACCATTTATCATCACTCTCCCCAGGCATGGCCATCAAGGCTTTGAGAACAGAAGTTGCTGAGATTGTCTGCGCACACATGTGTACACACACATTCACACACACTGCATGACGTACTATATATCTGCATGAAGCACATCCATTCCTGGCCTCCCATCAGTTTACTATTCCTGTCCAGTCTCCATTAAAGCAAAACAGCATGAATGGCTAACAACCAAATGGACAGTACGAATCCAGATTTATTGTCCACTGAGAGACTCTATGATGAGAGCAGACCCTGAGCTGAGTCTGAGAGGGAAACTGAGACACACGCCAGAGGGGGATTTGTTACTCCTCAAGATTGGCTGAAGTCTGCGATTTGAAATTTCCTGTCTTTGCCTCTCTTTCATACTGTCATCTGTGTAGTGACAGGACTGACATATTGGATGAAATCAATTGGCAAATGATTTACATTTCCCTACAGGATGTTCTCAAGCACTTTAAAACTCTTACCTCCTTTTTCTTAATCCCCTCCATGTGACAACCACAGGCAGAGCGTACTTCAACAAAGGCCCTGATCAAAACAACAGATTTGACAAAATTATCACTAGGGGATGTCTACATTTTTCAACTAAACACCAAAAGTTATCATCCTCCCTTAACAGCAGCATATTTATTATTAATGAATAATAATTCTAAGCTGTAGTGCAGCCAATTGCCAATCACCAGGGGCTGCAGCTCAAGCACTGCTAAAATGCTCCACTACCTGGATGATAACAATATCCCAGATGTACGAAGAGGATTAGGGCCACAAGAAGAGAAAAAAAATAATTACAGGGGGGAGATTTTTTCAATTTCCATTTTGAGATAAAAGTCGAAATTTTAAAAAGTCGAAATGAAATGCCACATGGCTTAGGTTTGCCATAGCCATCCATGTGCCAAAGCGCATTGGGTCCTGCCTGCACCTCAGATGCCGGGCTTGTCTGTGCTCCACACATTCAGGATCAATCAACTTGATTAGTTGCCTTATTGTATCTTGCGGAACAACATAGTCTCGCTGTATAGCATGCAGGTGTAACCATCAATAACCCTGCATCTGCGTCATCTCGGCACAGTCTTTTCGGAGTCCATATACTTATGACCACAATGTGTCTGTGTGCTTAAAGAGCAAGGATTTCCTTGTTACTAAATCCAATTCTGAAGTACAGCTTTACAAACTGTTGTACAGTAAACATGTTGTCGAGTAACGAGTGACAGTGCTGTTGATTCATTATCATTAATAACATTATGACTTTATTCATGAAATTTCATCTTTATTTGCTTCAACTTTAATCTCAAAATTTCTATTTAATTCAAAAAATTTCAACTTTATCCATGTCAACTTTAATCTTTTTTTAATCTTGAAATTTCAACTTTATTGACACAATTTCAAATGTTTAATCTTGAAATTTCAACTTTAATCTCCTTCCTTTTATTATTAATTATTTTTTTTCTCTTCATGTGGCCCTAATCCCCTTTCATACAGATAGCCTCTCACAGCATGGCCTGGTTTGACAGTATTTTAATGCAGAAAATGGACAAAAAGTTGTACACAGGCTGTGTCTGATTAAACTGGCATGTAACCACCCACCCAGGGCGGTGTTTAACCAGCACAGCCATGTGGATAGAAGGATGATTTTGCCAACACTGCTAACCTTCGCCACACTCAGCAAACCAATATGATGCATACCCACAGACTCTGTGATCCTGCATGTAACCATGTTAAATGAATTGTGCTCAATTTTGACTTTCTTTTTTAAGTGTTTTTGAACTTTTTGGACTCGTCGGTTGGGTGGATTTAAACTTTCTGTTGAAACGACAAGGAAATGAGTCGTTTCGGACGATTAGTAGCAGGCTGCCAAAAACATCTTTCTACTTCTTACAGCAAAACTTCATGGTGGGTATTATGTTTAACTCTTAGATGACAGCAGAGTAAGATTTTCCATTAAAAAAAATACAGTCTTTGCACATACAGGACAAGATCAGCAAACAGATCTAAGGTTCTGCCATAACTGATGACTGAGAAGACCTTTAGCATGCTGAAGGTGGGTGGACTGAAACCAATATTACTTTCTCAGTGTTTTAATTTGTAAATGAAATGCAATGTAATATATTAATTTAAGCCATTAAAGTGTAGAAGTTGCAACCTGTTAACCACAGTTAATACTTGCCTAAATGTGTCATGAATCTTGTGACACACGCTGATTTTTATGATCCAAACATGGATGCAAAACAGAAAACAGGTCTGCCAGCGAAAAGTCTCTCACCATATTTCACTGTGATGGGTGTTTAATGTCTGCAACCTGTTTTAATAAAAGGATGGCAGTCTCTTTTTGTTCATTGTAATGCAGTTGTGTAAGCTATTAGTTTAAAATTACTGAAATAATAGACTATTGGCAACTTTCTCAAACTGTGAAAAATGACAAACCTCTAGGTGGAAACAACTTGAGCTTTTGTAAAGAAAACAGAGCTTTGGAGAGTGACTGGTCTGGGAGAAATCCACTGCTGTAGTGCTGGAACAGAGCAAAGCAGATTCAGCCAAATACTGTCCAGTCTTCCCCCCCTTTATCCTTCTGACACTCAGACACACACACATCCACTCAAACGCACACCAACCAGCGGCAGACGAGGGGGGCTTACCAATCGTGCTTTCATAAGCTGCCAAAGCAGCTTCATTGGCTTTAAATGGAGCCTCATTACCACTGTGCTTCAAAGCTCAACAACGGCGCTTTCCAGCATGGGGTCTCAGTGAGTGTGTATGAGTGTGTGCCTGTGTGTGTGTCTGTGCGTGTGTAGGTCTGTTTCCCAAATTTTCTCATTGCCATAATGTACTTCTTTTTTCTCACATTCACAACTTTACATTCTAATGCTCTCCACGACTTTATTTGCCGTTTTATTCCTTTTCTACACCACTACACTCCCTCTTAGAGCCAGTGGATGCATGTGTGAATATCTAAATGTATCTGTGAACACTCATGAAAGTCTGCGAGTGTGTGTGGGTCACCAAGTGCTAACCCCCCCTGAAAACCGCAAAAAATGTGGCGAGAAATCTGTGTGGACCAGGATCATAAATATTCAGAGGTGAAGGTCTGATCTCTCTCTGCTGCATGTCTTTTCTTTGAGTGAAACCAGCTGTCGTCTGAAGAGACACCACTCCCTCTGGAACTGACAACATGCGTGACAATGACCACACCTCTGCGCACACATCTGTCATCCTTCAATCTCTCCATCGTCCCACTTTACCACTCAACTAATAAAGCAAATTTCATCCTTCAAACAGAGATACTTTTTCTGTCACAGTCTTAACCCATCAACAGTACCTGCAGACAATTTTCTAGACAGAAACACACGGTGTCAAGAATTGCAGGGGACTGCTGTTGCACAAAACTGGGATTCAGTGTTCCTTTGTTGGTCTTTTTTATTGGAGAGAGAAACTTTATTGGGCCAGTGAGTGATTGAAAATGAGCAAGGAATAGGGGGTAATTTAAAACCAGTGTGGTCCCTGATAGGAGCATTGTGCAGCACAAGCCTGCTCCTAATCCGCCCCTCAGCTTTGTGTTTGATTGGGTACTGTTGAAAATAGGGATGAGTCTGTCTCTTCAAAGCCTGTAACATAAGAGGAATGTGTGTGTGTGTGTGTGTGTGTGTGTGTGTGTGTGTGTGTGTGTGTGTGTGTGTGTGTGTGTGTGTGTGTGTGTGTGTGTGTGTGTGTGTGTGTGTGTGTGTGTGTGCTGCTCACTTATTAAGGTGATCACAAAAAGCGGCTTGTGTGCAGATGGACAAATAAAAATTACACTGATAAATTCAGCATAAGCCCTGTGTGAGATGTCTAACCTAATACAGCACATTTTTATAGCTCCACTTCATAAATTACAATCCTGGCCCTGGGACGGAATAAAAATGGACTTTCAATACTTCGTAGTGTTGTTTTTGGACTGCTTCAGCTGATTGCAGCAGGTCATTTCAGAAATTAAGCATTTAAAAGTTATATACTGACCTCTGAGAATCCTAAATCATGGGATATAATAATAGTATTGCAGGCACCATGTATCAGTGCTTTAACTTATGGATTTTCCTTACAGTTTGTTTCACTGCATCTCTATTTCATCACCCCTCATGGTGAAGCGAATTAAATCAATCATGCACTTGACTTTTTAGGTGCATTTTCTCTTATTCACTGTACCATCATACTCTTAATATCATAGGTACTGTACAAGGTGCTATAGTGCATGGGTTGTTATAAATGGTATTAGACTGTTTCATATGGTAATGTGCTGTACTGTATACTATCAAACTGTAAGATATCTTATATCTAATTGCATCATATCTCACTGTATGTTTAATTTATATGGTATTGTGTCTCATACTGTATCATATAATGTCATATGTCTCATACTGTATCATATAATATCATATTATATTGTTGCGGTTGTATCTTACAGTTGTGCTTTATCTCATTGTTCCTGTTTTATCCTATTACGTTACAAGAAATTTCACTAATTTCATAAAAATACTTGTATACATCCCTCCCAAGGCAACGGCTGAAGTTCCATGTGATGTTCTCCATGAAACAAGAGCTAGGATACAGATGTAACATCCTGAGGCACATGTAATAACATCAGGAGACTTCAACCATGTCACCTTCTCCTCTCATCTGACTGGATTTTCACAGTTTGTTAACTGTCCAACCAGAGAAAACAAAACCCTGGATCTGCTGTATGCCAACGTCAAAGAAGCCTACAGAAACTTCATAATCCACTTCGTAAAACCTTGATGGACCAAAAATCATCTGTGGTGGATGGCTCTTTTCACCCCAGGACGGAGAGATCAGACTTCTTAATTCTTCTATAAATAGTAGATGAGATGAGATTCCAGACAAATGAATTTCCCTTTGGCGATCAATAAAATTCTTGTATTGTATTTTTTTTGTACTGTATCCAATCTTATCTATCTCATTGATTCATATCTTGTTTTATGGCATTGTGTTTTGTTGTTTTGTAATGTAATGCATTGTATCACGTTATCTCACATGAGTTATCCTGCTATTGCCACCCACCATGAGTTAGATCAGATGTAAAAGATCAATTACACTTCTTTTTACTGTAAACAATCAAACCAACTCAGAGTACAAAAATGGAAAAATACTTCTTCAGTAGAGTATAACATGTCCCTCATTTTACAGGAGAAGTGTATTCAGAATTTTATTGTTTCAGGGATTATTATTCATTTATATTTTGCATTTGATGACAGACTGATGGTGAAATTGTGCCATTTGAGGAGCTGAATAGGCTTTGCACTGCATATGTTATCCCTGCCAAGCATTTGATTAAACATGCATAATTCAGTGGTGAACTGAGGGGCAAGCTTTGTTTTAAATAAATCTGACTCACTTTTTGGATACTGTAATAGTTTCTATACAAATTGGCAAAGAGGAGCATATTTTGTGGAGAGTGTTAATAATAAGTATAAGTATTTTCCAACACTACTTGTTCTGGATAGAGTTTAATTTCAGATAAGACCCTTGTTCGATGATATTTTTATGTAAACTTATTTTTCGTTCCTCCTTGGAGTGGCTTGAAATTTGCCTTATTCCGTTGCAAATAAAGAAACTATATCTCATCAGTCTACTTTTCTTTCCTCAAGGCTCAGGCCTCCTTTCAGGTCTACACCGTGGGCTGTACTGTACCGTACTGCGTTAGTCTCTGCGATCCACTTCAGGCCCCATCTGTTGGCATTTAGCACTAGCTTCCCCGCCTCTGCGCTGATCTCCGGTCTACATTAACTGCCCTAATTTGTCTGCCAAAGCCCACTCAGATTGCTACCATGTGATGTTATGTGAAAGGTGAGGGATGCCTACTTATCTTTGAAGGAAGACGGACAGAAAAAGACAGGGGAAGGTTCAAAAGTAATGACAGCAAACATGAAATATAAGAAAAGATGCTGAGGGTGGAAAGGAAAGTGATTTGGAAACGACAGGAATAAAGACCACATGAGAGGACAGAGAAAAGATGGAAAAAGAGGAAGCTGCTAAGAAGGCTCATGATATGTAGTATATGAGTTTAGTGAAGACAGGGACATTTCCCTTCAGGGATAACTGAGACAGATCTGTCTAAACTGACTTGTCAGGCTCTACAGTCCACCAGGACCTTTCCAGTGATACTTATATGTCTGCAGAACAACACAAACACTGACGGAGAAAGCCATTCCCTTTCACTCCTTTTAACATTGTCGATCCAAAACATCCTCCCCCATCTCCCATCATCAATTTCTCAAGAAAAGGACTTTGACTGCCAGCAGGAACTGTGGTCTTAATGTTTTTAACAGCTGCTGAAGTCAACCTATAATCCTCAGGTTAGATATTGTGTAGCACCAGGGCTGGATTGGGACAAACGTTTGGGCCAGTATACTTCTTAGGAAGGGGCCGTGGGCTGCCTTTTAAGGAAAGATTTCATTTCAAGCATTCTGGTGAATATTAGTGCCAGTGCATCACAAACTAACGAGACCAATACCAGCTTGGTGCAGTGTACTGCTGTGAACATAAAAAACAGGTTTATATCATTAAAGAGGGAAACAACACAAAAACTAACATTCATTCCGTCTCTCCATCTGCCAAATAATCTCCAGTCTCACATTGACAAAGACTGAGTAGTTACTATGACAATTTCTCTTCACCAAGAGCACAAAGTCATCTCCTGTCTCTCCCTCACTTTGCTCCATCCTTCCTCTTCCTCTCACATCCACTATCTTTCCACCAAACACTTGATGCATCAACTGTTATCAGACTGAACACGCCGAACACGATCACACAGTCTAAGTGCTTAAATAAGGGAACACAAAATCAATCAAGACTGCACCGGCTCGTCGCTCCACCTAGTAGGCTGCACATGCATGCCTGGTCACATGTTGTGTGCACCTGTTGCCGCCGGCCCTCTGTTGGTTTGTGTGTCCACGTTGCATGAACATGAAGTTCACAGTGCTGCACTCACAAGACTTAAAAAAAGAAACAAAAAAAATTCAGCCAGCAGACCAAGCAGCAGGTCATGCATTGGGAAACTTCCTGGTGCTCCCTATGGCTGGCTCAATCTGTAAATTTAAAGTACCGTCCTGAAATTTGATTATAATTCACACTTCTCAAACTCAAAGCTCCTGTGCTTAAGCAAAATAAAAGGCACATCTGCTAACTGGAGGTTTCCACTGTGTTACCCATCTTTGCTGAGTAGGAGAATCAACAGACTACACTACTTTTTAGAAGTTTCCTTTCAGTTTTCAATGTTTAGTGAAAAGCTGTGTATCTGTTCGCAGTAACAAAACAGCAGACCTTATGTCTGTTTGTCACATTACACTCTCATGTGCGCACTGTAAAGGTGGTAAACACAAAGACAGGCTAAGCTGCAGTTAAACTACCAGAGTTGAGTCTCGCACGCAGCGTCGGCGCGCACACGCTTGGCTGTTCACACATTAAGCGTTTTCTGCTGCATTCTGACGTGCCGGTCAGACATCGACTGAGACCGGCAGTGCTCGGCTGTTTCCGTCGGCCCTCAGTTTTCCACACTTACGAGCGCCTTAAACATGGGTAAGTCAATATTTATTTATGTTTTTATTACGTCATACATAAATTAAATATTGGCAGCATCTTCAAGTATTGTTTTTAATTATTATATGGGGTAAACAACGAATGTATTGGGGAGTCTGTTGACTCCATTGTATGTGTAGCCTTGTTAGCTCGAGGCTATTGACTCTATTGTAATAAAGTCCCCCACCTTTGTCTCAATAACATCACTGAATCTCTGCCGCTCTCCCTCTGTGTGTGTGTGTGTGTGTGTGTGTGTGTGTGTGTGTGTGTGTGTGTGTGTGTGTGTTATTGAATTTTTTTTATTTTGAAAATTGACCGGATTCTCTTGCATCTCGTGTTCCCGACTTCCTGTCTGGTCCGATCTGCTCTGTCCAGCTTTACAATTGGCGCTTGCAGCTCACGCAAGAAATAGAGAGAAGCAGAGCGGCCGCTCCCCCCGCGCGCTGTGTGAACAGTCACATAGGTTAACACGGGCGTCGATCCGAAACTCGGTGCACGGCACTTCCGCTTCCGTGCGCGGCACTTCCTGTGTGAACCAGGCATTATTCCCATGTTACATGGGCAACGGAGCATCTACATCTGATGTTCTTGGGCTCATTCTTGACAGGTGACAGACTTTTCCTTCAAGTTGTAGAAAAATATTGGCAAGACTGCGTACTCACAGAAATGTATTTTCACCTAGCTTAAGCAAGAGGAGCCCAGGTGTGAAAGTGCGCCTGGTTTGATTCGACTGCAGCTGCTCACTCGGACTCTGTTCTGTCATGAGGACTCTCTATCCAGAAACCTATCATGATTGCTTCTGGACTGTTACTCCTCCAACATGTCTAAACCCACCACGGGTCTTCACACTTAAAATATGCTGATGTAATTTAAAAAACAGTCTGAGGTCAAAGGATTTGATCCACAGTACTTTTCCTCCAGCTTTTTGACAGTCTTGGTGTTGAATCATTTACTGGCTCAATAAATTTTTGTCATTTACAGTCTCTGTAACTATTTTAAAGTGATCTCAAACAGAGACAGAGCCTCACACTACGGCCCCAAAGCAGCATCCAAGAGGTGCTGTAATCCATCCTAAATAATGCCTCTCATTAACACCTATTGAGCACTTTTGAAGATACATAAACTCCACCTCAGATAATCCATTAAAGGAGCTGAGTTCAAGATTTTTTGAGAAAAAACATTTTAAAGGGGAATGCTTCCTAAGGGAGCAAAGGGGCACTTTTTCTCTCCCTGTCCACCAGAGGAAGTTCTGGACAACCAAGGCCTTGTGTCTGCCAGAGAAAGCAGGAATCAAGCTCTTGGTTCAACAACACAGGCACCTGTGAAAATACAGGCAGTGCACCACGTATCAAACCAAATAAACTCACCTTGGCGTAGAGCGAGGGCATGTTCTGATGACAGATGCCACTCGGCAGCAGCACCAACGGGCCAATAAAACACCTTGCTGGCATGATGGTAGGGCGAAAGACTAGATCTGGTTTTCATGGCATGAAGGCTGCATTAAAATGAAATGTGATGGTGCGTGGATCCAAGTTCTGGTGCAGCACAAATAGACGCCAAAAAGACTTGATTGCTAAACTTCATGAAAGTTTCTGGACAGAAGAAAGCGTGCATCCACAGAAATAATAACCAAAACAGTTGCAAAACACCAAAACACAATTAAATAAAGTCACTGAGGTCACAATCAATCACTTTTTTAGAAAACAAATTCCTATGAGTGTTTGTCACAGTTCGGTGGCTGGCAGGGCTGCACAGAAACCAAGACCTGCCATGGTGCTGTAAAACCAGAGGAAACCACATTTCCTGTCCTCTACTCCTGTTTCTTGAGCGGTAATGGCTTAAGCCAAGCCTTGGCCAGGGCAATCCAAGCAGTGGCTGCATGTGGTAAAACGAGGCCACAAAACAAGAGAGCCGTTACATTTGACTCTGGCACCCTAACCTCAGGCTGGCATTACTGAAACCATCCGAGACCGGTGGCTCAAAAGCCATGACATGACTACAAACAAGCAAGAGCCATCCTGGCATGATCTCTTCTCCCTTCTTGACCTCCTGACGAGGATAATGAAAGGGTTATACTTGACAAGAAGTTGAATGGTTTAGGAGCGGTGTGTTGTGTAAGTTAATGATTACTTTTCAAGCACTCATCAAAGGAGCAGAAAAAGGACCTCATTGTGCAAACATGAGTGACTGGTAATGATGCGTACCAGCATTATAGACTAGAAATTCACTGCCACTGGCTCCAGGACCAGACTTAGATCTTTTCCCTTTTAAATATGAGAGATCTCAGCCTTGCATCCTGATTCGCTTTGCTCTGCTCCATAATTTCCATCATAATGTTCAGTGAAGCTGTTAAAACCACTACTTAAACTCCCTTTCCCAGTGAATATGGTCAGAGAACATGTTTCTTTTTTCAGGGTTTCCACTGTATAAAAGCTGCCGTATTCTGAGAAATGTATTATACAGTGCCCTAATGGCACCTGCAGTATTTAGCCTCACCACAGAAATTTATAAGTGACACTAAAACGAGATTAAAATGTCTGCTTTGAAGTGACTGGCCAAAAACCTACACTTAAAAAAAACCAGAAGAAATGCAGGTGTACAAATTAAAACAGAAAATACATAAGCAATGATACTTTGAGTGCTGGACTTCTGGCATGGAGCAATAGAGAGGTTTTGAGTGATGCTCCACCTGAATTTGCACCTGTCTCTGCAATCTCAGAAACCTGAGACGAGAATGGAGGCTGGAAAACCCCAGAGAAGTGACTGTGACAGGACGAGATGTACTGCTCTGTATTTTTTTTTTACAGACTTAATTCTTGTTTTTGTCTATTTAGGAAGTCTCCCTCATTTGCAATAGTATTCAAATGTACTCTTCTGTTAATCTTGTAGTCTTACTGAACCTCAGAGTACTCCTACATGACCTTAAGGTTACATCTATATATTTTCCCTAATGCCTTTGCCTTGGAAAGTCAACACTGATGTTCATATGTGAAGGCCCAGGTGTTTACATAGCCCACTGACACAAGAAGGCCATTTCATACCGAGATGAAGCAGCTTTTGGCATAATCAAAAACACAGCAGACCTGAGTACACATCATGAAGAAGCACTTAACTCCTGAATCCAACTATATCCCCTGTGCTGCAGCACTAGAGACCTACAAATGACAGTTATCCCTGGGGTCCAAGCTCCTGGGCCTCTTGGTCAGGGAGCTATGTATGCCAGGGTGCCATGACAAAGTTATGATTATTATTTCAAGGCTGAGGTGAGGAGAGGGTTATTGGGGAAAAGGGAGGGAGGCCGCTATACCACACAAAACGCATATATAATAACAACCAGGTGAAAGGGCTTTGCAAGTTCACTGGACTGTATCAGACCCAGAAGCTCTGTGTGGTTACAAATATAGGAAAATGAATTTAAAATGAGAGCAGAAAATGGAGACTAAAAAACTGAAAGGATTTTTTTGTTATACTTGTGCACAAAACAAACTTGACCTTTCGTGAATCGCCAAACCCCAAAAAGCACAAAATAAGACTTACTGTCAGAACAAAAATCTGCTCTAAAACTTCCTAAACCTTCTGCAGCCCTCATCAGTTTTATCCTACAACATGACCACCTTTACTTCCTTTATTTGTTTTTCAAAAATCCTATTACTTAGTGAGTTAAAGATGACATTCAGAGGAAGCCAATTACAAGACACTTTTTGAAAAGTCCCTGTAGACCTTTTGGATTGTGGTGTGAACAGTGGTATCAGGTTACACATCTGAAATGAACCACAATAGGCTGACGGTCATTAGAAGGTGCTGAGCTACAACATGACTAATGGCAGCCGTACAGTAAGCATTGTGGTTATGACTTTTCAGCGGTGGTTAGCACAGCCCACTGAAGTGTTTGATCGACTGAGGTGCTTTAGAGTAAATTATTCCTGCCATGTAGATGTCAAAAAAATCACCTAAAAATAATATCTCAGTATTTGTTTATGGATGGAAGATTTGTGAAATCTAAAAACATCTTTTTAGCAAATATGTTTGATTTTCTTTCAGTTGTAACAAAAAAAAAGCTTCAGTTAAATAAGACTTATAAAAGTGTATTTGAAATTCTGATACAATTTGTCTTGGCGCCGTCTCTGGGAATTTTTTATTTTTTTTAATAAATCTTTGTTTTTCAAAAAGTTACATTAAAAACAAACTGTCCCTTTACTTCTTATGACTGAATGTACACTGAATAAATCAATAAAACCAAGAGTAGACAATAAAAACAAATGTTAAATGACTTGTCTTTTCCCCTCCAAACAAAAGATTAGCTGTATAGTCACACGGCATAATCCAGGTGACTATCTTTATATATCTCAGCATAATAAATGCATCCTTTCATTTTTCTCATTCTTTTTTTTTTAACTGCAACCATCTGGTTTTAATTAAGGGGCCATCTGGATACCCCCAAGCACATGCCCCCCTCCCCCCCAAAAAAGATGGAAAGTAACACATGTGTGCAGGGCACGCTGTTATACCTGGGAGGTGAGGTCTTTCCGAGAGGAAAGGTAGCCACAAAGTGATGCTGAAATTGTTGACATGTTTTATCTTTGTGGATTTCAAAATGTGGTATGGGCTAATTTTTTTTGATTATTTGGCTTTTTTCAGGAGTTTTACCAATACTGTTAACACTAAAAGTCATTCATTTGTGCATTAAATTCTTATGTCAACTTCAATCTCCAATCCACCTCCACCTTTCCAATGGTGATCCAGCCCAAAGACTCCCCTCTCTTTCTCCTGCTGTCTGTGTATCTTCTCATCCTCTACTGCTACACTAGCTGCTATGTCTATTCTCTAGTCTCTCTCCCACAGTATAGAAACATGCCAGGCTGCAGATGGCATAGACCTCCACCCATTAGGAGTATTCCACCTAACAGACTCATACATACATACCTGTGGCTGAGCCCAGCTGCAGCAGTACAAACATACAGCAAACCTACATTCCTGTACACTGCTGCTGCTTTGGCCTGCTTAGCATCAACTCATGACTGTTCAATTGTTGCTTTTAGTGTTGCGGCAGCGTTTGCTTAATGTTTGATGGTGTTAAAAATAAAGACAGGAACCCAAACCCAGAGTTCTGGCTCCTGATTGGATCATGTCAAACATCCTTGCTTATAACTGTCTTTAAAAAAAAAAGCGTCTTGGCTCCTGATTGGCTAAGACAGTGCAGCTACAGATTTGCACGATATCTTGGCTGCATATCTCACTATCTAAATCCACAGCAGTTAAGTCGATGTTGGTGACCTTTCAAGCAGTTTGGTTTACCACACTTACACAAACAATTGTGTTTATCTATCACCAAATAATTACTTCAATTGATTGTATCGTTAGCCATGCCTTAATGCTTTATCCTCATACGCCTCACAAGATGGACTTTGACCTTTATTATATACATCACAATATCTGATTAACTGGGAAATACAACCAAAAATACAACCAACCAACCATTTTATCTTATTTACCTGTTGTTTGAGACATTGCTACAAAGTGTATAGAAAGTAGATGGCATGGTCTCACTTTCCAAATGTTCTACTTTGTATAAATCAAATGTCTCAGTATAGCTCTGATGTAAGTGACTGAGAAAGCAGCATGTTCCAGATTGTTGGGATGAAACATCATTGCCTGCATCTACCCAGGCAAACATGTTGATGAGCTGTTTAACTGCAGTGTACTGTATGTAATACCTAATGTTTGTGGATCAGTGCTGGGTCAATTCTTCCATAGTGACTCTGTAGTGTTACCGAACGAGGAAGGCACACTTCCACATACATTTTGCAAAAATAATAGTGCCCATAGTGAACAGAATGACCCTGTGTTACCGAACGAGGAAGGCACACTTCCACATACATTTTGCAAAAATAATAGTGCCCATAGTGAACAGAATGACCCTGTATAAATACAAATAACTGTTGCTGGGTTGCTTTGGCAGCATTTAAGAGGAATTGGCCTCATGGTTGTTTTTGGAGTTACTATGTTGTACAGGGTCTCACTTATGTTGGCCTTGCACTACTCACTTTAAAGCCAGATTCAGGGTCCAGTTTGGTACCCCCAAAGGTTTGAGTGGCATGGCTTAATCCAGAGCTTGTGGTAATCGATTTTTTATCCAAACAAAGCTCAAGTGTGTGGTGTCAATAAGACTATTTTACCTCTCCTGACAAAGTCCACTCCGTCGCACCACCTCTGACCTGGTGTTACTAATTATACACATGTATTTCTGCTATTACTAAGGATACAGGCAATAACCAGGCTGCAAAGTGTCACAATTCGCAGCCATGGCAATGCACTGAGTAACATAAAGGAAAACAGTCCACCCTCTTTTTCATCTGCAGTGCACTACACCCCTGAAATTATAGCAAAAACACCAGCGCCTTTATGATGTCTCATGCAAGACAAACCGCTATAGGGAAGACAAGGAAACAACGTGGGTGTTTCTGTAGGATCTCCTGTCAGTGAAATTGCCACTGCCAAATTGTAACCACAAATGTTTAATGTACAGTCTAATGGAATCTCTGGTCTAGCGTGTGTTTCTGGGATTACAATGTTAAAAAAATGTTGGGACTGTTATTCTGTGTGCAGTCTCACACAATTTTAAAATCTGTTCAGATTCAGAAGTTGTCCAGTGTGCAGTCAGCCTTAAACAAGAGGGGAGCAGTTTCACGAGGCTATTACCAGATATTGTATTTACCTCTGAAACTGAAGTTAAAGGTTTGTGGTGTTTATTTTATGACTCAATATTTATTTTTTTCTGATAAGTGGATCCAGAGAAAATAAAATGGTCTTGTACTATTATTTTATAGTGTTGAAATATTGCTGATGAACTATAAAAACCAACCCTTGTAAAGGAAAGTATCCTTTCCTTTAACATATACCGTCAGTCTTTAAAAAAATGTTAGAATTGGTTGTCAACTCCATACTGTGAAAATGTGTTGCATCAAGACCTTATTAATTTGAGGACAAAGGAATAAACCTAGTGGAACATCACAATGCAAAACAGACCTATAAAACAAATGAAAAACTCTTTTTAAAGAAAAAAAAGGAGAAATCATGCAATTAGCTTTGATTTATTAACAATAGGATTAAATATCGTCTTCTATATATAAAAAATGTATCAGGCATTTTTTGGTGTACAGCTGTTTCTCTGTTTTATTGTTTTGCTTGGTTATACTTCTCCAGTTCTGATCATGTAAGAGTCATTTTCACAGAAGTTTGATCATAACATCTCAAGGTCTCCACAGTTTTTCTAACTAAAGCTTAAAAATGATTGCAGAATAAAAGCCTTTTTTGTAAGAGTAGTTTCCAGTCAATCTATAAACCTCAGGGCTCAGAAGCTCACCGCACCATCAGCAGATTTAGAGGAAGAAGATTCAAACTTGATGTTATAGGAGAATGTCTTCATACAACTGCTTTTCCTCTCGGCTGCTTTCTACAGTTATGATAAAGAACCTACTTCTGGGATTTTTTTAAGATCATATTGTATTTTTGGCATGTCCTCAAATATATGTAAGTGTGCATGTGAATTTGTCAGACCCAGCCAGTCATTAAATGGCTTGTAAAGGCCTTTCAGTGAGGCACACCTGAGCTGGCTCGTAAAGCTTCCAGCCCAAGCAACCTGTGCAGCTGTCCGGCTATCCTGCTCTCTAGCCCTTTGCTTGTTGGATGCATACAACACATATAACTTATCAGCTAGTCATTAACACACACCTACGCCTTCAGTTCAGTTTCCTGCTTTGTCTATTTTACAGCGCATGATGAGCCAGATTGCGGTGTATAAGTTTGGTGAAGAGTTTGACTCAGTCCCTGTCACCTTTCATCACCACAAACACCTGCAAAGTCCTTTAAATACCTGTTGTGGATCTAAACCCCTCATTCACTTTCCCTCCACAGCTTTTCCTTCTACTGACACTAGATAAGTGCATGTTTGTGAGCAGCATGCACTCATGCAATCGTGCATACAAACACACAAAGACCCCCCTGCACACATACACACACTGTTCCCTCCTGTAGGTAAAGCTTCATATGAATATTGTGTTTATGGCCGGCAGGGTGGAAAGCGAGCTTTTCCCTTTGGGAGCTCTGCCAGTTTTCTTTTCATTACTCTACCTGGGGGCTGAACCCCCACTATCACAATAAGCTTTATTTCTATCGACATATCCAGACGGAAGCGGCATTCCAGGGAATTAGGCTCAATTTCACCTGGCCCCCAGTGTTTTTAGGGAATACCATGCTCCCACAACTGCCCCTCCTCCTGCCTCCATTTATTTTCTAAAAGCAACAAGCTGCAAACTTCACATTTTATCTCACAGAGTTCTTTCCTTAAACTGAAAAAATTAGTTCCATGTGTTCGCTTTTCAGACAAGCTTCATAGGGGTGGTTATTTTTCAGTCAACTAAACACTTAAGTTACACTCTTTTTGATTTCCATCTGAACTTGTCAAAAGGAACATGTCAAAGGCTGCTTTATCAGATAATCAGCAACACCTGCTTGGATATATGGATCAGGTGCTGTGGTATAGCACAGCAAGGACTCCCACATGGTGCAGGGAACTGGAAATATTCTAGCTACAACAGTTAGCTAACTTACAGGAGTACTTAAGCCTTGTATCTCTTCAAAAAACACTGGCATATTAATCGATCATTATAGTATACACTTACAAATGTCACAAAAAACACTTAAATGATTATCAACCCCCATAAGCCACAAATGCCCTCTTTTTTGTCACTTTGGTTTACATTCAATGTGAAATTATGGTACAGTGACCATATTCTGAATCCCCAAAAAGAGGACACTACTCTGCAGGGCGGAGTCGTGTGCGTGCACAAATTTTTGAGGTTTTTTTCGGGTCAGGTCATGTTTTTTTCACACCCTTCTAACTCAGCTAAACAAATATTCTGAATTCCCCAAAAATAAAAAAAAATAAAAAAAAATAAAACATTTTATCCCACCTTGTTTTTTTTTACTGGGGGAAACAGGCTTCCATACAAAACCCCAGACATCTAAGGATTTTATAAACTCCCCTCCACGGACATGTCGAACAGCCCCTCAAAAGAGGACATGTCTGGGTAAAAGAGGATGTATGGTCACCCTTAATTATGGTAAAGGCTACAGCCAACCACAGCTTTACTTTTCATTATCTTAAAACAACCAACACCGAGCAGATGTTTCCAAGGGGAACTCAATCTGCCCTGGTGTGATGTAAATATTTTGTAGCAGCCACCAGCATGCGCACCAGCAGGCCACACTTCAAGTTGAAGTTCCTGAATGAACGACTCAAGACAATAACAGTACAATTGGGACATACTGTATCACAAAAAAATCCTTCTGGTATTGCAACCAGGTGTCTCAACTCTACAGATGAAGAACCCAACTTTCCAGGTGGTGTTTGCACTGTATTTCCCTTTTAGTGTGACTTTTGCACATTGCGAAAAGTACAGAACATGAGGTATCAATGTGTCTCTAAATGGGTCATGCACAGAGCACACATATTTAACATGGACTCATCACACACAAGCACTTAAATATGAAAGCCTGTCTGTTTTTCATCCCTCTCTTTCACTGTAATTTATTCATTCCTGCCCCAAGAAACTTAAGTCTTAAATGAAACAGGTCTTTTACCCAATTGGATCAAACTGGGAAAATAAACCACATTTAATATTAATTTGAAAGGCAAAGTTACATTTTTCTCCATTATTATCAGGTGACTGTGTTGTTTTATGGTGGTTGCTTTGTAATTCTAGTCGTGACCATGTCAGCATGTCTGGTATGAGAGGTTGTAGATGTAACACTACCATTAGTGGAAAAGGTTAAACCACTGGCTGTGGAAAATGTGTCTGCAGCTTCTGGGTCAAACCACAAGCATCAAGTCCTTTTCCTTACGGCTAATCCTGAAAAATACATCCAAGTTGAACTTTCAGTGTCTATGTAACCCGTCATGATATTATCTCATTTTTCATTGTTAAGATGTTTCATCAGAGACGGTTGATGAAAACTTGTGAAGATTTTTTTTTCTGCCAACAAGAGTGTCCCGGTCTCTGCCTATTACTGTTTTCACATTCATGCTTTGAGGTCAGTAAGTTTGGTTTGGGGGTTGACCTTGGGTGGTAGTGCTTGTATACAGAGCACCCCACCTGTAATTATCTGGGGATTACCTCTTTATATGAGCAAGCTTTACAACGTCCAAAGGGACTTCCTGCTTCCCCCTCAAAATCTTGCAATAAAAAGGCACCACTGTAGCATCACAACGGGGCACCAGCCAATCAATATCCTCCCGTAGAATCCAATGTTCACCAAGTGGGATAGCCTTTCATTTCATATGGACTAGGAGCATATATCTGAATCCCCGAGAAAGAAAAAAAGAGTAATGAGCAGTGTAAAATGAATTTTGAATATTTAAAGTACCTGCTCTAATTTGATATGCTCACTTAAAACCAAACACAGAATAACTTTTGCTTTTAGTGACACGAGTCCAATCACTGAATGCCTGAGGGATGCTTTCCAGCTCATACCTTATAGATGAAGCCCCCCCAATCCCACCATTTGTTGATGGGAATGAGGAAAAGGAAAGAACTGTAAAATCAGGCAGGAATTCTGTTTATGGGGCGCCAGAACACAGCTGCTTGTTTGAGCTGGCAAGGGAAGTTGGTGTCACAGGCAAAGCTGCGATTTGCTGAACCCAAAGTAGGAATTGCCAGATGGTAAGGTGTCTTAAGCACATACTGTATGAATATAAACTGACATATTAATAAAAGAGTCCAGCTCAATACAGGTGCATCAACTTTCTAAGTATTACAGAGAAACACACACAGATACACACCTCTGTATTGTACCAGCCATGTTTATTGCTTCTGGACCGTGCCTTTAAAGCCTGTAGCACTGCTGTCGCACGCAATGTGCCGACTGAAAGCTCCCAAAGTCACAGAGAGAAGAGGACAGCCAAAGTAGGAGGGAGCGACAGCGGGAGCATGCAAAGGATTTAGACATGGCATGAAAAAAGTCCATTAAGTGACTCGTCTAGCTTTGCCAAACACGGTCACACCCAACTCAAAGGATCAACTAAGTTTAACCACCTTTCCGCTGCCAACAATGAAAAAAATGAATTCAAAGGTTTAGAATTGAAATCTTCATTGAAGAGAACAACTGGAGACAATTTAAAAGAACATTTTGTCGAAACTATGTACTGCTTTGGTCAAAGCTCACAGCTTGTAGTTCAGAACATGAAGTACTAAAACAAAGCCAATCTGAGCAGGTGGCTTAAAGAGAGAAAAAGTAATGAAACAAACATCCAGACAAGCCTAACAAACCCCAGACTATACTAAATGTTGTTTGCCTCGATCTAGGTTATTTTTGGAGGGTTTTCCTGGCCCATATAAGCAGGCTCAGTTGAGAGTATGTAAAGCACAGAAACGGGTCTAGTTGAGTGTACTTATTGAGGTGCAACCCCTTGTCTCTAAGTCCCTTTACTGTCTGAAAGCCATTATTCTGTTATTATATGTCACCTCTGACAGGTTAGAGGACTTCAACTGCATGGGCAAACTAAGTGGAGAACCATTACGTAGGGTGACCATACGTCCTCTTTTACCCCAACATGTCCTCTTTTTGGGGGGCTCTCTGGGCTGTCCGGCTTTGTTCGGGGAAGTTTATGAAATACTTCAACTGTCTGGAGTTTTGTATGGAAGTTTCGAGTTTGTGTCACATGGACTTACTGAGTAAAGTGCATAGAAGACACTTGATCTGACCCCAAAAACTCTCAAAATTAACTTTGTGTGACTCTGCGACTCCGCCCCCGCGTAGCCGTTTCCTCTTTTTGGGAAGTCAGAATATGGTCCCCCTACCACTAAGCATTAGTCTCAATGTGATAGTCACTGGGAGGCAATCTGGCTAATTTAAGAATTGTGCATCAATCCCTCCTTCATCTGCTCAGTCTCGAGGTCCATTTCACAAAGCATATTGCATACTGATGATACTTAAGCATAAACACACCATTCAAGTTTTGCAGCTCTGTGCAGTTTGCTCCTGTTTTGCATCTGATTGTTTGGCCAAGTCCATGAGGTAGGGGGCCTGGGTTCAATTTTACCTTGTGACCCTTCACTATGTCATTCCCCACCCTTTCTCCAAGTTTCCGTCTTTGTCCACTGTTCGCTCTTTCAAAATACTAAAAGATGTCAGACATTTTTGTAGTTCTTTTTATTTTTGCTACTTGAAAAAGGTGAGGGAGTCATTGAGGATTCCCGCAAATGAGACAACAGAGAAAGAGCTGCAAAAAAAACCCAAAGCTGAGCAGAAGCAGAGGCAGCTTGATGAGACTGTTGGAATAAAATATACTGGACTTTGAAGAGGCACTCTAGAAAAGTTGAATAAATGTAAAAACACCACATTAACTGAAAATAGAAACTTGTCTCTCACTCATGAAGCACTTTCTGTCACTGTTCTCCCAAATCTTTGCTTCACTCAAAAAGCAAAAGAAGTTAATTTATGTCTGAGATGTGTTCACGGTCTATAAATACAACATATGACACAAATTTGTTCTGCAGTGATCAAACAAAGTGATGAGTGGAGCATTGTGGCTTTTTCAAATTATAAATCATAGAGAAATATTACGCTCACCTGTACAGGGCCCCGTATCCTTATTCTGTCTTTGGCACTTGGCAAGATGCGTTCCCCCCCAATAATTACCACCAGATGCAAAGCAGGGGGTCAAGAGGGGTCCCTACCTCTTATGAAAGGGTTTATTAAAAATAATGCAGGGTAAGGGGCAGAATCATACCTCATCATTCTTATTTTTTCTTTGGCAGCACATGCAGTCGTAGCAGGTGCTGACATTCCTCCCCTCTATTCCAGCCCTCTTCCACTTTTTTCTCGGACTATTCTCGCATTCGAACCCCTTTCTTCTCTTTTTATTGTTCTCTTTTTAATTTGCAGATATAAAAATTGGCAAATGCTGTCCTTTGATGGGGAGAGACATTCCTGGCGTCTCTCAGATGTCTGTGCTGCTTTGCGGTAACCCAACTCCGGTTGAAAGCATTTTCCTGGGAAAAAGAGGCGGCCCACAATCGACGGGGCACAGGGACACCTGCAGCTCTGGCCCAGCGGTAACTACAGATCAGCTCTGGACATGACTCAACACCAACCTGAACACGCACACACACACTAGCATTCACACACTCAAAAAAAGGACTTCAGACCTCTCCTTCGATCCACACACTCACAGTGGACTCCACTCTGTGACTTCCCCCACCTTTCCAGCTGCGTCTCAGGTTCATTCAGTGATGTCCAGACTGATGAGAGTAAAAACAGCCAAAAATGAGGACAGCTGCTTCCATAAACCCTGTCATCAATTTGTCCAAGTCATTAAAATTGGCTGTAATTGGCCTAATTGTGGTCAATCATGCTTTCCAATGATGCAGAAAAGTATAGGGTATCTCTTTACCAGGAGAGTGGATGATTAAGTTGTAGCAGGCCGCTCTGTTTCGGAACAATGATTGCTAAGTATGATCTTTGTCTGATCCTCACCACAAATGACCTGTTTGATCAAACAGAGAATAAATGATGCAGAGAGGGAAAACAGGTTGAAACAGTATGAGGATGCCCGTCTGAATGTCGACTGCAACTTTTGCAATTCCTCCTGAGCAATGTCCTATTTTATTAAAAAAGACCATCATCATAGTGCTGGGCTCAGTTTTAAGTCAATAGATCATTTGATCAGTCACAGCACCTCATGACAGGAGCAGGATTATATTCTTAGACCTGCTTGGTGGTGAGGGTCTGCTGAGACAAAACAGTTTCAGGTACTGTGAAACTCAATTCCTCCAGCGGGGCCATCAACTGTCACTCTAGGCGGAGAGATGATTGACTCCCAGAATACCTCTTTCTTCAAACATTGTATTTCTTATGCACACAAACATGGACACATCAACGCGTGAAGAGAATGTGACGGGCAGCCGTGAGTGACAGCCAAGCATGCCTGAAAGCTTGAAGGTTGGGTGAGGAGGGGGACGGGCAGAGGGTGTGAGTTTCCAAGGAGGTGTGCTGGGGCAGCTCAGGTCGACTGGGACACATGGCTGCACTGGGAGGAATTTGTATTAAATTCAACCCTCCCCTTCACAAATTGTTTCCAGCCTGCAGCCATCAAAACGCTGTCAGATCACTGACTCTCTCTTCCCTTTTCTCTGGCTCGTCTCCCCCTCTTATTCCCCCATCACCCACACACACACAACCCCCTATACCCACTCCACTTTGGGTCTTCACTTACACAAACATCAGAGGTAGAAAGAGGTGCATGGGCAGTCATGCGGTGTGACGATGTAGTGTGTGTATGCCTATATTGTACGTGTGTGTGTGTGTGTGTGTGTGTGTGTGTGTGTGTGTGTGTGTGTGTGTGTGTGTGTGTGTGTGTGTGTGTGTGCAGCTTTGCTCTTGAGCCATCAGGAAAGGTCTAACCCCTAAAATGTAGTGCTTAGAATAATTTAGGTGCAACCGACAGTATGTCTCGTGATTTCATGCATGCTTGGCAGCGGTGATCAATCTCTTTGAAGTGGTTGCCTGTCTCATTTGTCAACCAAATAAATGGTCAATTTCACTGAGTTGTTTGACATCAGCTTAACTGATTGTGGAAAATAAGTTTTCATGCCATGTTGAGTGCCTTCATTTCTCTTCTGGAGAGTTAACTGTCCTTCCGGGTTGAACTGTACAAACTGAAGTTTTCATACCAAAGGCTCACACCAATCACTCGTAATACAATGATCACCTATCTGATATTGTGAAAGTCCTCTTCATGCCAAGCCAGAACCAAAACAGTCCTGACCTTACAAGAGGTCAGAAGAGACATGGACTCAACTAGATCTCTGAACGAGTTCTGTGGTAACTAGGACCAGGACTGAAGAAGCAGGTCCTTTCAGTCCTGTTAGTTGCAAAGTGAGGCTTCCATGGGTTGGATTTATTTGTCCAACATGTCCCACAGATTGGATGGAAATCTGGGGAATTTAGAGGTCATGTCAACCCTAGCCACCTAAATGGCTGAATGTCATCACCCTCATTTAACAGCACTTTATACCAGTTATGCAAGTTATAAATATCTTTGTGATCAAAGGCCTGAAATGTCAGTCAAAGATAGAGTCTTAGCTTTAGCCTAGACAGACACACTCCAGGGCTAGATGTTCAGTTAATAGTGACTTTGAGTCTAATCCAGTAGCTCTTTCCACCCCTAGGCAAACCTTTGCTCCCTATGCACATCAATAAGCCTTTGTCATTGATCGCCTTGTTGCTAATCCACCAGTTCTTCTTCTTTGGACCACTTTTAGTATTGACCATCTGGGAACATCCTGCAAGAGCTGCAGGTTTGGAGATGCTGAACCCAGCCCCCTCCATCCTTACTCTTGCTCCCTTTTCCTGCTTCCACCTAGGGGTGTCCTGATACGATAATGATATTGGATATCGGTGCGATATCAGCAAAAAAATCGAAAATCAGATTATATCGGCTTCCATCTAAAATCACCGATGTCAGCACTTCAATACAGGCAGTTCCATTCCAGATTCCACTCCGGCACCTCTATCTAACAGCACCCGGATCCAGCATGTAGAGCCCATGGGATCACAACAAAAGTGTGTACCAAAGTACCAAGGAGTAGTAATGAATTTGGCTGTGTGGCAGTATTTTTCATCAAAGTCTGAAAAAGACGTTGCAGCTGAGTGCAAAACTTGTTTTTTGTGCTAATATCAGATCAATATCGGTATCGGTTGAAGGCTACAATATCGGTATAGTATCAGAGGTAAAAAATCTGTATTGGGACACCCCTACTTCCATCACTTCAACACATCTAACCCACTGGCAGGTACCATAGTAAAGAGCATGTTATTCACATCACCTGTCAATGGCCATAATGTTGTGGCGGATTAGTGTAAAGCACATTTAGGAAAGCTCAAAAAAAGTTTTTAACATCTGCCGTCTACTAACAACATTGGTGAAATTGGTGGTTAACCCACAAAAGTTTAGACCTTAAAATCAAAACATCCAGCTGAAAGTGGTCAACATAGACGATTTATTCTCGAACACAGCTGACCCACATATCACATGATTATCACATTTATCGACACCATACTTAACGTATCTAATGTCTGTCTGCAGGAAGCAAATCTGAGGAAGTTTCCCCCATGGTTCTGGTCTAGGTTATGGTCCTGGGTCTCAGCTGTGAGCAGTTTGATGGTTGGTTGAGTTCAGACAGCAAAAACAACCTCTCCGTTGCTTCTCAGGGGCCAAAGGTACAAGGCTGCAACAGTCAATGGAAGGAGAGAGAGTGAGAGTGCTCCCATTCACCGATCTGGGATGTGGAGATACTGTGAGAGGTTATTCAGGGCGATGGGCCACGCCTGACTGGGGGGCCCCGTCAAGAAGGTGGAGGTCAATTAGAAGCAAATGTCCTCCATCATGATCGGTCCATTGTAGTACGACACTCATGTTTTGTTATGAGCAAGAGGACTTGATCTGACCCTGGCTGTATCACTCTCACTTTATATCACTCTCAATAACCATCATCCTGGTAAAAGAGGCCATAAAATTGTGAAAAGCACCTATTGTCTCATTGCCCTCGCAGAGTTGCCATAGACACGGTAATGCAATATCATTGTTGATTCTGGGATACAGAGTTTAAATCAACCTCTGACCTGTAGATACTTTTGCTTTCCAATAGCGTGAGGATGGTGTGGGACTACCTTTTCCGGCTGTCAAAACTGAAACCACCTTCAAATATGGACAGATATTTTCTTTTCCCTGAGACGTGGAAACATCCAGTAAACTGCAGTCTAAGACTCCAAGCAGTGGATGAAGTAAGTTTTAAGAGGTGGGCCGGTCAATAAAGACAATTTCTTTTCAGCCACCTCTTCTTTTATCACGCTAAAGCTCTCAGCACCAAGACTGCGTCTCCTTCACACTCGGACACAACAATGCTAAAAAAAAAAAAAAAATTTTGGAAAGGCAGTTACTTATCCACTGGCCCACACACACCCACGCACATAGAGGAAAAGATCTGGTTCAGATCTGAACTTTTTAATTCTCTGGAGAGTTATAAAAACATCCAGTTTGTTTCCTCTACCCCTCGTGGTTTCAGATGCAGCACTAACCATCAATGCATCTCTGAGGAAAGGAGATGGTTTTGGCATGGCTCTCTCTAAAGGGTCTATTATGAGAGGTACATCCTGCGGTGACACAGTTGTGGTGCCCCCATAGGAAAAAACTTCAAGGTTCTCAGAGTAAAATGGATGACAGGTACAAAGATAGCTGATGTGTTCAGGAGACATAAAGAGGGAAAAGTGGAATACAAGACCTCATCAAAAAGGTGAGACGATGTAGAAAAGATGTTGGCAAGGGATATAAGAAATACAAAAAGAAAATAAAAATACACTGTGAAGGAAAGAAAGAAAGACAGCTGTCAAAGAAGCAGGAATGGGAGCTGATGGGATGGATGAAGAGACACAAGAGAGGATTTCAGGGGAGAAAGAGATGCAGATCCTGTGAAAGAGTCTGTCCGCATACAGTGGATTAAAACCACATGTGTCTGCCTGAGGTGAGGACACCGCAACGCTGCGCACATATGTGAGGAAGAATGGCGTCACTTGCACTCACCAGGGGCACCGCACGCTCGTTTTCCAGAATGCGCTTCTCCTGCCAACTTTCTCCTGCCTGCAAAAACTTTTAACGTGTCATCTCTACTGCGTCTTTCATCTCTTTCCTTCTGCTAAACAAATAAATAAGTGCACTTTTCGTCCTCATACACGGACGGATTACGGGAGAATACTTTGGCAAGCGTTGCCATGACAAGAAGCTCCTTTAAGAAACATATGCAGTCGGAGAAGTCATGGGAAGAGGGCAAAGATGGAAACTGTTGTTGGACTCCTCTAATACCCGATACACAAAGAAGACATCATTCCTTCAAATCATAATAACACTGTATTTTTTCTAGATTTGAAAGAAATTATTTTGTTTTTAACAAATTTATTTAAATCAATCTGCAGAAGAAATTGCTCGATTTTTGTCTCAAGTTGTTCCAGTAAAAAAAAGCATTTTGCATGAATTATATCCAGCTACCAAATGCAGATAAATTTCATAATCACACTTTTAATGCATACTCTTCAGAGAAAAGGTATTTAGGACAAATGGAAGGGATACAGAAAGACAAGAGGAGCGGGGTAGTTGGGGCGGGAAAAGGGGCGAGACGGCCATGATATGGGAAAGTGTTTTGGGGAAACCAAATTAAGGGGAAGAAAGGCCGGACACAAAGGCCTTTGAAAGCGGCAGACAGTTCCCTTGACATGTGCCTTAAAAGAGATGCTGCCGCCGATGCCAAGAAAAGGGGGGAAAGGACAGAGGGGAGAGAGAGAGAGAGAGAGAATGACGACAGACTGAGAGAGGAAAGGAAGGAGAGATCAAGGGGGAGATTGAGTAAAAATACAAGGGTAATGGGAAGTGAGGGCAGGAAACGCAGGACAAAGCTCAGAGAGGGAAGTAAAGAGAAGCAAGTTCATGAGAGGTGTGATGAGAGAGAATGAAGACATCAGTTCAGGTCTGTGATGTGTGGTGTGTGCAGGCATGTACGCGTGTATGTGCAACTGTTCTTATGAAAGTGTGTGCAGGTTGGGGGTTGGGGGGATTTGAAGAAGGAAAAAGCTAGAATTTAAATGACTCTTAAATGGCTCGTAACCTCAAATCGATTCCCCGAGGTCTCACTACTTTTTTCAGTGAATGGAAATCACTGCTCACCCTCTGCATATGTTTTATATTAATGTCAACATACACTGATGAGACTGTTCAGGGGATAACACTGAAGTGGTCTTACCAGTCTCTGCAAAGTTTTATTAGTGGGTTTTTTCCCCAATAAATTTATCACCAATAGTGATGCACTGATGAGCAAATCTGGGCTAATATCAATCCCAATATTCAGCTGATATCTGATCAACACTTTTTTCTTTTATTGTTGTCCACTCACATTCTTTTTACCAATCCAGACAAAGACCTGAATAAGTCTCTATTATAAAACACACATGAACATGCCCAGTAAGTCTGACTTTCATTACACTATTTTTTAGTGAGCACAAACGTAAAAGTGCAAATGTACAAATCCTCAGATTTTACCGTCTACCATAAAGGCCTCTTGAAAAGCTTTTGGAAGCTTATCTTTGAAGTTCTTTTCCTGCTTCCTTATTTTATTGTGGCAGATTTGTTGGACTGGGGCTTTCCGATGCATAAAAATCAAATCAAAGTCAAACTTGAAAAAACCCCAAAATCAAACAGGAGTGCTTCAAAAGCCTTTTCATAGAAAATCACTTACTCAATAAGGAGCAATTTTAAGTTCTTAAACAGCCCAGCTAATCCTTTTCCGACAACATAAAGTCAAATTCAAAATGAACTGAATGCAACTGTGAGTGAGAAAGTAGTAAAAAATGAGCTCAATCATAAATAATAAACATTCAGATGAATAAATAAGGATTTGGTTCATTCCTCACCAGAATTACTAGTAGGTATCTAATCAAATTAATAAGATCTTTATAACTGCAGGTCCAAATTGCTGTTGGAGGTAGCTGTAGCACAACTACCTGAGACTAGCAGAGCCATAATGTTCACACAGTCTACTACCTGAATGGGAAACTAGCACCGTTGATAGTTGGCATCTCATAAAACAACCAAAGTCGAAATTATTTACAGATACTTTCAGTTGTCAGTACTACTAACCATTTAGTGATATTTTATCTCCATTAAAAGGATGATGACACTTGAACTTATTCCAAATGTGTTTGGGTTTACTTTTTTTTTCTTTTTGTTACATAATTACATAAGTGACAGTAATGTCTGAATCTGATTGAAATCCTTAAATCCATAAAACTAACAAACAGCACTCACTTTTTGTGGCACTGTCTGCTGCTGATGTCAACAGTAAAATAGCATCACGCTTTTTCTCATGCAGATGCAGCCTCTTTGATGCTGGTCAGCCCATCTCTTTTCTGTCTCTCCCTCTCTCTACTTCTACTATTGTATGCCCCTCAGAAATCACATTGGACCCTCTTGCTCTCCCCCTCTTCCTTCTACACACACACACACACAATCCCTTTCTTGAGGCTGTGTCTGACTCCAGCATGAAATCAATTTCGGACACCCTCCCACCACCTTTCTCCAGCGCCCATTTTCCTTCACCGTGAAGCGAGACTGTTTTCTGTGCCAGCTTGGAAATAAGTACACCCATCCTCCCCAACGAAGTGCCTCCATCCCTGTTCCTGTCCCAGAATCCCCCAGTGCTGTGCCTGCTGCTGTAACCAGTGTTTCTCAGTTCCTAACCCCTCATCTGTGCCATATATCCAAAATTGTGGTCCAATGCAGCATTTATTTGACAGCATCTTTTGATTATGAAAAAAGTGAACGCTCAGAGAGGGAGACCACACACTGTGGGACAGTTAAGCTGTGTTTCTTTTCTACCCTGTGCATGCTGTTTTACTGGGTAGCACCTGTATAAATTCAAAGATGTACTTGGCTATATCATAAAAAGCTTGCCTTTGATCATCAAAATTCACTAGCAAGGCTAAATAGGAGCCCATTAAAGCTTCACATTAAAAAAATGAAGCTTAACAACAGTTTGGCAACCTGAAAGCAACATGAAAAGGTTTAAAATCCCAAAATTGGTATGAAGTGACAAACAGTGAGTCAGTTGACAGAGGGGTGGACATGCAGAGGTGAGGCGGCACTGCTTTTATCGTTGTTATTCCCCTGCCGGCGCACACCGCTCCTTCCTAATCCACACTGACAGAGTTTTCATCATCTGAGGAGCTGGGGACGACGGAGGACTTGAGGGAATCTGGTGAGGTGGGGGACTTCCCTCAACTCTCTCCCCAGTGGCGGTGCATCTCGAGTGGCTGCAGCCAGGGCCAGCAAGGCCCCCTTTGTGCCAGTTATCACAAAGTGGTGAGTGATGGCGTAGCGGCCTCCCGCTCTCAGCAGAGGGAACAGGGTTGGGAGCGGGGGAAAGAGGTGCAGAGGAGAAGGTGCACAAGAGGAGAAGATAGGAATGTTCCCAGAAGAGACGGAGAGCGCTAGAAAGACAGGAAAAGAAAGAGAGGAAGAGAAAAATGCTGTTTGAAGGGACAGCTGTTGTATTGTCTGTGCTCGACTCACAGGTGCTTCGCAGAGGAATGTGCTGTGCTGTGATGACACAACTGCACTTAAATTATCAATGAAATAGCACCAAAAAAGCTCCTTAAAGTGTGGGAATGATCAGGATTTCTCTCATTATCTTTCTAGTTCATCACATAACCTTGGTTTATTTGACAGGCTCCAATTTAACAAGCTGATGTCATGCGAGCATGAACTGGGCAGCGTGTTTCCTGCTATGATTTCATGTCTTGACTCAATTATGCTCACTGAGACACGATCCTGAGTGCTGAGTGACAGACAAACGTCTAGACAAAGAGCAGACGTTGAGAAACATCCAAGTTCCTGCAGATGAATCTTGGTCAAAAGGGTCAAAGGTCAGTTTACCCTCACCCCTCTCCTTTCCTTTCCTGGCTTTCTCCCACGCTACAGCTATAGTGCACCTGTGTCCTCACAAGCACCCAGGTCCCCTTTCCCCATATCAGTCACACACAGAGGAGCACGCATACACAGATACTAATGTCTTGGGCGTCTTTCTCTCTCCTATTCTTCTCTCCTTTTCTCAAACATGCATATGAACACACACACACACACACACACACATTCCATGCCTTCCCAGCTGCCTGTGCACCTGGGCTGGCAGCTGTCATCACCGTGGTAACTGGCATACAGCTGGCTGTGTCACTATCACCTGGCTCATCTGCCTCTGAGAGGTGGGCAGAGAAGGGAAGGGAAAAAAAGCATTGACAGGTAGAGTGAAAAGGTGATTTTCAGTTAGAGAAAAGTTGACAGACATGGACTCTTCGAGAGATAGGGGAGGGACAGTAGATGGGAAAAATGAAGACACTAAAAAGGAAACATATTTGCCAACAGTTTATCACTGAAAAGACACGATTCTTAAAAAAAATATTGTCCTTTTCTTGCTCCAAACTCACATTGTCATTCTCCACCTGTCCACTAGTTGTCAGAGTTGAGCATCGATGTGCAGCTGTTTTGTGGGGCTTTATTAACAGCAAACCACCATAGTCGGGCACAGTGGGAAATTAATTTGTTTGTTATGTTGCCTTCAAACAGAACTCATTACCTCTTAGACGTGGTTTAGTGGCTGTGAGCAACGTGCACATTCCAGAGGAAAGAAAACCTTCTCCCTCTGCTTCATTGAATCATCGTATAAAGACCCTCTCTCAAAGTGACTAACTAAACGAGTATGCCAACTGTAGTCACTGGAAAGGGTTTAACCCACTCAGCCAGATACGTTGGTCTCAGAGGACAGACAGGATTTAGAAAAAAAAGACAGTGACTGATGTGAGCCCACCTTAGACTCCACAAAATATATATGTAGTCTCTGGGACGCCACCATAGGTTTCTAAAAAGGTACCATGAATCCCTACATGTTAAAAATGCCGACTCAGCCTAATTTTTAGCCAACCTAGACAAAGTCAGAGAGTTGAGACAAACCTTTAGCCTCTTTGCAAGCTGCTACCACATGCCTACCTGTATGACAAGTTAGCTAGGCCCTTAACTAATGCCATGTTGTGCAAAAAAGATAACCCTAGTTCATGTTAAAAAATAAGCACTTGAACATGTGTGTGAAAGGAGTGTCCTTGGCTTTTGCAGCAAGCTTCCAGTGGACACCTAAGGAACTGCAGTTTTTATTTTATTTTATTTTATTTTATTTTATTGTGCTCTAAAAGCGAGACGACATGAATTTGGATGAGGTGTCATGATGCCCATCAAGACTGCTCAGTCCTGCATTAATGTCCTATATCAGTTTTTGTTATCCAAACTGATGTCCTCTTAATTTCTATAATCAACCAACAGACTCTGTGGTCAATTTGACTGCTTTCTTTGGGTTTTCTCACCGTTAGAGGAGAGTAGGATAGTAGGGTAGGATAGTCAAAATAAACATTTCTGTTTGATGAACTGGGAAAATTTGGGGTCAAGACAACCCTATAAGCTGGCAACAAGAATTCATCAAGACAAATTTCCTAAGCCAATTAACAAAAGTATGCCGTAGTGTGGGGAAAAGAGAGGGAAAAAAATTACTATGACATACCATAAAAGTAGAAGTGTTATAAGAGGCAGGACCTGCCTCTGGGATCTGGTTTGGGGACCAGCATCTGTGAAGAGTACATTAAGAGCATTAGTGTAGAGTACAGTGTCAGACTGAGAGTAATGACACCATGCAGTATCTGCCTTTGTTTCCTTTAAATATTACTTTCATTATAAAAAGTCTAAAAGGGTCTGTTTAAATCGAGGACCTTTACTTTGAAAGAGCACCTGAATATTAACTCCAGCCTAAATCTATGCAACATATTCCAGTGTTTAAAAAAAAGCTTAAACTGCTTCTTTTTAAAAGGTCAACACCAGGGGTTTAGTAAAACAAGACTTTCAGAGACCCCCTGCACGGGCCGCTCTAATTACAGCAGAGGAAGTGGCATAGCTTAACACGAAACCACCATGCTCGGCTGTTACATCCCATGACTCTGAATGAAAGCAGAAAAGCAGTTTTATATCTTTTAATGTGCCTGTATGTGAGAGAGCCGCACACTAGCAGTGTGTGGCACAGGCACCGCGGAGCATATGGGCAGGCACGTCTGCTCTGCCTGTTAAGCACAGGGGACATCAAAAGGTGTGCTTTAACACACACACACACACACACACACACACACACACACACACACACACACACACACACACACACACACACTATAAATCCCACCCCAAAATCCCACCCCAAAAGGAGCCATTTATGGGACAATAAGAGCCACTTTTATGGGCCCCCAGAAAATGAAGGCAATTCAGAGGTGTAGGATGAAATATGACAAGGCCTTTCTGGGGACTAGCTGGTAGCCCTGTGTGTCCTCACAACTTTCTCTTCTGTAGCCTTTGTGTCCATGAAAACAGATGGACCAAATGGGCATAATATTTTCTTCTCCTATGTGTTTCTTGCTGAGGACTGGTCAGCTACAGAGGCACAAATCAAAGCTGCAATAGTATGTGAGCATTTTCTGTAGTGGGCATGTTGTGGCATGTAAATCCAGGGTTTCCTTTAGCTATCACCTTTTTCTGTCTGCTGATGCTAAGATCTCACACTTGGCTAATGACCTCCCCTATCCTCCAGAGGTCTGAAAATACGTTCACATGAATATATACATAAAGACAATAGAATTAGTAGAATTCTAGACACATGCATACGGACACATAAGACCCAGGCGGGATCACGTCTGCCTCAGAGTTACTCAGGTGTGGTAAGATTGCTGCAGCACTGACATGAGACGTTTGGGGAAAACCACAGAAAGGTCTTCACCATGCCCGGACCACTCAAGCATGCACAACATTTCTCTGCTCTGTAGTGTGTGTTGCTGATGGATGTAACAGCACATGAGGCAGATCCTTTCTCAACGTCTCTCTGGGCTGACACAAAATGCTTTTAAATTCAACAGCGTAACTAATTTCCTGTACATCTCTCGAAGACTGCCCAACAATGAGTCAGCTACCTTTCTAAGTCTGGAAACAACTTCTCAAGGAATCACAGTTTGCTCCTTTCCCCCTTCTCTCACTCTCATCGGCCTTTTCCTCTTTTATTCATTTAGTTTAATAGTCTGTAATAGTTACCCAGTATCATTAAGACCAACCTCTGTGGCTTCTAACACTGCTGTAAGGCAAGCCAAGTGTTTGTTGTCGGCTTTTTTATTGGCTTGCAGGAAAGAGGGTTGTTGTTGTTAAGTGTAATCTTGGCACGCCAATAACAGGTTTCAATAAAAGCAGCTGCTTTCTTAGTTGAGCTGCTTTTCACCCTCCCCTTTTAAAAACTATAAGTGTCTCCATTTGTCCAGACATTTTTCAATAATGCAGATTTATCAATTTTCTCTTTCTCTCTTTTACTCTACATGTCACATTAACTCATATATTTTCTTATCTCCTTTTTTCCCTCTCTTACTCCTTTCTCTAAGCAGGTTACTGAGCTTTAACTGATATGCTGCTGGGCTACCCAGTTTAATTGGACTACACTGCCCCCTTTAGGACGCACCCTGCAGTTGCAAATCAAGAAACTAGGGAGGCAAAGAGGCTGATGTTGATGAAGAGTGAGATAGATGGGCCAACAAATACTTGAGGGCTTTTGTTGAAAGCAGCTGACTAAGAGTAACTCAAAAACATAAACAAAAAATAAAATTTGAATTTTCCCTGATAAACAGCTGCTGTAGCCTATACATGTTAAACGTTCCTCTACATTATGAACAAATGAAATGGGGACAAAACGTGAACAACAACCACCATGAGCTAAAGTCACCATAGCAATGCCCTGCAGCTCGAAAGGTGGTGTCACCCTGCTAGATAACACCTGGTAGTCGTAGCCATCATAAGCACTGAGAAAAAGCACTTACTGTGTTTATGCTGGTCCTTCAGGTAGTCCTCTTTTTAATCCTCATCGTTATCTTCCATGTCGACAATTACGATGTAATCCACGGCTTTGGCAATTAAAATCCTCATTACTGGAACAAAAATAGTCTCTGAAAGCTCCCATAAACATTTCAGCCTCATTCACGGTGATGGCTACCTGCGGCTAAGTAGGCCTACAGGTGGCAAAAGTGAATTAAAGGGCCAAGGCCTTCTTTTTGACTGTGCTGCGTTCAATTGCAATCTGAAACTTAGGAAGCAAGACTGGAGTTGTTGAGAGAAATTTTACCTTAGACATTACTTTAATGTTGTTATTTTTTATTGTTAAATATTTGACACCAGTTTTATTCAAACTTAACATCAAATAAACACACAGTGGTAGAAAATTAAAGTGGCAAACTCTGGTCTTGAGTAAAGTGCAATTCTATGAGTGTCCACTTGAGGCTGGCTGCAAGAACACTGAAGCCACATACACACCCACTCAGAAAAAAAAAACAGCAACAAAAATGAAATATTTCTTGGCTGTTACCAAAAAGACTGCAAAAAATATTGGTCTGAAGAGCCCACTTGTGCACACTGTTGAAAACAGTATTTTCATTTCAATAACCACATCCCGATAGACACAAATTGTACTGCTTAAATGAACTATTGGCTTTGGTTAAATTCAACCAATAGCCTATAACACAATGAGCAACAATATTCAACTTTCATTGTGAAACTGTAGGGACAATATTACATAAATCTAAAATTAGATTTTTTACATAGATGTGCTGGCTTGGTGCACCTCTCAGAATATTCTGTTACCACGTCAACATAGATCACCATGTGATGGACAAACAGCAAGAGGAGATGAGGACAAGTAAAGTAGATGTGAATAAGTGTGGAAAAAGTAGGAAAGGGAGCAAATGAAATTATGGACAATTTGTTCAGTGAGGTTCAAATGGATATGAGAATAAAGTTGAGCAACACTTGGAGGGCCAGTGTAAACAGTGTGATTGATTGTAAACAGTCATGCAATGATAATACAGCAATGAGTTCAAGTTTAGGAGTTTTAAAACATTTTCCAGTAATTCTCAGGAAGAAAAACACTTTGGTGGGCTGTAGTATCTATCTGATTATGTAACTTAAATGTCATGAATGTACGATCATTTTGAGGTACGTGCAAGTTAACTTATCCATCGACAAATGTAGTTAAATATCACCTCTCTGGCACAAGATTTTTTCAGAATAAATCCGGACCTGTCATCTAAACATACATGACACAGGCTCAACGTTTGAGAATAAGTGAAACTCTCATGCATTGCTTTCCCCCTCAAGAGCTCTGATTTTTCTTGGCAGTAAAGTTTGGATTGCCAACACATTCCATCATAAAAAGGTTCAGGAGAAAGAGTCCCCATGTGTTAAAAAGCATTCCTGTCTCTCAAGCAAAATTAAAAAGCACTCAGATAAACATTATTGAACCTGTTCTGGAGCGTGAACATTCCACCATGTCTCACTGACCCTGACTCGAGTTCGTGTTTCCTCTTTTGGTTTCTCCAGGGTTTCTTTTTTTTCTCCTCCATCAGTCAGACCTTATTTTCACACCATGTAATGGTTATTTTTACTTTGATTGTAGCAACATGTTTCAAAAGATTTGGGACAGGAACAAAACTTAGAAAAAGTTGTGTACTGCTAAAAACACACTTTGAAGAACATCTCCCAAATTGTGAAGGTTACTTTGCAATGGGTTGGAAACATGTCTGGGTGTAGTTGAGCAGGCTTGGAAATAAAGGTTGACATCACTACATCAATAACCATTTTACGCTGATGATACTGTTGTGTCTATGTCTGTCTATCCAAATGTGAAAGATAAATCTGAATGGGTAGATCTTTTTCAGTTGGATCGCACACTCGGAGAAGTAAATTTATGGCTTGGCTTATTATGGCCAGATTTACTGGTCAAAGATAGAGCACAACATCACCCCGCTCCTTAAGATACTGTACTGGTTTATTGTATACTAACAAGGTCCATCTTGAGATGGGTAAAAGGAGTCCAAGGAGTTTCAGATATGCTGCTCCTGCAGCCTGGAATCAGCTACAGGAGCCTCTGTGTCTTGGGGAACTATTGTCTTTAAATCATTTTAAATGTAAATTGAAGGATGATGTTTCTGGTTGTAGATGTTTTAAACAATGACCTAGTGTCACGTGACTCAGGATTGGTTGAGCCATGTTTATATCTGTTTTGTTTTACGTCTGTACCTCTGTTAATTTTGCTGCTGCATGACTTGGCCAGGACACTCCTGTAATTGAGATTATTGTTCTCAATGAGTTTTTTTCCTGGTTCAAGAAATGTAAATAAAATAAATGAATAACACTAACTTTAATGTGCTTATATTAGCAATATAATGCTCATATATAATATTTAATGAGCTTTAAAAAAGATTTATCCATCTTATATCAAAGATCTTGAGAGACAAGTGAACAATGAGTGACATCCACAGAGAAACTCCCTAAATAAGATGTTTTGCATTTCTATATGGTTCCATCATCATCGGGCAGTGACTTGGAACACTAAAACCTTTGTCTCTCTGTATTAACACTTCGGTTTTATATCTGCATGGTGTTGTTTTTGAGCCCTGAGTTTGAACTCCAAGCTATCAGTCCTCTGGGAGGGGAGTGACAGCTTTTATATGCCATAACTTTTGTAACTGATATGTCTTAACATGACTCATCAAGAAATGACACATCACTTTCCAAAAAGTTTTTTCAGAGAGGTCCCTCTGAGCCTTAAGGAAGTTTTATTTTCCTACTATCCAAACAGTTTTTTTTTAATATATGAAAGCAAGTTTATTTCCATCATCTTTGGACTTTGCAGCAAATAGAGCAAGTCACATGTGACAGATTCAAGTTAATTGAGCAGAACTCCCCAAAGTCATTAAAAAAGTTGTTTTCATGGACCGTTTCACAGGCATTTACTTGTCAATCACATTCTAAACAGGTTCTGTTGTCAAAGCAGTCTGATCCCTGAGTGACAATATGATCTGGTCACATGGAGTGTATCCGGGAGGAACTGAATCTTGTTCTGCCAATTAACATCCATCAGGACTTCGTTTCCAAGAAAACCTCACATTGATCCAGTTTAAAACAGCACCGTGTTGCCATTATTGGAGCCCTCTTTGCTAACAGCTGGGCCTTGTAAGTGCAGCACCCCATCACTTACGGCGGCGATTATGGGCTGCAGTTTGGTCTTTAGTTGTTATCATTTGTTTCATGGGTTGTTCTGCAGGCAGGGGTGATTGGATAAGTCTGTGTGAGTATTTGAGATTTCTGAAATGGAAATGTTAAAGACTAAAACCTCTCTTTGTGTTGTGTGCGTGCCAAATTGCTGTATATACAGTATGTTCCACCTTCATATCAACCTGGGGTGTAAAATAACCCTGGGGGGACTCCAAGTCTCCGTAGTTCATGAGGCAGTCTAGGAATAACACAAGAACCCTGGGTAAAGTGAGTCATCTGTTATGATCAAAACCATTTAAGGTGTAATTTCTAGTAAAATAACTCAGGAAAACATGCCTACAGTGACTTTCTTCCCCACTTTAAATGATGCAAAGTATGTGTTTAAACAAACAATGACTTTCTGCCTTTACTAGTAGGGGGCACAGACTGAAACTTAGCTAAGGGGGTTTCCTTTGACAAAGATGGTTGGGAACCAATGGTTTATATGACAGTATAATCATGGTCATAAGGCTGTGACCTCCCAAAGGCATCCAGAGGTCATCCATGATTCACTCAGATAATGAGCCTCATCACTTAGGCTGTCACACGCTCTCCTCTGAGGCCCAGCTAATATTTGCAGCTAGCGTTGCATTGAGGGGTTATATGAGCTGTAATCCCATGCAACATTGACCAGTATGATATATAACTGTAAGAACATGAAGGATTGGATACTTATTTAGCATAATACAGCAATTCTCTGTAATGCATGGGATCTGTTGCAGGAGAAGAAAAGTTATACGCTGAGAATTAAATGGCTTTAGAGTCATAAGTGCCACTTTCAGGAATATTTATTTAAATAAACCTATTTCCCTGAAGTGCATAGTCATTTAAAGACGATTTGCAGAAGGGATGAAGGAAAAGCTACAAAAACAAGACACCAGGCCACGAGAGCTTCAAACGTCAACAGTGTAAAGTACACACTGATGAAACTACAATCTCAAAGTTTCTTTTTCCTGAGTAATGGTGGTGATTAAAAAAATAATAATATAAAAAAACTTCATACAAATCCAGCAAGGGATAACCCCAACCACATCAAACCTTGTACAGAGGTAAACTTTACCAGGTTGGCACTATTTATCTCATAGCCACCAAAGAGTATGAAGGAATATAAGTTTAAATCTCATATTTTTAGCACATAAAGGTAAAAAAAAAAAAGAGATACTGCCATCACTTAGTGTGAGCCCGACAAAACCCACAAGATTTTCACAAAGACTGTCAGAACAGCTGTTTCTCTTTGGTCCAGATCCATTTTTAACCCATTCAGCATGCACTGCAGGTGGCTCTTTGGTGCTGTCTTCATCTTATTATCTTTGTATCCTCTTTCAACAATTTCCTGAGTGCTTTAGTATTCATTTTCAGAGACAGTCAGGGCACAGTGCCACCTGTCCAGGTAAGTAAGCCCTGCAGGGACAGAGTCTGCGGTGTGAAGGATCAGAGCCGGCACAACTGAACAGTAAAGGCTCTTGCTGAAGGCCGCAGTGTCGACCCCAAGGACTGTAGGAAGGAAACAGGTGGTTGGCTTCCTTGGCTGTGCTGGAGCAGCCTATACCAAGTCTACAAGGAGAGAAAAATCAGACTTATTCATTATGTTACATGCACACATAGTATTCATAGTTGTGCAAGGTTATTGCTCTGGTTGGGGCCAGTGACTACACGTATAATATACACGTGTCTGTATAAACTCTTCGTTCTTACCTGGTAAATGCAGCAGGAGTGTTCAGGTGTTGAAACAGAGCAGGCTCACACACATGAGAGGACTGGCGGCACACGCTCACACATGACTGACCCAAGGGACCCAGGTGAATCCTTAGAGCCCTTTCTGGTGGCCAAGAAGGGGCTGATTTGGTGCAAAAGCTCTGAAGGGATTCAAGAAGAAGTTAAAAATGGGAATAAAACCAAACAAAGTACTCTGAAGCTTTGAATATGGGGATGTAGATGTAATTTGAGTGTAACATCTATGGCAAACTGTCACATCTCTTTACCTGGTGAGTGATATAACTGTAAACCCTCTCCAGCATTCCCTCACACGTGAACTCCCGGGGAGTGAGGGGCTTCACCTGCGGAGATATATGCATACATTTAAAGACAGATCCACAGGATTACAAATTCTGTCTATAAACATGTCTCAAACTTGAGTTTTGTATCTTCTGTAGTCACCACCTCTGTGTGTACAATTGCTTTTACTGCCTCCCGTACATCCGTCTCGTTGGTCACATCCACAGTCCACACATGGGGTTTACCGATGAAGTTTTCAGCATATGGGTGCTGAGAGGAGATCTGTCAAACAGATGTAATCATTGTCTCTAAAGCTGCAAAAATTAACACAACTCAAACTTAATTTCCTTTAATATAAGGAGTGGTTTACCTGTCTAGTGGTGGGTTTTCCTTTGTAGAAGTCATTGTTAACTGAGGAGTGTGGCGGATGAAATCGTGGCTGAAGAAACACGCAGCCTAGAGCTATCGCCTCAATAGGAGCTGGACCCTCATAGGGGAATCCAAGTCCTACAAACACCTAGAAGGACACAACAACTGCATCTTATTAAGGATCCAGCAGAAACCACAATAAAGACAGGGCAGGCAGAAGCAGCTTATACAACATAAATGCATAATCTGACCTTGGCTCTGCGGAGGAGTCGTAAGAAATCCTCCTGTGTCAGCAGGCCATGGTTTTTTATGAAGCTTGGCAGATTGGAGGCATGTCCTGCAGGCTGGTAGACTGTAGCATGGGTCTCCAGTTGTTCACTGATCAACCCGATATATTGAGATTTACCCTGGAATGTGTACATAAATACAAGTGCTTGCCTGTCAAAGAGAAATGTAAGCCTATATTCATGCATGCAAATTCCTCGTGACTTAATCAGCTGTGCGGCATGCAGCTGGCTTCTTGACAAGATTCATGCTAACTTAGAGTCTATATATCCAAAGCTGTAGTTGACCAGTTTTAACTATCATACTTTCCACATGTAGTCCTGTTTGCCGTAGACAACTGCTATCCTGTCTTTCTTGTAGCTGTCAGGCTCCAGCTCCTCTTCTCTCACCTCCTTCCTTGTCGCCTCCTCGCTTACAAAGCCCAGGAAGGAGTTATCAGGAGTATGAGCTGGAGAACAGAGCAGTAAATTTATGAGAAAACAGATAAATAAATAAATTACCTGCAGAATGCGTATCAGTGTCAGTGCGACGGAGTATTAGGGACACATAAGGGAAAAAAAAGTAAGATTAAGATTAAAGTCACTAATTTACAAGAATAAATTCATTATTAATAAGAATAAAGTTGTAATAAAGTAATTACTTACAAGGATAAAGTCATAATAAAGTCATTACTAATGAGAATAAAGTTGTAAAAAAGTAATTACAAGAATAAAATCATAAATTAATTTCTTATAAGAATAAAGTCTTAATAAAATAGTTATGATACTTACGATAATGTGGTGCCTATGTGACAAAAGATTAAGTATCTCCTTGTTTGAGAAACCTTTACTGAAGTACATTTTCATGAAATGCTCCATGGCTCTCATTTCAACAACTGTCATCTTAACCAACAGGTTAGAATGTAAGGACGTTATTCTGACTTTACTCTCCTAAGTGATGACTTTACTACTTTATTCTCATAAGTAATGGTTTTATTACAACTTTATTCTCATAAGTTAATTCATTTATTCTCGCATGTTAATGACTTTAATCTCTAAGTCTTAGTTTTTTTTCTTATGTGTCCTTAATACTCTGTCGAAGTGTCAGCCAAGCACACGACATTGAAATATATAAAACCATACACACATACTCAAGTTTCAAAGTTGTAAAAGTTGTCTCAAAAGTGTCCTGAAATTTATTTATCGCTTTAATTAAACATGGCACATCTGCACACGTTTCACAAAGATTGATCAAAAAAGGAAAGGAAAAAAACATAGCTGGAGGAGAGGCAGTAATGATGGGCTGGTGAAAAACAGTTAGGAAGGGAAGAACTTGCTGTGCAGCATAAAACAACACTTAGAGGGAATGAGAAATCTCTTTACATGAGAGGTTCAAGTCTGGCTGTTTGGATAGGCAGCTACCACCCTGCTGCCCTCTGACATACCCGGGAGGGTGTGAAAGATGGGTATTTACACTACTAGGAATGTGCCAGGAAAGGTGAGCGTATGTGTCAGAGTGTGTAATTGGAGTTCTTTAACATTTGCATGTGTGTGTGTCTGTGTGTCTTTATCCGGTTTTGATGTAGATCTGCCCTCGCTGACCCTTAAAGCAGTGCAGAATCCCCCCCCCCCCCCCCCATCCTCCTCTTCAGTCTTATTTGTCATCACTTGTCTCTTACACCTGTCTGGGTTCATCCATCAGATTCACTGAGATATGCAAAAGCAAATTGATATGGTTAAAGGTATTACAACATGCTGATGGGACATTCTGTTGGCATAAAATGTCTTTTGTTTTATGGTTTAATTGTCTATCTCCTTCTTCTCGTATTCAAAACTGAAGCACAAACAACACGCCCGCTCTTTTCTCAAGCTTCTCTCTGCCCCTTCTCCTCCACCAGCTCACAATCACCACCACCCCGATAGCAGGACAAATAAACAGTGATCCAGTCTGAAGCATGAAGAGTGGCTCTGGGCCCAGTGTGTCCAGCTTGTCTCCATCCCCTGGCAGGGTGGAGAAGATGACAGCGAGAGGTGTTGCAATGAAAGTTCTGCCTGGGCACCAAGTTCATCTAACCTCAGCTATTAATCCTGTCACTGTAGAGACACATAGAGCAGTGTGTGTGAGGAGTCTATGCTGCAGCAGCAAGCTAGAACCATGTGCAGATGTGTGTATGCATGTACTGTCTCAGATATGGATTTGTTCACATACTGATACAAATGTTTGCATGATTACAGACACAGATAAAAGTCTGTGCACACACAGACACTTACGGAACATGGTCATGTACTGCAGAGGCTGCAGACCCCAGCTGCCCCACAGAGTTTTATATCCACGGCTGCGTGCATAACTGCCCAAGTTAAACGCTGGTTCAGTGCCAAAAGAGTCCAAGATCCTGAAACGGCACCTGCGGGGTGTCACAAAATGTTCCATATGTGCTCTTATACAACTTTTTCAATTCAGAACGAACACAAAATTATGATGTGTGATGCTGCCTTCATCATGTAAAAGCTGCTCTACATAAAATAAACCTGCAGCATGCACAAACACTAAGAAGCTAAAATAATATAACTCAAAAATATAGAATTTTAAAATCAGTGTTTTGAAACTGAGTTTTTACTTTGAGTAAGGCGCTCCATTGATTGTATTGATAGTTAAACAAAGATGTAATTTCATTGAGACAACAGAGAAGTAGTTATGCACAAGAAGCATAAATTTGTATAAGAATAATGGTAGTCATACTGGTAATGCAGAAAAGCCAGCCCCATGGCACCTTGAAGGTGAGTAAGGCCATGGTAGTCGGTGTAGATGAGGTCAAAGGTCAGGGGCCTCTGGATCGGACAGCTACCTCTGCCTGGAGCTGCACCTATCAGGCTGAACCAATCACAACACAACAACACTAAGAGCCAAGCAACACTTTGCACTGATTTTTCTGCCACTTCATAGACCTGACTCAGGAGAATACAAGAGTTTATACATGTAAACTGGATATTTGCTGATATATGACAAACTGATCCAAGTACATTATTAGCATTTTAATGCCAAATGGCTGTTCATCAAGAGCAATGAATTATTGAGTGATTGCTGCTATATTTCTTTTTTGTTCTTACTTTCAGAAACTCATGGAGGTGTTGAGGATGATAAATCTTAAGGTACTCAATTAAAGCCCCCATAAGGAGTTTTTGAGGTCTGTGAACTGAACAGAAAGTAACATTGGAACCTTTTTTAATGTAAGAATGCAAACAAAAACCCTAGAAACACGATTGATGAGTTATTATTGTCATTTGCAATGCCTGAAACCAGTGTAAGAGGATAAGTGTCAGCCAAGCAGCTGGAAAAACAGCCCTCTTTTTATGTTTTTCACAGATAATGTTCATAATAAATGATCGATTTGACTAATAAAGTCAGAGTGATGAGTAGTTTATTTTGCCAGAAGACACAATTTAAGCATAAAGGACAAGATAAACAAAGACTGCTTTGTCCACAGGGGGTGCCAAATTTGAATTTTTGTTTGTTTGTTTGTTTGTTTGTTTGTTTTAATGTTTGTTTGTTTCACTCTTTTTCCCATTAGCAGTGTTTTACGAGCATTGGCAATAGTTTTTTTTTTTTTTTTGCTTTCTTGTATATGACACATCAAAATACTTCCTAACAGCTGACATGCTGAAGCTTGTAGTTGGCTTCTGTAAGTTATCTTTGTGTGCACCTGATAAATGTCTCACCTTATTTGGTACAAATATTAGCTAAAATGTCTTTTATCTACTGAAACTGGACCTCTGACATTCATAGCCTACTGTGAAGCCCTAGTTTAAATGTATTATGTTTCCATAGATTAGAGATACTAGTTTCACGTTGATGCAGACCTGAAGAGTTGTTGCTGTGAGGTACTGAAGGTGAGGTTGTGTCCCAGGATTGTCAGACAAGCACTGAGGTCTGCCCACTGAACCAGCTCTCCAAGGGGACCCCCTCTGTTTACCATGGCTTCAAAACGCTGACCAACACTACCAGACAGGGCGCCAGGATAAAGCAACACCTGGAAAATGGGAACAAGGCATGTTGTTAAGTCTAAAAATCTGCCTTTTTATTTTATTTTATTAATTGCAATTATGTTCTGAAAAACACATAAATGAAAAAACCCTAAAAAGTTTCCATGTTTAACGAATAAGTTTAAAGTCAGTTTTAAACATTAATACCCAACAGGCTATAAAAAGGATGCTTTTACCTTTAGCTGGTTCATCACTGTCCTGTTTCGGCTCTGCCTCATCCCCTGACCAGCCTGTATCCATCTGTCAGACATCCGCTCCACTCTAGTCCGGATGAAGTCTATGGCAGATCCGCTGGCGTTACTGAAGACCTCATATAGAGGGGTCAGAGTTGTACGTATCTCAGACTGTACACAAGCACAGGGAGACATAAGAAGTTAGTGCAAAAATATTCATCATGAGCAGTGACTTTTAAAGTCACAAAGTAAATATTGTGTTACCTTTTCTGTGTAGGTGTAGGGTTTCTGGTGCCATGGCAGCACAGAGACATTTTTTCCCTGATGAGGAGGACAGAAGTCTTCTATAAGGCTGAGGTAAGTCAGTATGGAACAGACTGTACCATCCACCCCATAAAAGGAGTAACAGGGATCAGCCTGCCAGCGAGCATGAAGAAACTGCCAAAAAAATGCATACAAATTTAAAAAATATTGATGAGAATAAAATCAACAAAGAAGATGGAATTAGGTGCTGATAATAATTTTATGTTCTTAAGGTGCAGGTCAGCTCAGCTACTGAAGCAGGGGGCTTATATACAGAGGCTACAGCTCAACATGCAACAAGTGCAGGTTTGACTCCTGGCCTCTAAGTACCTGATCTTGCTTGTCTCTCCTCTGCTGCCCAGAAATTTGTTTCATTATTATGCCTGTTGGAAAGTGCTACAGTGCAATGGATGCACAGGTCTGATCTGAAGGAAGGGCTATTTAATGACTCCCTCTCACTGAGCTGCTTATTTAAGCCTCTGTCCCTTTAAGGCTCCCCCAGCATTCTTGAAACCTCCTTTACTGTTGCCATGCAATAAAGTTGTGTTTCTTTTTATAACGTAATAAATTTAGCCATATTGCCAAAATTGCCATTTTATAGAGATGCCCTGATTTAAGCAAATCTCATATTGATCTCACTGAATTTTGTTTGAGTTTTTGAACAAGCCAAAAGTATTTCTAAAAGTAGTCCCACCAATCAGCCCTATAACACTTCCAGAGAGCATACCATGCTGCTGTTTGGGGGTTGTTTGTGGTCTATGTTTTCTTTACTTTAGTAGATGTCTCAGAAAACCCAACATCTTTTTGACAGTGTGCTCCATGTGGTGTCAGTTTTTGGGATGTCTCTACTTCTTTATTACTCAGTGGAGTCAACAGACATAAATACAGGAAGCATTAGTGAGCCTTAAAGAGCACTGTTATTCAGTCAGTTATTATTGTTACCTTCAACTATATTAGGCTGAGAGAAATCATCCTGATATAAGAAATGTTTTATTACTTTTTATAATAATTAAGTCAGAAGAATTGCACATTTGGACCTGATGTCGAGTGCTTCTTTGTGTTTGGTCCTAGATCAGGAACATTGTGGACATCCTTGGTCAGCCGGATGATTGTCTCCTTGATGCCTGGATTTTTACAGACAAGTTCTTTAAGACAACCCGGCACTCGGATAGAAAGTGGTGGCTAATGGTATTTTCACTCTGTTCCTAAGCGGTAACCTAACCAGATTTTTCTTCTATAAACTAATTTCAGGACTAAGTATCTGACATGTACACAATGTTTTATTCCTGTAGACTCCCATGGAGTTTATAAAGACCACCAGGCTTGAGCCTAAAAAGGGTGAGAGGGCTCTGAAAAACCTCAATGAGATTGTTACATTAAGTGCGACATTTGCATGAATTAATACCATTTCACTTCAGAGAGAGAGAGAGGAAACTCCAGCCCTCCATCCAGAGCCTGCAGAACCAGGCCCCTTAGCCTCTGAATGTCCTCCATCTAAGGACATCCGTCTTGACTTTGTAGAGGAGGATAACCCCAAAAGAGAGGAAACTCAAGCCCTCCATCCAGAGCCTGCAGAACCAGGCCCTTTAGCCTCTGAATGTCCTTTATCTTATAATCCATCAGCTGTTATCTGCCACATAGAGGAGGAGAACCTGGAGCAGATTGAGATAGAGCTGAGCTCAGCCATTAATGGGCCTACAGCTGAAGCAGGAGCTTCTGAAGTCAGAAAAAGAGGCCCTAAAACAAATGAGAAATTTCTTCACTAGGACCATCAGATGCTTTTTCAAGATCAGGAAGAGATCCTAACCAAATATTTATAGTAACAAGCTTTTGTTTGTGATGCATTTCATGTTGTGAAAATGTAACTGTGTTATTGAAACTGAACCCATAAATCACATGTATTAAACATGTGTCCAACATGTGATTGTCACAGGAATAAACAGAAATGTTTAAAGTCTGTCAACAAGATGGACTTTGTTGTGTCAAAAAAAACAAAAACAAAAAACAATGATGTCAATGCTTGTATGTTTAAACAGGGGAGTTTTGAAGGTCTGTGCTACAGTTACGTTTATATTTTCATTTCCTTTCTTTCTAAAAGTATCTCTAAAAGTAAGGTTGAAACTTCAGGTTGAAAGTAAAAGTTGTCCTTTTCTTGGCTGAAAAGTTCAAAAAGCGTCACAAATACAAAGATGTTGTTTTATAAGAACAAGAAACGTGTAGTCCACCCTGTAGTCCCATTAGAGATCACTTCAACACACATTAACTTTGTAATCCAAAACTTTGTTCATATATGGTATCGACGTCCAACATTTGAACTTCACATTTATTTTTAAATGATGAAAAAAGCACAACACCACCTTTCTACAGAGCAGCACTTTACTGATGGCCTTCAATTTATGGTGTTTTTAAACTGAAGAGTCAAAGCTGTGAATTGGTTTAGTCTGTGCTGTTTGTTATCTACTTTACCTTGTTATTATTATTGTATAATCCCAAATCATCTTATTGCAAATTTATCTCACACCCCTTCTCAAAAGTCTACTGCATTGATGGCAGTTTTCTTAAAAACCATCCTCCTGCTGCAGTAATCATAAGTGATGGCTGGCCTTAGTTATGAGAACAGGTTATACACCTGCTTTACAGATAAGGAGCACTGTCCTCTGTTATGAACCAATATTGGCAATTGGTTACTTAATGTAAGGTGAACCTCCCAATAAAGATTTATCTTTAGAAAAAATAAAAACTGTATTATAAACAGGTCAATGTAGTATTTACAGTTTATTTCATCCTGTGTTTTATATTTTTTTATTTGGGTAAATGTATTTTTTAAATGCCTTCAAGTACTCATATGACACAATGTCATGTTTAAGTGATGAAGACTGGCTTGGATTAATTCAAGAATTTGATGTAATTCTCATCAGTTTAAGTAATGTTTTTACATTCTGTTCAAACTTGCACATAAACTTTAACTAATAAACCTAAGCACTTAAATACAGCAATAATAGCAGACACACATGCTACCACATATAATTCCAGCTTCTCACCTTGACTTTCTCTGCACACAGCGGATACGCAGGATCCATTGGCACCTCACACTCCTCATTGGGCCCTATGGGTAACACATTAACCATCACGTACTATTTTAAAATACATCATTATACCAAAACCCCGAGCATTAGCAACAAAAAGGTACATTGTACAGTTAACTCACTGCAGGTGATGAAGAACAGAGGATAATAACTTTGATATACAACCTCTCAAATGTTCACATTGAATAGCAGCCATCAGCACCATGTGTATAGAGTTGCTGTGCGTGCAGGAGGCTTTAGAGTAAAGGCAGTGTGTTCTCAGAGGCCTCCTTCCCGTAAGGCCCCCCTACCTCCTCTAGCCAATGTCAATCAAGTGAAATGAACACACACACACTCACACACACACACACCTGACACACCTGCCTCCTACCAAACATAACCCTTTTTACAATGCAAGGTTTTGCCAAAACACACAGTCCTTAATTTTGTAAAACAACCTCATAAAAAGGAAAAAAGATAAGAAAAACCTGATGGCGTGGCCAGGGTGCGAAAGCTTAAAAACAGAGATACGCTGTTGAAGAAAGAAAAAAAAGAAAAAAGTGCTCCCTCTGCAAAAACATGAGCATGAGTAGACAAGCTGGTGAAAGGACTCGTGGGTAATTCGGTCTTATTTTATGAGTGTGAGGTAATGTGAGAGGATAGGGGTAAGGGGTGAACAGGCTGGTGACGGGGAAGTGTGTTTGTGTGTATGCGGGTGGCACATTTGTACAAATTATAAGTATGTGCATGCTGACATATCCATGGTACGATGTCTGTGTGGCCCAAAAACAAAGTAAGCATGCCGACACACGAAAGTACACACACACATGCTCCGTCTTGCATGCCAACTTGGGTGCATAACCCCAGCTCTCGCCTGACACCTCTCAGGAGGGTCATAGCGGAGACATAAACTTTTTCTCCTCCCCAAGGCCAGATGATCTGCACCGGCTCTGAGGGACTTGTTAAACTTCTATTCAAGGACTTCATTCCCCATAACCACCTGCACACACTAGCCCTTTAACCCTCTAATTCACACCCTCCATTATCACAGCTTGTTAATTTCACTGTGTGGTTAACCTCTTTTGAGGCTCTAAACTGTGTATTTGACTCAGAGTGTCACTCTACCACAGCAGTACACCGCAGCCCAGCTTTGCAATTACGGTTAATCACTGAAGCTGGAAAAAGCAAGGAATGAGGGAGAGAATTTATATTATTTTGCAAGAATATCAAAGCACATTACAACTGAAACAACCCCCCTCAAAAAAATCAGCATTTTAGCTTGGACAGTAAACTGCTTTTAGAAAAGTAACAGGTATACTTAAGTGAGTTAGATTTGTATGTGGCAACCTGAAACACTTGTTTATTCTGTCTAATTCTCACTGCCCCAGTTAAATAATATTCCTGTCAGAACATATTGTCTATAAATTTACAGAGATTTACACCTCTGGAGAGGATTAGGATTGTGGGAGCTGTAGTGCAGCTACCTGCCACAAACTGGGGCTAATGGCCACAGCCAGAAAAAGTTATGTTGCCTTACTACCATGATGTAAACAAGCGCAGATGACAAATCATAGCGTAATGTTGGTATTTGGTCCAAAAATGTTAAGATATTATTTAATGACAGCTGTTTCTGGGTGAAAATACAAACACTCCTCGATCAGAGTTTTGGCCCGTGTTATCAAGACCAAAGGGAGACTTCATTTTTTCTCCCACTTGCCTCATTTGTGACTCCTGAGAAACAAACCAGCTCAGGGTTGGCATATGACATCATCTTGTAGTCTCGGATCTTTTAGTTCTCCACATCAACTGTTTTCTTACACAAGATAAGATACTCCTTTTTTGGTTCCAAAAGGGGAAATTTCCAATTACACATAGCGAACACCTGCTAAAACCCTCGTGCCCAGTGATACTTGTAACATGAAAGAAAACCATAACATTTATGATACCGAAACAAGGTCCTATTTGCCTCCAGAAATGTCAAGTTAAGGCAGAACTTGTAAAAAGAGATCAGAGTTATGTCAATCATGTAGACTGTTTTGATCTACTGAAATCAAATCCTGGTATTCTGTGTATACTCAAACTATGGAACCAACAGGCAAAACTGTCTCTGAAACTACATTTTGTATGCAAAAAAAACCTTCATATATACAGTAGGTCTATAGTGAAAATACCAAGCGAGTGAAATCATTCCAAACCTTGCATAGATAATGAAAGAACAAAAGTTGATTCAGACTTTTTCAGTGTCTTCAAAGTCTGCTTTCGTGAGTAATAATTCATTTGTGCTGAATAAAAGTCAGGTGAAAAAGTTCTGGTCTTTACCTGTGTATGATCTGTGTCTATACTGTGGTGTCGGTGTGTGAGTCTGATGGTGATGATGGTGACGGCTGAGTTGGTCGAGCCTCTGGGACACTCTCTTCAGCTCCCTCTCCATCAGGCGGGCTAAGCCCTGCTGGTCCTGTCTGAAACTGAAAAATGAATCTGAGTTCATAAAAACAGATAGTGTAAGCTTTGTGTGAGCTGTCATATTTCTGAAGCACTTACCTCTGCAGTAACAGATTGAGATCATCTCTGGTCAGGTGGGTGATGTCTCTCTCTCTGCTCAGCCTCTGGACCTGAGTATTCAAAGCCTCCAAACGAAGAGCCAGCCTGTGCAGGCCGAGACCACGCTGACCTTTGACATTAAGTAAAAACAACACGGTGTGTCATGTATTTACATTATGGCACCTCTTTTTATAATGTTAAAGGAGTGATACCCAGGGTTGATATTGTGGAGAAGCAAGAAATGATGTATCTGTGTACCATGAAACAGTGAGATATTAAGTTTTCATTTCATCTACGGTATTATTTTCCACAACGTACATTTTTCTTTTGTGGTCACTTTTAACTCTCGATCATTTTTTTTATATAGGAGAATTTTCCTGAACAGTTTCATCAAGCAAATGAGCCATAGTTTGTAAATCACATTAGTCCGGTTTTGTAGTCATTGAAAAATATTTCTCATCAAGTTAATGCATCTATCCAACTTTGATAAAAATGATTAGTCTTATTGTATAACCACATTTAATCAGAATGACTTAGTTACTACGCAGTTTTCTAACTTTTCACCTGGTTGTGTTACATACTTGATTCTGATTGGTCAACCCCTTGATAATGGTTATTAATCTTCGAAAGCAAAGGCAAAACCGAGGACAACGTGATCACACATCATACATATCAAATTAACACCCAGAAAGGAATTCTGGGTAAAATTTTCATAAAATTTTATGATCGCCTCCTTCTGTTGGCAATCAGAGAAAAATACTACCTTCTGTTAGCATTGATAAACAACTCAGAGGCTACTTTAAACAATACTCCTAACTTGTTTGAAGAGCTTAAAAATGCAGATTAGTGTTAAATAGCTGATCTGACAAGACAAGAAAAGGTGAAAATGGTGCAGAAACTTGTAAGTACTAAGACACAGAAGCAGAAAAGAAGAGACACCTAACAAATTGAAGATAATTGACATCAAAAAACAAAAACTAAATATAGTATTGTTCATGTTAAAGCTTGTTGGAGCTTGTAAGGCTCTAATACTTGACAGCTGACCAAGGATGTCTATATAACATGTATAGCACAAGAGGGGCTGTTGAGAAAAACTGAGCTGTCACTGAATAAATACACAGTGTGCTTTGTAATTTCATAAAGTGGAGATTGTCTGGAGTTCAAGTTTAGATTTGAAGTCAGAGCAAAGATTTGCTTTAACCTCTGACTGGCAGTAAAATCCCACAGACTGATGATGTCAGATCAGCTTTGTTTGTTCAGCTGACTGTCAGCATATCACTTCTCGCAGGCACAGGGGTCTCTTGGCTCCGGGTACAGTGAAGGGTGAATGGGAGAGCAGGGGTGGGATGTAAAAACAACTTAATACTGATTGAGTGAGATAATTACATGACAAGGAACCCTAGCTTGATATTACACTGCAGATAATATTGAGTAAATTGTTTTTGTGCTCCATCGGGCTACATGGAGGCAGAAAATATGAAGTACAAGCTAATTACCATAGATAATGTGTCTAAATTACTTACTCATTGTGTACCACAGTGCATATCCTTTAGATGGGAAATATTCTGGCACTTAACACGACAGTGTAGGTTGAAGTTTTTACATTTTTGTATCTTTTTATCCTTGTCTGTTGATTCAAAAACAAGCCCTTACAGAGCACAGCAATAGTTTCAGAAGAAGAAAAATACATTTTGAGATTCAATAGAAAATCTGTGGATTTGGTCTGGTTGTGGATTTTTACAGAATCCTGTTAAAAACAGAGACCTTGTTGATAAATTTGAGTTAGATCAACTGCCCACCAACCACTTCCCCTCTATGTGGCATATTTTCCGACACAACCACTTCTCTCTGTACACAGCCAGCGGTGGGTCCCCCCAAGCACACAGCAATTGTGGCCCTGTGGCTGAGATGTACCCATGGGTTACATTGTCTGCTTAAAACAATTTTCCTACAGTTTGGGGCAAAGCGGTTTGGGATGTTTGAATAAGAAGTTATTTTCTATGATTATGTTTTGAAACCGATTCATCAATGGCCACATTTTTGCCTTCTTACACGAAAAGTTAGTTCTGTCTGATAATTAACCCCCTAAAAATGTCCATTTTAATGACTGTGGGGTGTATTTTCAGCAGTAATAGGTTACAAACATCAACTCAGACATTTTTGTGGTGATTTAAGAGACTCAGACACACAACACATAAAAATATTAAACTAAGACAGATAAAGACTTTGATTTCTTACCAATTCATCAAACAGACCACTGAACACTAATGAGAGATTTCCTGAACCGCCATAAGCACAAACTGAAGCTTACTGATTTTGTTGTTTAGATGTGACTCAAAGGTCAAAAATCTTGAGACTTGTAGCGCCAAAATATGGTAATTTATTTTCTCTGGCTGCCTGAGAGAAGAATGCTGATTTTACAGGAAAAACATACTCCCCAGAGGAGACTGTTGACAACATTTGTCTCCTCACATGTAAACCAGGGAAAAGCTTTTGCACAAACAATATTGTCTACTGCCGTCTTGAAAACCCTCCTTTGGAGAAACAGTTTAGCCAGACAATTGAATTAGACAAGGTAATAAGTTGGCCACAAACCACAACTGTCAGACCCACCGCGCACTGTGTAGAAAGCTTCACCTCACACTGGAAGAGGGTTAACTCTGAAAAAATATACAATCCTTGTGCTCTTTGTTCCAAAATAAACCTTGGTGTGAGGAAATCACATTTGAATGAGGTTTGGTGCTTTAAAATTGTATTTGTTTTGATCATCTTTTATTTATTTTGTTCCAAATCAGTGGTGCTCGAATGCCACAACATGTGTATATGAGTATGTGGATGTTTATTTTGTTGTTAAAAGTCCTAAGAGACTGTTCTATCTTTTAAAGACTTTAACTCAGTAATATAAGCAGGAGGTACCTTGTTCCTCGGGTGATCTCCCAGCAGGCTCATCCCTGGTCATCTCTATGGGCACCCAGAGGCTCTGCAGCAGCAGAGTCAACACTGACAGACAGAGACAGAGCACCAGGCAACCACTAGAGGGCACAATTCACAGGGAAGCTCCTTGAATGTCACAGCACACCATAAAGAATACATACTTCTTACATCATTGGTGCTCAGCCTTTTTTATCTGATGTATTCCCCTGAGGCTTAGTCTGAATCTTAAGCATATGCTGTCATTTATTTTTGATTATCTCTCACTTATCGGACACGAGCGTAAATGTCAATTTTTCATTACTTCTTTTTTTTTTATTTGTAATAAACCACTTTAGTCTTTTCACGTATAAAATCTATGCACAAATCTATTAGTGATGTGATGCAAATAATAACACTGCCTTTCATCAAATATACAGACTATGTGATGAGCTAAAGTTGTTCCAAGACTGCAAACGTGTGGGAAACACATATTACAAGAGCTCTGAGCCTCTATTTAACGGTGCCAGGGTGAACGGTCTCTACACCCTTCCTTTCATCAAACCAGTAAACTCACTAACCCATATCCAAAGAAACACAGTGAGGTCAAGCTCAGGTCCATGCATGAAAAGTTTTAGGATCTCCCTGTGCGTATAAAGCTACACATTTAGATCACTGCAAACCCTTTATGTAATACTCTATCATTCACTGTGACATCCAAGCCGTCAGAGCTCTCAACACGGCATCACAAGTTTTCAGTTAAGCGCAACGTAAGATGTACCATTAAAATCACTGTTATAGCTGGCCTGACATCTGCAATGAATGATGTCAGATGTTGGGAAATCCAGCTCCATATGAGAAGAAATAATCATGGATGCAAACAGTTACATAGGCTGTTATTCTGTTATTCTTTGATGGCAACCCAAACCAACATTTCAAAATGCCTCTAAGATCTATTAGTAAGTATCAGTTACTTTTGTACATCTGATTTATTTCTGGCCAGTGGTGCTCCACTTATATGAAGATGTTTGCTGAACCTTGCTGTACCTGCGTGGCCTCAGTGCAACATGCATGGCCTTCAGTTTGCAGCAAGGTGCTTCTCACTGTCAAAACACTGCGAATACAAGCAAACGAGACATGCTCAGTATTAACAATATTATATGGAGAAAATGCTAATTGATTTCTATTGCATGGTTACATTTTTTCCACTCCCAAGCATTTCAGTACTACTGATGCATGAAAGAGCTCATTTTCAACATGAGTGAGGTTAACTCTTTAGGGTAAAAACCCGTTTAAAGTAATGTTATTAGCAGTATGTATAGCCATGAAGGCCAACTTAGCTTGTAGCCTCTCTGCCAGGGGGTTAAACTTGTTCACTAAACAGCAAAAATACTGAAGCGTAACAAAAAAATTGCCACAAACAAACTGCTGTTGCATGTTTTTAAATGTGAAGCAGATACACAGATGTCAGCTGTCTCTGCTAATAGATGAGCTTGCTAGTGGACATCACACATGCATGCACACAAACACACACATGCACACAAACACATACACCCTCACCTCCTCGGGTCTCCATCTTAGCCCACCGGCAACCATCTGGCCTGTTTTCAAAACACACAAACTTGAGAAAAAAAGGAAGAAATAAAGTCAGGTCTGGAAAGGATCTTGCTCCCTTTATTGTTTCTTTTTGCTTTCTTTCCCTCCTTCTCGGACCGGGCCTTTTCTCTGTCTCAGGGCCTATGGGTAGGCATCCTGCCGTTGTCAAGGTAACCTGACTCCCCTTTAAAGAAAACAATACCCTGAGTGCTACTTAGGCCTTTCACACATACAATGGAGCCCACGCTATTGGGTGACACAGTTTCTTTCATTCATGCTGGCCAGACTCGAGCCTTGTTTGTGAAGTGATACTCAAGCGAAGGGCTCATTTAAAAAACTCAGATGAGTTAAACCTTTAGCACAGAGTGGCACAATACACACAAAAGACAGTACAAATTTAAATACAGCTACAATAGTGAGTATAATAAAGGAGCCAAGGAAATACCCAGTTTAAACTTGATAAATAATGATTAAAAGTGATTAAGTTCAGTTGTTATTCTGACCTACTGTGTTACAGCTGTCAAATTAATCAGTCAGACAGCAGTTCATGCTTTACTTGTCTCGGAGGTCTCAATTTGACTGGATGCAGGAAAAAAAAAAAGAAATGCTTGATAAAATGTGCATCTATATTTATCAGATTGCTTTTGCACTTTACATTCCTCGTCGAAATACTGGATTAAAACCATTGTTTTGGTGTAAAAGCTTGACAATCCTATGCAAAAACATTTTAATTCAAAACCTTTGACACTTCAAATGTAAAATATGACTGAAAATAATGGTATTCCCCTTGAAGTCTGCCAGGAAATGAGCACGAGAACAAACATGCAGCTCTAATTAGGGAAAAGATCACAGTGCCATAAAGCATGCCAGATTGGATGTGGATAAATAGGGCATGTATTTCACAACCAGAGAATCACTGGTGGGTATGAACACGATTCGTTTAGATCCCATACCTTTCCAAAGCAGCCACACTGAAACCTAAATCGCTGACAGAACTAGCTCCACACTTTGTCTGTGTTGCAGCAACAACCAAATTTTTTGAGATTTAACAAAGTGTTATCTTATAAACAAAACACTTGAAAGTTTTATTTTACAGCCTTTCCTCAGAGAACAGGACAGTAGATAAAGTGGGAAACTGGAGAACAAGGAGCAGCAAAAGAATTAGCCTGGGCTGCCTGAAGGACTATAATCTGAACATTGGCACCATCACTTCACCAGCAAGCTAAAATTTGTATAGAAAACTGTCATTAGCAAAATAACTTGACTTTAATGTTTTACAGATGACTAAATTAAGCCTCTGTTCTGTTTTTGTTTATAATTTTAGCCAACATGAGCTGCACAGTAAAACTAGAAAGGTTATAGATTTAATTAAGGGCTAATGCAGAGGTAATATAGGTGCACAATTACTTATCCTTTGCCTATAATAATCAAGCGTAAAACTTTAATTTCTCCATACAGAGGTGAGGTCTGTAAACTTCATTGTGTCGTATGTTCTAATCAATCTGTGTTTTTCAGAGTCACACTCTGCTCTTAATAGTTTTTATTTTGCAAGACTGCGATAAGAACCAATGTGAATTCAAGAATGAATTTTTAAGGGATCAATCAGATCTCATGATGTACCTGCATGAATGTGTGTGACAGGATGATGGGGCGGGGCTTTTCATGAAGTGATGTCATGCAGCGTGTGGGAGCGGAAGAATCAGATGAGCATAAACCTCAATAAGCTTGGACCTACAGGCTTACTGGCTTTACAGCCATCTGTCTCTCTCTCTCTTTCTCTCTCTGTCTCCACCTCTCTTCCTCTCTCTCCCTCTGTCTTACACACCCACACATGCCAAAATCCCCTCAGACCTTTTTCTTTTTTTTTCATTTTTATCAGTTTTGTTCATAATGACCTACCACTTGTACTTACAATACCATACTAACATGTCAACACCCTTCAGAAAAACTACCGCATACACAAACACTGTCTGTGCAGAATCATATTCGTCTGATCAAAATGAGTGTGCAAATGAAATATGGAATCATCATAATGACATGGAGTTCATGCAGATAAGAAGGCCTGACTTACCTCATGTGACATGGCTGTACTGTTTTTCCCGCACACTTCAAAGCCAAACAGATCAACACAGGCTGTGCATGAGTTAGAGGATATGAATGCCATTTTAGCCAGGAGATACTGAAGGACCTAACAGGGAAGCCAGGTCACAAAGACTAACTGTATCTAACTGTATGCTGGCCATCGCAATGTGAGCTAACGTGCATCGTTCTCAGATTTTATTCGGTAGAAAACAACTGTTGTTGCAAACTCTATTCCAACTGCATTTAATGTTGATAAAAACATAATTTGATAGTGTGGAAATCATTTAAAACCTATGTGCATTTGAAAATAGTGAAAAGACAACATTACAGAGAGGCTGAGTCTCACAGAAATAAAGATAGGAAGAGGTAGGTGGAAACAGTTGCACCTACAGCACATTATATTGTTAAAAGAACTCTGTACAGGGGAGACAAGATCCAATGCTAATCCAATGCTTTTACCCTGCATTTGAAATCACTGCAATGGCTCAAAATAACCTACTAAAATCCCTGTCTGTCAGCGCAGGTTGTCACTGCATCCACAAATGTAGGTTAAACTGTAGTATGTGCAGAGGAACCAATCCAGAAATGCCAACCTGAGCCTGTGTGCATAAGAAGATAAGAGGAATTTTATTGATTTGCAGAGGGAAATCGAAGCTGATGAGCTGAAGTGGAATAGAAACTGGTCTTGTGATCTTATGAATCAAAATTTGACCTTCCTTTTGGAAATCGAAGAAACCACACATATTCTCTGTTCTAAAGAGGAGAAGGACAGCCAACCTTTTTGATCAGCATACATACATACATGTGGTGGTCGTGGTTTAAGTGCACATTGGAGACAGACCAATTAGATGGGTTGAAAACATTTGGTGCATAAAACAAAATTATTATCAAAATAGATCCCAAGCTGCTGAAATCCTTCAAACGGGCGATAACGGGAAAACATTTTACTTTCAAAACTCCACAAACTGGCTCCTAAGTTTCCTAAGTAAACAAATGTTTACAGTGTTGATAAAAGAAGTGATGCAACACAAAGTAAATATGCCTCTGTCCAAACAGTTTAGAAATAGGTGGTTGGCCTGAAGTTTTACATTTGTACATTTTTTTCTTCATAAAACAACCAAATTGGTCAGTTCAAACATTCGATATGCTGTGTTTGGTCAATTTTAACTAATTATATAGTTTAATTATATAGTAGAATTGTATTACTCTGATCACAAATTAACACGTCAGTGATCCTTTCTCTAAACTTTTGTTTTGCAAAGTAAACTTAAAGTATTTGGCTATGCAAGGCTTGTAGTTTCCTGGCAACTCTCTTGCAGTATTACAGAGGGTCATCACAAAGTAAGGACATGAAAAACATCAGCTGTGTTTGAATTGGACAGAATGAGGCCGAACAACATTTTAGCCTGAGTTGTCCTGTAAGGCAATAACGGCTCGAGAATTGAATTATCTGTAATAACTGTCATGTGTTGGGTGGTTGCTTTGAGTACAGGACAAAGACAGGGTTTGTTGGCCATGCAAGGGTACTTCCTGTCCTGTTTCATAGCCTTTACTTATTTCACAGTGCATGTTTGCAAGTAAACAAGACTAATCAGATACTGGGGTCTGTCATGCCACCTTTACATAGTCACAGCAGTGTAGAGATAGAGTCAGAAACGACAAAATCATAAAAGGAAGATGGTATTTTTCTGATACGCTATCCACAATATTATATTTCATGGAAGTGAATGGATATTTTTGGCACGTGATATTGGTAGCACATAGACCTAGAATAGTAGGGAAGTGTTTTCTTCATTCATAGTGTTTATATCCTGACCTGCTTACTCAGAGCTGCTCCACTACCGCGTATTAACCACAGAAGTGTCTGTAAACCGAGTATATTTAACCCACCTGAGCCCATCTACAGCTCCAGCAGTGGCACGTTCACGGATTTCGACAGTGACCGGATCGCAGCTACTGCGCATGCTCGAGGCAACTTCACATGAATTCTGCTGCACGTCTCAAGACATCTCCTTCACAGGTAAGGATAAGGGAGGTTTATTTGTTGTTAAAAATGTACTGCTTCCTTACCAGCGCTCAGTTCCACTTGTTAGCGATAATTATAACTCCTTTCGTGCAATGTGTTTCCAAAATGCATCGCTTTTTCCACAAACTGAAGGTAAATCCCCTTCACATCAACTATCGGAGAGACAGCCTGAGCACCAACCCAAATTGGGATATCATCTAAGCTAGCTGCTGCTTCAGAGCTAGCAAACACGCTTTTGTCATGTTGTTTTGGCGGGTTTCAATCGTGCGTTTCTCTGCTTCTGTTTTGCATTCAGTGTTTTGGCAGCTTGTTTTGTTTCCCAGCTGAGGTTCCGTTTGCGGCTGACATGCACTGCCAGGAGCGGCTCTCAGCTAGCTAACGTTAGCAATGCTAACTTGGCAAGTGGAAATGGAAAAGGGCGTATCAGATTTAGTCTGGCGGTAATGTTAAATACCTGGTGACCCGTTTGCTTTCGCTAACATGTTGGTAAAAAATCAGTCTGAGCCGGCTAACTGGCGTTAATAGGTCGTTCAAGTGAAAATATAGTCCAGGCAGCTTTGCGTTGGGTTGCAGCTGTCAGCCCAGTTTGTGTTGGCACAAGTGTGTCCGTAGTCTAGTTTACAGCTTATGAACACAGGTGTTACACATGATCAGTGGGTTTGCCTCTGTATCTAACCTGTCTACAAAATGCAGTGGAGATACTGTATTCAGCTACAGTAAAACCACCCAACCCTGCACACTTTTGCAGAGGTACAATTTCATGCGCTCCAATAAGCTCTCCCTGAAGGCTAGAAGTCTGCCTCTTCTTTCAGTCAGTACGTGAAATGACAAACATGTTTTTAGAGAGAAAACTCTCCAAAAGCATTGCTGAGTAGTCATATTTGTTTTGCACTTTTTGAAAGGGAATTAAACTAAATACATTCAGATCAAAACTAGAGACATTTACAGTCATATTGGATGGGTATTGGTGACCTCAACAGTGTTCATGACTGATTTTGCAAGATCAGTTTCAGTTCCAGGTTCACATTGGGGAAGGAGTTGGTAAAGTTACTAAAAAGAAAACTGATGTTAGAAAAACCTTTCAACACTGGAAATATATTTTAACTTATTTATTCATGATCATTTCTTAATTACATTATATGGCTTCATATCATTAAGTCAGGTGTTGAAAACCAACAAAACCTTTTAGGCTAAGACAGATTTAGTAAATAGATCCTTTGAAACCTCTTAGTCTTGGACTGAGCTTAATCTTTAGCCAGGAAATGAACTCCAAAAGTCACTTCTCACAAGAACCAGGTTATAATATTAGATGGAGTGGAAATCATTTGGAGTCTGATGATTTAGTAACACGCCCTGGCTGTGTTACACACCCTGCTGTAATAACAGGACTTATTTTTACAGAGTGTGACAATTTGTATAGACCTGTACATCCTGAACATTAGAAATATTTGTGAAGTAGGTTAATCTCTGATGATACTGTTAAGAGCATTTTCTGGAACATTAAAGAAGACATGTCGACAGAATACTACTCAGGATTCAGGCTCTGATACCTTTGGACCCCTGGTATTCATACTAAACATCCATGTGCTGTACATTAAGAGCATTCCCTGACAATGACATAAGCAGAACCTGAAGACCTGGTCTAACTGGTCGAGGCTACCTAGCCTTTTTTAGCATCTACACAAGTTGGGTTTAGTATATTGGAGGATGGTGTGAGTCCAAACTTTGTGGTCAAGTACATTTCTTTTCATTGCAGTATATGCTCTCACAATCAATTATGTGCAGACAGCTTAAATTGATTCAATCTGAGAAGTTATTTGATTAATTAAAATCTAAAAGAGGCCTTTGACCAGTTCTGATTTATTTGTATGGCTAAGGAACTAGCTCACCTTTGACAAATCAATCTTGTAGGTTCGGGATTAACTCCCTCACATAGGACATGAAATCCACATCCGTTCTTTCAATTTGGCATGCAGTCATGTATTGGTATGCATTCCCATGTGACTTGTTGGTATAGCCTTTTAAAATGATCTGATGATTTTATGACAGTCTTTTAAAAGATATAGCAAGTGATCTTTGGACATGCATGTTCATGTGATCTGTGGAGCTCAGCGTGAAATGACTGGATTATTTTACAACAACAGTTTTCAGTAAGTTTCAAGTGATCTTTGGACATGCATCCCCAAGTCTCCTTTGGTTTGCATAGGCAGGAAGTGACCCAACATAGAATGATAAAATCACAGCAATGAAGTCCCAGAGCAGTTGCTTTAGAAGCAAATTTTCCCAAGAATCGCATCAAAAGATATAATTGTGAATCACATATCATTTAAAGCTGTCCATTAGGACTACAATTAGGAAAGCCTTGGACAGCTTTTCATGAAAGCACAGAGCATGATGTTCTTGTACACGCTGCATTTAATCATGATATCCTCACTAGAGCATAAATCTGATCTGTGAAATTGGCTCTTTTGGTTGGTCACTGTACACTTTTTCTCAGGTTATTATGTATTACCAACGTAGATGTTGCAGTTCACCACTTCTGGAAAAAAGTAACACGACTAGTCCTTGTTTTAATATCACTATCCAGGAGATTTCATTTAATTTATAAACAGTTTTACTTCAGACAAATTTTACTGCTTCAAGGATTTTAAGAGATTAATGTTGCTCAATTGTAGTCCCTTTGAAAGTACTTATTTTTATGATCTGATTAAGTCTCCTAACCTCTTCTGTTTTGTGTTTTTTTTCCATTTTTTGTGTGTCTTCCAGTAACAACCATGGGCAGCTAATCAAAACAGGCTAGATATTTGCTGTGTGGAGGACAGAAGGTTAGTAGTATCCTAGAGAGTCTCTCTCTTCCCACTCAGACAGTCCAGCGAGTTTCCAGCACCATGGCGGAGGAAGAGTATGGCAGCTTTGTGGACTGGAACCAGATGGGGGATCTGGCCAAGAGCAGCGGGCCCACCAAGGTAGACTGCAAGGACCTGAAAGAGTTCAAACAGATGGCTCGGCAGGGTTACTGGGCCAAAAACCACAAACTACGGGCGCAGGTCTACCAGCAGCTCATCAAAGCCATTCCATGCCGTACAGTCACCCCAGACGCCGAAGTGTACCGTGACATTATGGGAAACGCAGCCACTAAGAAGCCCTCCTCCAACATCCCACTCCCAGATTTTGTGGATGATAATCCGGTGCCGCGTTACTGTCTGAAGGCGGAGGCAGTAGCGTCAGCACATCAGATCATAAACTGCCTGGCTGGACAGTTTCCGGATATCTCCCACTGCCCGTCACTACCTGCTATTACATCCTTGCTGCTGCACTACAGCAAAGATGAAGCTCAGTGTTTTGAACATGTCAGCCGCATGTTGGCCTGCAACGAGCCGGGGAAGCGCCTGCTGGACCAGACTTTCTTAGCATATGAGTCTAGCTGCATGACTTTCGGAGACCTGGCCAACAAATACTGCGCACCCGCACACAAACTGATTGTTGCCACCGCCCAGGATGTGCTGGAGGTCTACTCTGACTGGCAGCGCTGGGTGCTGGGCGACCTTCCTTTCAGCCACGTTGTCCGGATCCTGGATGTCTACCTGGTGGAGGGCTACAAGATTCTTTTCCGCGTGGCTATCGCCTTACTTAAGTTTTACCGCAAGAGTAAAGCAGGGGCCCAGGGAGGTCAAGCTAGCCAGCAGCAGGAGTCAGGCAAAATCAGAGCGGACATTCAAGCGTTTGTCAAAGGCATCGCCTCCACCGTCACGCCGGACAAGCTGCTGGAGAAGGCCTTTTCCATCCGTTTGTTCAGCCGCAAGGAGATCACACTGCTGCAGCTCACAAATGAGAAGTCCCTGCAGCAGAAAGGAATCACAGTCAAACAAAAACGGTACAGTTAATGCTATCAGATCTTTGTGAGCATCTTTGTGGCTAAATGGCCCCACCTTTCAAACTCCAGCATCAAAAAGACAAATATTTAAATGTGTTTTATTTATTTTTTATCAAAGGCTTCATAGGCATTACCAGAACATCAAAGATATCTATGATACTATTAGGAAAGATGCAGGTAAACAAGGTTTGGGGCTATTTTTGCTTTCAGGGATGAGGCACTATGTGCACTTAATTTTCCTTCAGTTTATATTAAATCAAAAAGGATAAAACACTTACAAAGTCAGCACTTCAGTGTAGTACGTCAGTAAGTCCAAAAGCAGTAAATTCTGCCTTTTATGATTCCAAATTAGATCAAGTTCATCTATTTCTGTTTTTGCTGCACTGACTTGCATGAACTTTCTTGAACAGTATTGAATGTATGACACAGTTCCTAGACTGTAAATCAAATTAGAGTGGTATGCCCAGAATGAGAGAAATGTGGTCTTCAAGTAGAACCATCGGCTGTCTCTCCTTACAGTTAATCTGCACAGAATGTACAATAAACTCAGTAATTGTTTTATAGGAGAGAAGTTCATTTTTTCAGCTTTAGGGAATGGTTTTATTTGTTGCGCCTGCACATTTTCTCACCATGTGTTCTTTGTCTTTGGGTTTGTGCCTTTTTTCATCCACCATCTTCTGTTTCATCTGCACTCCACCCTTGTTCACTTCCTGGTTATTTCACAGCTCTAGGTGGGTCCTCTCTACTCTATGCTTCTCCATCTCTGTCTGTTTCTGATTACATAAAACGTGCTCACTTGCTCTCAAAAAGATGCAAAACTATATCAATAATATGAGTCAGACTCCATCATTACTGTCTGTAAATCCCTTGTAAGGGTGTTTAATCACCACCTGGGTGATTTGCTCACTGTCTGTGCTTATCCGTCTCTCCTGGCGTTTGTATTTTCGGCACCTGAAGGAGGAACGTCCAGCTGGCTCTAAACCCCGACACCTTCTCCTCAGAGATAGTCAGTGCCAAGGAGATGCGGGACATCTGGTCTTGGATCCCTGAGCGCTTTGCCCTGTGCCAACCGCAACTCCTATTCACTACATCCACTCATGGCTGCAGCTTGAACAGGTAGACAGTCAAGCCCCCACTTTGGAACATTAGTTCACCATTTTGGCAGCTCATGATTGAGATTTTGGTGGAACAAGTTTTGAATCTCAGAAGACGCTAGTCGGAAGAAAATATGAATGTCGCTTTTATTTTTCCAGCTTGGAAAAAATTGTTGAAAATCTAATGACAAAGCTGGTCTTCCCACTGTGTTCATTTGTATTGGGAGTAAAATCTGTAACCTGCAATAATCTCAGCACGAAAGGGAAAAAGCCAAAATCCGATTCATTTCTAATAGTGCCCTCACTTTTTGGGGATTAGGGTCGTACTCAAGAAGTCATTACTTACTGAACTGTTTTGTTCTCTCCAGATTTTACTCACATTGTGAAGGCTATGAGCCCACACTGCTCCTCATCCGGACAACAGATGGTGATGTAAGCGACACACGCATAAAAAAGTGATCTGTCTCATTCAAATCCACCACCCACCCACCCCTCAATGTCCCACGTTTGTGTGGATGAAACACCAAATCACAATTTCTTTACACTCTGGTCTCCTCTTGTAAAAATCAAGATGGCTGTTGTAGAAAAGTAAATCAACAACCCACTGATGGTGACTCTTTTTCTTTCCTGCTTCAGGTGTGTGGGGCCTTCCTGTCTACAGATTGGGAGGAGCGCAAGAGAGGAGGCAATAAACTGAGCTTCTTTGGCACAGGGGAGTGTTTTGTCTTCAGGGTGAGTTGAAGTTTTATATTCAGACCTCATGGCTTTTTTTCTAAAAATCTTTCTTTCTAAATTCTGTTCAGGCAATTTTGAAGAAGGATTTATATTGAGAAATAGTCAGTTAAATTCACATTTGTAGTACCAGACTTTTGCCACCAGATGGCAGTATTGATCTGGTTTAACATTCAGGACATCAGTGTTAAAGGCGAGAATCAGCATGTTGGGTCCGCATTAGCAAAAGCTAGCCATGTAGGTTATAAATCACTGTATGACATTGCTATGACCTCTTTAGCAAAAAAAAAAAGACAAAATAAATAAAGAAGAATTAAGAACATCTAACTTCTCAGCTGGTGTTACTGCTGCTCCAGGCCTCACTTACAACAACACCTGGGCTAGAAATAGCAGAGCAGCCTGGTTCTCCAAAGGCTTCTGTATGAATTATTTACCTGGTTTCCTGCACTGGTGCACAGCTGCTGACTGTCTGAGCCAGCACACCACACAACACCGTCGTCTCACACACACACTTAATACTTGAGCACACACCGATCGGAAACTCCTGTAACCTGATCCATTTGTATCTGACCTGGTCCTCACCTGACACCAGGAGAAACGGAGACAGTCAACAAGACTGATGTCAATCTGATGTTTGGTTTTCTTTCATTCATCCTGTTTAACCCTTTATTTCAACTTGACTGTCATCGAGATCTCAAAACAAATCATGGAAACAGACTGCAAAAACATGAACAGACACAGAAGTATTCACTCAGAGTATACTACCAGGCTTTATCAAATATATTTCTGTGATTGATCTCTGGACTTTGAAGACAGGGACAGACTTTTGCTACCAACAACTGTCCTTACCTGACAGCAAGACAGCCTCCAATTGTGTCAGTTTGCACAAAGAAGTCATAGAAATATGTCAGTATGCTCTTTATCACAGTTCTAAATAACAGAGAAGCAACAAAACACACACAAAAAAATAATTTGTTATCTGGGGATTCATATTGTCTTATTTTACCCTCAAAGGTACTTTTCAAGGGTAATGTGAGATATGAAATTTAATTAGGCTGATTCTGCACAGGTTGTTGCATTCAGGGGTGCAAAACAGGAAACTGAGCAGATCTTTAGAAGAGTAAGACGGTAGATCACAGGAAACTAAAAAAATATCTCCCTATCAACATTTTGTGTTAAATAACAGTTTGTTTAGGAGCTGTCTTACAAAGAATATTTACAACAAAGCATAGCCTACAAAAATTAGCATACTGATAATCATTTGTTTTTTTTTCTGTCACTATAAAACAGGAAAAGAATTTGGTTTATTTGTCAAGTGAGACTGAAATAAGTACAGACTTGATTCAAGTGCAGGTAGTCTAGTCAATGAGTAATGCTCAGGTGTAACTTTCTGCTCTCTCCAGCTGAAGCCAGAGATCGAGCGCTATGAGTGGGTGGTGATCCGCCACCCTGAGTTAGCCTCCTCCATAAAGACTCAGGAGCAGGAAGACGGAGCCGCCTCTGAAATCCCAAACTCTGACAACAACGGCTTGGCACAGCCTGAGAAACCACTTGGAGACTTGTCCCCTTTCCTTTCTGCTCGACACTTCAACCTCAACTCCAAGAACACATCGATGTTCATGGCTGGCAACTTTGACTCTCTTATTATCGGTAAATCAATCACAAGTTTTTGTTTTTTAATTAATTGGTACTACTATTTTCTCACTGTATTTATTTTTAAGGCTGTTTTTTTAGTTTTGTTTTGACTGAAGTATTTCAAATTTATGAGACATACAACAAACTTTGTTTCTTTAATGTGATAAGGTGGAGGAGAAGGCAACGCCCTCTACATTGACTCTGAGCTCAACCACGGACGCACCGGCCGATGCACCACCTTTGACAACCCGCCACTGTGTGCTGAAACCTTCCAGGTGTCACTGTTAGAGTCGTGGGGCTTTGAGGATGCCATGTCTAACTAATATTGTACCTAATCACACAATCTACGCATAAACTGCTCACATAAAGACCCACACAGACACACATTTCAACATAATTTCATGATACAAATTATGCAGTGAATTGTTTCGAAAAAAGAATATGCAAACAAAACTACTTCCGTCCTAAAAAAACTCATATATAGTCAACCTTTTTTATTTATTGAAGCACTTAATTTCAACCTGTGAATAAAATGTGATTATTTTCTGTTTATTTTTGTAATTACAGATTTGTTAATATGGTGTATTATTATTATATGAAGGTGTGTGGTGTTATGATGGAAGTTGCTGATCAGTAGGGTTTTTAAGTTAACTGTGTTGCGATTACGTTCATGCTGGACCGAAAAGCACAAACACCTGAATGTAAACTCAGCTGTTCATGTTCTGTAGTTTAGATCAATCTGCCAAACTTACCATACAGGTCGCTCTGCTGTCAGTTCAAGCGTGTTCTCAAACCAGCTACGTTGATGGGTGGGTCAAAGGTTAAAAAAATGAATGGTGAAGTTTTAAATGTTGTAAAGTTAAGAAATGAAGACCATTGATTTTTTTTTCCCAGTTTCAGTGTTACACTAACTTTCAAACCAAAATATCGGCGTATGTAATAGCTGTGGTAGGTTTTGTGAGTATCAGTGGTGAATATGAGTGTTGCCATTTTGCACTACATGTTAAAGCTTTCTTTTGAACCTGTGGTAGTCTCCCTTGTGCAGATCTATGTGAATAACAGTGCAAAACATTTGACAAAAAAACTACAAGGTGTTTTGGTTCACAACAAATGGATATACAGTAAGCAGTTTGTTCCTCCATTATTTCTCCCTTTTTGTTCTTTCTTCCGTCCTTTCCAGTGTGAAGCAACAAAAAGAAGTCCATAATCGTGCCCTGGTGGTGAAGTGTAGCAGGGATTTGTTCCCTGTTTGTATGCTCTGTGTATGTTCAAGTGTTCTCCAGTGAAAGTGAGTTGAGTAACTTTAAAATGTATTCTACATGTGACAATACAGAAGTATACTTTCAGCAGCTCTGTCTTTGTTTCATCGCCTTTTCTTTAAAATCTATCACATCTCTGTCCCTGAGAGAGGACTTCATTTCTTCAGACGGTCACAGAAGTGTGCCAGATGCCTTTTTAAAGTCAGGTGACCACCAATCTGACCTCCTAATCCCGTCTTCATCTTGAGTGTTTTGTCTGAATCGTTGAAAAGCTTGCCCCTTGAATGGACTGTTTATTGATTATCTTTACATTAATTTTTTGTTTTATTTCACTGTAAGACTAAACCCATCTGTGTAAATGAAATATCAAAAAATGTAAATATCAGAAGGTTAAAAGAGTAATGCACACTCAAACACTCCTTTTGGGTCTGGGTCTACAACACTAACTGTGTGACTACTCAGTTACTCATACTCTTCTCTACACAATGTCTATTTATTGTTTGGACATTTTGTGGATGTGTCTGCTTTGTGGAAGCTGACAGCAAACTGCATGACTGGAAAATATTTGGCAGAGATGAGTCAGTTAAACTACAAATATATTTGCAGCCATGCTGTAAAGTCGAGTCAAAGCTAATAGAGAAATAAGACCCACTTCACGGCAGTGTGGTTACTGTGTAATGGATCTTATTTGTCAGATAATATCCCTGCACTTTAATTACACATTTCGGTGTGAAAGCATTTGATGAAAATGGATTTCAATAATGCAGCTTAATAAATGGACATCTTATTTGCTGTGGGTGTGGCACATCCTAATGGACCAGGAGAAATGGACTATCTGCAAGGGCGTAGTGCTTAAGTAGTGTTTTCGAGGAGCATTCACTCTGTGCTATCCATTCAGGATTCACACTCTCCTAATCGCACATGCGCGTCTATATTTAGCCTCCTTTGGGTGTTGGTCTGGCGCATCTCCTGAAAACTACGCTTCCCAGCCTGGAGGAGTAAGATGCTTAAGTGTTTAACCCTACACTGAGATGGGTTGGAAAGCCCCCCGTCCCTTGAACAACAAAGGGTAGTGGACAGGAGGGATTAGGGGGCAGACCTAGGATATCCGAACTAATGTTCAGATGAACAGGGTGGCTATTGCTGTTCGCTTTATGGGAAGGCTTTGTAACTATCCAAATCTGCTCTGTCTTAACATCTTAATTAGTACTCCTTATATGTTTTATGTGTGGAGGAAATGAGAGCAGAAGAAGAGCTGAATCATTGATCATACTGAAACAACTTCATAGCCATGTGACTTCCTTAATTGTGATCGTCTGCAGGATTGGATTAGTTTGGCCCCAGATTCATTTAAAAATGAAGTATCTCGATCTGAGATCACATCTCTTGCCTGTGTATCCAGAATCGCATCATACTTTGACAGTTTGTGTTACAAGCATCTTGATTAGTATCTTGATCGCATCATGACCTTGTGAGAATTTCTCATAGTTCCCCATTCACCTTCTTGACACAACCTAAATCAGCCTACAGAATTAAACACGGCTTTATCTTGTCCTATTGATCTCTGCTACTCATGAAAAAGAGCATCAATCTAATCCTTGCATCCATTCGCCCAAAACAAACACCTGGTTGATAAATGTGTGATCATATCAAGGTAAATGTTGGTAAATGAAGGACTGGAAAAGGACAGGAACATCATAACCTAAAGAAAACCAAATGAAAACCCTCTCAATAGTTGTGACCTTTCTGTTACTAATGCATCGACACATCAGCTCTGCCTCAAAAATGATTTATTTGTGTCGCACACCTTGGCTGCAGGATGTTTAGTGTATAGCGTTTTAAAGGAAGGAGGCCTCTGATGCTGCTGTAGAAATTGCATCACGAGTGGAGGGGCTTTTCAGTGATATGAGGGGGAGGGGTCCTCCTCCTGCTGCTGACTAGACCAGGCAATGCAGAGGGAGCAGGACAGAGGGATGGATGGAGGAGGAGGAGGGGGAGGAGTAGGCAAGGGGACTGCACAAGCTCCTTCTGACTCACTCACTCACATACACACATTTCATCCATCCTATGGTGTCCTAGCTCTCCTGACCCCTCCTCTCTCCAGATCTCTGAGCCTACACTTGCTGGGAGCTATACAGTGAAATGGGGATTCTCGGTTCCCTCCCCCCACCATCACATATACACTCAACCTCAAATTCTCTCACTCTCACGCTTCACATTGCTGCATATCACAGCTGACTGTAAAACCACCCTCTGCTGCATGGTAGTGTCCTGGTGCAAAATGCATCAATGTGTTTGGACACATGCAACCTTGGAACTCTCTGTATTTGGAGAGGTCACCTTAATCAAGTGTGTGTGTTTTTCTTGGAATGCGTCCCTCTTATAAAGTCTGATTCAGACGTGATGTGATTAAATAATGACAAGAAATCTAGGGTTTTCCCCGTTGTCTTTCCTAATTATGACATTTTCTTTATATAGTAGCAATCTCTCCAGTCTTTCCTCCCTCTTTTTTAATTATTCTCATCATTTTATCCTCTTGCATCTGAAAGGTGGATGCGTAGATATCAAAGGGGGAGCCTGCAGCGGACCACACCAATGTGATCCTCAATAGGGGTGGCCTTCCAAAATGTTTGAATAAATAAGTAAATAACGTGCGAAAATATTTTCCTTAAGCGTAATGATTATTCTACCATTTCAGTCAACACATGTATATCGATAAATGTTTACTCGAATCCCTGTTTATCATTAACAAAGTTGGTGTTGGTACGGCCCCCACACACCCTGTCGATGATAGGTTTTATCCATACGGCCAGTCAGGTGATACATTTTCCGCCTCGCCATTTTGTGCTGCTGCGCCGGGTATTTATCAGAAGAGTCGTGACTGTCCGGTTTACTCGGTTAGTTAGGTGATCAGACGGTTCTCTGTATACTTGGTTTTTCATTTCAAGCCTGTGGCCTTCGATAGGGTTCGCGAAGTGCGATTTTTGCGTCCACGCTTGTAATAAATTTTGTATATTTAGTTTATTTTTATAGTGTGTGAGTAAGGATGTCGGCCGAAAGCCCCGAATACTCTCCGTTCTTCGCAGTGATGGGAGCCTCTGCGGCTATGGTGTTCAGCGGTAAATATCACACTACCACCTTTTCTATTTAAGCTGTTTAACTTCTACTAATCGTCATTTTTCTCCTTTTGCTGTTAACCCCTTTGTGCATTCATGTCATTTCTAACAGGGTGCGTTTCCTGACGCTCGCTGGTTAAAGTGATCCGCTAACGTTAGCCACGCTAATGTTACCGTCGCAATGCTAATCTTCAGCGCTTTTATATTCAGACTCTAGCTGCAGCTCGGCCAGTTGGAGATTTTGGTCGATTTTTAGTTTATTTTTTTCTCTCTCTTAATATTGAATTCGTATTTTTGTGCCTTAGAGTGGCCACAGACACCAGTGAAGACGAGGTGGCTAGCTGATGACGAATACATATGTTAGCTTTGACGTTAGCTTTGATCGGTTAGCGTCGATGTTTATCTTCGTGAGTGATTGAGATACGTAGATATTGATTACCTTTATATCAATGTAACGGCCTGTAGATGCTAACCTCTTTATTTAAAATAGAAAAAAAAACAGGTGATAGAATACAAAAGTGTTGCGTGAACGAAGACATCGGCAGTCGTTGACGCACAGTAATTGAACAGACGTCGTGCTGCGTTTACTGTCCAGCCACTATCTGCCATCTGTCAAATCTGGGCTGTCAAATCTTAATCATTTATCAAAATACACCTTAACCTGAAATCTGCTTGTTCTCACGCTTTCTTTCCCCAGCTTCTATGACCACTGGAAACCCAGATCAGCTGGTCAACTTCCTTATTACTGAGGAGAATGACACAAGGTCACATGATTATCACATGAGACTTCTGACTTGGAGTTGCCGTTTGACTACTGGTCAAGTCAACTGTAACCATAGAAATTACCATGAACTTTTGTAGAAAAATGTTTACTGTAAGAAAAAGGATTTAAATCACTGGGTATTTGTTAATCGATTGAGACAGGAAGTGGTACAGAAAGTGGACTTTGAAACAGTCTTGTTTTTTCCCTTTTATGGATCCCTGCTGTTTATTATTTTTTATGCTTCAAGTGAGGACAACAGCTTTGTTCAATGCCCTGGGAACTCTGTATTATTCTGGCAAAGTCCTGCATGTGACCAGAGAGACTGCTGGGATTGATGCAGCTCCAATGTGAAATCTACAGGCTACTAGAGCTAATTGATCATGTCACAGAGGGCATGACCTGCTGCAGCTTTCGGCCTTTAGCCAAAACTGATCAGGTGTTAGGTGCTACACATCTTTCTATTGATGAATTTATCCTTTTTATAAAATGACAAAGGATGTCTTGTTAACAAAGAGCGAAAGACATTTTTAATCGTCTTTCAGCAGATCATGTTAGGCCGCTTGCTGAACAGAAATCAGATTTTCTGGTGTTCTTTTTCAGCTTGTGATTTCAAGAATTTCCGAATTTTTCAATTTGGTTTTCAACTGTAAAGTATCATAATTCTTAATACAAACCCCTCCCATAAAACATGATGACTTCAAGTTGTCCAGTCTCACCCGGAAATGAACATTAGCTGCTTGTTCGCCAAAGCCAGCGCTGGTCTTGTCATAGCTCAGGTTTAATTTGGAGTGATAGGGAAGGGCAGCATGGTGGTGGCGGCAGACCTGGAGGCAAGCAGTACTTCTGGTCTGGTGGTGAGGGAGTGACAGCTGGGGAATTAGCCAGGAGGGAGGGGATCACGCTGGCACAGAGCAGGGGACGTGGTGGTGGTGGGATGGAAGGGGAGACTCCCTGATTCAGACTTCAGCTTTAAGGATTTCTGAGTGTCTGTGGTGTCATATAAAGGACATTATTGTTAGTGTTACTGGGATTTTAGTTCTTGAAGTGTAGCTGAAAAACTGACTTCTATTCATTAACTAGATAGACGTTATATTTTTGAGGGGATTGGTGCATATTTCATTGAGTATATTCCACATAATGTCACACTCACATCATCATATTCAGACGTTTTTGACTCTTTCTTGCTTTATTTTTCATATAATCACTGATTTGAAGCATGTATCAGGCAGCAATAGGCAATTATCTGCACATTTACTGTCACGCCGTGGTGTCAGGTGATGTTGCATTGTGTCCTGTCGCTAGGACTTCCCCTAAAGTGATGCCTGGCTTGAAACAGGTGACACTCACAAGGTGCCATTTAACCTGAGATTAGAAAGCACCACTCCCATCGTAGCTTCGCTGCATATCATTTTAAAGAGGCATGTTTACGATTTTCTCCTTTTTAACTCCCTTTGAAATAAAGAAGACAGAGAGAAAATAATAATGACTGTATGTCTCGTATAAAGACTGATTACTGTTCGAGTTGTGGTGGTGACACGGATAGTAAATGCATCACTTCCTCTGCAGCAGCCTCTTTTTCTTTGCTGTTAATGGTAGTTTGGTTCAGAGTGAGTTATCTTTGTTGCTTGAACCTTATTTTACGCTCATATTTTGTCTCTTTGATACACATCCTTCTGCAGTGAAACGTATTTGGTGATGGCAGCATTTCTGGCATCTATTTCCCTCTGTTTCTGATGCGTTAGATTTGCCAGTGTGTTCCGTTTCTGCACATCACATCAACATTTTAGACCTCAGCCAGCATGCATCTGCGAAAATGTTTCTACAACTGTGACCTTCCTCTTTTTCTTTATTTCCTTAAAAGCAGTTCATCATCATTCACTCCCTGTTCAGAGCAGACCAGTCTGCTGTGTACTGCGTGGGCTCATTGCATGCAAGATCATCCCTAGCTGTAGGCACCTCCCGCTCTGACATCACAAGACGTCACAAGGACATCCCATACATGAAATATTCTGCAGGCAGAGAAAAAAGAAAAAAAGGGGGAAAAGCTGTTCACCTAAGCTGAGGGGATTAGGATTATAAACCCAGAGGTTGTGCCTCCACACAACTGCAGAAGCCAACCTGGCATCCATCAAGCCGCTAAATCATCAGGACAGAATGGCAATGTTTGAGGACTCTGGTGTTTCTCCATGCAGCTTCACCTGTCACACCTCAGTGAGGCCGGGCTTACTGAGACAGAACGGAGGGGGAGGATAGCGTTACTGACGGTAACATGTTACGCTGGTTGTTTATGGATGAGTGACGGGAACAGCTGTGTAGATAAAGGGTTAGGTGTTCGCAGAATATTCTCATGCAGTTGATCAATTTGATTTATTTCTTCTGTTGAACCAGTTTCTTGGGTTTTATATCCTTTTGAGTGTTTGTGCATTTCCTTGAAGTATTTTATGGTTCCACTTGTGCTGGATTTATGTCATTTATTCTGCTAGTCTGGCTTTTTCACAAAGTAAGAACCAAAAAGTAAAGGAGTCCTTTTTTTTTTTGTGGTTGCTATAGCAGAGCCAAGTTATACACGCACATCTCTATAAATGAGCCGGAGCTATTTAACCTTATATTGATGACATCAGTCTGGTGATAGATCAGTGGAAGGGGATGTGGCTGGCTGCCATGAACACATTTGAAGATTGGCCTGCACCATCTTCCCCCATCTACCCCTTGGATCTTTCTGCCAGAAAGCCTCGCAGCCAGTCTCTGAGTTAACCGGAGCTATCTGCAGGCTTTTGCAACACATTGTCCTAAGACATGAGAAAAAACATGAAGCAGGCTGTGTGCACAAGGCTGTCTCCCAAGACGATATCTCTGGAGACAGTTCAGATTGAATCATCATCAGTATGTCGGCCATGAAGCTGCTTCAAAGCTACGACGCCAAGTCTGCCAAGAAACAGTCCAAGGATGCATTTTGCTTACTCACTTATTCTACTACCTTTTAAAGATGGTTGATGTTTAACTATGTTGCACAAGTTTACTGCATCCAATATGATTATGTTGGCAAATTGCATGTGATTTAACACATGCTTTGACATGTTTTGTTATTGCAGAAGAAAAACAAGCGAAAGGCAGGTGACCGTTGCATCACAGCAAAATAAAAAATTAGCCAAGGCAACCAATGTCTTTCATGTAAATACCACGGTGAAGTTAGTTTTAGGTTGGATATCTGACGGACATTCACTGTGGATCTACCGTTGTCTTCTCACTTTTCGTAACCGGGAATAGCAACAGCAGCGCAGTTAAATCTACTCGTTGAATAAGGGACCATCAATAAATTATGGGTTGATGTTCCCAGAAAAGGCTGTTTTCCTTCAGTAGCTTCCATGTCATGTGACCAATTAACCTAAAATTGATTTTAAATAATAGTACTTATGTCGACCAATGAGAAAAACATTACTTGATCAATTTTCATTGGGCCCCTAAAGTTCTTCATGTGCTCCCTGCTTTTTCAACTTAAGAGCACATGCTCTCCTTGTGAAAAAAGTTGGTGTCAAGCCCTGAATGGGAAAACTCTGAACTGTTCTTACATGGAAGTAAATTTAGTAGATGCTATCCTGTGTGGACAGTGTTGTCTTGTAGCTTTCACTTTGCTTTTACTGTGGGTGGAAGAAATAAACACACATGCAGCAGTACATATGCCCAACACACCTGTGACGTCAGGAGAATCTTGTCAAACCAGCTTTTGGTTGGCAACACAGCCGTGCTCTGACAGCTATTGGTGGATGCTGCAGAAGATGAACAATGGCCTGTTGTGTACACACGTTAGATTGATTAAATATCTGCCTGTTCATCTTGCAGAGGGTGACTCCTCTGTTGTTCCTGCAGGATTTCTGTTTTCTTGTGGTGCAGATGGTGTTCCTAGTCCAAAGATATATATATATAATGGGCTGTGTGTGCAGATGGTAAAGGGGATATGTGATCTAAACTGCATTTGGATTTATGTTTTCTAATTTTAGTGCGTAGTGACTATTGATTTTCCATTTTACTCTCTTCCTGCAGTCACGCTTATGTGTGACACTCCACTTTCTCCTCAGCATCACAGGCCCACTGAGCAGAAACGCTGATGAAGGTTTTTGTCCTCCTCTCTCCCCGTCACATTTCACTGATGCTGCACAGAGCCCAGTGCGCTACAGAAAAAGGCACACAGCAGATGTGTGTGCGGCGCCCTTACTGTTCTGATGCTCCTTCCTGTAGATGTTGTATCCTGGCTCTTTTATGATGTCAGCAGTTCCCCTGCGTGCTTAAGCCTAATGAGGCTTTTTTCATTCAGAGAGTGATTTACAACTGCAGCTGTCTGGGCAGAGTCATCCCTGAAATCACAAGGGCTGGAGCATTCAAAGGAGAGGAGAAACTGTGACAGAGGTGTTTGGTTGGTTTGTCTCAATTCTGCGTCACTTGAAATGATGATCTGTTATTTCCTCTTTTGAGACAAGCAAAAATCCCCCCCCTGTGTGAAGCCATGTTGGATTCTCCAAGGGGAAGAGAAACTGTAACAGCTGTCGTTTTTCTTGCACCAGCTCTTTTTTCACTTCTTCATTATTGAGTCGTGCTTTCTCATTTCTCAAGTCGCTCTGCTGTCGCATTTCACCATACATTGTGTTGTTTCAATGTAGTTTTCTATGCAGTTTATCTTGAATTATTCTCTCTCTGTGTCTTTCTAGCCTTGGGAGCAGCCTATGGCACAGCCAAGAGCGGAACGGGGATCGCCGCCATGTCAGTGATGAGGCCGGAGCTCATCATGAAGTCTATCATCCCCGTAGTCATGGCGGGTATTATAGCCATCTACGGCCTGGTAGTAGCAGTGCTGATTGCCAACAACATCTCAGAAAAAGTCAGCCTCTACAAGTGAGTTCAGTTGACCACAGCTTCAGCCGTTTGTCTGGTGGTTATCTTTTTTCAGCATTGACAACAAAAGCTTGAGTGGGGTTTACTTGATTGGATCAAAAGGAGGTGTCGGTCTGACACAAACAATGCAGGAAATTGTGCAAAGACTGTAGTGTTTCTTCATCTTTTGATAATACAACAGCCGCCAAGAAAGAGTTTCATCATTTCACCAGCGCCCTGATATATCTCCACTTTCTACTCAATCCATGAGTTATTCAACACATACAAGCACTGTCGCACACTCTTTCATTACAATGAACACAACCTGTGTAGATCAACACCCCTGACTATGGTTCGGTCCCATCACGGCATATGTGATGTTCATACCACTTCCTGTCACTGATCTAAAGTTCAGGTGACCTGACAGAAATAAACCTGCTGTCTCACCCACATGAAAAATTTTTCTCCCTGATTTAAATATACAGCTTTTTTTTCATTGAGTAAGTCGTTCTAGAAGCAAGCAGAGTTTTGGCTTATAACAATACAGAAACACCAGTATTAAAGAGTGAATCAAGTTCAAATACCAGGTTAGGATCACTAATACAAGCACAAACAACAGCCGTATTGTTTGATCAAAAGCCGAGGGCAGCAGATTAATCACAGGTTGAAAGCTTACCCAAAATCAACAAAACAGCTTTTACCAAACTTGTGAACTTTGATTTATCTTTACACATTTTTAAATTCTCACTTTTGCAATTTCAGTTAATGATTTCTCAATCCCTTAAATCACTAAATTTTATAATCTTGAACTTTCCTCATGCTGGCTAACAGTGCTTTCTTTGTGCTCAGGAGTTTTCTCCATCTGGGTGCCGGGCTGAGCGTGGGCCTCAGTGGGCTGGCAGCAGGCTTTGCAATCGGCATCGTGGGAGACGCAGGCGTGAGGGGCACAGCTCAGCAGCCAAGGCTTTTTGTGGGCATGATCCTCATTTTGATTTTCGCTGAGGTCTTGGGTCTCTACGGGCTCATCGTCGCCCTCATTCTCTCCACGAAATAAAAAAAAAAAACCAACAACAACCAAACATCTCCACTACAAGATCTGTCCTTTATGTTGCTGCTGGAGAAAAAGTGTAAAACGGGAAAAATTGTAAAAAATTTCTGCCACACAAGATGAAAGAAGTGAAGGCGGGAAAAAATGAATTAAAATGGCTCCATAAATATGGTCTTATCTCAACAATGTGTACAGTCGTCCCGATTTGATAGTCAACTTGTAAATGCGCAATGTAGTGATTCGTCTGTCTTGTGTGTGTGTGTGTGTTTCAAAACAGTTGTATGATGAAGATTCCTTTTTTTCCCTCCACTTATTTCAGGCCTTGAGGCTGGCTGAGGCAGCCTGGCCTCTGGTCATAGAGAGCTGACCGAAAAGGGCCGCACAGCTTTTTCTCCTCCCACATCAACCGGGGAGTTGACACAATTTCTGCATTAATCTTGAGGATCTATTTGTAAAGAGAAATGTATATGGACTTTACGATTTTTTTCCACTGATTTTATTTATAAGAAATTGTTCATTGAACTGTTTAATGCAGCAAGTCTTTAATTCCCCAGGATATATTATACATATTATATACAGACATATAAATATCTATATAGATAGATTTAATGCACTGTGGGGTAATTGTGATAAGTGGTTGGAATTCCTCTGGATGTAATTCTTGGTTTAATAATTAAGATTGCCTTTAGTATGTTGCTGGTGAAGTGGGAGTTTTTGTGTGTAGCTGTATTCTAATCATTACGCAAACATTCTCAAACTTCAGTGTTTTTCCTGTAGTACTGCTGTTTGCATTAAAGGTGTGTGTGCCCCGTGTTGGGTCTCACAAGTGTAATTTCCAAAAAGTTCATCTCCTCTCCATCTTCTTCACTCCCCTCTCATCTGTGGCTGTACTTCATCTCTTCCACATTCCAGCCATTAAAATCCTGCATGGGTTTCAGTGTCTTGTTGCTGTTGGATATGAAGCTGAAGTGCAGGCTAGCTTCAGAAAATTGAATCCAGATCAAAAAGCTTGTCCAAAGTCCTACAGCTCCTTTTTAAAATCGACAAGAGTTGATATCCTTTTGTAGCTTGTAGCAGAGATCAATACCCAGGTTTGTCCTCGTTTCATGGAGACTGGTAAGATTTGATCTGGAGTTTATTTTCTGGAAACGGACCTGCTGCTGAAGCTTTACTGAAGCGCCAATCTACAATCCTGTATTACCACTGGTATTGAAGTTATCCTGATGTGTCGACGTGTGTCACAATCAAATTAAAGAAGATTCCAACTTAGATTTGACTGTCTTCCGAAAACACACACAAAGAGGGGTTTACAGCACTGTTCATATTTTACAGACCGGTCTAAAGGTTGCGTGAGTTGAACATTTTATCGAATGCTGTCTGAACTTGCTGTAAAAAGTCCAGTTTAGTTTCCATTTTCATTTCTTTCACTTTCGGATGAGACGTGATAATCTTCACACTGTGGTTAACACCCTTCAGAGCTGCAGCACTAAGATAACAGTGAACAAAGCCTGCAGTGTACATTTGGCAGAAATCATTTTAAATAAGACACAAAACAAGACGCCCAGTAAAAATCTTTATAGGACAAATTTACATGACAAACATGAAAGCGTCATTTCATTTGTATTAATACAATCAAGTATAAATCTATGACTTAGGCGGTTTGGAGGCTGTCTAACAGTGTCTGAGAAATGCTGCTGATAGCACTGAAGGTGGCACTGTCTGGAAATTGCTGTAGGAAGTCTTTGCCCTCCTCTATGCTGGAGCTGAGTAGAGGATCCAAGGGCACAGAGCCTGAAATGCAGGAGACACCATGAAGCAAATAAATGTATGTTACCCCTCATGCATCACTGTTAAAAATGGATGACCTCTACCACTCTATCAAGTGGACCTTAAGAAGCATTAACTGAAATATTTGAATGGCTAGAGCATTACAGCACAAACATACAGTTGCATTCACACTGCCACAGGCTTAGCTGAATTAGCTGCATCATTACTCACGAGATTGATTTGCACACAAAGCAGATAACCACCGAGTCGAATGTTAAATGATCAATTAATTTGGCCAAGAATTATCGACAAGCATGCATCATGCTGGGCTGAGCTATTTTAAACCTCTGCACTGACATCTGGATCGACCATTTTAGCAGCATGGCATTGATGTAAAATGCCTCCTCGATCATGAATGGATGCTGGGTGAGGAGTGACATGGGATCACAGTGTACTGTGACACCTTGTGGCCGAAAGGAAACATTACATGCAGTTCAATCCTGCTGATCTTACCTAGGAATACTGATCCAGTCAGCTTGGCTAGCTCTTCACCACCACCCCTGGAGAATATATTGCTGCATTCCTGCAACGACAGAATACATGTTACCATGAGTATAAACGATTATACATTAAGTCCATGTAAAGCACAGATTAATGTAGACATTACAGATTATCTTGATATCCTTCCAAATCTATCAAACTGAGGGGCAAACATGTTTGTAAATCTGAATGGAAAGAAATCTGAATGTTTACATACTGAGCAGTGCGGACAGACAAAGCCACTCATGTTCTCGACGATGCCCAGGATCCGCACACCTGTCTTCTTACAAAAGGTGATTTCTCGCCTCACATCCCCTGTCGACACGGCCTGGAGTCAACAAGTTTAAAGAGAGTTATTTGAAATTGACGTCAAGCATCTTAAAGAGGTGTCTGGTTTGAAATCTTGTTCACAGTATGGTAATAGGTGGTCAGTTTGGAGTTAAATATTGCTTAATAAATCCTGCTGTCATCTGTAGCTCAAGATAGGCATACATGCTGTCAAAATCCTCCTGAAGTACAATGACCAAAAATGATGTGTGTAAATATGGAAAGGCAAGATAAGATGGGTGGAAACCATAGACTGTATATACAGTCTTATCAGTATATCTTACAGTATATCTTATATACAGTCTATGGTGGAAACCCTGAGGATGAATATTTTTTTTTTTTTTTTTTTTTATCAGGACACACCAGAAGAAAAAAAAAGGATGCAGATAGTCATTTGTTGTAAGCTGTAATTGTTACATGAACATCTAATATTTTGCCTAAAACTTGATCTTGAGCTGTGTCGTGTTTGTTTTTGTGTATTTGCTTTTAACCAGTGGCGGCTGCTGGTCTTTCAAGGATGGGAAGCCTACATCATAATTGTGTTTGTTTATTTGTATGTAACAGAACAGAGTCGCCAAACACAACGGCAGTCGTTTTTAACAAAGACAAAAGTCGCTGAGGATCGGTAAAGTCTCTGGAGCAGTTAAGAACAAGGGAATGAATAACTTGGAAAATGCTTTGGCAGATGTTTTATTCTTCAAGATCGCTGATTCGCTTGTTTAGCTGTCAATCAAAAAAGGATTTCGCCTCAGACAGCTCATCCAATCATGGATGCAGAAGCTTGGAGTCCGGGAGAAAGTCGGGACCGCACTCTCGCCACAGAACTCCAGAGACGCCGAGCGTCCGATGGGCGGGACAAAGCCTAGCATTTATCCAATGAGCGTCTAGTTTCGCTGCTGGAACAACCCACTTCGAGCTTCCACATTGAAGTCAGCAGAAGCCGAGCGTCCGGCTGTTTAAAGCGCTGAGGCGCTGCGAGGATGAATGAGAACGAAGTTGTGCAGAATCAGCTTCTTATCACACTGTGATATGAAGCTGATTCTGAACAAAAGATGAAGGCTTTCTAGCACGTATTTAGTTAATGAAATGTACACACAGCAGTACGTATTTCACTACTTTTTCTTTTTTTGGGGGGTGACATTTTAAGGGAAGCTGAGCTTCCCTTGCAGTTCTTAGAGCAATCGCCACTGCTTTTAACAATACAAAAATATGAGCCACAGTGCTAGTCACTTTCTTCTATTTGCTCTAAAGCACATATGCCGGCCATCAATTGTATGTGAATGAAAAGATAATCAGCCAAACATCACCTTCTAAACTTAATTTAGGTTGGGGGTTTTTTGTACATAAAAAATGTAGATGGGCTTCTTGGTACCTGGGGTGTAGTGACCAAAACTGCTCCATCCACTCTGTGTTTTTTAAGGTTCTCCAGCACCGCTAAATGCTCATCAGACGTCCCTGGCGGTGTGTCAACTAGCAGCACATCTAGCTCTCCCCACGCAACATCTGACACAAACTGGCCGATTAGAGCTGCAAGACATTCATAAATAAGAAAATAGACGATAACAAAAGATGCAAATATGGTGAGTTCAAGAGCAAAATAACACAGTCAGCCATTTTTGTGGCGATATAAATGCTTACGATAGGTGTGTTTAGGGCTGGGCGATAAAACTATAACAATAAATATCGAAAGTTAATTTCCCTCAATATCAATATAAAACACGGTCAATATAATATCAATACAAAATATAGTGCTTTTTGATAGTCGGCATTCCGCCATATTTTAGTAGAGTATAAGAACAGTCAATATAGAGGGGAGTTGCTCCGGGTCTGCTTTGTGCTGAACCGATCATTTGCTGAAATAGAACCAAGTCGTGAATAACTGCGTAGTAGCAGGCTGCAGCTACACGCAACCATAGCACTGATACACGTGAAGCTGATAGCACTTTCAGTGAGAAAAAAAGAAAATCAGTGATACCCCTGGAAATGCAGATGAAGGCTCAACCGATGATGACATCGTCGACAACACTGGCATGAAAACGTCGGTGGTGTGGAGGTATTTTGTTTTTTTAGGTCGGACATGAAGCAGAGTGATGTGCACTGCAAATTATGTCGAGTACATGTTCTCACAAAGTTGGGGAATACCTCAAATCTTTTTCACCACCTGAAGCAGTGCCAAGTGGCAGAGCACACGCAATGCAAAAGGTTACAAATCCTGAGCCAAGCAAGGAGCCCATGGTGCCTGTGCAACTGAAACAACCGACCATTCAGTCCACTTTCTCTAGCGCAACGCCTTACGACAAAACATCTAAGAGACACAAAGACCTCACAGATGCAGTAGCTTATTGTATTGCACTGTTAAATGTATTTTTTAACATTGTGATGTATATCGATATCAACTGATGTAAAAAATACATATATATTTTGTGATAAACTTTTTCCCATATTACCCAGCGTGTTATGGGTGTGTTAGATAGTATCAAATGGAAAATATTGCACCTGTTTTCTTAGGCCCCCTCCACACCACTGCTTCATCTGGATCCTCCAGCAAAAAGCCAATGGACATAAGGGCAAGACTCTTGTCTGCATCGGTGTAGACAGGCACCCATCCCGAGTCACACTGGTGCACATCAGGCCGGCCCACATTCAGCATGCGGGGAATACTGGGCCCACATAGGTCAACATCCAGGACGCCAACCTGACAGATACATTTGGACCTTTACTGACATCCCTTAATCTGTTTCACATACACAGAGCTGGTCATGAAACTTACCTTCTTGCCAGCATGTCTGAGAGCAAGAGCTAACTCTGTGGTGATGGTGCTTTTTCCTACACCTCCTTTTCCTGACAGGACCAAGACAACATGCCGGACTTGGGCTAAGCTCCCATCTGTGGATCAGGAGAGTAAAAAACACTAAGGATAAATTCATTTTAACCTTGGCACATATCACATATATTACAGATATTTATTAGATGGTAAATCATCGTAAGACTGTCACGAGACTGGGTCATGTGTGGCATGAGGTGTCAAGTTGAAAGGTCAGAAACATGAAACGCTGAAGTAAAAGGGACTGATGGCATGTTTCATCACCCGAGTTCACGAGTTCAGCCAAAGTAGGTCCTTCTTTAAGCTCATGTTTCACGTTGATAACTATGCATTATTATTCAAGATTTATAAGCTATACGAAGTTCATTCCTTTAGGACGAACAAATGAGCTGAGTTTTATAACTTTAGCTGCTTTATTATTAGCTTCCACTTCCAAGTAAGATGTTTGTCAATTTATATCAAACACATCGATCTGTCACCGACTCTAATGAACGTTCACTTATTCCATATTCAAATGGCTGAGCTACAAAAGAAGACGTAACGTCACCATAAACGTTATTTAACAACAACTTTATCCTACCATTGTTCTGCTCCATGTTCTCAACATGAGCCTTCTGTCGTGCACCCAGAAAAGCTGAGTTACTTCCGTTTGACGTCATATGCCGCCGAGCCAACCACCAAGCGTAAAATACATTTAAGCCCCGCCCCCTCCACAATGCCACCAATTACTTGCTGGTTTTAATGATAGTGTATTATACTGCGACACAAGTTCTGAAAATGTTGTTTCCCCTAAAACGATGATTTTTCTTCTTGCCATTTTAAATTTAACTTATGGACTCAGGCGACTGCGCCACGCTGTGCGGACAAGTAGCTCTCTCATGAGATTAAACTTGATATTTGGCAGCACTTTTTGCTGTTTGTACAGAGTCCTTGACGACTTCTTCATTAGTTTTACTTCATCATTTGTTGACTCTAATACAGCATCAGCAGTACACACAAGATAAATATTCAAAACAGTGCAGTACATTTAGTATTTTAGTATTTTTCGGTGTGTGACAAATCTTTTGTTATTCCCTCCTTCACCGCCTGTTTTGAATATTACCCTCATTCATCTGTGTCTTCTTTATTAACCCCATTGCTAAATTACCGACTTCTATAAAGGTAACAAACTAAATTACCATTATCCCCACCCCGAATGTCTCTTATCCAATAGGAAGGCGGCAAGGGCGTGGAGGCGTAATGTTTACGTCTAGCCTGCTCAGAAGTGGGACAGAGTGCAAACCGCACCTGTCATAAAGTGGGATATAGAGGTACGGTGCGTCCAATGAGCCACTGCAAGACCGTGTACAGGAAAACTTCTGTAAGGTAAGGACTGTTATAACTGTTGTTAGATGTAGATATTCATAGTGGAATGGAGAGTTGTTTTTCTAACTTTTAGAGAAAAGATAGGGGAAAACAACTAGTGTGTCACATGCACAGAATGTCAACAGAAGGCAATAGGTTTATAACATTAACTTACTTTCAGAGATGACTGAAGACAGTCCACGCATAAATTCGCTTACTGATGTGGACTACTCAGGAGGGACAAACTGTGGTGTTTCTGTGTTTGAGAAGAAAATCTTTCAAGTAAAGGTTTATTTAAAAAATCTTTAAATATCTGACACTTAGAAAACATTGAAGACTCTGTCACAGTCCTGTGTTATACTGCATTGATATAGCAGTCAAAAGTATGGTTGATAGCTACTGTAATGTGTCTTCAGGGTTGTCCAGATGATGCATTTACAGTATGTAGGGTAAAGACCAATTAAATTGAGACTAGCTCCAGACTAGCTAATCTAAATTAATGGTAGTTATCTCCTGCACCTGCTTGCAAAGCAGTCACCAGCTGCTGCGTTTAAAGGAGGCATTAACAGAGACATGCTATCAGGTGGAGGCACAGGGTGTGGAGGAAGTAAAGACCCTTAGTGTATTACAATATAAGAGCCAACACATAGGCTAATCCTTTTTAAAGGGGAAAAAAGAAGTTTTTATCCCCTTATTAGTTTGAACGATTTATAGTTGAACAATCCACTGCAAATTGGACTTGGAAAGAAGGTTGTTTCATTGCATTTCGTAATAGAAACCACTTGATAGAGGCCAAATTCCTAGCTTGTTCTTGTCACCGTAATTGCGTCAACTACAGCAACTTCATTGATTGTTTTATCTCCACAGAAACAACACTGTTGACAATGCAAATGTAGTTATCAGAGCTCACTCTGTTGTTTTCATGCCATTCCTGAAGTCACAGTGGTGCAAACTTTGACCTATAATTTCATTTCAATTAGTAAAAGATCAGCCATTGATGAAAAAAACTCCACAGGATTTTTAACCATTCCTCCAAAAATACACCCTAATGTCAGAGGAAGTTAATGAAATGACCACACACTTATAAAGTCATTACAGGCCAGATGAGTACACAAAGATAGGATAATGTTTGGTTTATGACCTCTTCACACTGCAGTCAATAGGTCATGTGACCTTATCTGTGTATGGGCTCACCTACAGACATGTTGCCACAGTGGCAAAGCACAGGGCTCGGTTTAAAGGTGAAACAAGTCCATGGAAACACCTCGTGCTGCCAAATGTGGCATATGGGCTGGATGGAAAAAAGGAGAGCGAGCACACAGGGATCAGTCTGTAAGTGTGCAGGAGGTTTCTTACCAGGAGTTCTTGCTGCTTCAAAACTAATATAGGACCTGGTGAGAGAAGAAGAGGTCAGTAAGGAATGTTGCCTCACCAGTGTGTCAGCTGACCTACTTTTAGCTGCTTAACAAGTTTGGTGGAAATATGAGAAAAATGCACCCTTGTAACAACATGTTTCAGATATTTGAGACCTCATTATGCAGCTGGTTGAAATGAGTTATTCATAGAAAAACCTCTTCTTATCTGAAAAGAGTGTCATTGTTTTGCCCCCCTCTATGGCTGCTAGGTTAGGTGAATGAGTTTTTAAATATGTACGTGCCCAAAAAGAATAAGTAAGCTTGGAAATGTACTTCATCAGCACTGACCTTATTTGACACACAAAAAAAGAACATCCTCACTCTGCCCTTGGCCAGCTGGTGTTAAGGTGTCTGCTCTGCTGTCCACAGAGCTGGCATGTTGAGAAGGGGCAGGAATGGCCGGGCTCGACATGTGGCCTCAAGCGAAGCACGGCACGAGACAGATGCCATGGCAGTTATCCAGACACCGGACAGAGAGGACTGGGAGGGCAGGATCATGACACAGGTGAGATATTTTGGGTGGGCTTTTTGGAGGTTGAAGAAAATAGGGCAGTTAAAAATCTGTAATATAAGAACAGTTCATGATGAGACTGTTTCAGTCTTTTTGATCGGTGTAGATATTACTCCTTATTCTTGCATTGACTATCCCTCTTAGTTTTATCTTATCAGAAAAGTGTGACAGTTACAAGGAAATTGTCACAACCGCAGAAAACTCAAAGGCTAGCACCTGATTGGAAATTATCTGTTGAACAAAGAGACCAAAAAGCAAAAACAAAAAAAAAAACTATTTTAAAGAGTTCAAGATAAAATGTCCAAAGATACAGATGAGAACACAAAAGAGCAACTAGTAAAATCCACAAGGAAGCACAAGACAGTTAGATGCAAATATGAAGTCACAGGAAAGGTTGACAAAACTAACTGACCTAGAAAATAAGCACACAAACTCTAAATACCCTCAGGGTAATCAAACACAGGTGTGAGTGCTAGATACGGATGTAACTAGTGAGGTTAATCAAGCTCGAGGGACACTGCAAAATAAAGCAGATGAAGCTAGAACTACACACAGGGGTGTTCCTGAGTTTGACAGGGGGGGCCAAACTGGGTCACTGACTTTTACAGGGTGGCATGAAGTATGTGCATATGCGCGCACACACTTACTGACACACATTCACTGACACACACACACACACACAATTAATATCTTTGTTGACCCTATTTCTCTACACTACTTTTATCTACCAGTGATGTTTGTCTAAAACTTAAAGAGGTATTTACAAAATTGAAATGTGCTGAAATGAAATGCAAGAGAAAACTGTCAGCGGGATGTCTGAAAAATATCAGCATTTACTGATTTTAACACAAGATCTCTAAACAAGGAAAAATCTGGGCACAGTTCAGAATTTTAAGGTGGCATTAGATACACCGCTTTTTGAGCAGGGTGCTCACTTTTACAATGAAATACTTATTACTTAAAAACTTAATTAATGTTTGTATGTTAAAAAAAGATTAAAAAATAAAAGGAAAAAAATACACAATACTATGTAAAGACAACAATAAAAATGGATGTACCTGTAAAAACATAAACATCAGATTGTATTACTTTCAGTTTACAATAGTCGTGATGATGTGCTACTAACAAAAAATCCTCTTGTACAGGTATGACAGTAAATGAGAATTATTAGATCAAAAACTGAAATAATTTCACAGTATGTAAATAATCAAACGTAGACTTAAGAGATCAAAACCTAAATACACATATTTGATGCACATTCAGACTTCGTGTGTCATAGAGCACTTTACAAAGGTGGAAAAATAGAGCCAATAGACTATACAATCAAAGGTTAGGAAATGAAAACATTTATAGGATGTAAGAGTTATCAGTTTTGAGGAAATCGAATCAATCATCCCCAGTGTGGCTCTTTAATTGGTCTTCATTATGAGATGTATTTTGGACTGCAGAAAGAAGAACTTACACGCCTTATCACTCGATGTGAGAGGTGCTTGATCCAAAGGAGAGGGTAGAGGCACGTGAAGGATTTCTGTCAGTAGTTTTCCACTGGGACTGTCCCCTGTCTGAAAAGGCTGTGTGGAAGACCAGGTCAGGCCACCAAAGGCCCGCGCTGGGGGTCTTGGTATATTTGGAAGGGGTCTAATTTTACAGGAAGGAACACGTGTTGTCTTTAACCAATGGGAAGCAGTAGCAGCTTTTAGGGAAAAGGTTGGCTTGGTGAGTGTTTGAAACATGGCATAAGGAGTCAGATGGCTCTCATTCTGGACTTTAGATAGTTCAGCGCAGCATCCAGACAGGACAGTCTCTGTTCCTCTTAACAAAACGGCCTCATAAAATCCCCAGACTTGCTCCTCTACTTGATCTAATTCCTTTTCCTCCCTACTGAGCCAACATCCCTGCCTGGACTATGGCCACATCTATGGACTTACCAGATGCTGTTTGCAATGTTTGTGTCAACCAGATCAGCGACCCACAAGAGTCAGAGGTGGATTATCGAGCTGGGTCTCAGGTCGTATCAGAGGAGGTGGCCCTGCCCAGCACAGACCCGGTGATAGGGGAGTCCTTCTGCCAGTGTGAGCGACAGGAAGAGTTCATCCCGGGCTTTGGCGTCACCAATGACTGCCTCTGTGGGGAGGAGGATCAGGGTGAGCAGAACCTATAAACGCATGAGGGTAGGCTGTAAGTAATAGTTTTGTTATACATACAGTGTGCATAGAGTATGAACTAATAAAGTCTGGGTCTGTGCCTTCAGGTTTCGATTGGGTGTGGGATGAACACTTCAAGTCTTCTGGAGCTTTCCTCAGCTGTGACAGCAGGAAGGTAACCTTTCACTCAGACTACAGCTGCGGCACAGCAGCCATCCGTGGCAGCAAGGAGCTCACAGACGGCCAACACTTCTGGGAGGTCAAGATGACGTCTCCGGTCTATGGAACTGACATGGTAGGTAGCAGAAACTTCAGTTCCTCCAGTATCAGGAAGAGGCTCAAACAAACCTCTATTACGTCTAATAGACAAGGAGGATTTTAACTATTTCTGTTGATTTACTTTGCTGGATGCTGATTTTCTCTTTTCATGATGCAGATGGTGGGAATTGGTACCTCTGAGGTGAATCTGGAGAAGTTCAAGTACAGCTTTGGCAGTCTGCTGGGCCATGATGAGGACAGCTGGGGGTTTTCATACACAGGTCAGAGGACATGAATTATCAGTTTTCTTGAAGAAAGATGCAAACTTTTCCTTCTAGTGGAAGGAAGTATGCTGAGAGTAGAGCTCTCAACCTCAGTGCAATTTAGAGTTACTTGTACTTTTTTTTCAATATAATTGAGCTTTTTCATGCCAGTAGTTAGAGGAAAGAACAGTTAATAGAGAAAACTGTGAAGAAAGAGCAGGTGGTGATAAGTAGCAAGGTCCGTGGGTCAGATGTGGGCTGCCTGCTTCAAGGACTACTCAGGATTTAAATTTTACTTGGAAATGTGTGTTTTTATTTTAAAGTATAAACCCTGTTTGATTAAGATGGTATCCCAACTTTTTGAATGGTTTTATTTAAAGCTCCTGTGAGGGTTTATTTCAACTGTTCGTCAAACTAATACCGATGCTTCTTTATGGCCTAACAAAGCAGACACGATCGTTCACATTATGAGCGATAATTTTGTTAGTGAGTGACACATTTCACTATGAAAGAACTCAAGATAAGATGTTTTTGTCTGGAAATGCCACCCTGGCAGGTCCAGAATAAGATCAGAGAAATGATGCAATGCTCATCTTTGCCTGTAGGGGGTGCCAAAATGGACACAAACCAAAAGTTCCACATGATAGCCTTAAAATAGCCTCCATCTCAATCAAGCACCACAGTATGATGGCACCCATGCATAACGCCTCAGTTTCAACAGTATCATAAATGTAGATAGACTACACTGCAGCACATAAACTACGGTGTGGTGAAATGGACAAAAGACCATGAAGATCTTTAGGATGAGTTGATTCTGGACTTTGACAGCATCATGAGCAACATGTTACCCTGACAGATTAAGTTAATGTAACTTTTCTTACATCTATGTTTAAAGGTCACCTTCAGCACAAAGGGGACAAAATGAAGTTCTCCACTCGGTTTGGTCAAGGCTCCATCATAGGAGTTCACCTGGACACCTGGCACGGCACCCTGACCTTTTACAAGAACAGATCCTGCATAGGTGCGTGATTTTATTCACCTTTTTCTCATTATTATCTATTGTCTTTAACCTGCCCCCATGTGGAGTGTCTTCATTATTGTGTATACGCTACTTCATCAGGTGTTGCTGCCACCCGGCTGCAGAACAAGAAGTTCTTCCCCATGGTATGTTCCACGGCAGCAAAGAGCAGTATGAAGGTGATTCGTGCCTGCTACACACCCACCTCCCTACAGTACCTCTGCTGCACCAAGCTTCGCCAAATGTTACCCTCCTGCCCAGATGTACTAAACAAAATCGAGCTGCCCCCAGGCCTGCGGACCCTCCTCCAAACACAGCTGGGCTGGATCTTTACCCTCAACAGTAGCCCTGAGCCTGAGGCACCTGAACACGTGGACTTGAGTGAGGACTTCCAGGAGGATATGAGTCTGCCTTCCAGCCCCATCCCAAGCCCAATTTCCACCCTGAGTGCCTGTGCCTCTCCAAGCCCCTGCACCAGTCCGTTTCCTGACTCTGTCTCATACCAATGCCCCTGCCAGATATCACCACAAACGCAACCCTGCAAATGCCACTGCCCCCCAACTCCGCCAAGCAGTGATTACGACAGCTGCTGCTCTGAGCCAGAGGATTACCAGTGCAAAAGATGCCGCTGGACATGACTCAGCAGAAAAAACCCTTTATTAAGTGTTGACCGCCAGGTATTCTGTAAAGGCCATAAATCTCTCCTTTTGAATATAGGGAATTGAAGCAATCAGCTTTTGGATAAAAATTGCTGCATTTATCTGTTTATTTGTCATATTTATGACATTCAAATCATGAGTGGGGGCAGAAGAGAGTATATAAGAGATGATTAGAGTTCTTATTTTATCCAAAAGCTAAAAGCATGTTAATGAGAACCATTTGTCCTGCTCCACTTTGGTTTTACTTCTCAAATCTGCCAGTTTCTGTCTCTGAAAAGCTCTAAGTGTTTATTCTGAGGTGTGGAGTCCAGAAAGGAGATGATCTGCTTTTTGATACCAAAGACGAGACTTTTGTACAGTAAACGTGTTTTGTAATCAGTGTTTGGCTTGAATGCCAACAGTTGTATTCTTGCTAACAAGATGAATGTTTTTTCTATTGACAGTTTGTAATGAACTTTCTTACTCAGGAAATTCTGTTAAATAAAAGAAAAATGGGAATATCTGTTGCAGCTCATTTTATAACTCAGTTTAAACATAAACCAAAGTGTACATTTGACAACATATATTACATGAATTCATATATACAGTATATCACGTAGCAAAATTAAACACATCTCTTGATATCTTTCTTTACAAAATACAATCTCTGTTCATCTGTTGAAAGCCAGAGGAGTAAAATAATGCTCTACTGGAAGGTAAACATGATATCTAAGGTTTTTTTTAGCTTGTAAACATTAACATACTGGCAGCCAAACTGGGATTAATCCTTGCTGAAGTCCATCCATCTTGTTCTCAAGTGGACACATTAGTCCAGGACTAGCTGGGGGTTCTTAGCTGTGAAGCAGCGGTAAATTCTGGCTGAGATCTCCGGCCCTACTCGTCTTTCTTTACCTCCATTTTTAACCAACAGACCTGCCAGGAGACTCTTTTTTTCTTCCTCTGATGCCAAGCTCTGGTAAGCCTAAAAAAACACAGATTTTTTTTTTATTTGCCGGTTTTGCCTCAGAAAATAAAAATGCAGACATTGAAAGTTTATAAATTGGCATTTGCTGTGTGTTACTTAAAAAATACTGAAGAAAATACTGAAGAAAATACCAAAATGCTTGACTTGCACAATGCAGGCCTCACCCCCTGTTTTCCCTCTGTGTCCTCATGCTCACCTGCAGGAGCAGCTGAGGTGAAGGGTAGGCTGCAGTCACAGTCGAGGCCACAGCAGGGCTAACTCTGTTCAGCTGCTGGATCTGTTTGCTCCAGACCTGCACCAGCCCAGAGCCGTCCCTCTCCACCCGGACCCCGCTTGCCCAGGAGCCGTCCACACAGAAGGGCAGCTCTACTTGCTCTGTCAGTAGTCTGGGAAAACATTTAGGGGGATTTTATAAGAGGAGCAAGGTAAGTCTGTTTTTAAGGGAATAAAAATATGATTCTTTTGTCTTTTATGTGACTTTGACTTAAAGGGATATTCCAGCGTAAAATTAAGTTAGGGTTAAACACACCGTAACATCGAGTTAGACACCCCGCTGAGAGATAAATGTTGCCGACCGCTTGCTTCTCTAGTTATACCAACTTTAGTAATGACCGCACATAGCAATACAGAGAGCTACGTGTTCAACCAAAAAGCCACTCTATAGCCACAAATAATGCTCAGAACAGCACCTAACTTCATCAACAGTTTATATAGGGACCCAGCCATAGCACTAGCCACCAAACATCTTTTTAACTTTGCCTGATTTGTTTAGCAAAGAGACTAAACACAACTCACCCACTCTCTTCCAGCAGCCGCTTGTTTGTAGCAAGAACACAGGCCAGTCCATTACGGACTGCAGCAGGGTGATGCAGCTCAAGGAAGAAAATTTATGATAATTTCTTAATCATTTCCTTGAAGTAATAATCATAATATTAATCATTTTGCACTGCAGACGCGGTAGTTCTTTCAGCCTTAGCGTCTCGGTCTGATTGCATTTCCATGAGGAAATGATCATAAATGTTCTTCCTTGAGCTGCATCACCCCGCTGTTGTCCGTAATGGACTGGCCCAAGGTCTTGCTACAAACAAGCGGCTGCTGGAAGAGAGTGGGTGAGTTGTGTTTAGTCTCTTTGCTAAACAAATCAGGCAAAGTTAAAAAGATGTTTGGTGGCTAGTACTATGGCTGGGTCCCTATATAAACTGTTGATGAAGTTAGGTGCTGTTCTGAGCATTATTTGTGGCTATAGAGTGGCGTTTTGGTTGAACGCATAGCTTTCTGTATTGCTATGTGCAGTCATTACTAAAGTCTGTATAACTAGAGAAGCAAGCGGTCGGCAACATTCATCCCTCGATGGGGTGTCTAACTCGGTGTTAAGGTGTGTTTGACCCTAACTTAATTTTACACCGGAAAATCCCTTTAAGTGGTTGCGTACTTGAAGGGGCGTTTGGATAAGGCCTTTGTGACAGCACACACATGATCAGTGACCTCCTGCCAGCCATCCAGGAACACCACCGAGATATTCTTACAGAGCTGCAGATATACCAGAACCTGGAGAAACACAAAACATTGTTTCCTCTGGACCTGATCCCTTTTAGACCAGCTTTAGAATCGCAACAAGTGAGTTTTGGACCATATCTAAGAAAATTTATCTAAAGGTTCACTTTCAACTTTTGACAAACAGCTAAAACTGATTATTAATCTGGAGAGAGAACATGAGTATACTCACCTCCTCCATGTATATACAGTCAACACCCAGGCTGGAGTGTAGAGTCTGATTTAGTGAATACATGCCACAAGCATCAACCCTGTAAGTAAGTGAATCAAAAAGAATAGGTGTTTGAACACTCGAGGTCAATAAAGTTTGTTCATACAAATGTAACTGCTTTATGAGGGATCAATAGATCATATACTCACCTGTATTGTGTCTGAGAGTCTATCACTAACAGAGTGACCACCTTCTTTGAATCACGGTTGAGACACTCTAAGACAAGACTAAAGACAGACCCCGTCCCCGTCTCCTCTTCATCACTGTCCAGCATCTGCAGTATCATTGCAAGAACATATCAAGAGCTGGAAATTGCAGCATGAATGCCACAAGATAAAAACTTTACATGTTGCTTACTGTTTTAATAGCAATCACCATGTCCATAAATTCAGTCAGTTTCAGCACCAGAACCACCTGCTCCTCCTCCACCATGTTCTTACCATCATCTGCTTGCTGAAGACAAACACGCAAATGTGAATATGTGATTCATTAGCAGCAAAAAGCTCCAGGGTGAAATGCACAAGATCTATTTCGCAAAGAGGTATACCTGAGGTAATTCCCTCATCCAGGTGATGCTGTGTGGGAGCTGCTGCTGGGTCTCAATGCTGAACCTCCACTCAAAGGATACCAGAGTGTCCAGTAGGATGTCTGAGCCATCCTGCTGCAGGAGAGCTGGAGAAAGAAAGTCAACGATGGTTAACATATGTATTGAAATACTTTGAAGAAATGTGTGGTGAAAATGTATTTATGATTACATTTTTACTATTAATCAATAGCTGTAATCATTCCCTAACTTTAAGCAAGCTTCTTTCCACCTGACGAACAGCATCTTTCCCACAGCACCTGAAGGTAGCACGGTCTGTACCTGGATCTATGCAGACTGTCAGACATTTGAGGCAGTTCTCCGGCCGCAGACTCTTCAGGTTCTCCGCCGCCTCTCTCCTCCTCTGCTGCTCCTGTCTCTTCTGATCCTTCTCTCGGGCCTTGACTGCCCTTTGTCTCTCCCTCTCCTCCCTCCGCTCCCTGGTTCTCTCTTTCTCCGCCTCTATCTCCTCTTTACTTCGGCGTTTCCTTGCAGGGCTTGGTGTGCATTCACGTGCATTGAGTCGCGGCGGAGACAAGGAAGTTTGAGCTGACTTGCTTGTTGGTTGGAGGATTTGACTCTTGGGGTCTGGAGTTGGGTCCTGTTTAAAGTCTGTGCAGCTGACTGTCACTATGTGACCGCTTCTTCCACCATAACTTTCTTTGTTTGTTGTGTCAGCGTCGCTGTCTTCAGATTCGGATATTTCCCATGTTTCAGCTCTGCGCAAAACAGACATTTCACATGTTCAGAACATAATCAGAGGCATATAAAGTGACATATTTTAGCTTCGAGCAGCACACAACACTGATGTGGAGCTCTTTAATATAGCTTGGATGGTGTCCACTGAGGGACAAAACACGAATCGCGTTTCGTTCACGCCCCTTTTAACCGGAGGAAACTTTACTTGGAAAAAGGATTATTAGCAGGTAACAGTTTACAGCGTGTGATGAACTGGGCTGTTTTGAATTACACCATAAATGCACAAAAGTTGTATCTTTTCTTCCTTTAAGGATGCATGAAAATGTTACTACGGTGGCCGAGAACCGCCATTGCTGCAAATAAAAAAGAATGAAAAAAAAAGTTACGAAGGAAGTTACAGATGCAAAAAAAAAAAAAAAGGTGAAAATATATTTTTTTAAAAAGCCACAACGAAAGTTAATGAAGTTACTTATTGCAAAAATAAAAGGATGCAAATAAAAAGCCACAACGGAAGTGAGCTGCCGGGGACTACTAATGATAATGCACCGGTGTTTTAAGATCTAAAACTCTTCCGAGCTGAAAGTGGATATCCTCACATCTGTGGTGGAAACTAACAAGGATTTGCTCTTTGGAAGCGGACAGTGGCTGAAGTTTGAAAGAATCATGAGTCAATAAGTTGCTCATGATGATAAATCAATATCTTATACATGCCTCATATGTTTTATTGCCATGACATAGGGTATGTTGCTCCTATTATTGAAAGTGATTGGTTTTAATTTGTTGAGTCTTTGTAATGTAGAGCAGACTGGAGAATCTGACAGAGGCTGAACAAAAATAATTATTAACCTCACCAAATGGTGTGTTGCTGCCCCTGTGGCACATTTTTATGGATTTCTATTGGATATTTTTTTATCACTAATCAAATAGCAAGAGCACTTTCTAAACTTATACTTAACATGTCAGAATCCATCAATAGGGTACTGTCTCCTCTGTACAGCACCTTTGTGGAGTCTCTCCTTGTTATTGTTCTCCGGGCATCGGGTCCTCACGTTGCACCGGCACTCCATTCGCCAGTGCAACATTATGCAAAACTGTACTGGCCCAAATGAGGTCCCACACCCTTTCAGGAGTGTACAACAACGTCCCCACTGCTGGGCCAAGACAGAGACACCGGCCTTTTAGGAGTCAAACGCAGCACTCCACAGTGGCGCGTGTGCGTGTGTGCGCAATGTTAAAACGGCGCTCCTGGCAGTGTTTCTGGGCAGAGTTATCAAATAGGCCTATTCACTAAGGACACAACAAATTTATATTATTTTATTTGTCTTAATCTTTAATGAAATGTGGCTGATTGTGCTTAATGACAAGTTTGAGGTTTGTTTATCAATTATTTCGAGAGAGACATATGCTGCACTGCATATCCACACTGACTCAAACTTGCGTACACGATGTCAGACCTGTCAGGAGATTTGGTCGTAGCGTATGCTCACCTACAGATTGATAAATGCTGATCCTCATGTCGCAACTTATGTACACAAGGTGTACGTAAGTTTTCTGCCATACGCAAGCTTGATAAATGAGGGCCAATATGAAGTTGAACAGAAACTAATACTACCCGGGTATCCTCCAGTTTGCATTGCCACATTCTTTTGTGTCATTAACTCACGTTGTGGCTTATTTTTTTATTTTATTATTTTTTTTTAAAATATGCAGCAGGCTTTGTTTTTTTTTTTCATCAGTAGCTTCCGTTGTGGCCTCTTTTTTGCATTCTCTTTTTTGCAGCAGCGGTGGTTCTCGGCCACCTTAAATTTTCAATAAAGTTTTCAGTGCAAAAAAAAACAAAAAACAAATATGACGGCCGGCTGCAGAGCCGCTGACTGCGCAGATTTCCACACTCTCTCCTGTAGCTTTGCGTAAGAGAGGATCGATCCATGAGGTTTATAGAGCTGCGGTCTGTGCGCAGCAGCAGGAGGAGGGGGAACAGTGGACCTGAACGCAGCCTGCCAACCTGCTGCACCAGCTTCTTCTTTGTAAACAACACTCAATGATGTGAATTACAAGTTTTCCTTTTTAGCCACTGTTATTTCACTCATTATGGCGCAGCCGGCAGAGAAAGGTATGTCTGAATAAGTTTTCTCTTAGAAAAGTTCTAACCGAATTGTGTATAGTCATATAGCTGACTGGTAGCGTTTCCACACTCTTCACTGAAAAACTGGGCCACTGAACGACCAACTCAGCATTTCAGGCTACAAGTGTCCTACACAGAGCTCATGTGATGAATTGGGAAGTTGCCAAAACGCTTAGGTCATCAGTAATTGTTCACTATTTCATTAACTGTCTAAAACATGTAAAAGCAGATATACGCTTTACCTCACAGGCTACAAACAATTGGCTAACTCCTCACTCTATTTACGGCTACTTTGTTTTCCAAGTGAGGAGCACACAAAGTCCCTCTATTGGTTTGTGTAAAAGTACACGCCTTAAACCAGAAAAGAAGACGACAGGTTTTGATAAAGCCACGCTAAACCTAAAGATGTTTTTGTCTTGGGGCGAACAATAAGGAGAATAACTCTGCTAAGCTTTGCATTTTTCTCCACCAAATGTATGCGAAAATTTTTACGTAATTTTCACAATTTTATTAACATGTATGAATTCAATGATTTCTGATGCGTGACAGTCATGGTGTGTATAATAAAATACTACAACGCCACCACTGTACCGATTGTTTATCTAATGCAGTCACAGTTAGGACTACTTAAACCAAGTTTTACCACTGACACCTGAATGCATCACTAATTACATTTCAGGGATGTAATAGGTCATCCTGAAATACGCAATACTGCATATATCTAGGGCTGGGCAATAAAAGAAAACGTTTTTCATGATAAGTTTTTTCATATCAGTCGATATCAGTATATATCACAATCAAAACTGAAATACAGCAGTGCTTATTGGTAGTGTGTCTTTTTCAATACAATAAGCTACTGCATCTGTGAGGTCTTTGTGTCTCTTTGGCTGTGTCCGAAATCGATCTCTAACCCCTATATAGGTGACTACATGGGGGTTAATGCCATTTTGAGGGGTGTCCAAAACCTCAGTGATCAATTCCAGTGCCCTTTATAGGCGACTCAAAATTTCCCATAAAGCATTGCAAAATGTAGTGACCATCCGATGGTCACTCACCGGCGGTGGGCATCCTGTAATGCATTGCGTCATGCCATGTAGTGTCCAAAACCTCCGGTGACTGAGTTTACTACATAGTCAACTATATAGTAAAATCCCATATGGGGGTTAGAGGTTAGGAATTAAGTGATTCATTTCAGACACAGCCTTTGACATTTTGTTGTAAGGCGTTGTGGGAGAGAAAAGGAAAGGGTCGGCTGTTTCGGTTGTTTCGGCTGCACAGGTGCCATAGGCTCCTTGCTCGGGGTTTGTAACCTTGTGCATTGAGTGTGCGCTGCTGTGTGGCACTGCTTCAGGTGGTGAAAAAGATTTGAGTTATTCCCTGACTTTGCAAGAACATGTACTCGGCATAAATTGCAGTGCACATTACTCTGCTTCATGTTCGAACTAAAAAAAAACAAAGTACCTTCACACCACCACCGTTTTTGTGCCAGTGTTGTTGACGATGTTGTCATCTGTTGAGCTTTCATCTGCATTTCTGCCGGGGGTAGCACTCATTTTCTTTTTTTTCCACTGACAGTGCTGTCAGCTTCACGTGTTTAAGTGCTATGGTTGCGTGTAGCTGCAGCCTGCTACTACGCAGTTGTTTGCTACTTCCTTCTAATTCAGCACATGATTGGTTCAGCATGAAGCGGACCTGGAGCAACTCCCCTTGCATTGGCTATTCATATAGTCTACCAAAACATGGCAGAATGCTGACTATTGAAAAGCATATTGACCATGTTTTATATTGATATAATGGGAAATTAATTTTTGATATGTATTGTTATTGTTTTATCACCCAGCCCTACATTTATCCTTCTTCTTTTACCCCCAATTTGGTATTTAAAGGCGGGGCTCACACTTGTGATGTGTTTCCACTCTGCAGTAATGCTTCTTAATGGGGCCAATGATAAACAGGAAAATACGGGGTGATAGATATTCTATCAGATCATGCGGTCATTTAACCTTGTGCATTGAGTGGTGCATAAAGTACATATCACACTGCTTCCATCATATGTCAAATGTTGAAATTGGTTGACACAGACTCTCATTATTATGTGTCAATAAAGAAACAACCAGGAAAAACTAATGAGCCATCCTGTATTTTCTGTCACAGCATATTATCGCTTTGTGGTGCTGTTCTTCAACTGCCTGCTGACATTCGGCTCCTACTTCTGCTTTGACATCCCCAGTGTTTTGCAGGATCAGTTCCAAGGGGTGAGTAACAGATTTAAGGTCAAAGGAGCATTACAGGGATTTCATCACTCAAACCAACATGTGGTTTAAAGTCAAGAATCCAAAGTCTACCCTCCTAAGACTCGTATATACTCTAATAACTCAAATCTTTGCCTTCCTCTCATCTGACAGAACCTAACATGTCCCAACACTACAGTGATCAATGGGACAGTGGACTGTGTGGAGGGATTGGGGATGAGTCCTCAGCAGTATAATCTTCTTTATGCCATTTATGCCTGGACGTATGTACACAAACACACACACACGTTGAGACACATACATCAACTCTAATTTAACACTCTGATCTGAAAACAGCTTCAGTTTGTATTATACTTTTTCCCATCAGGAATGCAGTAGTTGTTGTCCTTGCTGGTTTCCTGATTGACAAATTAGGAAATCGCTGTGAGTAAACACAAATCTTATCTGTGCGTTCGTTAAACCAACAACAACAACAACAATAATATGTAATGTCACTCCTGGTGAATTGATTCTTCTTTCTTTTGCAGTTGGAGTGTTTCTCTTCTCTTTTCTGTGTGTTTTGGGCTCCTCACTCTTCGCACTGGGCTCCCACTTTAAAGGAACCCCCTACCTGCTGCCGCTCATGCTCACGGGCCGACTGCTGTTTGGATCAGGCAATGGATCTCTGACCAGTAAGACCCCTTTATAAGAGACAGTCTGTCTCACATTGGACTCAGAAGAAGTTTACCAAGCTGTTTTCTCTTATCTGCTCTTTCATCAGTTGTTCAGAACCGTATCACAGCCTTTTGGTTCAAGGGGAAGGAGCTGGCCTTGGCGTTTGGTGTGACCCTGGCCTTCTCTCGTTTGGGGTCGGTCCTGAACTTCTTCTTTACGCAGAAGTTTGAGGAAAGGTTTGGCATGCAGTGGACACTCTGGGGTGGTATGTAACAAGGAGATTGAAAGGTCAAAGTGCAAAGAATCGTTGAAAGATAAACTGTTTTAGAAAAGTTAGTGTTTAGTCCAAATGGAGCCAATATTCCTTATTTTTAGGTGCAATTTTGTGCGTGCTGGGCTTCTCATCTGCCATCATTGTCAGTACACTGGACAAGATCGGAATGAAACAGCTTGGTCTGGATGGCGCCATCCAAGAGGAGTCCCGCAAAGTGGTATAAACAACATCTTACTTTTATAATGCATATTTAGATATCCATTAACTTCCCTTTCTTGTAGTGGATACCCTAGATCAGCGGTTCTCAAGTCCAGTCCTCGAGGCCCACTGTCCTGCATGTTTTGGATGTTTCCCTGCTCCAACACACCTGATTCAAATGATCAGCTCATTATTAAGCCATTACAGAGCTTGATAACGAGCTGATAATTTGAATCAGGTGTGTTGGAGCAGGGAAACATCCAAAACATGCAGGACAGTGGGCCTTTAGGACTGTACTTGAGAACCACTGCCCTAGATTGATTGTTTGATTGTCCTTGTTTGTTTGCTTGTAGAGGGTTCAGGATGTAAAACTCCTGTCGCTGAGATACTGGCTGCTTGTTCTCACCATCATGTTCTTCTACAACGGCATCTTCCCCTTCATTGCAGACGCCAGGTAGAGCCAGAAACTTAAATTCTCTAAGGTTTTAAGGTGGTTAGACAGTGTGTGAGGTTCTTTATAGGATTAGAATGATGTAAGGTAAAGTGTTTAGTGTGTTTACATATTAAAAAAGCAACTCTATAAATTTCAACTTCAGCAAAGTCAGTGCACCACAACCACAAAAGGATTTTGCATAAAGAAGATATAAAAAATGTGCATTTATGTTTTGGAGGCTAGATCTTTTGCACATTATAGTGAAAAAATAAATAAAGCATCTGCAGCAAGAGTCCTCACATTCCCCAAGAATGTGCAGCACATCTGTGTCTAAATCACAGCTTGTGCTCTCAGTAAATCTAAATATAGATTTAAAAAGAAATCCTATTTCTTGCCTGCACAGCAGTACATGGTGCTGGGCCTTAATAAATATCCGATTCACTTGTAAACACTGAATCATCTTTCCTGGGACAGATTTTATCAGGGATAAAAACCCAGCAGATGCTCAACACTTGCCAAACTCTGCTTTTTTAAAAACATTATTACCCACTACAGCTTTTATGTTCAGTACATAAAGAACCAGTTTTTTTTCTTTAACATGTATTTATCATTCACATTTTTCCATATTAAATTGCATTGGATTTTATTGTGATTGAAAAGCATTGTATCTACAAAACCGACTGTAAAGCCATCGTTTCATACATTGTATGATTCAGTCATCATACACACCAAAAGAGTGACTCTGTGTAAACATCCTGCTGTATATTCCCTCTCCAGTAAATTCATTCAGGATAAGTACAGTGGCTACAGTCAGAAGGAGGCAGCCTACATTGCTGGGGCAGTTTACGACTGCTCACTGCTCCTCTCAGCCAGCGTGGGCATTCTCATAGTAAGCACCTGTGTGTATTTTTACCCGTTCAACAGTCAGTAGTCTTAATGACGAGTAATTATTGCACACAACATTGCCATATATACATTGTACACATATCATATTGTTAATTCTTGCACTGTTTGTTAGTAAAGGCTGTGTTTTAAATGTGTATTCCAAGGATTTAAATAGAAACGATGATGATCCTCTTTCATTTTTCAGGATTATGTGGGCCTGAGGGGAATTTTTGCAGTGGCCTGTGCTGTCCTGACACTGCCTGTGTTTGGACTCCTTGCTTTCACCTTTGTTCCTCCTCTTGTTTCCACTATATGGCTTGGAATCACCTACTCTTTTGCTGCTGTAAGTTTACTCCCAAGGAAAACTACATGTTCCTTTTTTATATTTTATATTTATAATATCTATATCTATATCTATATATTCGAAACCCTGTTTGGGAAGGGCTCGTAACTGAAATCTCATTCCTCTGTGTTGTATTCCAGGCAAGCATGTGGCCGTCTATCCCTCTTGTGGTTCCTCAGGCGACTCTGGGAACTGCCATGGGTCTGGCCACCTCCGTTCAGATGATTGGGATTGGAGTGTCCAATTTAGTTGTTGGTCAGATTTTAGGCACCAAATCCAGGTAGGAAGTTCTGACTGTATATGATGGACAACATTTCTCCACCACCTTCCATAGTACAAAAGTGAATCCAAAATACCTGCTGTAACAAGTGCTGACTGATGCTGGTAGAGCTTCTTGAAGCTAGAGTCAGCGAAGTGCAAAAAACAGCTGATGGAGCCATAGTACTGATGACGCAAACCAAAGCACATATTAAACTTGTCAGTAAAATAGTTAAGTTCCCCTTGGCACAATCTAAAAGTAAACAGACATACTTGTGTGAGTTTGAAATGGACACTCATGGTTATTGAACATTTTATAAATCTCTCTGCCAATCAGGGGAAAACACAGCCCCAAGAGTCACATCTGATTAAAGATCTGGCAGTCATGGTGGTATACTCTTTTGTATAGTATCAAATAATTAATAAAAACTTAACTTCTAGCCAATAGAACCACATCATCTGCAAAAAGTCAAAAATCTTTTGGGGTTAGAGCTAGCACCTCCAAGTCCAGGGCCATGATTCTGTGCTGGAAAATTGTCGATTACACTCTCACTGAGGAGTGAGTCTTAGCCCCAAGTGAAGGAGTTCAAATACCTTGGTGTCTTGTTCATGAGAGAGGGCAAGATTGATCGGGAGATTGGCAGGCAGTTTGATGCTTCATCAGCAGCACTGCAGGGAACTAAGCCAGAGGTCAAAGTTTTCAATTTGCCAATCGATCTTCATTCAAACATTTTGTGATCTTGAGCTATGGGTAGTGACTGAAAGAATGAGATTGCAGAAAAAAGCACTTACCTTTATGGGGTTTCTGGACTCAGCCTTATAGAAGGTTTCAAGAATTTGCATCCACATGAGAGCTCAGAGCAGAGCCAATGATCCTTTGTATCAAAATAAGTACATTGAGGTGGTTGCGACTTGCTCAGACTAATGCCTCAGCTTCCCAAACTCGGATATGTTAAAGAAAACAGATATATTATTTGATGTGCATTTTAATTTAAAGGTTAACCCATGTTCCATCTGTAAACCTGGAGGAGGTGGGCTTTATGATCTATAATGCAGCCAGCCAGTGGGGGGAGCTCTGAATGTTTTGGCCTCATTGTAGGAGTTAAATTGTCTGTCTTTTCATAAACCCTGGTAGAAAGTTGTCAACATCAAAATCAAGCTGCTGTTCATCAACAGTGCACATTGTTTGTTGGATTCACTTCCTTTCTCTTTTCTCTGCCTCCTTTCCACAGTGAGACCAAAATTCCATTATGGCGTTGGCAGAGGATGATGATCTTCATGTTAGCCAATACCATCTGCTGCATTGTCACCTCAGTGATGCTCAATGTTGTTGATCAAGGACAGGTTAGACATTTCATACACCGCTTGCTTATTTGCAGCTTTAACTATGTGTGTATTTGTTGTCGACTGATATTTGGAAAGCATATGCATAAGATTTGTATTTTTCCTACAGGGCGGGACCCTGAACAAGACAACCAAGAGGTCAGAGTCCACAGAGAGAGACTCAGACAGGGAGCCGCTCAATCAGGGAGAGGAAGAGGAAGATGAGGAGGGGGAGGAAGAGGGGGTCGGATCCCATTCTATTAACTCCTAAAACCCCCTCAAATTCAAACATCTGTTTCTGTTTTATATATTTTTATCTGTCCAAGTTTTAAATGGATCCTTGTTTTTACTGAATACCTCACCTGATCATAATTTGTGGTTACTACAATGGACATTTCAGCAGTTAATTGAAACATAATCAATCCCAGTTAAACAGAAATTATGACCAAATAGTATTACAACATTGTATTCAACGTGAACCACATATTTTAAGAATATGAGAAATACTGTCAAAAAAAGAAATTATATTCCATCAAAAAATTGACTTTTTTTATCCTGTGTGAGAGCTGACATGTTTTATATCAGCCCTGTTACAAGTCAGGTATACATTTTACTGCCATAACAGACTGAGGAGTATTGGCAACAAAAAAGAAAAAAGACTTTTAGTCATTTAAAAGATGTATGTTAGAAATATGTCAGGTCTGTTTATGTGTAATTATTGCTTCATGGTTACTAACACAGACGTGAAATGTTTTTATCTTTTAATTGTGTGATTCATGTCTATGGACTTTGAAAAGGGATTTTGAACTATTTTACATGTTAAATCAGCAGAAAATTAAAAGCTGTTTACCTGTTTTGACAGGTAGATATTTTGAGTGTCCTTGTTTGTTTTTATTTGCACTGTTTAGTTATTGGTAGCCATATTTGTCTCCTTATCATGATAGCAAGTTTAGGACATTGGAGTTGAAAGCACAGTTGTTTTTATTTATTTTATTTGACCATCATTCAGCTAGCTAGTCCAACTGTGATCAGGTATCTCTTTTTGAAGATAGACCTGGAAAGGAATGATAGCAACACAAAAGTTTTATTCAGTAGCGGGTAGAAGTCTGTCAGGGAGTTAGCTTAGTGTACACAGTGCGCCGGGCTTTAAAACTGGACTTCAATTTCCTTGTGGCTAGAAACGCATTTTTAAGATATGAAACATTTTGCAGACAAGTTCCTAATGATAGACTGAAGTTCACACAGAAAGGCCAGAGCCAGCCTTAAGACTGAAAACTGGAAAACTTGTTGCTGAGCCAATGATGAGAAGCCCTACACCTCAAGCTACCCAAGGTAAGAATATAACCCAATAAATAATGAATGAAAAAAAAAGTCTCTTTTGAAACTTAACTCCGCGATTGGCATTTGTTTCCACTACCTTGTAGCCACTAGGTGGAGCCCTTCTCTTTAGTTTTCAATAGCTTGCTTGGAACCCATGTAGTTAATTTGATGGTGACCACTCTACTGTTCGTTATCTCTGTTGCTGTTGCCTCAGCTTCTGATCCCCCCCTTTTTTTTAATTCTAGGCTTTATTAAATATACTTGGAAAATGATAAAAAATGAGACAGAAAGAAATGGCAGCAGGCTTCAGAAAATGTTTTGCTCATATTCATAAATTTACTTGAAATGTTTCATTTCTCACAGGTGAAAAGGCGTACACTGTGCAAGGAGGGTAAAAGGACAGGGTTGAAGCCAGCTTTTTATTTTTTCACTGTAAATATTGTTCTTTAAACCCTATTTTACAGAAAAACCTGTTTGAATACTTTTAAGACCCAGAAAGATAAAAAATCATAGGGTTTCTACATGGATCAAGGTTGTCTTGTCTGCCCTTGAATAAAGCTGAAGTCTTCAAATACCTGAGTACGATTAGTATAAAGACCCAGGTTCAGGATGCCATCCTCTTGATCTGGCTGTGTGCCGGGTCAAAGATGAAGAGTCACCTGCTGTATAGGCAAAGATTTAAAGTCTGCAGCGTGGGCTGAAAAACACAGCAGATCAGGCCACTGAGAAAAAAGAAAAAAATTGCATTGCCTAGCAGTATTGGCAGTTGTGCGGTTATGAAAGCTCCCAAAATTAATGATTGTGTGTCCAGCTGGTTCTTTGTATTTGGTCATAATCCAAACAAAGATTGGACAGAACATGCACAGCTTTGAAGACATAGAAGTGATTTACTAAAGATTAAGATAATATGATTTTGGCTTCATGCTCAACTGGATAATATGATACTGGCTACAGTTAATAATCTAGATTAAAGGGGATGTATTCTTCTTCTATGGTGGTGGTGAGTCAAAGTCAGTGGAATGGAGGGAAGAAGGTCACCTGATTAGAGTCTCTCATCCTCTGTTTACCATGCAGATAAAACCTAAAAATATACCTTACTTAATCTGCTTAAGGGGTGTGTGGTAGGAGTTAGCCTTTGACTGCCTGATTGACAACACACACACACCACACACACACACACACACACATACACACACACGCTGAGTCAGTCGCAAAGTCTTAAAGGGAAACCTAATACCTGACGTTCAGCAAAAGACTTCTACTTTCCTGACTTCTGCTTTATGGTTTCTTACTTTGAGTCCATCTGCAGCCTGAACTGTTTGGCTGAAGGCCCGGGCAGCACAAGCATGTCAGGTCTCCTCAACCTCAGCAACCTGGGCAAGATCTGCGGCTCCAGCAACGACGTGGTTCTGGACCGGGTGAAAAGGAAGAACTCTGTGAGGCGAATGTCGATTATTGAGGATGGTGAAATAGCTGAGGTCCTCTACCTTATTCCGAAACAGTCGATGATGGAACAGCTGCCTTTCCTCAACCCCAATGACTACATCCTGTGTGAAAAACTGGCCTCTACACCTGCAGAAATATCCGGCTGTGAGTATTTACTCTCATGTAGAGAATGTATGTGTACTGGTGATGAGTTGTTTTGTAAGTTTCTTTTTAGTCAAATTTTTCCTAGACATGACCAAGGGTGTTTCTAGAATGTTCAACAGGGGTGGCCCTGCTGGGACACTGAATTTTTCATTAAACTATTTGCCCTTTCTTTCTCTATAATTTGTGTGTACTTTGTCTACTTTATCTATGAATGTTCAAATATCAAACATATGGTATTCTATGTATTATTTAGTAATATAATAGAGAAATTTGTCATAGACTTGTGCCGTTATTTCCACTGCATGTGACCTGACGAGAATGAAAATTCTCCCTTATTTATTGTGTTTCAAGCCGCCACTTCACTGCGCAAAGCATGCTACAGATTAAAGAGATACAGGTCTTTTTACAAGCTTTGCATTCAGAGCATTCAGACACTACTTTACTTTTATGCATGTTTTCTACAATCCTTGAGGAGTGCTTGTTTGATCGAAAAGACCTCTCATTTAACATCAACTAGCTTACTGCAGAGGTGGGTGGCACAGCTTTGGGCATCCGTGAATCCATCCTCATGCATTGTAACATTACTATAGGCAACTGGACTTTTAGGTGATTCTTCCAATATTATATATTTTTTAAATTTAACCTTTATTTAACCAGGAAGTCCCACTGAGATTAAAAATGTCTTCTGCTAGAGTCCTAGGCAAGGTGGCATCTATTTAGATTCAAAAACGTATTAAAAAAACTCAATCAACAGATCTAAAACATATATTTTAGATATCTTAACCCTTTGATGCGCAACATATCCACACCCCCTCTAATGCGCAACATGGGTCTAAAAAGACCCGCATTCATTTCCAATGGTATTTCATGCTGGCTGAGTTTTTCTTTGTTCTATCTTTTGAAATAAGTTTATTTTTTGATTGAATATTCCAAGTATTCTTTAAATATCTTGTTTTTGATCACCACTGATCATTATTTTTATTTTTCTTTTCATACTTTATGAAATAATATAGTTTCTATATTTTTACATCAAGTTTACACACATGGGTCAAAAACGACCCATTCATCCAGGTGTGATTTAATATTGAATTACCTAACACTATAATAATAATTTGTTTCAAGTAATGAAATTAGCAGTGAGTGGGGCCAAACCATAGACTGTGTATACTATGGACAACTTGGTTCCGCCTACCGCCTGTATACGGATTTGGAGCCAAAAAGCTCTCGGTATTTCCGGGACTTTTCTACATTTCTGAAACCAGAGCTGCGCAGTTGCGATGCGTGCATTTGACTTTGCAGAGTCGCTGAGAGTCGCTGTGATGACGCTCGCCTCTAACAGCGTATCCCCCCGGGAGAGCTACGCAATCCCTGAACGCCCATAGGCTGTATCCATAGACTGTATATACTATGGACAACTTTGTTCCGCCTACTGCCTGTATACAGATTTGAAGCCAAATAGCTCTCGATATTTCCAGGATTTTTCTTCATTTCCAGAAACCAGCGCTGTGCAGTAGCAATGCGCGCATTTGGCCGCACAGTTGAAGAGAGTCGCTGTGATGACACTCGCCTCAAACAGCATATCCCCCGGGAGAGCTACGCAATCCCTGAACGCCCATAGGCTGTATCAGGTGTCAATCATAGAAAACATGAACCCCTAATAACTTTGAAAAACGGAGCTTCACAGGAAAAAAGAGAACTTGAGCACAAACCAGTCTTACTGTAACTACATGTCAACATCACAACCAGGGGGGAGAAAAATTTATGTTCTGTGTAATAAAATTTTTAAGTTTGTCTACAGCTCCATAATCTTTGCTGGCGGAGGCGGGATTTATGACCTATACTGCAGCCCATCAACAGAGGGTGCTGTTCTCGGAGTGGCTTCACCCAGCGAGTAGGCAGACTCTGTCCATTCTGTATACAGTCTATGGCAGGTGTCAATCATAGAAAACATGAACCCCCTAATAACTTTTAAAAACAGAGCTGTACAGAAAAAAGAGGACTTGAGCAAAAACCAGTCTTTCAATAACTACATGTCAACATCACAAGCAGGGTGGGGTTTGTCCACAGCTCCATAAGGTTTGCTGGCGGAGATTTTGTATCAGCAACATGTTTATTTGTCATTTTGTCACATACACATGCGTCTGATTATAGCTAGCTGAAATAACGCTAGCTGTTTTACCTGTAACTGTGTAACTTTCCAACATGTAATGTCCTCACTCTCAAGGTAACCTAAACCTAATCAAATCAAATCTATGTACAATTATATTTCACAATTGTCATCCAATAATTTCTAAGATAATGTCAGAACAATTGAAAAACCATACTTACATGTATTAGACGGTCTTTTCATGCTAAATGCTACAGTCACTGTATGTGGGTCGTTTCTGACCCATGTATGTAAACTTGATGTAGAAATACAAAATCTGTGCTTCCTCATAACGTAAGAAAGGAAAAATAAAAATGATTATTTGTGCTCAACTAAAACAAGATCTTTACTGCATACTTGGAGTAGTGAATGATAAAATTAATTTATGTCAAAGATATACCATAGAAACACTCAGCCATACATGAAATAACATTGAAAATGGATACGGGTCATTTTAGACCCATGTTGTGCATTAGAGGGGTAGTGATACAAAAACGTTTTTTATTCTAAAAGTAAAAAAATAAAAATTAACATAAGGATGTAGGGTCGTCAAAAACAAGTTAATTGAGGAATTCCTTGAGTACCGACTGATGGAATTAATTTTTTGAGAAGATATATAAAATTTCAACTCAGCCGGGTCTTTTTTGACCCATGTTGCGCATCAAAGGGTTAAGGACTCAAAAAAAGCCTGTTACAACACAGCTCAAGCAGGTGTTGTTAACATACAGTAAGTCCCACCTCAACAGCCAGTCTTGGTATAGGAGTTTGAAATAGCCTCATGAGAGGCTGATCAGGTAGCAAGGGGGACTCTTTCTTACATCACCCCCCTTTTGGACGTGTGCTTATGAAAAATATTTTTCAGCTGTGAAAATTTCAAACAAGATTCAATAGCAGTCTTAAATTCTTGTGTATACTGAAGCCTTGGACTTCAATAAGGATGTTATTGGCCGATCTAATTATTCCACCCTATTATTGTGTCAGTTGAGGTTGCTGCTTACACATAAAACTAAATTAAGAATTAATCCGACAGACTTTCAAACACAATTTTGTGTTTACATTAGTGCAGCTATTGTTCTGTATTTATATAGTTAAATGAGATCAGGTTCAGATAAACACAATAAGCTTGTTATCCAAGTAAACGTTTGATAAGAGATAATCAGGGAATGAAAGTGATTAAACCGTGGTAGTTGCTGTGATTTACCTGGAAAAAGGAAAGATTTATTTTAAAATAATACACAACTATCAATATGTCATTTCTCAGGAAAGTAATACACATCAGAAATCTGTGCCCAGATTGCAGCCAAATTGAAATATTCTCTTGTTCAGCATGATTGAGGGCATGGTTCAGAAACACAAGGGTGGACGCCACTCCCACTGTCCTCTTTGAGAACACACACACACACACACACACACACACACACACACACACACACACACACACACACACACACACACTATGGCCCAGTGTTTTTGGACTGCCCCCTTTTCTCTTGGACCAGCAGTCCAGTCAGTTCCTCTCTCCACTCTGGCTGAAGTTAGTGCCTGGTGTCGTGACGAACAGAAAGCAGCATGAAAGAGAAAGGTAGACAATTTCACGGCAATGTGAACACATGATTGTGTGTGTGTGTGTGTGTGTGTAGTGGAGGAAGGACAGTGAGTGTGTTTGGTTTTTCTCATGATGTCCTCTGTTTGTCTTTGTGTCTGTGAGTTTATGGTGCTTTGTTAGTAAGTCATCATTCTGTGAAATCAGCTGTCACTTTTAGTAATTCTGGCTTAATGGAATCATTTTAATATTTCTCTATTTTTGAACTTTTACTGCTGTTTCCTACCTGATGTTTGGAGGTGCCATTTGATTGTTTTAAACTTCATAGAAAGTATTATTATCTTGTCTTGGTGCGATAATGGTTTGTGTGACATTTTCTTCTACTTCTGTGTTTTAAGAAGCACTTTTTAAAGCCTGAATTGTAATACCTGGTAAAACTTGTCCTTTTGCTATCCTGAAGCTCTGGTAAAAGATTTCTAATGACAATATGAGTTTTTTAAGTGCTGTAACTCTTTATTTTTAAACTGTAAAGACACAAAAATGTTGCCCAAATCTAGACACTTAATCTGGAGTTAAAAACTTTGGCTGCCAAGTGGGGAAAAGGTGCAGGCACAGCTGTCACAGCTAATCGTACATCATCGTGGTTGGGTAAGACCAACATGTGATTTCAGCTATTCAAATACAACTGAACACATGAAGTATTTTACCTTAATTATGACATTTTGAATCAGCAGGTATAACACAATACTCAATTGTGATACTAATAATGAACTGAACTTATTCAGTCAATAATTTGTGGCATCATATGGGTAAGTACCCTCTGTCATTCCCTGAACATCAACAAGGGGACTTTATTTAGAGCTTTTGACTCATTCTGCCAACTAATGGCTCTTCAACTAGCATTGAAAATGTTGTATCGTGTACAAAAACATTATGTCTTCTTATTCGGGAAACCATCAAACAGTAGGAAACATCATTATTATCAATTCATGTGGCTTGACTAAATCCAGTTGCCGGCCACATAAATAGAATCATATGATCTTATTGTACTGCAGCGGTCGGTTAAATTTAGTGAGCATACCAGAAATTTCAGTTCTTTCTGCTAACCTAACAATAGAAATCAGCTGTACTGCATCACTGAAACTTCTGGAAAATTCAAAATAGATACTGCCTCCCTTCCTGCATGAATCAAAACACACACAGGACCATTGGTACATTTTTTCAGCTGGAGATAGCGGGCAGTGTGATTAGCTGTTCCTCTCAGGTTTCTCTCCATTTGCTGTCTTTCTAAATCCACCATTTGCTAAGACTTGACACCAGATCAGCTTCACATTGTGGGAGAGATCAAGAAAGAGTGAAAACAGTTTAGAGTAATTCCATCTCAGGACTCCACATGCCAGTTTGACCATTTAAACAATAGCAAAGATAAAGAAAACAAAAAGATATTATTTACATTTATGATATTTATGACATAGCAGGCATACAAATACTCAACTGCACTGATTCAATATTGTTTTATACAGCTGTAGTTTTATCAGACAGAAGTCTTATACTATAAATTTTCAACAAAGGGTGCTTTGGTGCTCATACTATGATAAATCCGTTATACTGTATGTGTCCTTGTTAGCATCACAAGTCTGTTCCCAACATCAGACAAAAATATCTCGGACGAAAGCCAGTGTGGCTGGGATTGGACTCATACCATGATTAAAAGGATGGGTTATATTCCCGCTGGAATTTCGTTTACTTTGGCAGAAGTAACTTCCACAAGATCTGATGGCTGTTTTATTAGACTCACACTATGTTTTTCTAGTGGCAGGAGTAGCATTTTCTTTTCAAAATGACCAAACTCCTTTTTTATATTCAAGAAAGTTTAAATTCATTTGTTAGTTTTTTGGGGGTATTCTTACTTAGCAGTCCTGGTAACACTTCTTTATGGTGTTAGATTGTTAAAAAAAATACAAGAAATGCAAGAAAAGCACATTTCCACTGATGCCTAATGTAGACTGAAATAATACAGCTGGCCTATGATGGTCGTTTTTATCTCCACAATGTACACACCAGTTCTGGCAGTTCCTGGAAACTTTACATTGACCTTTGCGAAGCACGGTCTCTTAATCCAGTTTGTTACTGCATACTTGTTACCATAGCAACAAATCTCTCCGGTTGTGGGTCTGACTAAAGGCTACATACCAGTGGTGTCTGACTCAGTTTTTGAGAAATTTGCAAGGCTGACTTGGGCAGTAAAAAAAAAAAAAAAATCAGTGTCCAGCTTTTAGTTTGTGGAAATGTTTCTGTTCTGGTCAGTTAAATGTAAACATCCATGCTGTTGATACTGGGATTATCAAAGGTGTATTTTGGGTGTAGCTGTTATTTGCTTAAGATTTGTAAAGACTTCTTTTTACAGCCAACTGTGTATAAACAGGGAAAGGTTTAGCTCATGTGTCTCTTTATCTATTCTTGTGCCGTGTGTTGAAACACTGGGAGGCAGAGCACTCTCATCGTGCCACATTCTTTCCTCTCTCTCCTCTGCTAATCACATTCAAGACCTCTCAAGTGGGCTGTGATTAGATTGTACAGGCATCCACTGCTTCTGCTGCCATAAAACATGAAAGGGACAGAATTAGAAGAACTAAGGCTGAGCTTTCTCACTACCGTCTGAGATAAGTCTTTCCATAAGAGCACAAATCCACATGCTGATATAGAGATATAGATATACGGTATACTAGAAAGAGAAAATATGTTTATTGTAATCTGTTGTGGGTTGTCATGTAGTAATCTGTAGACTGATGTGATTGTATGTTTTAAAAGCACAATCCAAAGCAAGGCGAGTTTGCACATTATGTTCAGTTATGTAAGCGCTGACAGGACCTTTCTGAGAGGCTATTGTATTGTAACGAACAGCTCAGAGTCAGACAGAGAAGATTAACCTGCTGCCTGAATGACACTGACCTTCTAACTAGGAGGACCGTGCTCCTGGTTTGCTTGTTCCAATCAAGACAAAACACTGGAAAAAAATGTTTTTTCCACATGATTTTCATTTGTCTCGACATTATCTGAGTGGATTACTCTGAATTTTAGACTGACGTCATGTCTCAGACAACACAGTGACTTTAGCTATCTCGTTACTTTTCCTTTAACTACTTCCCAATCAGATACCCACTGAGCATTTTTTGGTCTAAAAGAGGTCTAATAGATGTCTAAATGTATACATCTATACAATGTGGTATCTATACTGCATTGTATATTGCTCAACGGCTATCGTAATTATTTTGGTTAAGTACTTGGAGATCAGTTAAAGTGCAACATCTAGATTCCATCTAAAAATATACAGAATCTAGACCATTGAAATTATGTCTAAAAGAAAAACTAGACATCTAATAGCCATCTATTGCTCAGTGGGTAGCCAGGCAACTTATAGTGAATTATCTTGTTCTTTACCAGCATTTCTTTTTAAGTCACAATGTCTCATTATTAGCAGGTTTGACCAAAACACTTTTAGTTGGTGCAACTAATCACAGCGAAGAAATGTTTGGCTAAGCAGTTGGCCAAACATTTCACACAATTTCCTAGCTGATTCTAACACTTTGTACGTCCGGTACACTCAAGTTTAACAGATACTGGCATACTAAAGGTTCCAGGAAATAACATGATTCAGATTGTCAGTGTAGTAGCCATTCTGAACATTAATGAAAAGCCTCATGTCATTTTACCCTGATCCACAGAAGATAAACAATTGTTTGTTCTGACCTAAATCATGATGGATAAAAATCTGTCTGATGGGAACCAGACTCATATGGTAGAGCAGATAAAACATATGCTATTTGCAGATTAGTCTGGTTCTCAGGGCTACACTTTGAGAGAAGTGAGAGAGTGTCAACTTCAAAAGCAAATCTGAGGACTGTAAGCTACATTTTGAGTAACTTACTGATTGCCCCAGTGGCTCATGCTGCAGTGCTTAAGTTTAGCCTTACAGAGCTGCATGCATGGCTGTAGATGCGTGGCTTTTTAATTCACTTTCATTTGTTACACATTATGATAAGACCTTCAGAACTTCTTGAATGAAAAGAAACAGATATGAAAAAAAGGCTTGCTAAATTCAGGAGGTAAAAACAACAGTTCAGTCACAGAGAGTTGGCACAAAGAGTTTTGTTTAGCGAACAAAACGATGGTGATCAATGATGAAGAATATAACTGTTAGAACTGAAGAGCTTAACTGTTCAACTTTGTCTGTCTCTCCTGTCCCATAGTGCTACATAATGATGATGGCTGCAACACTCCTCAATCAGGGAAGCGTGCCATCCAGTGCTTCAGATGTGGGGAACCATGCAAGGGAGAAGTGCTGCGGGTCCAGACCAGCTACTTTCACATAAAGTGCTTCTCGTGCAAGGGTGAGAGGTGACCGCATGTTGACATAAGTCCTTTTGGAAATTCACAGTGCAGATAGAACAGACCAGAACATCATTAGAACTCTGTGCAGGTGTTTTACTTGCAAAAGTGGAGTCTTTGAAAAAAACCCTGAGAGCAGTTCTTTGAATACTAACCTTATGTAGATGAATGAGTAAAAGCTCCTATATGAATTTAGTCTACATCATAAAAATTAACAGAGGCTGAATAACACTCTTATAGATGGTTTGAGTACATTCAGCCAAAGGGTCAATGAAATTTGGGTGTCAATCATCAGCATTCACCAAGGTACTAAAGTGCTTTTAGACGAGATAACATTGTGCTCGCATATCTCATTCCCTCTGATAATTTTGGATTGAACTTAGTTTGCATCTCTGTTGCGTTGTTGTGAGAGTCCCTAGAGCTGAAACACTCATCCACCGGAGTTACCCTGTTTTGTGGCAAACATATTCCCTCTGCATGCATCCATCCCCACTAATTTAAACAGACAAGCTTCTCATGTTGTTTCCCTTTCATCGCATTGTGTTGGTGTTTACAGCAGGGACGAAACAAAGAGACTCTCAGTGCAGAGAGGCCTGCAGACCTTTAACAAGACCTGGAGGATTGAGGGGGTATTTGGGTTTTAAGCAACTTTTATGTCACTATGAGAATATAAATAACATTTTGTTAGTATAACCAGTCATTAAACTTCTAATGTAAGTATATTCAGAGTAATATGAGCATTTTTGTATAACATTTTACTTTTATATAACACAAAGTTATCTGATTAGACAAAAGGCATTGGCATGTCTGTGGTTATTTTTGGCACTCATCAAGCTATCTCATCCCAGTGACCAACACAAAGCCCTGCTGGTATTCAGGACTAAAGCACTCCCTCTTGTGTGGCATTGCTTTAATAAAAAGAAAACACTAAGTTAAGTTATTCAAACATAATTTTCACAAATGTCAACACAGTGTCATGCATATTTTCACAACTTAAAATAAGATTTTCCTTAAAAATAATAATGTTGTACATTGTGGGTGAGTCACAGTAGGACAGAAAAAGAGCAAGAATCTGTCCTTGGCATCTCAGTCAACTCTGTTGTGATGTGATCAGAGGGCAAGTGTCAGCAGTGGGTTTGGTGGTGTCAAATGACTGTGAACAAAATAAAGAGCACGCCTCCCTCCCTCCCTGTTGGTAACTCGTCACTCTTCAAATAAACACATATACTACACACACACACACTGCCATAGAGAAACAAACATGTACCAGTGCACATACTGTATGAAGAACTGCACGCAGACATATAAACACTTAAACCCCCGAGGGAATCAAAGGTCAGGCAGCTCCTATAGCAATTTGTCCTTCCTGAATTGGAAACAGTTAAACAGCTGAAATAAATTGTGATAATTCTGTTTCTAAGTTTATTTTCACTACTAAAACTCCACAAACAAAACAAGAAAAAAGTATTAGCTGTTTAGCAACAGCAGAGTAGTAACTGGTAACATATAGTGATCCACATGCTAATGACTGGGACATTGAATTTTACTGGGATGGGATGGCATGAAGGGCCCACAAACACACATGCATACACACACATCACTTTCTGTGAACCAACTATCATATCAACTTTAGCTCCTAACATTTAGGTGTCTTACAGATGTAAATAACATGAATTCCTGAAAACACAGGGCAAATTCTTGCACTTTGTCAAAATACCTTTCTCTTTGGCAATATTTTAGTACCAAAATAACAGTTCAATGGACTGATTCCTCTCCTACACATCTCTTAAAGTCCCAACGTAAAAACCACTAAACTAATATGCAAAGAAAGTGACCATATTCTGTTGCAGCTCAGTGCAAATACATCTGCAGTTGATACTGACACAAATCCTGTCAATAAAGAAGGCATGCTGCCCATAATAGTTGAGGATATTGGGGTGGCATCTGAGATGTCCAATCAGGTTTCATTAGTGGCCCATGCCACCCCTCTAAATAAGCCCTTGGGGACTAACACTTTTAATGAGAAATCTTTATAAAGTGATAATATTTCAAGCAGAAGATGACATGAATAAACTGCAAGTACTAAACACCAAACTGAACCTGTTTTAAAAGGTGTTCTGGCTAAAGAGTCAAATGGTTTACCTGTACTAAACTAACAAAAATGATGGTTTGTAGGAGATGAAACGCTGTGAAAAGAGACAGGAGGTAGAAGCTAGAGTCTCTGTTCTGCATAAAGAATTCAATGCAGAATGTAAGTGTTTAAGTGGTCAAAGTTAAATAGATTTAACCTCTTAGTTATGCTAAAGCTGCTAATTGATACCTTTGACCAACATTAGAGAAACAGGTCAAAAAACACATGGCATGTGCTGCCACATTATGAAGCCACAGACAGGTTTGAATGAATGAGGTCGAGTGTCTACACCTTAAGCTGATTAGCTTGAAGCCACCCCTCACCAGCTGTATTAGCTTTACATTTAGCCGCTAACCTTGGATGTCAACCGGGTTGAGCAGGAAACCAGTCTATCCACAGCTGTGACACCAGCTTATCTGCACCAGTAAAAATGGTACCCATGATGCATTGCTTCAGAGATAATATGAAATAGTTGCTTTTTGCATTAGTATTTTTTCTGCCATTCTCAAACCTTGTGATATGTTTCTCTCTGTATTTCTTTGTGTGTGTGAAGTGTGTGGCTGTGACCTGGCTCAGAGTGGTTTCTTTAATAAGAATGGTGACTACCTGTGCCCACTGGACTTCCAGAGGCTCCACGGCACGCTCTGCAGCAGCTGTGGGGAGTTTGTGGAGGGAGAGGTGGTCACAGTCCTCGGGAAAACTTACCACCCAGCGTGCTTTGTGTGCACTCTTTGCAAGTAACTGAGACTTTTGATCACCCTGTAATGCTTAGAGAAAAATGACTTAAATCTTAAATGATTTTGAGGCACATCTTTATCTCTTTATTTGATTCTCAGACAACGCTTTCCTGCGGGAGATTGTGTTACCTTCAGTGGGAAAGACTGCCTCTGTCAGCGCTGTATTCGGCCCATGTCACCAACACCGAACAATGTCCGCTATCCCAGCAGTAAGTTCAGCTTTATAGAGTCAAGGAAAATAACTTCATTAGTGCCCTAAGTTATTGATCATTCAGTTTTTAGGGACAAAGAAAACCACAACACCTCAGGACCTGATAACTACATCAGCTTTTGCCAAAGAGATCTTGAACGTCTCTCTGGACTCTAAATAGTGTTACTAATTCAAGTTCAAGTCCTCCCTAGTGCTTTTTATACCTTTTTACAACACTGTGTTGTCATTAGCCTTAAAAAATCCAGATCTTTTCGGGTCAAGTACGCACTAACAAGTGATCTTATAGAGGGCAACCCTCCACCTTGACTTTATATAGCAAGGGGATCAATAGAGGATCCAGACTTACAAAGCCTCTGGATTAACAGGATCTCCCTGGGGGATTTAGCAGAAAGAAACTTGTTTAATTCTAGTAAGGGACAGGGACTTTCACTTTTACTTTTTCGTAAATATAATTAGCTCTAAAAATAAACAGACAAAATGACATAACTGTACCACGTAACAAGAGATAAATTAAGCCTAAAAGATTGATTGAAACACTGCAAGTCTGTTCAGCTTACTTGTACGTGTGTGTGCGTTTTCAGACTGCTCTGGCTGTGGCCGAGACATAAAGAACGGACAGGCTCTGTTGGCGATGGCGGGACAGTGGCATCTCGGCTGCTTCAAGTGTAAAATCTGCAAGAAAGTGCTGAGCGGAGAATATATCAGCAAGTAAACACATAACTGTCCTTTCTTCCAGCTTTTATCATTTTATCTTATTTCAAAAGGTATAAATGACTCTTAACATCAAATATAAAGTTAAGAAAAGGATGTTTCTTTGTCTTTCAGGGATGGTGTTCCATATTGTGAGAGGGACTACCAGATTCAGTTTGGAGTACAATGTCATGCATGTCAGAAGTTTATTACAGGAAAAGTCTTAGAGGTGAGAAATACTTTCAGTGAGTGTCAAAGTTGGGATTTGATCTGTGACTGCATTTTAAGCTAGCTCAAAAGTTTATTTAATGTAACAATACAAATCTATAACTACTGAAAGACTGTTTTTGTCTGTCTTAACAAGGATTAAGCTCATATTTGAAGTTGGATGAATGAATTATCCTGTAATTAGCTTTCATTATCATTTCATTCACAAGTTTTTACTTATTTTGACTAAAGATGTGTTTTGTTTTTTTTTTTTAATCACAACTTCACTTTGGTAATTAAACAACAATGTACAGAGTGACAGTTTAACTTAGTGGTGAAAATGATTAAATCAAGTGTCCCATGTACTGAGGCTTCAGTCGTTCACATAAGACCTGGGTTCAGTTTCCGCCTGTGGCCCTCAGCTACTTATTATTCCCGCTCTCTCAAGTTTCTAGTTTTATCCACTCTCCTGTTCTCTAAATAAAAGTCTTATATCTGTGGATATGATGGTTTTTGGCATTTACAGTTTGATATGAATACTATAAAAAGCCCTTTAATTGTGGGTGAGTATGTCTGTTTTTTGCATGTATTCAAGAATGAAGCCGGTGTGTGAGGAGACAGTAATGAGGGGATCTTTATATTCTAACATCCTGAGATCACCTCCATACTGTATCATAGTTTATGGGGACAAGGGAAAATGATCAGAATCAGAATACTTTATTTATCCTGGAAGGAAATTCAGTGTAAATCGCACTTTTATCAACAACAGATCTATTTAATTTTATGAAAAAAAAACTGATACTTCCTTATTATATGGGCATAGACATGCATGTCTCTGTATATGTGTAAAAAGTAAAGGGATGGCTGTTGTTAACTCTTATGGCTCTTATATCCAGGCAGGGCACAAACACTATCACCCCAGCTGTGCACGATGCAACCGATGTGACCGGATCTTCAAAGAGGGTGAAGAAATGTATCTGCAAGGTCAGTTCAAGACAGAAACTACTGCATATGGATTTCCATGAATTTTCATACATGTATATTTAATTTCACAAGCTGCAATTTTCTTTTTCACAAGTCCAGGATATCAAATAATACCTGTAGACAACTGTTTTTAAATTTACAGGAAAAACTATTTGGCACCCTTACTGCAGAGACATCAGCAGCAGAAGTGAGGACAACTACAGGGTAAGAGTTTAGTTAAAAACATATATCATGTGTTAGGGATTCACACAGGTTTTTAGGAGGGCAGCTGGTGCAAATACCTGTGCAATGTCATCATGATACCCGAGTTAGTTACTAAGCATGCCGATCTGAACACTATCGCTTCATTACATGCTCTCTTCCTCCTCAGGTCAGCAGACAAAAAACACCTTGTCTTGATTTCTTTTACCCTCCACATGAGCTGAAGGTTAATACTGAACAAGCTTGCTGCTTGCACCTGTAGTTTTTCTTGCGTGAGCTTAATCTCATGTCTTGAGATTAACAGCGCTGACTTGTTTTACATGCAATGTGAACTCTTTGCTCACTGAGTTTGCCAGTTAGATCTTGTGTTTGTGATTCAACAAAGCCAGACGAGGACACAAGAAATTAAAAACTACAAGATTAAGTTTGTTTTTTTCTCTTTAGAAATGGTGTAAAGGGAGTTTTATATTGTAGGGCACCTATAAAGGTAATGCAATGATTATTTAACCATATCTACACCTTTAAATAAAGTTAGCTTTAACATATCCAACAATGACAGTTCTGCATATTCGACTGTATTGTTTACATTCATCTCCTGCACAATCACAAATGATCTTAATCCAGACAAAGCTAAACGTCATGGTGGCACTTTGATGGTGTAATTTAGGATAGTGCTAAAGGTTGGACAGTCACAGCAAAGATTACACAATTAATTCAGCAAACTAATTGTGAGAGTAGTGTGAAAGAGGACATTTCAGGTCCACTTTGGGATCCCACTCACCCTGTCGGGGCTCTGATCCATGATGACAACCTGCTCACATTACTCTGCTTACAAGACTACTTATTTGTTGTATCAATAATTTTACACCAAATATTGATTTTGAAATCATTCAATAGACCCTGCCCCCACAACAGCCATGTCCTTGTGCTAAGGGTGGGAAACTCCTGTTTCACTATCATGTATTAGTGGGTCACAAATCGTACAAATCTCAGTATTCTGACTATGTGTGGTTATTTCACAGCCACACAGACTAAAGACGGGGATGATCAGGAGAAATAGATCATATTCTCACTTGGAAAGAACATTTGACAGCCCATTAGCTAACATCCGAACACATTATCATAGTAGTCATCTATAAAACAAACAATATGCTCATGCAAAAGTTTCTCTTTTCTTGTCATGCCTTTTTTGTTTGAGTGCCATCATCACATTAGTAGAGCTCTCTCACAGCCTTCAGTTTTTGCCTTTAACCTTTCCTGCCCCTTTTCACTGTTTGTCTCCTTTTTGGTTTTCCCACAGATTGCACATTAATGATTTTACATTTAGTTAGACTGTGTGTTTCTTTGCGTGTTTCTCATTTCAATGGTCTTCTATCAAGAGATAACAGACTATTGTGTTGAACAATTGCTTTGGTGTAACAAAACACAAGTGCTCCCTCCAGCCAAATTTAAACACGGAACAATAGACAGGTTGAAATATGTCTAGCCTTCACTGATGGGTAGAAAACATTGTTTTGTTTCTTGTGCACATAATTGGCATGTAGGTGCATGATGCTGATTGTGCTTGTAGTGTAGAGACTCTGTAAGAGAGGCTGAAGCTCAAAGTGACGTCAAACAAACAGTCACGTTTCCTTTTTCTTTTTCCTTAGCCCACGTCCTCATCTGAGAGCTCATCCTCCAGGCCGGGCTCATGCACCCCAGGGAGTCCTGGTCGAACTATCTGTGTAAGTTCAGACAAAAGCCTCCACCTCAAATCTTCCATGGTGCATTATTCACCATGGGTTGATTTACATTTATCCTTTATTCATACAGGGGAATCGCATGGACAAAGGGTCTCTCATGCAAGATGTTTCTTTTTGACAATAAATGTTGGCCTACTTTAATATCGATGACATTTGTAAATGTTTTGAACTGAACCTTGACTGGTTGGAAGTAGTTTCATCTTGCTTTTATACAAATGGGGTTTCAATTGTGGTTGAAGAATGCTTACTTCTTAAATTAATCATTAAAATAATGAAAAGAACAACCACATATTGAACAAGAATTTAGATTTGTACGCTTAATCAATTTGAATTTGCTGCCAATTCAGATTGTATTTGACTGCAAAAACAACCCGGTGCTTTCAGTGTCCTTTTGATTCCTCCATTTAGTCTTCTATGATCCAAACCTTTTTTTTTTTATCGTATGGAATGAACTTTATACCCATAAAAAAATACAAATAAACTCACATTACGAGCTGAAATAGTTTTGTACTGGAAGCCAAACTATACATGTATATATACGTATGTTGAAGTAAAAACAGGCAACAGATTATCTTCATCTGTCACCACCATGTGCCAAAATTAACTATCTGTGGTGTTATGGGATTAAAGTTTCATTCCTCTGTGAAGTGGTGTAATGAGTGACCTTTGACTTTTTACCTTTACTGTATGTTCCTTCTGCCCTCCCCCTCTTTGCTCTCCTCCCTTCTCCTGTCCCCTCTCCTCATTGTCTTGGTCCCAGGCAAAAGTAGATAATGAGATCATTGATTACCGAGACTTAGCGGCAATTCCCAGAGTCAAGGCTATATATGATATAGAGCATCCTGATATGATATCTTATAAGAGTGTCAACGACACCCCCTCTACTTTGGACAACAAGAGCCACAGACAGGACAGGCAAATCCCCGCTGAGGTAATTCATTCAATGCTCCAATTTTTATCCAGTGACATGTTTGTGTGTCATTGTTGGTGTGTTTTTTCTTGGTTTGACGTAGGAGTCAAACCAAGTGACGTATTTTGACGTTTAAACGTGAGTGTGTTTTGTTCAAAATGAAAAAAGGCATTTACTCCTAAATGGATAGATGTCTCTTTGTGTATTTGAGAGAAATAGTGTGTCTGCATTAAGAAAACGCCTCAATATTGTGTCAAAATCCAGACAAACAGAAAACATTAGCATTTTAATGGCCGAGCACCCTCAGTAAGCATCTTCAAAGTATCAAACTATGAGAAATTAGTTGAAACTCAGTTTGAAATAATTGTCATTTACTATTGTGTCATGTTGTCAGTTGCTGGAATTAATTGCACGTTGTTGACTAACTATTCACAGCATCAGATTTTGGAGTTAGCAGTGCATTATAACACTTACTAATGCAAAGCAGGGCTCAAAATAAACTTATTTTTAACCTGGCAGCAATAGTACTCCGACCTTCAAAAAGTCAGCAGCACCAGCAAAAGTGTTTGAGCACCCACTGAAAATAAAGAAACACCACAACTGCTTACTGTACATAACCTGTGAAGTTAGACGGCCTAAAAAGAAAAGCGATCCCTCAGCCTTCTCTCCAGCTTCTGTCTTCAGCTCCTTTGAATTTGCATTAGTTAGTTCCCTGTCATGTGATAATGCAGGGCAGTGAAAGGCACTGATTGAAGGTTAACACTAATCAATCTTGAAACAGCACTCAAACTTTAGACTATTAACTTGACAATAAGACATAAACCAAAGGTGTCTAACTAAACCAACCCAGTCTACAGAAGTGTTTTTCTTTGCAAACTGAGCAGATTTTTGTGCTTGGTTTTCTTTGAGATATGAGCGTTTATTTTATTTTGTAGGTGCTTAGAAGGGGCTAAAATAAGACTATTTTATGCATCTGTGCTACTTGTGGCCACATTTTCCAGAGGCTTTAAATAATGGGTTGCTCATATTAATGCATAAATAATAACAGAGATTGTTTACTTACTATTTCAAAAACTGATCTAGAGACGGAAGTGTAGAGTTGCTATTAACTTGCTACTGCCACTAACTAAGAGTAACTAGATGTATTTCCCTCATAATCAAACCTTTTGTTTTCTCCTTTTATGTGTTTAAACTGGAAAACCTTATAACTCTCACAACCTTATCACCCCTCAAATTTAGCTGAAGAATAAGATTTGTAATAAATTTAGATGCTCTAAAACACATTTGGACTTTTGGCATCAAGGACTTTTTTCTTGATATCAGACAAATGTGGAGATATAAGGTTTCTTCCTATGTTTTTGCAATACAGGGGTGTGTCCAAATGGATTGTCTGGGGTGGAATGATCCCCACAAAATCAGTTCAGTGACCCCAGGAGCCACCCCTCCATACATACAACTTTTTCTTCAAATAGTTTAAGAATTCATATTTATGACTTTATACTAGCTACTCCTTTAAAATAAAAATAAAATAAAAAAAAAACATTGCATGAATCCCTCGTGTTGGTAATTATTGGAGACATAGTTAGTGGAGACAAAAATGCTAGATGGATGATTTTCAAACACGTGTCACTGAATGTTCACACTTCATGTCATCCCAGCATAAGTCTAAGCCCCAGTTGGGACACCCCAATCAAAAGTGTGGGCACACCCCTGTAACTGAATGCTTTTTTTCCCTTTATGATTGATGTTACTGATGTATTGATTTGTTGTCTTTTATTTAGTCCCCGGGCAACGTATCTGAAGGTACTGAGGTAATTCTTTCTTTATTTTACCCAAATATACACAGACGTTTTCACACATGACTCAATCTTTGAAATCTTTTATATATTGTGCATCTTAAAGTTTTTTTTTCTTTGTATTTTAAAGGACAGTTTAGAAATAAGAAAGTACATACCAAAATCTACAAGTCATGGATCTTTTGGAGTTCACGGGGCATACAATCGTCACAGCTACACCCCAACTCTGTCCAGGTCACCTCAACACTTCCACATGCCAGGTGAGACAGGACCCTCGGTTCTTATTGCATAGATATGAATCCCCCCTCTGCTCTCTTTTTCTCTGTTCCTCTGTCTCTACAATCTAAAAACACCTTCACTTTCTTCCCACATCTTCTGTGGTATGACAAGCAGGGATGAAGTCCTCTCCCTCTTTGTGCTCTGACAACAATGACACTTGCCCTACCTCCCCTTTATTTCACCACACCCTCCCTCACGCCAAAGGTAAGCTCCTTTTTTCCGATGCACCCCTCCTCTCACTTTCTTTATCCTTACCTGTTTGTTTAACCTTAAAATCTCCTAATGAATACAAATGTATAATGGAAGTTGATACTCCAGAGAAGTGGGAATATGGTGAACCCAATTACCAAAATTGTAGAAAACAAAAAAAAAAAAAAAGGTTTCGGGGTTTATTTATAAATGCTTTTTGTGTGCGTCATCTGGGTTGGGGTGAACACCTGTACAGGTACCAACTAAAAACCGTTTTTGTCACTGTATTTTGCTTACTCCAAAATACCAATAAAAAAGACCCTTAAGAATAGAAAGATTTGACTGTAGACACAAGCTGCGTCCGAATTGCCAAGTAGTAGTCGAAGTAGTAGTCGAAGTAGTATCTAGCATGTCCGAATTGGCCACCGGAGCGGGTAGCATGCTACTTCAGATACTACTTCAGATGCTAGACACGCCCACATTGTAGGTTGGTCTCGGTGCATCCTACGGGCATGCTACTGACCCAAAATGCACCGCGGGCTTCTTCTTCGTCCTCTTAAAAGTTGTAGAGGCGCATGTGATGCTAGCGCCACCAGCTGCTCTGCCTATTTAAAAGTGTCGCGAACGCCGGCTGGCCACAGCAGCGCGCACCATGTCGGAGCAGCAGCAGCAGCAGCAGCAGGCGGGACCGCAGCAGTACAGATGTAAGTTTCATGTAACTTCACACACTGTCCTAAAAAATGTGCGGTTGTATCTCTTTGTCATGTCATGGTGTCATATTTGCCCAAGTAATCATTTTATGAGCAAGTGGCGACATCATGGAGGTAAAGCTCACTTATTCCATCATTAAACTGCACAGCTGCAGTACTACAGCCAGGCCCGCAGATGAGGGGCTTCAGTTACCACTGTCTGCACGGGCGCAGTACCTACTCTCTGCCTGCGGGGGTCGTCTTTCCCCACCGCTCGTCTAGTGTGTCCGAATTGGGCCAACGTTTTTAGTATGTAGGAGTAGGATCTAGCAGTAGCACGTAGCAGTAGCATGTAGTATCCGAGCGGGCAGTTCGGACGCAGCAACAGACTGGGCTCTACTTCTTATTTAGAAATACTGAGCCATCTAGTGGTCAAAGTATAAGAGACTGTCAACCACAAACACACACTCTGCCAACAGTGACAGCCCAGCTCTCAGTGAAGAGGGAGCTGCCCTCTATCTACTCCAACATGTAAAAATAATTGATGCAAATCTATATTAGAGTAGGTTTGTATTAATATTTTACAGTTTACTGAAAATGTATTCATGTCTCTGTTTACTCTTATTCTGTTATAGTTGTTTTGTGATTCAGAGTCTGTTTTGCAATGGGCATGTTTGTGTTTGGATAAAATATAACAACTTTGACATGTAATTATTGGCATGTTTTTTCTATTTGTTTTTCCTTTGTTTTTTCCCTTTATTTCTTTTTTTTGGAGCTGAAAATATCTAGCCGCTAACAACCTGTCCAGCCTAGGTTATTTTTTTGCAATGGCTAGCAGTGTACTGTCATCAAACTGATTTTAAACAACAATCTACTATCTGTACTTGAATGCTAAATATATACTGTTATCTGAGTTTAGCCTTGATCTGATGAGACAGCTTGACATAGACAGGGAATGTGTTGAGACAAAGAAGCAAATGACATGAACTAACTCATGTCAAGCCTAGGAATCATGCCTACAACCACAGCCTCTCTACCCAGCTAACTCAGCAGTCAAATGTAGAAGTTTTTATGTTTGTCATGAGCACAGAATGATGATTTTGACAATTAAAATGAAGCAGGATACGATTTCTGTTTTATCTTTATCAGAAAACACTTCTTATACACTTTAAGGGATGATAACATTAAAGGTGCATCACTGACAATAGGGGGTGCCAAATCCACACAAACTAAAGTTCCTTACTGGAGCTTTGGGCAATATTTCTCTTTATGCACAAGCTGAAATTCAAAATGCAGCAAAATGTTTACACTGACTTTGTGTCATTCAGATTCTGTTGTGTGTTATTTCAGAATTCATTTTTTTTTAACGGTATTATTTTTCTTTTCACAGACGATGGCTTCAACATGTACAGGAGGCCGCCCATTTACAAACAGAAAGGTACTTAAAGGCCTATTTCCTTCAGGATGTTACATTGTTAATGATGTGAGGCTTGAAATGGCCACATGCTTTAAAAGGTACTGATAGTTATTTTTTAATTTTTTATTTTTTTCAGTTATAAAAATTGTTGCATGCTTGTAGATTTTAGATTATATTGGTCTTTCAGTTTTGGTGCAGTCATATGTTATGTTGTAAAATATACAAACTGCAATATATCGAATTAAAGGTAAAGTTATTAACATGTGTCATCCTTTGAAACTTGTAATTATCACCATTCATACACTGAAGATGTTGGTGGATTACTTCTTTGCGTCAGAGTTTTATTCAAAATAAATGATTTTCTCCTTTTTTAGACATCTTTCTATTTCCCTTTTCCTTTTTTTGTTGAGCGCTCTATAACCTACATTTTACAAAAATAAAAGGTATTAGAGACTATTATATCAAGTGAGTACAAATGCTGAATCTTGTTAGTTAAATTGGGTTGGTAAGAAAATGTAGCCAAGAAATTTTTGACTCATTCAATGTCCAAGACTATTTAAGGTCATACTAGTCAGCATATAAGGTATTTACAGTAATCTGTAGACAAACAGATTGCAAAGTTAACAAGTTTAACCTCAACGATGGTGTCAAAGGTGGTTCATAGGTACCTAATAATAGAATAATACTAGGAACTCTGTAAAGCAAAGTAGAGGGCTAAATCAAGACCTTCATGAGTCCATTTTACTCAGCTGGGCTGATCTAATCGGGGTAAAGACTAGAGTCTGAGTCCTTATGGTCTGATGAAGAGCTTATCTGTCTGCTGTTGACTTTCTTATAGATCCCACGACCCAAACACTGTCCCTGCCTGGGTACGGTCGTAACAGTCTCAGCCAGGTGAGAACAACATCATTAATCACTACCTGGTTTTATTACACAGTATGACTGAGGCTGGAGGATGTGTTTTTGTAAACCCACGAAACCACTGTATAATTCTCTTTCATCCACTCTGTATCAAAGCTGTATAATTACTTCTAATTTAGTTTTTTACGTAACTGCTATTCATTTACTCACTTATACATACACTGTATAATAATTGTTGATTGGTTAATAGTTACAACTGCTTATTATTTTATTTTTCCAATAAAACAGTAGCCAGTCAAGAAATACTATTCATCCACCCGTTTACTATCCATCTATCTGAAATGAAATAAAAATTGTGGTCCCATTCTAAATATATATTAGACCTCTTACTTGCAAAATTGTGCAAACAGCACCAAATGCTTTCAACAACTAATTTTCATCTATTGCGTTCCTATACCGACACAAAATAAGCATATAAAATAAGTGTTTTTTTCAGTTGTTTTGGCTCCAAACAGTCTCAACATTGGCTAAACTTTCAGCAAAATTGTCTCATTAGTTTTATGGTAAAATAAACCCACTTTGTTCTTGTTTATTGGTGAGTGCCGAAAACAAAAGTCCGGCCAGAGATTTTTTCAACACCACGTATGATGTAAATGGCTGTTGTCAAAATCTGTTTTATGTGTTTTCTTCTTCTTTAGCCTCGATCAGCTGATTTTTCCAACTACAATACTGACAGATTCAGAGGTAGGGTGGAGTTTTTTTCATGTTTTTGTTTGTCATTCATTAAAAAAAAAAGAGTTCAGATATTAATTTGCTTTTTCTATTTTCTTTCCCATTTCTCACAGACTTTAAGGTATTTTTGAAGACCAGACTGGAGTTTCATGTCCATTAAATCCATGCTTGGTTGAGTGCATCACTAAATGACTGTCTGCTTGAGCATGTTTTTCTGAACTTCCTCATGTGTACCTCCATTATTATAACATGTTGCCCAAGTGATTTGTTCATCATAAGTCTTTGATACACCTGTACTTTTACTTTGTTATTTGGCTTTGTGCTTTGCAGTGACTAATCCTGTCATGACATTTTCTTGTTGCATGTGTTTGCTTCATTTTGTAGCTCAACAATGGCGGTCACCATCTATTAACACACATGGACAGAGGAGTCTCAATGCCTAACTTGTTGGAACCAAAAGCAAGTATTACTTAATGAGCCGTGTTTTTACCACCATGTAGATCTCTGTGTGTGATATAGAAAAGTTTTACTGCATAAGCACCTTGATGAAATATGAAAACAATGCCTCAGCATTATATCTGAGGACTTGTTGGGTTTCAAGGACAACTTCTCTGTCATCCTCCCTGTGTTTATAGCATACTTGAGTCTGCTTGTAGAAACAGCTTCTGAAAGGAATTTCTATAGTAAGGGCTAAAGAACTGATGCCATATATCATGTTGTTGAAAGCTGAATTGTATTTTTTTTTTGTATAGATGTATTGCACACAAAAGCCCATATACAAAGTGTTCAGTACATTGAGTTTATATGCTGCAGTTTGCTTGTCAGCTTACAGAGCGTTTTCTTTGTCATGTCAAGGTCTATCCGTATGAAATCCTCACAGTTGCTAACAGAGGCCAAGTAAAGCTTCCAAAGGATGTTGACAGAACAAGACTTGAGGTACTATAATGTGAGAAAACCAAAGAAAGGCTGCATTGAAGACAAATGGATCATTGCACACAGATGCTAACGAAAAACAGCACCAAATGTCCTCCGAGCATCTGTGGTTAACATTTAAAAGCCAATTTGTATCTTAATTACATTAACAAGAATAGCACTTATGTGTCTCTCAAACCTATAGTATGAGTTTGAAATTCAACACACCAAAACAATAAACTGAGAACTATTCTGTTTTTTTTCTTTCCTTTGCAGCGTCATCTATCCCGTGACTCCTTCTTTGAGATCTTTGGCATGGATATTCAAGAATTTGACAAACTGCCTCTCTGGAAACGTAATGACATGAAGAAGTCAGCAAATCTCTTCTAAACTGCTGCCCAAAGCATGTTGTAACTTACTGACAGTATGCAGTAACTTCCAATCCAGCATTTAACAACTCAACATTTTTCTTTGGCCAAGAAATAAATCAATTTATCCTTTTTAGGGGCAAAATGATCCTTTTTTTATCCTGTCAGTTTAAACAGACTGCTGTATGGATAATGTTAAACCTATTATACCTCAAAGCAGATATGAACATGAGAACTCATCTTAGCTAGCCAGAGAGTACCCTCACACTGGACAAACCAGTTAACCCTTATGTTGATAAATCTAAAATGCAACCGATTTCATGGCACTTTTGTAGCATGAATACAATTATTAGAAACCTTTGTATATCATTTTTACCCTTGTAATTCTGATACAAGATATGGATCAGTTCCCTCAAGGTCTGAATGCATTTTACCCTTGCTGTCTCAATAGCTCCTTAATGATATATTTTGTTGCTCTCTATGGACTGAGGAAGTGTATGCTTTATTTTATGTTCTATTCTGACTTTTCTGTAAAAAATCATCACTGGGTTTGTAACCTTGGCTCTGTTTTTCCATCACAACACCTTAAACATCCTGAAATAAAATCTTATATTTCCAATGAGTTCAAAAGAAGAATGCTTTCATTGGATATTTGTACGGAAATGTAATATTCTGGGATAAAGCTCTAGGTGGGTCACCAAACAGAATTTTAGATCTTGTCACTGTTTGTCTTGTTTGCTTTTGTAGGTTAGGGAAGGCATAATTTGACTGTGTTTTATGAAGTAGTAAAAAAATCCACAGAGAAGCTTTCACAATAAGAGACAATCTACAGCCAAGTTTAAGACACCTTTAACCAAATTTAACAGCATTTGCATTTTGATAGTGTCAAACAACTATTATTATGAGATCAATGCAGCAATTTAACTCCATATGTGTGAATCTTCAGGTGATGTTTTTATGAGGCCACATGAGTCATAACACTACACAGCATATGACATCATTGTTTTTAATGGCAACACTGAGCAATGTTTCATGTTTTCTCTCAGCTGCATGGTGGAAGAATTGCAAAATTCACCAGCTGTTCATAACCCATAAAATCCCATTTGGTTTGGCTCCAACATATTTGTTCAATCAGCTTGGACCACACCATTAGAAACACAAGACCAACAGATGGTGCTCTAGAGCCTCAGATCAGAACTACACTTAAAGACTGGTTTCCATGTTCAAAATTTAACATTACAGAGACGTTTTCATAGTCTACTTCTTTAAAAAGTAAATTTCCTTTACTTCTGTAGTATACACTAAAGTATTGTCAGTGTGATACTAACCTTTTCACCTCTTAAAAACTACAAAAATCCCAGCACAGGTGGGCTTTGCTTCTTCAACCTGTAAAACCATGCATAATAATCCACTTTAAAACAAAAGATTGAGTATTGTTTTTGTGTGTGTGTTTGATTTTATTAATTTTTTTGTCTTTTTCAAATCTTGATTCATAACTGCATTATTGCAATATTGTGGTGGTAATAACAATTGACCATACACAGAAAAAAAACATCATTTCAATTCAGCAAAAAACATCTCTCAAACAGAAGCTAAAGCTTATTAAATGAGGCCTTATTTTTCGATTTTAAAAAGTTAATAAGTATTACCTCAGGCTGACAATAAAAAGAGGGCAGTATGGCAGATAAGTTAGTTTTGTTATCAGAAGCTGTTTAAAGCCCACCAAGCATGAGTGAAAGTATTGGAGATATTTGAAGATTTCTATTGGACGCCGATTTAATTGTGGGTGTTTCTCTAAATCTGATTGGTGAATGTGGCTGCCACTCACTACACTTACTCTCTCTCGGGCCCCTCCCCGTCTCCCCACCAACTGGATGTGCGGCCCAAGCGAGGATTTTCACGAAAACATCCACTGCAGACTGCGTACTAGTGCCAACGAGAGGGGTGCTACGAGGAACGGGACCCGAGGCTATGGAGCAAACGGCGTGACAGTCGAGTCGATGGCATTTCCAAACTTGGATAACGGTTTTTTGGCGTTGAAATGAGACGGTAGATTCGTTTAAGAGCTACAACAGCAATGAATATGATATCACTTGTTTGATAGAAAGACGGAGAGAGAGAGGGGCCAAACTCCCTCCCTCGGTAGAGTTCATTCTGCCCGATGGAGGCTGTCGGGACGTTTGCAGCGAGCTCGAGGCCCGGAATGTCACCTGTGAAACGTCGATGCGTCGTCGCAGGACGTAATTAAAGACGAGCTCGCACACACCTGTCTCCGCTTTGACGACTTTTTTTTAAACGTGAACTCCAAACTAAACCCGAATTGAAAGTTAGCAGGTCAACGTTAGCTGCGCGAGGCGACCCCTCGCGCAACATGACTATCATAGATATCACCTAACAAGAGGTTTTTTCACCACCTCAGGTAACCTACCAGGACAGGTGAACAACGCACTCTTTGAAATTGACGGACTTTCATTTTGACGGGACAGTTCCAGAAAGTTGTCACATTGTATTTTAACATCAGCAAGTTTATTCAAACGCATTTGCTGAAAGAGCCGAACAGTTTTGCTTCTGGAAAAAAGGGCTTCTTGGATTTTTTTTTTAATTCTTGCCTAGTTTTACCTTTTGCCATCAATCATGTCACTCAAAGACAATCCCTGTCGGAAGTTTCAAGCCAACATTTTCAACAAAAGTAAATGCCAGAACTGCTTCAAGCCTCGGGAGTCACATTTGCTGAACGACGAAGACCTAAGTCAGGTAAACAAACACATTTTACACATTCGTTTCATATTTGAGATGTTCTTATGTTCTTCTCAAAACTGAAAGCCTGTTTTTCTGTCTGTTTGATGAGCACTGCTCTGACTGTTTGTCATGTGTCAATAGACCATGAAAGTGCAAAGGTTAGGTTAATTGGACATAATTAGTTTCCAGCCCAGGGGCTCGAATTGACCTTAATTCATGCAGATATAGGTCTCTATCCTGCACTGTAGCCTATATTTACTACCTTTCTGTTGCATCATTGAGGTTACAGTTACACCTCTGAAAAACCCTGAAAAAGCTTTTTTAATAGCTGCTGCACTGACCCATCATTTTTGGCACTGTGCCTTGTTATTTCCTTCAGCGCTCTTTTATGCTCAATTTGTCAGCCAGTTTTGGCCCTCGCAGCATAATGTGGGAAGACTAGAAACAAAGATGTTGTTTTAATTTATCATTCACAATTAAACTAATTCCACCCACATGGTTGCTGGACTCTGTTGTTGATATTGGCACACTATGAATGGTGGCATCAGGTCACACTGAACTCTGTTGGCCTGTATCATGATAATTCTTTCTTGTAAGCTGATTGTCGGGATTAAGAGTTACCTGTGTCCAAGGTGAAAGTTTAGATGAATTAAATGCTGACTGTGAGGCTTCTTTTGTTGGCGCTGTCTGCAGCATGTCAGGGTGAGGACGTGCATGAAGGAAAAATGGACAAATGTTCTTCACAAACCATGAGACGCATTGTTGGATTGAATGTTTTTGCCCCGCATGGATATCAGTCTCGTCCTGGGCGCACTAAGAGTGGAGTTGAGAAGTTTGCTGTAAGAGACTGGAGAATCAGGACCCAGGTTTGAGTCCTACTTCAAGAAGGTCCCAAAGGACTGCAAATCTCATTGTGACTGACTAGTCTATGAATGAAGTTCAACGACCCATGCTGTCAGTCAGTAGAGTATCACATAGTTTTTTATGATGGGTTGAAAACAAGGGGCCCTTGCAAAATGAACATATACGACCACGCTTCAGACCCCATTTGAACGCTGACGAACCATTGAAGGGTAAAAAATGACCCAGATTCATCGGGTCGTTTCTTCCCTCTCAGGAGGACTTGTTATCGTGCTGCTGTCAGGTCATGTGAGGAGAGACAGGACATTTTTTGAGCGTCTGTCTCTACATGGTCTTTCTTCCACAGACAAAGAGGAAGCTCATGTCACAGTATAAGTATGATTCTCTCAACACTTTCCTGTGCTACCCTATCCTGCAGTCCCATTTTCAAATAACATCTGCAAAGTGGCGTGACCTCTCGGGCTTCCTTTTAATAAAGTTGTATGCTGTTCCTCTTGCAGAAACTTCTACTACTGCAAGGTTACGACTTCTGACAAAACATTGTGGTTACGTCATTTTGTTTACAGAGTCAGTCAGCTGAGAAATGTGCCATACCTCCTGAAGTGAAAGAGGATTTGATGGTGGATTACTCCCTGGTGAAGTTTTGACTGTAATCAAAACCACTGATAGCAAGACATGGAGGTGCCAGGCGGGTGCAAATGCCAGAGCTTTTCTCCGACTTGATTTGCAGGCTACTGTTCCATAGACTCACAGCTGGATTATGTAATGCTCTTAATTTGTTAAGCTCTTTAGTCGATGCAAGATTTGAGTGTAAACACGTTAAGTAAAATTTGCACTCCTGCTCAACGCCTTACAGAAGTTCTGCAGGTTTTTTTTTATCTCTACTTTGGCTCGACAAACAAATGCTGACTACCAGCGTGGCCAGAGTTCAAGTTTGTCCCAGAAATATTTCAGTCAAACTGCCAGGCCGTCTTGCATGTCTCAATACCAGTTTGAATTGCAAATCTGTGGCCACAAAACCTCTCCGACTCAGTGCTGTTTCTCTCTCCTGTTTCTGATCCACTGTTGTGCTAACTTCTGCCTCTTGCTACCCCCTTCCACCCACCAGTCCACCCACTTAGAGGATCAGAAGGAAAATCGTGTGTTAGCCTTTCCTTCTTTTTTTTTTTTTTTTTCCAGGGCAGCATGGTGCTCTGGGATTCAGCCAGCTGGAGATCGTAGCCTCTGGGCAGCTAGTTGTGACTTAATACACACCTTTATGCAATTAGGCTAAAATGTATGTTTGTCAGCGCAATCCTGTTTCATATTGGGTCACGATCTAAAGCCCAAACTTTGCAACAGCCTCCAGTTTTGCCTCAGTGGAATCAAAATTGACCTGTTGATCTTCATCTTAGTGTGTTTGTTCCAACATTGTAATTGTGTTTTTCTCTCATCAGGCAAAACCTGTGTATGGAGGATGGTTACTGCTTGCACCTGAGGGAACAAACTTTGACAATCCCTTGCACAGGTCTCGGGTAAGTGGTTCCATTACTGGAGAATAATGCTCAAAACAGGGCCAACAAATCCTTTCTGATTTTTTTTTTTATGGAGGAACTGCTATTTTTGTGTCATGAAAACACAATGGTGTTCTTAAAAGGGAACTATGTCTTCAAAATATGCACTAAATAAATGCTTTATCAGGGCAGCTCCAAGGGTTAATTTTGCTAACCTTTTAAAGTACTTATTTGACATCTGACAAACAGGAGGTCTGCTTCTTGCTGCTCCTGTCGCTGTTCTTGTAGGAGGCCTGGCCCTGGATCAGAAAACTCCCCATTCTCAGGCAGTAATGGGCCTAATATTGACTTTTATTTTTATCAACCCTGCTCCCTTAGCATCATGTAATGAGAGCCTTCTTATGTTACACCGCTTCCTTTATCAGCCCTCCCGGATTATTCTGTGGTGTTGCATCCCAGAGAGGACTTGGGAGTATGTGGGGGGAAGAGAAGAGGGAAGAGTCCCAGTTCTCACAGCCACACTGATGGCTTCCATATGGGTTTTGGTGAAAAGCACCTCCAGATCCTTCAACTCAACTGCTGTCAACAGCTCGCTGCTGTTGCTTTGACGTAATCGTTGAAGCGTTCTGCCTTTTCTTACAATCAGCTCTTGACTTTCGGGAGATAATTGTCGGCCTGTTCTTGGCGCTGAGGTGAGCAGGTTGGTCAGGTTTTGACTGACCAATGAGTAAATAACAGAGAAAAGGAGCTGACATGATAGATGAGTCATGTTTTAGGACCACTTAGGTTGGACAGGTTGTGGGTTTGAATCTTTATTTCTGGTCTTATCTCTGTTTCCTTTTTCACGGTTATCTTTAACGGATATTCCTGTTAACTTAACCCGAGCAGCTCACCAACATCCTCTTTGAGTCGAAGGTCCTTTAGGTTACAAAGCTCCTCTCTTCAATATTTTATGGATTAGGCCCAGTAGGTATTGGAGAGCAGGATATTTAATACCAAGACAAAACGGGGCATTAAGATAAGGGGTCAGTGGAAAGCTCATTGAATCAATAAGAAAGCTAAACGGATACTGTCAACATGCCCTCTATATAAATATCTGCAGAAAACCTCAATGATAAAGAGATTACATGGACATCCAAAGTTTGTGAGATTTACTATTGTTGTTGTTTTAGATCTATCAATCATCACAGAGTGTATTTTTTATATCAAGACATAGAAAACTGGTTGATTAGTAATCTAGGGGGCATTTAAATCATTCTGAAATGATAATTAATATGAAATACATGTAGATACAGATATAGGCCTCTGGTTAATGTTATAAAAAGTCTGATACTACCCCCTGCTTCAAATGTTTTTTTGTTTCTTTTTTTCTTCAGTGATAATTAGCAAGTCCCATTTTCCTTCACAAATTGATCAACAACAAAAAAAAACAACTAAAAACTGGATGATTGATTTTGAAAACAGAGGCATGATTAAAAATGTTCTCCACTCGGCTCTAAAGCCTTGTGATGTGGTAAAAGCTGAAAGTGTGCCAAGTGAAAACTAGGCTCCTGCATTGCAACTGTGTCCCTAAGGCTCGCATACCCTTGTGTGTTTACTGTTTATATGTGAGAGCTCCTGTGTAGTTGCCAAGTCTTTATACCCGCAGGTCCACTACCGTATGAGATTTAATGTCTCAGTGTGTTTGTGGATGGATGTGTTTACAGATCTAATATTAAATCTGTGGCTTTATATTGACAGTTGTTTCCATTCTGGCACATATTTAATTAACATCTGTAAAAGCCATGCTTCATATTTTATAAGTTGCTTCATTTTGATCTGGTGTGATGTTTGATGCTGATGAATCTTTATTGGTCATGTGACTTTGTTGTTAATCAAAATTTCTTTTTTTTTTTTTTCTTTCCCAATATAGAAATGGCAAAGGAGGTTCTTCATCCTGTATGAGCATGGCCTACTCCGCTATGCTCTGGATGAAATGGTGAGTGGAAGCTTTAAAAAACAAGGATTTGTTGTAAAAAAAACAAAAAAAAACGATTTTTGGAGTGTTGCATACCAGCTGGGGGGCATCTGTTGGCCTGTTCAAGCAAATAAAAACAGATTTATGGCTTTCTGGAAGAATTCATCATCACATATTGTCGATTTGAATGGTCGTATTTAGGGTATTGGCCTCGGTAATGAATCCCATCAAACACTGATTTTACAGAGCATTTCTTCTTCTGTGTTAATCTGCTGTTAATGAAACCTCAGCACAATACCAGGCAGTGAAAGGGAAGTGATTATGCCCCTTTTAACTTCTGTAGTATTTTAATAGGAAACTGCTGGAGGAAGTGTCGAGTTTGCATTGCCAGCACACAGCAAAAACACACAAACACCAACAGATGACAAAACATGTAAGCTTAAACTGAAACAAGATCGGACAAAGTCATCGACCTCGTCTTTTTGGATGAAGTTATGAAGAAACCTAAACATTATGAATTCATAGTCACTCATAATATTCCATAGCATTAAAACTTCTAGTTTGCCTGTATCACTTGCTGTCTCCTCACAGTTAACACCAGCGCTCCCTGTCATACAACAAGTATTTAGTGCGTGTGTTAAACACTGGGCTAACTAACACAATGGTGTCAAAGGAATCAAGTGACACCACATGGTGTTGATACTAAAAGTCATGTGCCGAGCTGTGTGTGTTTGTTCAAGGGGCTTACACGCCGATTGTGCAAGAGTCCCATGATGACTTTCCCCACTAAGAGGAAAAATGGAAGAAAGCTCCACATGGAGGAAAAAAAAGAGAAGTTTGCAGTGATTTTGATTGACACATGTAGGCTTGTATCTGCACAATAGTCATAAAGTTGAAATGTAGACCAAATATTGTTTGAGTTCATCTTTTTGTAGAAACAGTACTTTTTTCTCAGTTTTGTGTATTGCAGCATGTGGGCAGGCTGAATATTGATTGACCCAAAGCGACACTCAACAGCGTTTTTTTTTTTCTAAACATGGGATGTGTTTTGAAATGAGCTGAAAGCAGAAGTAGTTGAAACAGCACTTGCTTTGTTGCTTTTGACCCTTTCATACTGTATGTGGCATTCTCTGGCAGAGCACAGAGATACTCCGAGGTTTTATGTAACAGAGGCCGCAGTAGCCTGGATTCTGTGTGGATTTTTTTTTTCATGTCTATGTCCTTCAGGGTCATTTACCCTGATAGATGTTTGCTGTATGTCCATGGGAAGGCTTCAGTTTGCATATAAAACCGTGAGCAAAGAAGGTTTGTTTTTAAAGCGAGTTCAATCATGCTAAACATGGGAAAACATGTTAGACTGGGCTTCATTTCTTCTCCAAAACGGAGCCAGTAAAATCATATTAGTGCAGCACTGGTGGAGAAGAAAGATGGATGATGTGTTTACTGGAAGAAACAAAAGAAAGAGGCGGATGTCCTCCTCCCTATTCAGCTGCCTCCCTGGATGTCACTCTTGATCTTTTCATCTCCTTTCTGAATGCTTGATCAAAAGGAGAGGAGGGGTGGGAAGGGTCTGTGCAGAAAATATCAAATGACACTAAATATAGACCCTCACTTGTCACACCAGACCCATTAGAATAAATGTTCAACGATTAATAGCCACAAAACTTGGCTTATCTACACTGAAGTCTGACAATTGATCTCTGAACAAAGCCGAAAATTAGCATCATAACTCTGTCTCAGTTATCAATCAGCTTAGTCTACTTTTGAGGCACTTTGTAACTGTGCTCATGGCTGATCAATATCTGTTCTTGTTTGCTGATAAGTGAAAGAGCAGGTTGGCTAATGGTTGACAGAATGATAATATCAAATTATTTTTTGCATTTGATTAAATACAACAATTTATAATGACACCTATTATCCCATGTGCAATCTCATATGCAGTCTTATTAACTGTGTTACAACAATATTTTAGATGAACTTTTAACTATTCATGAAATTGAAAAACACCTAAGATTGTACTGTTGGTTTCAGAGCATGGCTGATATTCAGTGCATGCTTCAGCTTATGTCGATCATTTGCCATGAAATGTCATTAATCATGCATATCAGACAGTTACAACTACAGACGATTGAATTTATTTATTATTTAAGTTATTCTTATTCTATTCTTATTCTTATCAATCAGATTAATCTGCTTATCTGTCTCTCCATTTTTTATCCTCCTGGATTTCTGGTTGTGGTCACAGACTTGAGAATTTTTGCGTTATTTGTAAGAGGCGGTTGTTGGCAAACATCAGCACATAAATGGTCTAGACCCCAATCTTACTCTTTTAAAACCTACCTTTTATTTGGGTCAGTACAGTAATTAGCTATTTTAACTTTAAGGTGAAAACATGAAATAAATATAGTGCTTCAAAGTGATTTGTTCAATAGCTGGTATTGATTTGCTATCTTGTAGAGTGCTTTTTGTTTTCATGTAGAGAGCATAATGCTTCATAGTTACAATTAGCATATAGTTACAATTAGCATAAAATACAGGAAAGGAACCAACCTCTAGATCAGTTTGACTGCTGCCTTTTGAATGACAGCAGGTCAAAGCTAACGATTGCCAGCAACATTGCTCCAGACCACATCAGAGCCCACTGATCAGAAAGGCCTTGTTAGGGATGCAGATCAGGAGGTGCTGTTTTTCTCTCAGCCTACTTTTATGGCTCTTGAATTTTGGCTCTAACCAAACCCAGATGGGCTGCGGTCCAAACCTCCAGGATGTGGCACGGCTCTTGGGGGGGAAAAGGAATGGGTTGCAAAGGCTTGGCCTTGACAGGGCCACCGATTTGGGGTTGCCCACCTACGGTGAACACCCAACATTTTGCACCACTGCCATCATTTAATGCTTAAAGAAAAGCTACGGCTTTGATGAGACAAGTGGTAGGAAGAAGAAAGTTCATTAGGAGGGATATAAAGAGAAAACATTTGCTGATTTGAAGGATGGAGAGGGTGGCTGTAAATGTTGCTGCCCTGCCAGGCTAATGTGCATTTTAAGCTAGTTCAAAAGATTTTGGAATATTTTGATTTGTTTGCAGTAAAAATGGAAATTCAGCCCCCAGCGTTTGCTGTAGGTACAAGCTATGTTTTCCCACAGAAGCCCAATGCAGTTATTTCAGGAATACGTTGCCATGGTAACGTGTTTTGTTCCATTGTCCAGCAACAGTTGACTGTGGCATGTGTAGCATGGGCCAGTTATTCTGTGTTTTGTGGAGAGCTCTAGCTGTCTCTGACCTGACTGAAGGGAAAGAGGACAGAACGCTCTGGATACAAAGCTCGAGTGTGTGGGCTGAAGCCGTCTCCAGGCTCAGTCAGATGGTGAGCAAGCCTTTAGTAGCTGTGAGGAAGAAAAAAAAAAAAAACACCAGACACAGCACTGAAACAAATGTGCAAGGCTGGATGGTATAGAGTGAGAGTTTGTGCTGAGCTGCACATGTTTCTGCGTGTGAGGGGGGTATGTGTACGTGTGTGAGTGTGAGTAAATGCACCTGGGACCAAGGGTGCTTGTCTGCAAAGGCCGTGTCAGGAACAGGTGTTGCAAAGGTTTGAGAAACCTTGGGCTTTAATCTGATTTAAGCTTTAGCCGTCTCAGTTTGATTAAATAAAAAAAGCATTATTGATCTTTGACTAGAGACAAATTGTTTGGAGCAGCTTGAACTTAAAAACACACAAAAAAACCCACCTTAATAGGATAGTTTGAAGACACTCAATAGTTTTAGATCATATGTGTAATTTTCCTTTTTTTTTTATTTAAATTTTTTCATTGGGCACTGCTGGCCTAGCTGTATATGTCACGCGCCATATATGGAGGATATGCCTCAAGTTGGCCGCCCAGGTGTGATTGCAGCTTGTTGCTCCTTTCCCACTTATCACCTCCTGTTCTCTCTCCCCATCCACTGTCCTGTCCCCTCTAAATAAAAGCAATAAAAAAAGATAAATAAGAGTAAGGCTTAGTTTTACTGGCAGCTCAAACATAACACTATCTGTGGGGCTTTAGAGAAAAACTGCTCGGTAGATCACAATCAAAAGAAAACTGAATACTCGCCACTGACACAGTGTAATAACTATCAGGAGAAAAGAAAAAATGAAAATAAACAATGACTACCTAACACAACAGTGTGATTGAGCTGTTCCAGTTGTGAAAGGGATATGAGAAACACACAACCACACGCACAAAATCCATTATCACCTCATGGTTAGGGCAGGTACGTGGGTGTGAAGAGCTCCACAGCACAGAAAAGCTCCTTTGATGACATCGCACAGGTTCAAATGATCAACACCCACGTTATAATAACTGCTTTTGCTACGCTGTCCGAAATACCACACAACACCTATCTCCCATTGACCCTGTTTTGACCTGATTGTTACTCATCCACACTCACAAATACTCACACACACACACACACACAGTCCTGATCATATGATCTAGGCTGATGTCTCGATCTCAGTTGTGGTCTCTGAGCTCACACTGAATCACAGCCTCAGTGTTTTAACATCCTCAGATTATGAAGCTTTTTCGCAGCAGCTCTCTAATTACTGTCAACGCTGTATTGTTTACAGTGTTCTCTTACTGTGTTTGGAGGCTTATGTAGCTGCTTCGTAAAGAGGCCACACTTTACATTCTCATACTTGTCAGCTAATGCATTTCAGTCCAAGCAGAACATGAACAGTATACCTGCCAATGAAAAGAGGCTGGCTCCTCACAAAAGGCCCATTCGGACACACATGAATTAAAGACTGCATCTACCCAAGTTGACCATTTGTATCACAGGTTTTCCTTTTATTTCGTGCAGAACATGATGTTCTCATGGCGTTTCAGGTGTTGAAGTCATTCTCATTTGATGTCAGCTCAGTGAATTTCCTGTGTTTACTGGAATTCAAATAGGTGACCCCTAGCCTCATAGCAGCATCCAAAAACAGAGACTTTCCACACATTTCCCACACATTAGTGCATTCTTTTGACTTGATGCACTCTGCTCTGCTGCTTCACTGCTGAATCTTCCAGACATGAGCACAGTTTGCCTTCAGATATGTTAGACCTTTTGAACATGCTAAAACATGCACAAACTCGCTACCCTTTGTTTTTTAGAGGGCTGTTTTTAACCAACTTTGATGAGCTTTTGTGTTTGGGTATGGCGAAAGCTTTTTGGGATGTACTGTAGGTGAGTGGACAGGGTCCTCCAGAGCAGTGTTTTGCCTTCAGGCATCTTTGTGGGGAATAAGTGGTATCTCCACCCCTTAAAATTAGGGACACTTACAGGCAAGCTTCACGCCAGTCCTCAGCTCCTAGAAAGCCATGGGAAACAGGGCGGAAAAGGAGAACACATGTTTGTGTTACAATGTAAGATGCAAAGATTTCTGATTAAAGGCAGATTTGAGGTTGAAGCATGTGATTTGGAGTGAAAGGCCAAGAATGAACAAGATGCTGCCAATGTAGATAAGAGTTTGCAAGCCCTCCATACTGGATCATTGTGGATTGTTTACGGAGCGTGGGCCCTGGTCGAGGCGTGTGTTGTTTTTTTGGAGATGCGGTGCGTGAGAGTCTTCTTTAACCCCTGCCCTTGCTTCCCCATGGTTCCAGTAGGAACTGATCTGCTGGAATGTAAACAGCCATGGATTACAGTGGGGTCACTGTTCCCATTGCAAAAAGCCACAGAACCATGGGAACAGCCATTCATACAGCTTGTAATCATCAGGGTCCACAACTCTGTAAATGCCACTCATCTTAATGGGAAGCCCACACCCCAAAAGCTGTCAGCCAGCAGAGCATATTGGTAAGAGGGGATTTTTGTGGCTTTTTGGCTGTTTTGCTGGTTTGGAGTTGCATACAGGGTGTTTTTAATGCATCATGTCATTGCCTGCCAGGCCGGGAGTCAACATCCTCCAGTTCCATAGGAATTGTTAAATGATAGAAAGGGGGGAAAAAAAGCCTCCCGGTGAAGCTCTTCATGCAGTTCAGGGCTAATTCACCGCACTGGAAGCAACAGGCCCCCTCCATAAGTCGAAGATCAGTGTGAACATGTCAGTTCATGGGAGCTCAGGTTTTAAAAGTACTGCACCACACCTACTGCTTTTCCTGTAAAGTTAATGTTTGAAGTTTTATCAGGATGACAAGCAGTGTTAGGTCATAACAAGTGTAATCAGAAAACAGGTTTGGTTTTCGCTCTGTCTTTTCTCACTGTCTCATTCCTCTTGCTCATCACAGCTGAAATGAGTCTGGTTCCATAGAAGGTGTCTGCAGGTTCAAATGATCTTTGACTGACATAGGCCCATCTGTGAATAATGTGCCTGTCACCGCCTGTTTCTTATTTCTTGGTCATCTGCATTGAATTTAATTTTGACTAAACCACTAATCTAGTAGGAAGACACTCAGAAAACAGTCAAAATTGAGTGTGATCTATTTAACACAGCTGATCAAAGGATAACAGAGTCTTTTGGTGAACTGTGCCAATTGGTTTTCTGAGTGTGGCTAATGTCAGGAGAGCTAGGACCACCAGCCTTTGATCCACATGTTTGTCCACATGCTTCCAGCTCGGAGTTAGATATAAGTTTCACCAGACACTACATACAACTTTCACTTCATTTTCTGGATTAAAATACAGCCACCCACCTCACTATGAGATGTCATCTCTGTTGGTTTACTTCAGGTTAGTGGAGCATTGTAGCATTGTGGCATAAGCTGTTAACTGGGGCTTCCACCTTGGCTGGTGGTTTTTCACTGGCATCTCAGGCCTACAAAAAGAAATTATTTAAAACCTTTTCAACCAAATTGAGACATGCTTTGGTTTTTTCAAGTGGTATTTAAAGAAGGGACTCGGAGCGTCTTCTAGAAACAGTTCAAGTACATTAAGATATCATTGCTCCTAGCCAAGAAGAATTACATAGAAGTAATGCATGATCTCAAAATAAGGTTTTCTTTATACAATCAGCTCATCTCAGAAATTATGAATTTAAACAGATTTTTCATTTGTAGCCCTTTAACTTTAAACTATACTGAGAGTCCCTTAGTGCATGTTGTTGTCTATAATGTATAAGTACCATAAGTACTATATATTTGAGCTTCAGTGTTTCTGCAAGATCCAAGCCAAGGAGGCCGCCTTACTCTCCGCTTAGTTATATGAGAGATGATTGACCTGACAGCAAGAGCAGATGTAAATGTAGCGTCTACTGAAATCAGACTGGGGTAATTTGGTTGTCCTTGATGGTTACATCCACACTTATACAGAGGTTCTCATTCACCAGCCTGCAAAGAAGAGCCTCCAAAGAATTCAGACAGACATGAACTTACATTACTTAAGCATGCTGGATGAAGAGGTTGGCTGTTTTTTTTATTTTTTTATTTTTAACCAGACTCATTTCTCATCCGGTCTTTAAGTCTGATTTTCCAGTGTCTTTTCTGTGCTTTCTAGTTATTCCCTTGGCTTTAGTCACCCGGATGTGGCTGAGATATGATCTTATCTCTTCCACTTGTCTACTGTTTGAATTCTTCCATTTCTCCAGTCAGAAGTCCAGTAACCCCGTCTGGCTCCGATCCAGGTCTGCTCTCTAAACATTAAACCCCTCCTGAGCTCCCTGAGTGTCAGCCACTATTCTACTTGGCAGCACTTTGGTCACTTTTACAGTCTTTATCTTTCAGAGTGTAATTTAAAGCAGTTACTTTCATTAGTGTTGAGACACACATGGAGGACTGCCTGGAAACATGCTCCCAGCTGATTCGAAACTCCACTTAATTGCACTTTTTGTTTGTGTTGTAAACTCTCAGGGATCAAATATGAATAACAGGGACCTCCCCCTCCCTCACCACTCTTCCCCATTTATTGTGTGTGTGTGCGTGTGTATGTGTGTTTCAACAATAAACGGCTTAATGAGTCTAAAAATAATTGCTGTCAAATTACATGTATTATATTCAAATTACAGTCAATAAAACAGCATTGTTCTCCAGTGTGCGCACTCAGAACACACACAGGGACTGTGCTGCCGGTCCATGATTGGACGAGTGAAAAGTGCAGTTAATCTGGAAGAGCAAACACACTGGACCGGGTCAGACTGAAATCACCTCAGCATGCAACAGTTTGTCCTCTCGTCACATATCACATGAAAACTTTTGCAACTTTCAAATATTTCCCCTAGTTTAAGGTTTGACTCAGTCCCTCAGCTTTAACTTATGTGAGCTGTACACAAGGGTAGACAGTCCTTCTCTTCAGCCCCCTGCTCTATTATTATATTAGTGTTCAGTGTAGCGTGAGCCTGTGGACAGGATCATTTCACACAGGGCACTAGGCCTATCACCACCTCGGGTAAAGTAGTACTATATTGCTCTTAGCAAATGGTTTCTCATAAGGTATCACTTTTCTGCTCATGTGGGACTCCTTCTGATGGGCACAAGGATTTTCTCCTTCAGTTTCTTGGTGATAGTGGTTGTCGTGTTGAGCTTGAATGCTTAATTTAAAATAAGTTCCTCTTTTTTTCCCTGGATGTCTTTGACCGTTCTCCTCTTTGCACCCTCCTTCATTTTCTTGTTCTTTTTCATGATTTCCAGCCATTCATCATCTAGAGAAAGGCCGGCTCCGGGTGGCTTTGGCTAAACCAGTGTCCACTTTCCCTTGCACGGCCCTCACTTTCACTTTCCCATTACTCAGTCCGATTCACTTTCCCCGTCCTTTTTTACCTCCTCGCTTTTCTCTTATTCTGCCACTCTTTCGTATCTCCGTCTTTCATTCCAGTTTCTCACTGGCCAATAAATCATTTGTGTTGGAGAGAGCAGCCAGAAGTATTGTGTAACCAGCCCCCCAGACCCCCACCTACCACCACCACCACCAAACCCTCCCTCGTCTATAAAACCAAACACGGCCTGACAGGCTGCTCGCTCAGTTTGTTCTAAACACTAGAGCAGGACACCAACAAAAGGTTTCATTTAAGGCATCAGGGTGAGGGGCCAGCTCTGAGACAGGCACTAATAAAACAGTGGGAGAGGTGGGAAGGTGTCTGTATGTGCGTTGGAGGGGGTGTAAGGACACTGAGAAGCATTTCCAATACAAAGATGGGAAATACAACCCACGTTTTCACACCACCAGTATCCGCTGCTGTTATGTGCCATTGAAGTAAGATGTGGCAGCACGCGTCCTGCATTTTAGCTTTAATTTGCAGTATGAGGTTGTGTGGGTGGATGGCAAGTTGACGTCTCTGTTGGATGAAGTGTGGTTGTGACACGGTCTATCAGACTGTTGTCATGGCAGGACACGGCCACAGCTGCAGTCGAATCAGTCGCAACAGGTGCAGGTGTATTGGATGAACTTTGAACTTTCACCTCAGCTTGGCGACCCGCCAGTCCAGCCACCTGTTAAGGTTAAAGCTTTGCAGACCAGATATTTTTAGTTAGGAAGGAAAGTGCAGCCCGGGAACACTGTCTGGCTGTGATTCATATAAATACAATAGTTAGAGTATAAATGTTATACTGTAGACGTGTGCAGGTGAAAATGTCTTCCTCTACCATATCTGGGCCTCATTTTGCCCATGAAACTTTCTTGTTAAACCCACATAACCTGCAGCTCCAGTGTACTGGCTCGCTCTGAACTGCTGTTGGGTGAGCCACTCGCTCTTTAATAACCCACTCCCGCTTCCTAAGGTCCTGGCCCAAAATTCCCAACTCAAGCAGCCACGGACTGGCCAAACTCCAGCCTCAGCACCTAATCAGCTTATTGCACTCTGTTGCTTTAAAGAGAAAGCAACAAAAACACGCCCTACCTCCTCAGTTTAACTGCAGTCCCCTGGATAAGTAACCACTGACAAAGATAACAAAAAAGCAAAAGACTGATATAAAGTATATAAAAAAAGCCCTGCCCTGAAATGCTGATTATTGTTTTGAATAAAATAAACACATCGATGATAAAATAGCCAAGTTGTCTGGCATTTTATTCCAAACATCAACAAAAAAAGTTTAAAATTCTGTAATTAATCAAATTTGAGCCTCCCAAACACGGCATTGTGTTGTGTTCAGTTGAAACTGGCACATCTCTGACGAGCTGAACTGCTGAATAATCTTAAATGTTTGTATACATGAACCTGATTACACTCTTAACATCCTTTTGCTCTTGTCAGTTTGTTTGTATTGTGCATTTTTCCTCAAACAACGCAGTCATTTGTATTTTCTGTTTGAGTACTAACCAAACATTGTTAGGAGTAGTCAAAGATACCCTGCCATGGACCGCTGGTTTCATATTTCTGGTGTTGCTTGATTGATGTTTCATTAAAAAAAAAAACAAAAAAAAAAAAAAAAAAACTGTCCGTTCAACCTTTAAATGCTATCTTGTATTAAAGCTACCATGAGGAGGTTTTGGCTGGTTATGAAACAGACTAAAATTCATATCGATGTGTCTTTGTTGGCTAAACAAAACAATCAGCAAGAAGATTGGTTATTCTGTCTGCTAATATTTAATGCTTGAAACTACTGCCATTGGGTAGACATTAGTTTGAGGTACAGCCTAGTGTAGAAACAAAATCTCTAATATTACACATGTTTGCTGTTAATGTTACAGTAACATCTGATGCATTCATAAAGTTAAGTTTGTGGAGACATATTTGGCCAACCCGAACTTGTTTTGATCAAACAACAACCTTAAAGTTAAAAAAGAAAAAACTGCACTACCTCAAATAGCCACTTGAGGCTGGCTGCAGGAGCCAAGTCCATTTGGTGCATGTTAAAATACTCAACTTAACAGCAAAATTAAACATTTTTACAGTCTAAACAAAGGAGAGTTTGTGTAAAAAGCTCATTTATATAAAAAAAACAGAGCTGATGGAAAGATGGGTGTACTGTTGCTATTTTAGAGGAGGCAAGAAGTCAGCCTCTGTTTTAGCTTTTTTTGATGTGTCTAGGTTAATTAAAATTTACATTGAGTCAGCATTTCCAAAATTGTGTGCTGTCATCAGATTCAAGAACATCTTTTCAGAAACCAATAGGTGATGTTATAGAGGCTATGCCCATGTTTGATATCAATGGTTTTGATATTTTTTAAAGTACAGCAGTCCCAGAAAACATAAAGAAATCTGGAGTTTTCTAAAAATGATCTTTCTTATCTTCCTCTGTTTCCATCTAATGTCTGTTCAGTCTATCAGGTTAACTCCTGCCCAGCAGATCTCTTTCTATAGGAAGCTGCTCCTCAGCTCTGTGGAAAAATGGCTTGCTCTGAAACTGAGGAATCAGCTGAATTCCCTGAGGAACATTTTCCTACCCCCCTGTTTTCCTTTCCTTCTGCCTGATGGGCTAATTTGGGTTGACTTAGAAAGGCTTTGGCAGATTTTCAGTCATTATCACAGAGGTAGTCGAGGTCTGACTGCCAGGCTTATGTAATTCCTTCAGATTGTGCAGACAAAGCTGCACAAACAGCTTGTTGTTAACGATGTTCAAGGGTTTAGGTTTATTTATGCATTGCTTTATTTTGAAGCAACAGTTTTTACTGAGACCCCAACCACAGCTTATAATGCCAGCCTTTTCACCTTGGCCTACTTTCCAAAGTGCTGTGTCAGAGCTCAGTGTGGGACACTGCAGTAATCTAGACACTGCTGTTTCGGGGCACATTGTGATCTTGGAGCAACTGAGTTTTTTCTTTTTTTTTTGCACTGAAAACAAAAGCTGTTCCTAAATCTGCAATTGTAGGACTTAAGTGCTTTAGAAGTCAGTCAGTGGCACCGTGTCAGTCTGAGCAGTAAAGCCATGTTTCCTCCGGAGCCACTGAGGAATTTAAGCCCAAGAAGCTCCAATTCAGCCTTTTTTTTGTCTGTATTTCCACATCCAGCAAAAAGACGCACGAAGGTCTGGCAAAGTAGCCTGCAAACGAGGGAAAGTCCCACATCAGTTTACATCTGCTTACACACACTGACCAGCTATAACATTATTAACACCTGGGCGATGTAATGCAATCCAATACATCGGCTCTATCATAAATTCTCCTTTCAGCAAACCTCTAAACTTTCAGTTTCAGCCTAATGTGATCAGATGGGTAATTATAGGGCTGGGTGATAAACCGAATGTACCGTTACAAAAGTTTAAAACAATAACCAACGTCATTTTGCCCATGTCAGTATATTTGCTGTTAAAAAATAAATAAATAAAAGTTTGTTTTGGATGTGTGTAGGTAGGCTATGGTCTCATGTCCCTTTTTAAGACGCTGTCCTACATCAAAGATGTGATTCCACCCCATCCAGTCCATAACAAAGAGGGAAAGACAGGTGAGGAGATGGAGGACGGTTCAAAAGTTGTAGCGGCTAGAGCGGCGGCTAAAGTAGATGAAATTAATGTGAGAGGGGGTGAGCAGCTTGTGGAGTAGTTATCATTTATTTATCATTATCGAGGTGAACTGCTCAGTATATTGTGATATCCATTTGAGGCCATATCGCCCAGCCCTAGGCAATGATGCTACTTTATGCGTATTATTGAAGATGTAGTGAGAGTGGTATATTGAAAAGTGTTTCTAATATATGATCTGCTTTGTTAACAAACACAAGGGGAGCAAAATATCAGGAATACCTTTAAATAAAATGCACTCCAGCACATCACCAACATCCACTACAACTTCAGCCATTTATTGATTAAAGGCCCACGGTTTCTGTGTTGAGTAACATCAAGGACATCATACAATGACAAATTTGAAATCTGAGTAGTAGCTCAGGGAAATAAAAGGGAGAGTAGAGTGTGTAGTTTCTCAGGTTTGTTTCCAACCTGGGAAACCACAAACTCTCAGACGAGTATAAAGAGCCAACTCAACATGACAGAACTCGATCATAGCACCTGTTTCTCCAGCAGGTACAACCGCTCCGTCACCACCCAGACACAGACTGACTGCTTTCTCACACTCTGTCTGTCCTGCAGTTATTCATTGATTAGTGTTAATGCATAACATAGACTCTGCTAATGCTACAGCTGCAGTTCTGCATGTAGTGAACTGCTCAGTTTACTACCTTCTCATGCCTTTTGTCAATACACCAGTACTGTCATAAAATAACAAAGATCTTGTTCTTGTAGCTTTATCCTAGCCTCGTTTGAAAAAGGACCTGCCGTACCAGCAGAGAAAATAGCCTTCATCCTCCAACTCTCCCTCGTCTTCCTCCTCCTCTGCATTTGTCAGCTGCTGGCCTCCTAACACAGCACTCCACCACCCACATCCTCTCACCTCTCTCGATTAGAGGAGCAACGCAGCTACCACCCACAGTCCTCTCTGAAATACCAGGCACAAATATGTGGGAAATGTGCAGCTTTTAGTATTTAGGCTCATTTATTTTTTTTCCAGATTATTGTGTTGATACGATGGTCTGGGACTTGGTCTTCCCTGTTGAGCTCTTCCTGTGTACCCAGGCTTGTTGCAAATGCCTATACTGTCTAGAGTGCATACCAGCAGGATGAGGTGTATCTGAGAACGCCTGGAGGACTGTACTTGGCTCTGCAACAGAGATGTCAGATATCCGCCATATGGCTTTTTTTTTTTTTTTTTTTGGAGCTATATGATTGTCTTAAGCACAGGCAGAGGCTAGAATTGTTATTATTATAGCCCAGCCTGAGGTAAATATCAGGTGTGATGTGCTGTCTTAATATCATCTCGATTGTGCTTGAATTACAGGACAGTGAAGATCCTGTTTATTCACAAGATTACAATCATCATAGTCTCAATCTGTCATCTCCAGTTCCTGGCCAGATTGCTGTGTCAGGGGTGTTTTTACCATTATCGTTGACTTAGGAAGGAACTTAAGGGGGAGAGAGTGGTTTGATATCCCTCTGCAGCAACTCTAAAGGTGACTGCATCCGTCTGGCACCTGAGGATATTTCCCCGCGGCGGCTTGTTGGCATGCTCGCTGGTATCAAAAAACGTGTGTTTACTTCTGTTGTCTTAAGTTGCTAAGGAAAGATTTATTGCATAATTGCTGTTATCTGTAACGAGCAATGGGATGTTGGACCCCGAAGAGGCCTGATTCCTGGCCATGTCAATGAGTCAGGGTGAAGCAGTGCCAGTTCATCAGCTCCCCTCGTCTTGAGTGATCAAAGTGAAACAGCTCTGGATGCAGAGGGAAGAACTTGGAAACAAAGCTTGAAGATCCAGCTGCTACATGTCTGAAGAAGAGTAATGTAACTTAATGAGTGGAATTGTAGCTTTTGGATTTGTCACCGGGAAAGTTGGCAGACACAGTGGCACCCTATAAGAAATAACAGATGTTTCTGATCAGCCAACAGGTGTTCATAACTGACTTTTATCACTGAGCAATATTGAGATGAATTTGAACTGATCAGAAGTGACTGGGAGATTAGATGATCACATTATGATGTTGCAACATGTGACTCGTCACTGTCGTTAAATGCTGTTTCATCATTCCCTCATGCTTCTCTAGACTGAGTCAGAGCACTCCTGCTTTCCATGACCAGTAATGAGTCTGTTAAACCCAAAAATGTTGATGGTAGGGGGGTAGGATTCGCTTCTCAACCAAAAATGAAAGTTAGACCATCAGCCAGCTGCCAAAAGAAGCAAATATTTCTCTCGCTGTGTCATAAGAGAGAAAGGGATGTTTTGCTAAGCTGCAGAATGGCCAAGAGTGATGAGAGCTGAGGGTGCAGGGACGTGCATGCACAGGGCTCAGTAATTACCGCTTTCTAAACAGAGAGTTGGTTCCTAATGAGTGCTGTAAAACTACACAACATCTGGACAGAGATCAAAAGACATATAATTAATTTGGAAAGGAGAAAAGATCCTGGCATTGACTCGACAATAGATCTGTATGATGACACAATGACATTTGATTAGACAGCCTGCTGGCCTTGGGGTTATTAATTGTAGTTCTTGTTCCCTCTAAGTAAGCAAGGCTAGAATAGAGTATCTTTGTATCCGTCTTTATCCTACTCTGAATTTTGCCAGCTGAAACAAATGCGGCTCTTCAACACAAAGAGATTCACAAAACTCCGGTATTAACCTTTGTGGGTGCCATGCTTTACTTTTATCTCTCATCTTTTTAGATTTTAAAACACTTTAAGTCACATCCAAATAGTTTTACTCTCTAAGATATCTAGATTTTACCTGATGACGGATTTCTGAATTTATTCAGTGATTTTAGCTCCTTCTTTTTATTAGAAATGTCAATTTATTTTGGAGTGCTGGATCTTCTTGCTGGTCAAAGCCTCTAAACAACAAACAGGGTATTTTAAGAGCTAATTGTGTAGGTTATAGCCTTCAGCAATGCTGCTCCTGCATACCTACAGCCCATGTTGATACAGTCACAGCACTGTAACAAAGCTCCACTGTAATGACAGTCTGCTGCCAGTATGCCTTTGTAATTTCATATTGTACTCAGCAACCACTAAGTATTGGTTGCCCAATGTGTAACTTAACACTGTTTTATGGCATTGCAGAGACACAAGAGGCCCTAACAGCATGTAGATCACCAACAGTGGAGTTCTCATAATACTGGTACTTTTACTTCAGTGTGATACCAGTAACGTCAAATTACGAGGTAACATCGACACCTGTTTTTCAAGAAAGAAGACTCCTGTTTGCCCGCAACTGGACAGTCTTGCTCATTTTGATGATTGTTATGAAACAGAAAAGTCATGGAGATGGAGCAACATTTGATTTACTGTTAACAGTAATGAAGGTAAAATAGATGAGACTTCCCTAAAACCCAAACTAAAATTTACCTTTACATGGAATTTTAAGTGTTGATATGTTTCCTGGAGTTATGAAATTATATTAAAAAAAACCTTAAGTGCCTAAAAATACGACTCTGGAGCTGTTTTTCATACATAATTGGTGCATTTTGACACTGTTGAAAATAAACACAACTATGACGGCACTGTTTCAATGCATGTTGTGTTGTATCAAAGTATTGACAGTTTTGACAAGAGCAAATATTCCATTGACAAAAGTCGAGTTGACCCCTGTTCCTTCAAGAGATGATTTGACATATAGATTTGAATTATGGAGCCATTAAACAAAAACATATGTTCTCCTGAGCAAAATAATGACTGTTAAATAGATTACTAGTTAATTTCTGTGATTAATTTCTGCAGTACTGTGTGCAAAGATTGACAATGCCTCCATTTTTTTGTGCGCCACTTAATTATAGCAGTGACAGAAAGATGGATGTGACAGCTAAATTGGCACACCTGTCTGTTTCCCTCCTGACTTGCCAATCGTCACAGCCTGACTTACAGAAATCAAATCCCTTTCAGATTTGTCCCTGCGTCCCCTTGAGACTCCGCTCAATGGCTCCCATCGAGACAGCATTCATATTATTGTCTGAGCAGCTCTAGAGACAAGACTAAGTTTATGCTGGCTTCATAATTTCCATGCTGGGATCACAAAAGGACACTTGTTTCGGCCTCTTGTCTCTCAGTCATTTCCTTGTTGAGGCTTAAGGGGAGGAGTGGCTCTGTGGACTGTGGCGGCTGACAATCCCACATTGTGTGAACTGGTGCTGCTTCACAAAGGGCCCATTGTAGAGAGCGGTGGCCCAGGGAGAGGGGACCGGGTCTAGCCTAGGTGACAGCGAGGTGTGGGTTCGAGGGGCCTGGGTCCGGGGGCTGGAGCTGCGATGGCTGGCCCAGAGTGAGGGGCGTGTATTTGTGCTCAGCTGGCAGGGTGCTGGTGCAGGGAGGGCGCACGTGTGCGAGGAGTCCCGTGCTTCTAGTGCAGAAGGTATACTGTACTCCCACTCAACCAGTACCTACTGCACACAAGCACTCAAATCTCTCCCTCTCAGAGGTGAGCTGCTTTATGAAAATAGCTTTTTTAATCAGAGCTGTTGTCAGAGTCTGATTTATTTTCTGTGTCCTAGAGAATCCGATGTGGTGATTATAGAACTGGGGGTATAAGCTGCTTGTGCAACTGCTCTCAGAATTTGAAATATTTTGCCGTTTATCCTCCTCTGACTCCAGCTGAAGGACAAGCCAGCATGTGTGCTGTACTCCAGATTTGTTTACTCAGACAGATGGCCTCAGCAGCCCAAAGTCATAGTCCACAAACCCCCTTTTTTTTTTCCCCCTCCGCATCGCTGTTCTCCTCCTCACCCACCAGCTTGAGAACTTAATCCCTCTTTTCTCAGCCACGATGTTTCCCACTCTCCGTCCCCAAAGCCATGTCTGAGAGTGACAGGGCTCTCAGGTCAAGCTGACGCCAGTCTCTCTGCCCAGTCTGAAGCAGGCCCAGGCCCTCGCCCAGCTGTCCCAAAGGTCTATTTGTCCGTCTGTCTGTCAAGCCCGGCTGTTGCCCTGGCCTCTCACCTTGGTGTCAAGAGCACTTTGGTGATGTACCAATTTAAGGTCACGGGCATCGGTCATTAAACCCAAAAAATTGAGGTGAACTTTGATTCTGTCTCTCGGTGGAACTTGTAATAGCATGTTTTGCACGGTGTAATGGACCGTTAGCTTGTCCTTGCTGTCTGCTCAATAAACAGAAAAAATCACCGTACATCATGACATGACCATTTCCTACGAACACATCTCAATTGTCTGGATTTAAAAAAAAAGATGCTTCACATAAAACAGTGCTTTCTCAATCAGTATTTGTTTGTTTATTTTAAATACCTAATAAATGGAGGCACTAGATTACAGCCATGCTTTCAAGAAGAGTTAAGCTAGCTACAAGCTACACCCGGATCAATTAGCATCAGCTTAACTGTGATATGAAAGTAAATAGTGTGTGTATGAGTGGCATATAAACACTTCGGCGTGTGGATGCATGATGTGGCGAGCAAGATGGTCAGCCAGCTGGTAGCTGCTAATGTTAGCCACACTTGGCAAACCAATGTGACTTAGTTTACCTGCTGACTGTGATTTTTTTGCCTGGCTGTGTGATATGAAATTAGATTCAACTTGAAGTCTTTTTGGAGTTTTTTTTTTCTTTTTGAAGCCAGAATGTAGATTTTTCAGAGTATTTTAAGTTGATTTTTGATGAGGAAGAGGCATGTTACAAACAGAGGTATTGTGTTACATGAAGAACAGCAGATCTAGTACTTTGTATGGTTACTGCAGTTTTCATCAATGTGAAACATGTAATTTTTTCTTTATTGTGCAGGCATGCAAGCCTGTGCCAACTTTCGACTCAATTTTTTGTTACACTTTGGGACTGCAATAAAAGAGTCAAGTGTGAAAGTGACATTTAACGGTGACGGAGTAAACAGGGCCTCTCATTTGCCCTCAGGGTGGGATTACCACGGACTGTTAACTATTGACTCCTCTGTCCACATTAGAGGCCATCCACCAGCTTGCAATGCTCTCTTCCTGACAGGCTATGGTTATGCAGCACAAATGAAGTCCCTCAGTACGATTTATTTAGTCACCAGCTAACATGATACCTTTTAATTTTCTCTCTGGCTCTGTCTCCTAATATATTCACATTCAAATGAAGGCTGTAATTTATTATCAGTGGGTAGTACCTGGTACTTACAGCATCGAAGCGTTGTAGTATTTTAGTGTCTATAACTTTGCCTTTGTGTTCAGTGCAGTGGAAGTGCCCAAAAGCTGCTCAAACGGTCACCTATGCTCAGAGTACTCAGCTATGCATTTTCATTCATTGGACAAATCAAAATCCTTGAGTAAACAGAAGATAACAAGGCTTCTCCCATTTGCTTGCCAAAGTCATTTAGAGGTCAGAGTTTGTCAGGTCAAAGCACTTTTCAACCAGTAACATTTCTTGCAATGTTTCTGTATCTGTAATTGCACCTGCAAAAGTGTGTAAAGTCATTCATCTAGAAAAAAAATCTTGATCCAGCACAACTGGTTCGCTTTTATTCCTGTAGTGCACTGGACCATGGATAGATTATCTTGTTTGGTCCAAGTCAAACCAACATGCTCCCATTCATTGTAAATGAACTGTGTCTTCATACAAAGCCGCTGTGTGCTAACATAAACCTGCATGAGAAACCGTAGGGCATTGTGGCATTGTGCACAGAGTAGTAGTTTTATAGTGGAACTCCTGTGGTCAGGTTATTTATATTTGTAGCTGACAGATGGCCTCCACGTCAGTGTGCATAGTCCCACCTCACAGTCAGGCATCAGACAGATTAAACTGAAAACCGCTCAGTGAACCTATGAACCTGCGCTGATTATCAATGGAGCAGAGCTGTTTTTACCACTCTTTGTTCCTCTTTTTAGACAGTCGATCAACAACACAGCTTTGTAGATGACAACTGAACATGTTTGAAGGCTGTACTCCCCTGAGGCAAATAAGTTAACAAATGCTCATCATTTTGCATAGAAAGGGCATTATCTGAGCTTCTCTAGTGTGGCATCATTGCATCGTGTGTTCGGAAAGGGTGGCAGCAGATAAAGATTTTATTGTTTAGGCTTCACTGATATACTCCCACAGAGCTCAACAGTCGAGAAGTTTGAAGGGTCAGTGGGTGAAGGAGCAGGTTAAGTTTTCAGCATGAGTAACCATAGTAAGAGGTGAGCTATCACTGCAGGTCTGAAAACTGAGTAAACCTTGAAATTACAGTGCCCAGTGTAAGTCAGTACACCCCCTATCAAAGTAACACCCTATCAAGTGTTACTCAATATCTAGATAAGCAAAAGTACAATTTGCAAAGTTTTGACAAAGCTGAGCTTAACATAACATTTTATTTACCATAGATGAAAATAAGGGTAATATGGTAATTAAAATTTAGCTTTACTCCCAAAACTTTGGTTGGGGTGTGCTAATTTTTGCATCCTGATTTTAAATCGAAAAATATACTTTTTTGTATGCAACCTAAAAAATCTTGTTTGCAATCAATGGCCTATGTTTGGGGGATTATTTTGTTGTCTAGTCTGACATGGAAAATGTTGATTTTAAAAGGAAACTGAAGGTTTTCTGACAACTCTGAAGGGGTCGACTCATTTATGTTGAGCACTGTACCTCAATAACAACAAAGCTAACTTTACTGTCATCTGGATGTTTTTGCAGCAGTTAAATGAGGGCGTACTCTTTGTGTCCTTCAAAAGAAAAAAAATAATAAAGTCATCTTGGCGGATAATTGTCATCTCAATTATCATTCCAACAGGACAATCTCTCCTCTTTTTCAGCTACTATTCAGCGTGTTTGCCGTCATTGACAGACTGCTGAAGAGAAACAGGAAACATAGGGAGCAGAGATTTGAGACGAGCAGCAAAGGGTTGCAGAAAAGAGTGTCATGAACTCATGATTGTCAATCCTGCGAGTTTAGCAGATCATGATACTTCCCTGCTTGCTGGTTTGAAAAAAAACATTTCGACATGTGTCATTTATTTTCTTTATTGTAGCTGTAAGTCTTTTGTTTCATATTCTTGAGTAATTATGGAGTTTATTAAATGCTTTGTTTGGTATTCCTCTGTTGATTGTTGGCATTGGTCTGGACCGCATTACTGTTATTAACCAGATAAATCAATGTGACGCTTAGTTCATAAAGGTGCTGTGAACTTTCTCATAGTTATTATGCTCTTAAACCGACTTTCTCAGTGTGATATCTTTACCTTTTATTCAGGTTGAATTTATTTACCAGATTAGTAATCAGCTTCCATAAATTTTTGCAGTTCATACCACGTGAATCAAAACTATCACAGGAACACTGGCTCGCACATGCAGACTGTTAAATCAGAGCCTGGCATGACAAACTTGGCAGGAAAATTGATGCCGGGGCGGATCGTGTGAAAAGACGGACCATGTGGAGGGTTACGTGGGCTCGTCTGTTCGCTCCCTCACTTAACGCTTGTGTCTATGCGTGTTTCTCTGTTTTTATGTCCTCACAGCCCAGCACTCTTCCCCAGGGTACGATCAATATGAACCAGTGTTCAGACGTCATCGACGGAGAGTCCAAGACTGGGCAGAAAAACTCCCTGTGCATCCTGACACCTGAGAAAGAGCACTTCATCCGGGCCGAATGCAAAGAGATTATCAACGGGTAAGACCCAAGAACCAGTACCCTGCTCCCATTCTGGTCCACCTTTAAGTCCTTAAAAGCGTGCTATGTGGGCTCAGGCGTGTTTATGTCTGTGTTGTGTCTTTTTCTTAGTGTGAGTAGCTTTTGGACGTGAAAGGCTTAAGTCTCTTGTAGCTGCCTCTGCTGCCAAAACTGCTCTGCCCCCTGCTGTCTCCTCTGGGTTCTGCTCTTCAGATGTTTGTAATCCACACTGCAGTGACAGTGCACATTCTTGAACTGTTTCCTCTCCTGCCCTCTCTCTGCGCTCACAAACCCCCCCCATGCCTGCACACAGATCCCAGCACACACACACCTTAAGCCTCATAATTCGTCCATTTTTCCTCTCTAACTCTGCTTCATTCAAAGTGTGTTCCTGCCTCGCTCTCCTCTCTTCTTCCCTGGCTCCAGCACACATATTAAGGCTATTCTCGGGGAGCTGTGACTCACAACACCCACTCTCCGTTATGCTACCTGCTCCAATCATTGCACTCCTCCCACTCGCCTGTCATCTGGCCCCCATATGATGTATCTTTGCTGTCAATCAATCACATAAGCCCTTGTAAGGTTGTCACTGAGTGACAGTTGCATAAAAACCTGGATTTTCATCATGAATATGAATGCTCTTGTTCAGTCTTTAGTCCTCGTTTTAATCACTGTGTTGTTGCACTTCATCCTGTGTGGGCATTCGTTCACGTATAACTACCGCATGTGTGTACCTACAGTGCAGCAGTTTATATAGTGTGGCACTCTTTACAAAGTGGGTGGTGTAAAAAATGTTTGACATTTCTGTAGCACAATATAACAAAACAGCCCGGGCACAAAGTCCTGAATCTTCTATGACATCTGAACTGAAATGTTAAATTGATTGATACATTCATACTATGGAAAGAGAAAGCAAATAATAGCTGTGTTGTTGGTCAGAGATTAAAGTCCACATGAGTTTGAGGTGTATTTTGTCAACAAAGTCATTTTTAAGGAGATCATCAGGTACTTTTAAGGTTGAAGAAAACAATTAATCATGGTCTGTTTGTAGGGGTGTGATTGTTGGGGAAGAAATTAGGTGCATCTCTTGAAAATAAGTAAATACTGTACATTATCCTTTGTTGATTACATTCATCCAACTATCTGTTAACTCTTTTACTTCAATGGTTTAATTAGATCAAATATTTAGCTAGAGATATACTTGGATAGCCCGCCAAGGTATTGTCTCAACATAGAGAACTCTACCTCTGAGTCCATGAGTCTTATTTTTATATTGTCCAATTCATCTTCCTTTCTTTTTATTAATTTCTTTGCTATTTTGTAGACAAAATTCTTGGCACTTTATATATTTCTAAATTATTCAGAAGAAACCACCAAATTTGAACTTTTTCATATTTTAGTCTGCTACTGAAAGTATCATGAGACACACAGTCACAATATTAAACCAAGATTTAATGGGCTCTGTGGATCAGTCACTGACTCACTGTTGTCTCTCCCTGCTTTACCTCCCTGTTTAATGAGTGGATGGTGTTTGTATAATAGGGTGTTGTTTGCTTTTTTTCCTGGTATGTCGATGTGTTTTCTGGCAGGCAAAGTGTTTACACTTTGTCACGTATTGATCCTCTGTGGGTATGAGAACAACCCTTTGACTGTGTGACCATTGGTCCTCAGGTGGCAGGAGGCTCTGACTGTTTACCCTCGGACCAACAAACAGAACCAGAAGAAAAAACGCAAGGTGGATCCTCCCACTCACCAGGTAATGCACTCATTCAGTACTCTCACTGTGAAGGGTTGCTAGAATAGAAACGAGTGGTGGAGTTTGAGGGTGATGATGTTCTTCTCACTGCTCTTTACCTGCTACATGAAAGAACTTTGTCTGGTGATATATCGTATCATCTCATTGACCAAGTAGTGATTTTTCATATTAATTTCTAATGTGAAGTCAAGTCTTAGTTAATGAAAAAATGAAATCAATTGTTCGTCCAGTGAGGTTGGCAGAGGTGACATCATGGAGCAGGAGAACAAAAATATAAAAGGTTTGCAAGATGTGCTACATGAAAACAAAATACTGTGTAAATAAGACAAACGTAAAGGAAAGCCAAATGCTAAATTAGCTAAACAGTTGAAAAAATTGTATAAATCGCAATATATTGTATCACAATACTTACTGTATTGCATAATGTTAAAAATGGCAACAATATTGTATCATGGCCCACGTATCATGATAATATTGTATCGTGGGGCCGCTGGTGATTTCCACCCCTAGTGTATAAGGTATTTCCAGGTGACGGATAATCAATTCTTGGTGGCTTTAACACTCACAATTTAAAGCTGGATATGATTTGTATGCCGGCACTGTTGGAAATAAGGTTGGCATTATAAATCATTGGCATGTTTGCCCTTGTTGCAACCAAAAAAAGAAAATACACATATTCTCATGGACATCTTGTGCGGTGTGAGTATGCAGCATGGAGGCTTTTCATTCCAGTCAAACAACACCAGCTGTTTTCCCCTCAGACAGAGAGAGATGTATTGTTTTTCTGCCAGCTACATGATCAACAAGGATCCATATTTACATTCCTGCCTCACATGATGTGTGCTCATCATACAGACAGGCTGCATGCCACATGCTCCTCTTAGAGTAAAGTTACACTGTTAACATTTGATAAAATGTTCATACCTGTGTTATGATGTGTACGTTTACATATCGTCAGATGCTTATCTGAGTTCTGGTTTTGATACTGTATCACATGGTAAGTAGGAAGCTCACTTTAGGGAGTTATCAAAACATTCCTGTGCAAACAACCATGGGTGACAGCTGCCAGCCAAAATAACATTCAGCTCTAACTTTCAGCAATGTGGCCGTGATCCCCTTGTATCTGAATTTGCTGGTGCGCTCTGTTTCATTGTCATGTCCAGCAGCTGCGGTCTCACCTGCCAGGCTTTTTGCCCCGACTCTTTCCTGTGGCCTTGTGTGCCCGGTCAAAACGGATTCTCCTCTTCTAAAAAATCATCACCTTTTCTGTTCGCTGTCAAAACATGTGAGCGCACAGCTCCAAACTCGAAATGATAAATGGTACAAACCCTTGTGCAAACATTGCCTGAAGCCAGAAGACTTGTGCTGTTCAATTGGTGAAAACAAATTATCAAGCATCATATCCTCAAAGGTTAACTTTCCTGTTTCAGACTATCTTCTGCAAACCTGTTTCTCGATATGAAAGTTTTCTAGAAAAACCTTTGAATTGGACCTAAATGACCATGACATGCTGTATAAATATGTCCTGATTTCACACAGTTACAACCTTAAGCCTTAGCAGAATTATTAAAGTGCACACCCATGCTTATAGGAGAGATTTTCTTTTGGAGAGCAATGTGCGTCTCTATGTTGATTAAGGTGCAGAAACCAAGATAAAGTTTGTTTTAGTAGTCTGAGGGGAGAATGGGCAGCTTCATTTTAGCCACTCATGTTATATCCCAGAGAAACACTAATCAAACAGGTACTTAACATGCACTCTTCATATACCTCTCATTGAAATGTAAAACAAACAAGACTTGATATAAGGCTTGATTGACATAGGAGTAATTTCACTGATGAGATGGGAATAAAACATATAGCATACAGTAGAGGCAAACAGTTTTCTCCTTTTCCTTCCTAATCTCTGTGGTGGGTGCACACTAATTTGTCACTGAAGTTTATTGTCTAGCTGTCTTTGCTGCTTTGATAATCAACAATCCTGTCATCCTCTGGTGATTGTTCTTACACAGAGAATGATTCTTATCTGTCTGTGTTTCTTTTGTTGTTTGCAAAGATTCTCATTCACACTGGCATGGCTTGTCACTGTTCTTCTAGGGGTTAACCAACGTGTAAATGCACTCTGTAGGCGCCATAACTATAAACAGACACCAAACTTTGAGTCCAAGTTGAATCTTGAGTCCTCAGTTGAGTGTAAGTCACCAAAGAAGAATCAGTTTTAAGCCAGACTTCAGTGCTCACTATTTATTCACATATTTATTCACTGAATCTATGCTAAATGAATGTGTTGAACCTTTTGAATGGGTAGAAAACACAGTTTCATTCATTAACATTAGATTCTGACACATCCTATCCATGTGTCAGGAGTTTTCAGGTGATCACTATATCACCTGCACAAAACCAAACATCTTGGACCTTATGGATGAGTTACTTTAGCTGCTTATATTTAGTTATATCCTGTGGCATCCATCCATGCAGTGTCCGTGAACTGAAGCTACCTGTTATAACAGCAACAATAAGAGCACTGCTAGCTAAGTGTCAGCTTCTGTATCTACATTAGCATTAAGGCCCAATCACACGTTCCCATCTAAAAACACCTGCCTTAGTTTAACCTAACTTATTGGAGACATGCTCAGAAACTCTCTGAAACACTTTAGTAAATACTCAAGCACGGTGATGTATTTGCCTTCTGGGTAGTGCCTCTAAATTGAAGCATCAGACTTTAAAAACAAAAACAATCCTGTACTAGGGAGCATGTTTTAGTTGGATACTGAAACTGGAGGGAGTGTGAAAGGTGTTTTGTACTTTCTTGCTATTGTGAAGGCTTTGAAGGTGCCAGCATCTTAAAATGGAGCTTTATTACATAAATATGCGGAGGAGTGAAGTTGAACTCAATGCTAATGTTTTCCAGACACTATAAACACATTTTTTTGGTCCATTTGTGTTAAATATAATCAGCTACATAACATGCATTAACATCAAAAGCTTTTGTGATTGGCAGGGTGGAGTTACAACAAGCCAGTGTTTTTCCACTGAAGACATGAATGGACATCCAGTGAGTTCTGGCTTTGAAATCCCCGGCCTTAATAAATCACATTTGTCTTAAATCTGATCAATTCAGGTGAAGGGTGAAGAAAAAAGAACATGCTCTTTGCTATCTCTCAGAGTGATTATCAGCAACATGTTTGCGGGGGCTGGAGTAGGCTGGCTGGATAACTGATGTACAAGAGCTGCTTTGCTTTAAAAATCTTGCTTTCTACAGCAGTGAGGGTTTGATTTTGGTTACTCTTTGCAATTTGTTCTAATGAACCCAGTTTGCCTTTGCTTGTCTCTTTTAATATTGGATTTTCCCAGCATATGCTCCTTAAGGTCTATGAAGGGAAACAAAAAGGGAACAAACAAGTGATTGGGGATTATGCACATCTCAACATCAGAGCTGTGATTATTGTCTCCAAACTCCAAAACAAGATGCCTGCAATTATTTCTGGTTGATTCTCAGTATTTAATCATCCTTCAATTTCTTTCTTCCTCATATTCCTCGTTGTAGTCTCTCTGTGACCTTACTTCCCATCATGTCCTCTCCTCTTCCCTCCCTCTCCTACCATCCCAAACCCACACCCAGGAGCCCGGCCCAGCCAAGGTCACAGTGACCAGCAGCAGCAGCGGAGGGAGCATACCCTGCCTGCCTAGCAGCATCGCCAGTGCTGAGCGTGTCCCAACGAGCCGCGCCACTCTGTGGCAGGAGGAGAGCCGCTGGAGCAGGTCCACCATCCCCTGCAGCCGCAGTGCCTCCTGCATCAGCCAGCTGAGCCAGAGCCAACCCGACTCTAGTATCACTACACAGGATGGTGAGGATTGAGATGATGCAAGGTTCTCACCATTTCACTAGATGAAGAAAAACCAGCCCCTTTAAAGTCATTTGGTTACAGCAAACATAGAGAGTGGGTCAATATATGCTCATCACACCAGTGAGGGACAATCACAAACAGATTTTTTCTAGAAGTTAAATCAAATCCTTACATTTTGACCTGCTGGGTTTCAATTGCTTTTTAAAGAAAAATGCTCACCATTTAAAAATATGTCAGTAGTTTTCTTTAGTATTTTTAATCAAGTAATATTTAAAGAAGATGTCTCTGTGCCTTTAAAAAATTAGTTTTATCTTAGCATTGATATCATAGAAGTGCAAAATTTGCCGGAAATCCTTGTGGAAAAAGTCGAGAGCTGCACCAGCTCATATATTCACCTTATTTGCCTCCATGTCTGTAAATGATGATTTTTTTTATCCCCCTCAAAGTGTCAAAAGCATCGTCGTAAAATCTAATTTCACTGCCTGTTATTGTTTTAGATGGTGCCACTGTGACCACTGGGCGCAAGGTACGAGTAGAAAGCGGTTACTTTTCCCTGGAGAAGACCAAGTCGGAGCCTTCCCCACAGTCTGCACCGCATTTTCAGCCACCCCAGCCACCCCAGCATCTGCCCCTGTCCTCTTCAGCATCCTCCTCCTCTCTAGGAGCTCCCAGTCCCAGGTACAAGTCCGAGTCAGACCCCCAAACTTCCCCTTATCTACCCTCCCAAGATCCTTTCCCTTCTCCAGGTGCCCTTATCTCCCCCAGCTACTCCACCATCAGCTCCTCCCAGAGCTCCCTGGACTCTGATCCCAGCGGGACCACACCCACTTGGGAGGGACACAGCGGTGGTGGAGGGAGCACTGGTAGCATCAGTGGTGGTGGAGGAGGAGGAGGCAGAGTGGGCCGGTCTGGCAGGGAGTACTCAGCGCTGTCGGATGTGCCACGGGCTCGTAGGCTGAGTTACCGTGAAGCCTTCCGCTCAGAGAAAAAGCGGCAAGAGCTGCGAGCGCGGACTCGGAGTCCCGGCAGGGAGGAGGTGGCCCGGCTGTTTGGGGAGGAGCGCAGGTGAGAGGTTATGGATAAGTGTAAAAAAATGATCTTCTTGGACATTTGAAGTTTTTTTCCTTCTGATATTCTGATTGACGGCTGAACGTGCATCCCTTTGCAGAAACGCACCCACATATTCCCTTAAAGGCAGCCAAACATTACTTCTGATTATTATTGAGCCACTGGTTATTAGCTCTTAGCATACCCTCAAAAGCACGCCATGTGATCATTTGATACAGCCCATGCATTGCCAGAAGCAGTCAGCATTTTAGTTTTTTAGCACCACCCTGTGGCTGCTGTCCTTGAGGCCCTCCTGTACCCTGAGTATCTTTTTGCTAATGCTGTCCTCCCTATCTTACCAGTGGTTTGCCAGTAATGATTTTGGGGCAATGAATGCATGTGTTACTTTCTATTCTATGATCTCCACTTCCTGCTTTTGCTACTTTGCTAGTTTGTTGTTTTGATCTTTTCCAGGGGCTTCTGAACAGAGCTTCTCAGACCTAATGCTCAACCAACCCCTCCACCCCTGCCCCAATGCCTCCCTGCTGGTCACCGCTGATTCCTGCTTTCTGTCATTTCATCTCTGCACTGCCTGGGAGCACTCACAAACACTGTTTCATACATATACTCAATTTACTGTTTATACTGTGCAAATATTCTGTGGGTGCTACTGGTGGTGGGTTTACAGACAGTTAGATCTTTCCAGCTTTTAACTGCATACATAAACATTTCCGAGCACAGTGCCTTAAGGTAACCCTGAATGTGTTTCCATTGCTGCTACTTCTGCAAATTTTTAATCCATCATTCTAGTCCTTTCCCTTTTCCTCCAAAGTTTAACTCTCATCATATAACATGACTTTATTTATTTGATGTATCTCTGAATTGCTCTCTCTGGAGATATTGTTTAAATCCTATAGTGCACATTGTTGTGTATGTTGCGACTTTGGGTGCAGAATGAATTTAAACATTATTTTTATTGCATGTAAATACCATTAACGACTTCTTGTGTTCATTGTAGTAAAAGACTCAAATAAGCTTTCATATCATGCTCTAATCTTGGTTTTTATGCTGATCTGCCCACATTTAAGGTTGTTATGCTGCATTATTTTTAAGGGAAAAATCTTCCTCATAACTATTCTGCAAAATTGATTTCTTTAAAAGTGTTTCAGATGTTAAAGCCAGTCAGAAAAAAAATGTTGTGCGAAATAGCAAGTGTGCTGTATTTTGAGAAAGTTATGTTTTGTGCCCCTAGGCGTTCTCAAATCATTGGCCGGTTCGAGGAGGGTCAGCCTGAGGAGCACATGGACACAGGCAGCATCAATGAGGCCTCTGCTAACTCTGCGCTAATCCAGAGACAAGGCCGCAGTGAAAGACGCTATCTGGCTAACAAACATGTAAGCTAGTCACTGGTTTTCCTGAACAACTACATCTAAAAATTTGAAAACTGATTTTCCAAAAAAAAGTTTAATCATATGAGTTTTTTCAATTCTGCATAATATAATATGTTTTGTAGGATATGTCGCTGGATGCAGGCAAGGATCGGTCTGTCCCCGATGTATCCAGCTCTACTTTTGCCAATTTAAGGAGAGCTAAGTCGCTGGACCGCAGAGTCACTGAATCCTCGATGACTGTGAGTACAGAAAACTTTGGATGTTCAGACATGTCAGTCATGAGCAATTTAACACCTTCCATAAGATTGTGCACAACTGTCTTCCTAGCGACAAAAGCTGCCAAAGCGGTTGTGCACATTGAAAGTGACAGTGATAGGCCATCGAACTCTCCAGCAAGAATCAAAACCTGCTGCTTTGATTAAATAGCAACTACATTTTCTTTGTTGCTGGGAGAATTTACCAATGTCTATTGGTAAGTTAAACCATGAAGGAGAGTGATGGTATTCAAATTGCAGACATAATATAGGCTAAAATAGTCTAACTTTAGTTTTTGCATGCATGCATCCACGTGTCATCTGTCACCCCATTTACACTATTACATCAGCGCTTGTTTTCCTCAGTCTTTACAAGCAAGATTAAAGTAGCCCTCAAGTTGCCTAAGGTTGCACTGATATCCTCCCGAGCTCTGACTCCTACTAGTCTGACAATCTGCTACTGATCTGAGGTCTGTTCGGAGAGCGCTGCAGGGCCAATTCAGCCAGTGTGTGGTCGCCCGCACTGGCGGAGCTGCAGCTGCCAGAACCCCCACCCACTCAAACACACATTCATGTACACACCACTGCCGCCACCGCTACTGACGATTATAAATAGCCGGCACACAAGCAGCCACAGTCGTGTGCATGTCCCTGGGACAGACGGACAGAAACAGATTGTCAACATATGAAGTGAAGGCAGTTAGCCATCAGAATGACTCTCTGCCAGACGGTGACCCCACACCTGATGAAGCTCAACAAAAGCAAGGTACTGTTTAGTGAGCAGAACCAGGTTTAGAGCAAGTGATTTACTTTGGGGTCTATAAACAGACCTGAGCTTGGTTTCAATGTGCAGCAGTTTGTGTTACACAGGGAAAGTCCAGCTCCCGCCAGTCCGTCTCTTTAGCTGGAGCCATGTAGCTGCAATTATACCTCATGAGCTGAGGTAAAGGCGAACTGTAAACAAATGTCCATAAATACGTTGCGTTCAAGGAGATCTGAATCAGATTTTCTGACAGTGTCAGGGCAAAAAATTGTATGCAATTAGGAACAAGGTGCAAAATAGTCATAACAGAAGAAGCTCCTTTGTTTATTTTCTGTTTTTGTTCATTGATGTGGTTGATGGGTAAATGAAATTTCTCTTTATGGTTATTTTGATAAAACAAAATTAAGTAAGAACAAAGTCACACTGCTTTGCTCTGTCTTGTTTGCAGCCAGATTTGCTGAACTTCAAAAAAGGATGGATGACAAAGCTCTATGATGACGGCATGGTAATTTTCATTCATTAGTTGTTTAATCCTGATATTAAACATATAGAGGCCGATAAAACCAATAAGTGCTTTCATTGTCTTCTCTAGTGGAAGAAGCACTGGTTTGTTCTGACAGATCAGAGTCTGAGGTACTACAAGGACTCGATAGCGGAGGAGGTACGTTTGTTTGAAGTAACTGTGCAGTTTTTGACAATTAAATGTTTATTTCTATATTTTTTTTCTATTTTTTTTATTCTGTTTTCGTATTCAAACTTTTGTCCTCAGGCGTCAGAGCTGGATGGTGAGATCGACCTTTCCACATGTTACGACGTCAAAGAGTTCCCAGTCCAGAGGAATTACGGTTTCCAAATTGTGGTGAGTGTTTATTCTTCATGTCATCGATTGCGCTGCGCTGTAAATCATCAGGCAAGATGGAGCTCATTGTCTATGCACTTGAGCCCTCCTGTCTCCTGACGATCTATAAACAGCCTTAGACACCGTGTGGGGCAACTTTAGGTATCAGGTTTTGACATTTCTCTGTGTGAAACGATTGTTTGTCTGTCATGACGGATGTCACTTGACTTGTCATCTCTCTGTGAGGTGGTGACATCATGGTGGTCTAAATCTGCTGCAGCCGTTGCCAGCCCTCCTCCTCTCTCTGAACCCATGTGCCCCTCATCCTTCAAAAACTTACCTCCTTCTTTGTCCTTAGTTAAATCAATTCATGTTTGAGGTTTCACAAACATGTTTTTATGATAGCTTTATTTTGATGCATCATAGTTGTGCAATCCTTCAGATCCTCTTCTGAAATCTTTGACAGAATACATTTGACACATAATCCTTTGACCATTAAACATTTTTAGCACTTGTTGCTGTAGCAAAATTCTTGCTGGATACATAGTGGCATTGCAATGCATTGGTTATCCATTTGATGTCGGAGGGGTTTTGTTCCCGCTACATATAGACTTTAAGTGTGATACTAATCCTATATGAGGACAACTGTAGCTACAAGGTCAATTCATTTGTTTAAATTGAATAATAGAGCAGCTCTCCTGAGATTCTTGAAGGAAAAAAGCAAATTTGTCTCTTAATGTCTGCTCTGTCTGATCCCTGGTCAGGCTGGATGGGACTGATAATTTCTGTAAGTAGATCAGGCTGTAGAGCTGAAGACAAGATAGTGACCTGATGTCTAAAAAGATATCACATCTGTGTCTTCAGAAGCTTTGACAAATAAACTTAGAGCTTGTTAAAATTGTTTGACTTCCACTAGAGGTCACTCAGGTGCCAGAAACACATTTTAAAAAAGCCAGAACATGAACAAAAAACACAAGTTTTGTCATCCAAAAAAGGACACTTGATTGAGCACCTTTTTAATGAAATGGTTTAGTTAGTAACAGATTAGTGATCCGCTAGGTGATAAAAAGGTGTTTAAGAGAGGCTGAGCCCACCACCAAACAAAGATGAAAAGAGGTCAAGAGAGACTGTTTGAGCAAATAGTGCAGCAAATTCAGAATAATGATCTTCACTGCAAATTTCAAAGAACTTCATTTATGGAACAAAATGGTAAAAGATTCTGACAATCTGGAGAAATCCCTTTTATGAAAGAGACAAGGTCAAAAACCAGTGCAATGAGTGGCAGTGATCTTCAGGAGACGATTGTGCATTTCACAGGTACTAGAGTGTCATCTAGACTTTATAAAGCAGAGTCAAATGTCTTTCACTGCAAAGAGAAACATCCTGTGTTGCCTCTGTCTCTGTCTAGATAGTGTCACAGTTGTGACTGTCTTAAAATAAACAGTGTCATTGCAGTGCTTCATACTTCTGCTTTAAGGTAAACTTTAAAGTCTGAGCTCAGTGTAGAGCATCAATCAATCAGGCATGATAATACTGTTGATGACAGTAACAAGTGTTTGAAACAGTAGCTTTTTTGTTTACGTACCTGATGTTTAAGTACCTCACATGTTTAAGTACCTGAAGGATTTTACTTCAAAACATGAAATAAAAGAAGTGTTAAACTGTACCTGTCAGTAAAAGAAGAGCACAAATGAGCTCAGAACAGAAAAAAGCCTTCAGTATCTAGGTAAGATAACTGCTTTATTCTAGGATTGTTCATGTGACAAACAAGTGGTTGGATTTTTTAAGTATCAGCGTTATTTAAATCATCATGTTGTCTCATTCCTGTCACTCATTGTCACGAAATGTTTGTGTCTGCTCTTAGTGTAAAGATGGAGCGTGCACCCTGTCAGCCATGACCTCTGGAATCCGCCGCAACTGGATGCAGGCCATCATGAAGAATGTGCGACCCACTATCGCCCCTGATGTCACCCGGTAATACCCAAAGAGGATTAACACTTTCAACGCCGGCAGATATGAGGACTGCTTTTCTCACTTATTTTTATTTTTTTCTTAATCCCTCTCTCCTCCTCACCTTCTCTTTCCTTTCTTTCTCTTCCTCCATCAACTGGTATTGTCAACCTGCTTCCAGGAAAAACATCTCTCTGAAACTATCCGTACTGAAGCCCAGGTTGGAGTGCTTGTGTGTGACACCCCCCTAACCCCCACCCCCACCTCCAACAGTGATGTTATTGCTCAGCAATGTCAGGCTCAGCGTGTTTGTCGTCCCTATGTCATGTGATTGTTGAGTAATGTGTCCCTGTGAGGTTGTGCCACTGTAGAGACACACACTGCAATCACATCAGTGTACGAGAGTGACCTGCTTAACATGTTGCTGATCAACAGTAGAAGGGATTAAATGATAATTGTCAGAACAGCAACAAGATCATAACTGAGGCACAGACAATAAAGCATTTAGGGAAAAGAAAGAAGAGCTTGAGCATACGTATATATTTTCTGAACAGTTCCCCCTGATGCTTTTATCCTATCTAAACTTGAACGTTTCAAGGATTGCCTTTCAGAGAGCTCATCCTGTATGATACCGAACACATGCTCTGACCCGCATTTTCTGAGTCACACTCTTTACTCTGCTCAGCATGTGTGATACTTTTGGTATTCCCGCACAGACGCCTCACAGACACCTCATTCTTGTTCTGTCCCTTCTCATTTTCCTCTTACTCACTCCACCTCCCGACCTTCCCACACAAGGAGGTGGAAAAAGATTGAGTCCATCACTCCGCCTCTTGACACTGCCAGTGTCTGCGAGCTCGAGTTCACTGGAAACACATTCTTTACATTAAGCTACCATAAAAATCGTATCAATATAGCAGCCGAGGGCAGACATCTGCAATCAGGCTTACCTCAGATTATGACTGTGAACACTAAAGCTGCTTTCAGTCTAATGCTGCGTGCTGTTAAAGCATTTTGATGTGCTTTGTGTATTGAAAGCATGATAAACTCAGCTAAGATGTATCAAAGTCAAGACGGTGATGCTGCTCTGCCAGACTTGTATGTATTTTGTTTGTCCAGCTTTATGTCCAAATGATGTGGATGTAAAAGATACAGTTATCATGTTCTGATAAAGCAGTTAAACTGTGTAATATCTCCCTTTTATTTGTTGTGTATTTGTTCTTCTAGATCCCTCCCTGAGGAGACAATAAAAGCGCAAGTGATGTTGGAGCCGTGTCCACAGGCCACTCCTGACCCAGGCCCGAGTCCTGAGGCCCCCAGGTCTGATGTCAGCAGAAAGCTGGCAGGCAACAACACCTCCGTCCCTCCCTCTGAGCCCCGGAAAAGCAGAGTTCGTGAGCGCAGACGAGAGGGTCGCTCGAAGACCTACGACTGGTCCGAGTTCAAAATGGAACAGACTGCAAAGCCTATGAAGGAACGAGCGGACACAGTCGACCTCAGCTCATCTTTCTCCACAACCTCCTCATACTGCTCTCCTTCCTCCTCTGCTTCCTCTTTAGCATCCTCTCCTGTCTCTACCTCCTCGTTACACACCTCCTCAGTGTCAGGCTCTCACCCGCAGCCTATGACAGAAGAGGCAGAAAAAGAGAATGTAAGGAGGGGTGTCCAACCCCGGAGCGCAACCAGTGCAACTCACTCGCCAAATACTGTTACCGTCACAGTGATGTCCACACTTAACACAACACCGCCAGTATCGTCAACGCATGGAAGCCAAGAGCAAGGAAAGATGGAAGTAGATCGGCCTGCTGCTGAGGTTAAGAGGGAAAACAAAGCCTCAGATGTCCAAGAGGAGATCGAGCAGCGATGGCATCAGGTGGAAACCACACCACTAAGAGAGGAGAAACAGGTGCCTATCAATTCAGCTGTAGGGAACTCTGCCAGCTCGGACAGATTACCTGCACATGAGCTAGCTGCACTGCTGGACAAAGAGGTCTGTTTCCTCAATATAGTCATACACATGTTTATGAAATCACATCCTGTGTGGCTAGTTTACTCTTTCTCTTCTTTTGTGTTAAGTTGGGACAGAAGCAGAAGGAACTGGACCGCCTACAGAAGCAAAATGACGTTTTAAAAGAGCAGTTAGAAGATGCACTGGGGAGAGAGCATAGCGCCAGAGAGGGCTATGTGCTGCAGGTACTACACTCACAATATATCACTCAGGATTACCATGTGTTTTAAGACTGACACTGTGTACAAATAGCATTTTTACATAGAGTTTGAAGAATAGATTTTAAAGCTAAAATGATGTTGAAGCTGCAAGTTAGCATACTTAGTAGGGTATATTTTACTTAAAGTACCACAGCAGGCTGTATTTTTCACCTGAAGTGAACCAGCTCATGAAAGATGATATGTACTTGTCGCTGCTATAACATGTTTGATATTCTACTAACTGGTGCGGGTGCTTATTCTCTGATACGCATGGTTGTGGTGTTCTTAGCATGTATTTTCACTAACTGTATTTACGGAGTTTCACATCTCCTGGGGGACTAATTGATTTGATCTGATGTGCTTTAAGGTAAGAATCTTGATCAAGAAGCCTTGCGCTGTGCTTTTTCCTCACTCTCCAGTTTTGCTTTGTCTGTGCGTCCATATAAAGCTTGATCCTGCATGTACTTTGGTGTTCAGGAGTGCATATTTTAACTCATTGTTTTTTTTTTTTTACATGTTGGAGTTTAAAGTTATTTATTCTCATCATGAAGTCAGAATATTTTTCATTTAACCTCACTCTTTTTTTTTTACGTGTACAGTAATTTTTTTTTTTTTTACTGTTGCATCATCGTTGTAGACACCAACCTTTTTTCCCATGTGTTTGTCGGGGTTGGGGTGGGATTGTGGGGGGATCATTTTCACCTTTTGTTTCCCGAGTCATCTCTGAAAAAGCACAGTGGAAGCGTGGGGAAGAGTCTTCCCTAAGAGAGATTGGTATCAAGAAAGGAGATATCTTATTTTCCTGGTAACCCGCGAGATGTGGTTCTCCGTATAAGGCAGGGAAGGTAAGGTGATGTCATTAATGAGACTCTTTCATCAATCTTTTTCAAGAGTACAACACCCCCTTCCTCTTCACCGCACAGAGTGCCATGGCAACGCTTGCATACCCTTAATCAAGACCTACAGGGCGAGTTGGAGTCTCAAAAGCGCAAGCAGGACCTCGCTCAGCAGCAAATTCGGACTCTCAAAAGAAGCTACACAGAAGCTCAGGATGCTGTAGACCGCCATGAGGCTGACATTCAGGGTCTGCAGGCCAAACTAGCTTCTGCAATGGCTGAAATCTTAGCTAGCGAACAAGCTGTTGCTAGAATGCGCAATGAGCTCAAGCTTGAACAGGAACGCTCAAAGGAACGAGAGGAGGAGTATTGTTGTAGTGAGAGTACCTTAAGAGCCCAGCTTAGGGACAGTGAGAACAGACTGCGGGAGGTAGAGGCCAGTTTGTTAGAGAGAAGCCAAGCCCTCAGGCACCTGGAGCGCCAGCAGGCCCTGCAGCGAGACCACATGAGGGAGATTCAGAGGCTGCAGGAGAGACTGCAAGAGGTGACTGCACGGCTTAGCGCAACTGAAGAGGGTCAGGCACTGAAGGAGGAGCGCCTACGGGTGGAGCAGCATACCATGCAAGAGAGCCATGAGAGGGAGAGACAGAATCTGTGCAGAAGATTAGCTGAGGCTGAAACAGCACAGAAAGAGACGGAGAAGAAACTGATGGAGGCTGAGCAGCAGGTGCAGGCCCTCTTGAGAGGGAGGCAGGCCTCTGCGAGCAAAGAAAGCAGAGAGGAAATCCAAAAGTTACAAGAGGAGCTGGCCCACAAGACTGACATGGTTGAGACACTGAGGCAGAGCGTTCATAGGCTGGAAGAAGAAAAAGGACATCTCACTTGCCGCTGTCAGGAGCTTCTTAACCAGATTTCTGAAGCAGACCGTGAGGTTAATAAGCTCCGCAACCGTCTGGAAACAGAGGAGGCTGATTACTACAATCTGGAGCACTCGTATGAAAGGGCCACCCAGGAGTTTCAGAAAATAAGTCAGTTCCTTCGAGAAAAAGAGGAGGAGATCCGGCAGACTAAGGAAATGTATGAGAGACTAATGGAACGTAAAGAAGAGGACCTGAAAGAAGCCCTTGTTAAAATGACTGCTCTCGGAAACAGCTTAGAAGAAACAGAGCAGAAGTTACAAGCCAAGGAGGAGCTTCTTTGTCAAATGAGTCAAAGCCTCTTAGATAGGTCGGAGCCCTGCAGTGCTGAAAAGGATCTGCAAGCTAAGCTTGTTGTCGCAGAAGACCGCATAGCCGAGCTAGAGCAGCATCTCAATGCCCTGCAACTCGGCTACGCTGACCTACACATGGAGAGACAGCAAATCCCAGAACAAAACAGAAAGACGAGACTCAAAACATCGGTCTCTTTATCTGCAAGTACCATGCTGCCTCTTTCCTTTGAAAATACATCGAAGCCAGAGAGCTCCCCAGATGGTAAAGAGTCTCAAGCTAAGAGACCAAGGATACGTTTTTCCAATATTCAGTGCCAAAAATACATGAACTCAGAGGGCATGGAGGGTGGCCATGTTAGCAGCAGCTTTCCAGAAACAAGACAAAAAGTCAACCAGGGTGAAAGCGAAGACGTCCATGTTTCTTCCGAAACAACATGCTCTCACAGTAGTGACCCAGAAAAGTTTATCTCCATTATACATGCCCTTGAGACCAAACTGCTAGCCACTGAGGACAAATTAAGAAACCTCACACAAAACCTAGAAGAGCAACAATCCACTCAAGCAGAGACTGATCTCAAAATGACTGACACCAAACCTGGTGAAGAGCTTATTAGTGGAAGCAGGATACAGGGTACTGCAACCCATAAACATTACGCCAAGGCCCTGGCATGTGTGGAAAACAGTCGAGAGACAGTCAGGAACATCCTCAGTGGCTCTCATGAAACTGCAGATTCCCAGCTGCACTTACTGTCAGAGATAGAGACTGATTTGTTCAATGCGTCCCTGTACATTCGACAAGGACAGAAGATGTTGGAAGAGCAGTCCCCACAAACCCAACATCAAACCCTAGAGACTGTAGATAAAGACGCTTTGCATTTGTTTGCTAGAACTCTATCGTTTGAGGCTGTAGTTTTAAACAAGATGGCTTTGTTGATCCAGACTTCAAAGTCTGATGTCCTACAAGGTCTTGCCGAGGTGTGGGAAGACATAGAGAGTATCAAAAGAAGTGACAAAGATTGCTTGGCTATAGTTTATGCTGATGTCTTGACCAGGAAGCTCATGTTAGAAGGTGCATTCTGGAAAGATTTGGAGAAAGCTGAAATTGAAATTGCAAAATCCAAAGAGGGTGCTGGTGTAGATGTAGATGTTGATTCTAGTGTCATCTTTAACACCTTCATTAAAGCAGAACTAGCCTACGCTATTCAAAACCTTAAAAACTGTTATGAAGAGAAATTCAAAACATTAAAAAGGGAGTTGTCAGAAGCACATAACAACCTATGTCAAAGGGAAACGGCTCTAAAGGCAATCATTGAAGCATCCAAAAGCCCTGATTTGAAAAATGTCATAAAAGAGGTCAAAAGTAACTTTGGTTTTGGTAAACACAAGTTAGCTGACATCCATCCTCCAGAACTTGCTCCCTACATGGACCAGATAGAAATGGAAGAGGCTAGAGACTTGGCTGAGGAAATCGTTGACAGACAGATGGCTTCTGAAGCACCCCCTTGTGGTGTTGATGCTATCGAATCATTTCAGATTGCTCATGAAAGCCTCGCTAATGAGCTTCAGAGACAAGCAGCCATCCTTCACAAGTACTCTCAAGAGATAGAAAGTAGTGAGAACCATCCTGGACTTGCTAAAATGGTCCATGCTCTTCTAGGGCGTCAAACTTCACGCAACTTTACAAGTACCTCCCTCTGCATGCGAGAAGCCTTAATCCAGGCTCAGGTGGCGTATGTGGCATGCAGGTTACGAGCAATGCATGAACAAGACTTGGGCTGGTGTAAACAGACAGGTCAGAACATGGATGCTCTTGTCCAGGAGCACGCCCGCAATGTTGGCGCAATCAAAGAAAAATACGAAGCATCGTTACAAGATGAGCGTAAGAGCTTCACACAAACAGTGACCTCTCTCCAAAAAGAGAACCAGACCCTGAAGGACGAGGTCAGCAAATGTGTGAACCAGCTCTCTCAGCAGAAGGAGCAAATGGGTCTCCTGGAGGAGCGTTTTCTGAAGGAGGCTGAAGAGCTGAAACAGAGGCACAAGCAGGAGCTGAGCCAAGCAGAGAAAGGCCGCGCCTCAACAGAGCTGGCCCTCATGGAGACAACAGCTGACAGCCAACGAAAGCTGGAGGTTCTGCTGGTGGACATGGACACCATGGAGGAGCGGCATGAGAGTCACGTGAGGAAACTGGAGGAGCAGTTTGAGAAGAGGATCTGTGAGCTCCAGGTGATCCACAAAGAGGAAGTTGAGAAGTTACATTCCCAGTACATAGAAAATATTCAGCGTGTGCAAAAGCACCAACAGGACAAACAAAGTCCTGATTATTCCCACTGCACTGATGCTGATACACCAATGGAAGAAGAGGAGCAGGGGAAGGGGGAGGACTCACAAAACATGTCAGAGGTGGACTCCATGGTGGTTCTGAAGGATCGGATCCAAGAGCTGGAGACTCAGATGAACACCATGAGGGACGAGCTGGAGAACAAACACCTAGAGGGCGATGTGGCCAGCCTGAGAGAGAAATACCAGAGAGACTTTGAAAGTCTTAAGGTTTTTGCTCTTTCATTTTACCTTAGTGAAACCTTTTTTTTTTCCAAATCAAAACAAGAGTAGCTCTTAGCCTAGAATAATGCTGCCTTGGTTCATCAGTCTACTAATATGCACAAAGAGTTTAGAGCTGGGAAATGGTGTGATTTGATTAGTTCTAAATAAATAAAACTACAGTGGACAATACAGCAGTTTGCAGTGTCGGCCTTGAATGATGTACTAAATCTTTGTCCCCACAGTTCAGTTCCCTTCAGTTCATTTTACGCCAAACTTAAGGCAATGGAATCTGAGAGTTAAGTGATTTGAAGCATCTCAACAACAACTACTAAAAGGGTTGCTCGGTGACTTAAACTGTCCTATATAACAGCCAATAACAGTTCACATGTACCATCTGTAGAAATCGAAATATTTCCACATTCATTTGATGAATTGACACTCACTTTGGTATATCCATTTTTGGCTCTCTGGCAATAAATCCCAAAAATTGTTGTGATTCCTTGGCTTTTGGAAATAACGAGATCTTTGTCTCAAGTGTGGACACAAATCCGAAGTTCATGTCCAGTTTTTAACTTGCTGCAGGTCCTTCTTTGGACCTGCTGAAAACAATCCAGGGGATTGTTTGTTACTTATGAAACAATGCAACCCCATTTGCATCCCTTGGCTATCCACATTTGCACACTATTAGTTGTGTTTGCACTCTGTGGGTCATGCCTTTGGTTACTTTAGGGGTTTTTCTTAAGGAACACGTAGTATCCCCAACAAGCTCAGGTGTGAACTTTTCCAGTAGTTGCAATCTTTTATGATGACATTACTTAAATACAACTGTAATATAAGAAATGAAACTGTCCAACATTGCCTCTGCATTTGGACATTAGTAGACATACCATTTCCCACATTTAAAAATAGAAGCACTAGCATTCAGCAGGTAGTCTGTCTAACTCATTCTCTTACCCTTGTTTTCTGATCCTAAGATCATTAAAAGCTTGCATGGCTTATCTCACTGATTTTTGCATGACACTTTGTAGCCTTGTGAATTAAAAGTAGATATTGCACCAAATCAGTTGTCACATACTAAAGTGCAGTTTGCACGTAGAATGTGAATTTTTCATGATGACAGGTTGTTGTAACTTTCTTCCCATAGGCCACCTGTGAACGTGGTTTTGCAGCGATGGAAGAAACGCACCAGAAGTTGATCCAAGACCTCCAGCGGCAGCATCAGAGGGAGATCTCCAAACTGATGGAGGAGAGGGAGAGGCTTTTGGCAGAAGAAACCGCCGCCACAATTGCTGGTAAAGAAAGTGACTACATTACAACATAAAATGGCAATATTTAAAAAAAGACAGAGAAGAAGAAACTAAAGGTTTGATCTTTCTCCAACAAAGCTATCGAAGCTATGAAGAATGCCCACAAAGAGGAACTGGAGAAAACTCAGCGCTCCCAACTGAGTGGACTAAACTCTGACATTGATGAGCTCCGCTTACAATACGAGTAAGTTTCCTCCTACTCAAAAATAAGTACAGAGATTTTATCAAGATGATGCAAATTCATTCAAAAACCCCTAAAAGTGAGACGCACGCAGAGTTTGAGAAGTTTGTAGTTTGATGGCCATTGTCGAATGAGAGTTCATGTTGATGCTGTGATGATCTGACTCTGTAGGGAGGAGCTGCAGTCCATCCAGAGGGAACTGGAGGTGTTGTCAGAACAGTACTCTCAGAAATGTCTGGAGAATGCTCACCTGGCTCAGGCCCTGGAGGCTGAGAGGCAGGCGCTCAGACAGTGTCAAAGAGAGAACCAGGAGTTGAACGCTCACAACCAGGTTTGTATACACATACATGCATAGACATTTACATATATCAATGAACAGCTTAGTTCACAAGTTAAAAGAGAAATCTACTCTGCCAAACAGGAGTTAAATAATCGGCTGACTGCAGAGATCACTCGGATGCGCTCTTGTTTCAGTGGAGAAACTGCGCCTTCAACACTAAGCCAGGGCAAAGACGTTTATGAACTGGAGGTGTGTAACCTAATGATACAAAGACTAGCTCACACACACACACACACACACACACTTAGGATCTGCTCTTTCATTTGACGGGTGTTTTTACTATGGTTTAAAGGTGTTGCTACGAATTAAGGAGTCAGAGATTCAGTATCTGAAACAGGAAATCCATTCTTTGAAAGATGAACTGCAGTCTGCTCTAAGGGTAAGCAATCTCTTCTGTACTGTCAGCAATTTATGGAAGGTGCTTGTATTTCAGTTTGTCTTTGACAAAAATAGAAAAAAAAAGAGAGGGGGGTACCATTAATTGTATTTCAACAGGACAAGAAATACGCCACAGACAAATATAAGGACATCTACACAGAGCTCAGCATTGTGAAAGCAAAGGCTGACTGCGACATCAGCAAACTGAAGGAGAAGCTGCTCATCGCCACAGAAGCTTTGGGTGAGAGGAACGTGGATGGCACTGTCACATCTGGTTACGGTAAATGTCAAGTGTTGATTTATTCCTAATGAACAAAAATTGACAAATTTCAGAAGTATTTTCCCAGTCTCATGACATTAAAATCATGTCCTCCTTTTGTTTCTAGATATCATGAAATCAAAAAGTAACCCCGATTTCTTGAAGAAAGAACAATCATCAGCCTCCAGGCAATCAAGAGGTGTAAGGTCAAAGGTGAGTGTTGAATGTTTTTTTCACCTCTCTAGTCTCAGATTCGAACATTCAGATGGCGTTTTGTCCATTCATACGTAAACAACCATTTCAGTTTCCTCTGTGCTGAGATGTCCAAGAGTAGTTCACGCAGACTTTATCTGGGCCGCCAGATATGTGTCACTGTCGGTCAGCCAGGACATTTTATTATGAAAGTCTCTTGTGCTGTTAGTCATGTTTATGTTTTGTCCGTCAGTCTGTCACTGAACAGGTCTCATGGGATAGCTGACACTCTCATTGTGGGGTGATTCCTCCCCAGCCCCCACCCCAACATGTGCTGTAGGTATAGCATGACGAAGAGCCAAGCATGCCCTAACTATCCTTGCATGTTTTTACCCCACCCACTTTACTTTGATGGTCCCAACCTGCACACCAATGCTAACTGTGGCAACCACCACCCCTCGATTTTACATTGAATGTGCGAACATTAGCTCTTCCTGAGCTTATGTGTGCCGACAGTCTAAAAGCCTGTCATGGAAAAAACCCCTGTACTGTGTGTATAGTTTGACTTTTTGGGGAAAAGTGCAACAACTAAAATTATTTTCCAGTTTTCTTGAGAAACTGATCCAGCTTGCACTCCTGGAACATGTCTCAGTTGAAAAGGAGACACCTGTAGTCTACCGTCTAAGTTTGTCAACATCAGCCTTTCACATCAGAGGAGAAATAAACTATTTGTGATTATCATCGTGTGGAAGCAAAGCAATCTCATAATCGACTTATCTCCTGTTTAACATTGTTTTCTTTGTTAATCTAAAAGCCTTTGGTGTATTTGTTGTCTTTTGTGTGTATTTGAGTAACCAGTGTTCACATTTATTTGTGCATTTGTGTTTTGTGAGTACTCTGTTTTTGTGGCATGATAGTGTTTCAGTGTAACTACTTTTTCTTGACCACCTTTCTTTGAGATTACACAAACTTATTCAGAGTAACGTGTGGTGTCAATACTCTGCTAACATAAAGTAAATCTGTTCTCTCTGTGTTTTCGCCCTGTGTTTTGTAAGTTTGATTTTCTCCTTGAATGCAATCTTCACAAATTCTTATTTTTGTCTTCCACAGAGCCTGAAAGAGGGACTGACCGTGCAGGAGCGTATGAAGCTTTTTGAGGCAAAAGATTCCAAAAAGATTTAAATATCATCAATCTGCAGTTTTTTTTTTCTCTCTTTCCTGACCTTGGGTTTTTGGGGTCAGCAGTTCAGCACCTGCTGAGAACTGACAGAAAATGGGAAAAATCTATGAAGATCATTATTAACCTTGGACCTGCTGCTTCTGTGCCTCTGATAAGTGGTCACATTTTTGTTGAACTTTTTTAATCAGTAGAAAAAGTTTTGTTAAATCAATCCTGTGTAAGCTTTCTAGAGAGAATCCATAGATCTATTATCTGTCCAGCTTGGAGTTGTGTCAAAAATCTGTCAGAGGGATACAAGACAGCATTTTTATTGATCCTTCAAAATGCCAAAACGGTCAGCAATACACAGTATAAATAATATATATTTCCCGATATAAATTAAGTATCTGCTGTATTTTATTGTTACAGTTTCTATATCTTATGATTAAGTTTATGTTGCACCAGTTCTGTTGTATATAACTACTGGATTTATGTAAGAGTATGGTTTGCTATTGAGTGTTGGGGCATCTGCTGTACTATAACTATGGTTTGATTGATAGTGGAGAACAATGTGATGCTTTTCTTGCTTGTGTATGAGAGTTTTTTTTTTTTTTTTTTAAATGGAGTGTCTGTGTGCGAAGGGGGAAGAGGGCTGGGATTGCACTTAACACTTGACTACTTGAGGAATCTTTTTTTATTTGTCTCAAATCAATGTAGTGACTTTAAGTCATCAATCGCAGTGCAACCAAACATCCTGACTTCTGTCAAATTTAGTGAACAACAGTGACTTATCAGTGATTCAATTTTTTTTTTCAAATTTCTTAAAATTTGTGTTTGCTTAGTTTTGACTTTGGTGTGAGAATATCATCTAAAAAACTTAAACTATTTAGGACTTTGCATGACTGTACGTGTCATATGAATATGAATTGCAGAACGATCATGTTGCCTCATTTTCCTTCTTAATGCTTCAGTGTGGAACTCTTAACACTTATAAGCTTTGCTTTGCAAGTCCTACTGTTAAGTTGTTGAGATGAAATGTTTTACTGTAAGCAGCAGTCTTGAAGCACTTGGCCCGATCCCTGACCTCTCACTAGTCGTGCCTCAACTGAGTGAAGAATCTATACATCCATGAAACCTGTGCAGCTATGGATACACACTGTATAGTATTCAAAACCACGCCTTGTATATATGCCACACGGAAAACTTCTGTGTTTTGTTTTAAAGTTGTACCTTGCTCACTAGCTCTCTATATAAAATATATATGAATATTTTTTATTTTCATTTTAATGTATAACGTCATATAAATGAAGTGTTTGGAAATTTTTGAGTCACATTTTGTGTTTACAAAATAAGGTTTTCTGATACTGGAATTGCCTTTATAATATACAATTAGTGTACAATCAGTGTAAGGTTCATTTTTCTCTCTGGCCAGGGTGACTTAGTCCATAATTTGAAACAAATGTAAATGTGCCCAGATATTCAGATGAGTTTTAATGTCCAGAAATCATCACAAAAACAAATGGTGTAACATGTGATCACAGCTAAAGCTTCATACAAAGTTGAGTTATTAACACCATCAGGACAAAAGAGTAGAGCACAGGTGTGTTTGAGTACATATGAAAGAAAAAGTACTAAAGTCCAAAACCAAACAATTATATTTACATGAACCAGTGCACTGAACTTTACAGCAGACTTATTTATCAACAAGGACAAAGAGGTTTTAGTCTTTTTATGACATGTTTCTTAATTCAAGGCAACCATAGGGATGATTAATTATTTAATCTCAATGATGACAGTCATATATATTCGCCATACACAACTCAGGTGTGGTCCATCTGTCTTGAAGCAAATTCAGTCAAATCTCACCCATCAGCTGTGTGCAAATAGGCCTATTCCATACTATTTGGATGTTTCACATCCAGATACTGGATAAATATAAAGAATTGCTGTCTATTGTACCAGCTTTGTCTTGCCCAATGTTTCACACATACATGTTCAAGCTTTAGAGAAGAAACTGCTTCATAAACTGGTAGCTGTTATTTGTGATACTTATATTTGGCTGTTATTCCTCCCATAAACATCACTTAATTTCTTGTTTATAAAAACTTCCTTGTATTTCAAAATGACTCAGAAGGTTTGTGGTGGTATCTTAAAGAGTTAATATTGTTTGATTTATTTAAGTTTGAAATGGTGGAATCAGGACTGCCTGATGCCCCACTTTGTTTGCCACAGCCATACAAGAAACATTCTCTTAGTTTTTATATTATCACATTACAAAATATTAAAACTCATAGTTAAAGGGATATTCTGGTGTAACTAACTTCACCAACAGCACAGACTTCACCACAGGGTCCTAGCCACAGCACTAGCCACCTAACATCTTTTTAACTTTGCCTTCTTTCTTTAGCAAAGAGACTAAACACAACTTACCTGCTCTCCTCCAGCAGCCGCTTGTTTGTAGCGAGACCTTGGGCCACCCTATTACGGACTGCTGCAGGGGGATGCAGCTCAAGGAAAAACATTTATGATCATTTCTTCATGGAAATGCAATGAGACCGAGACGCTAAGGCAGAAGAACTACCACGCCTGCAGTGCAGAATGATTAATATGGTGATTATTACTTCAAGGAAATGATAAAGAAATGATCATAAATGTTCTTCCTTGAGCTGCATCATTCCGCTGCAGTCCGTAGTGGACTGGCCTGAAGTCTCGCTACAAACAATTGGCTGCTGGAAGAGAGTGGGTGAGTTGTGTTTAGTCTCTGCTAAAGAAATAAGGCAAAGTTAAAAAGGTGTTTGGGGGCTAGTGCTATGCCCAGGACCTTATATATACTGTTGATGAAGTTAGGTGCTGTTCTGAGTGTTATTTGTGGCTGTAGAGTGACGTTTTGGGTAAGGTTTGTTTATGGCTCCACAGACCTTGGTGTATTGCTATTGTGCGGTCGTTACTAAAGTTGGTATAACAAGAGAAGCAAGCGGTCGTCAACATTCATCTCTCGAGGGGTTGTCTAACTCTGTGTTACGGTGTGTTTGACCCTAACTTCATCTTACGCCAGAATATCCCTTTAATAGCTTCCATTTTCTCTAGCAAATTAGCTTCACCAACTCTTCCTCTCCCCCTCCTTCTTCCCTCTCCTCTTCCTCACTGTCCTTTAAAGCATCCATCAGTCTGACCCAGAAAACATCCCGCTCCTTCGGTTCCTCAGGCCACAGCAGGTAGGTCTTTTTCCGTACGAGTTTGCGCAGGCGTGTGTAGGGAGACAGACAGTGTTCGGGCATTTCCTCTAGGAACACCAGCAGGAGGACATCACTTCCATCACACAACAGCCTCAGACTGGCCAGCTGAAACTCCATAGAGCACCAATCACTTTGCAAAAAGTTGGGCGTCACCACACAGATAGTGTGGCGAGAGTTGAAGATGGCCGCTTCGATGTTCTCCACAACTGCAGCACCAGGACGGAAATCTCTGTGGTGAAGGCACAGCCGGAGCCCCCTTGCTGGTGTCTCAAGATTGGGCACCAGCTGTCCCACCACCCAGGCTTCATCCTTACAGCTGTAGGAAATGAAGGCATCATACTGGAACTTTGCCCCAGCTGCCCCTTTGCGACCTCGTAGTTTTGCCTTTAATATGAGCATCAGGTAGCGCAGAGCAGGTCCCTGTGCGTGCCAGACCAGACACAAAACTACAAGCAACATATCCAAAACAGAGCAGGAAACAAAGAGGCTGAAGGACACCTGATCATAGGAACAGGCCTTTTCATCAAACTGCCACAGGTAGGACGATCTCCTGTCATTGTCACACTGCAGGTTGTACAAGAGGGTCACCTAGAGAGGTTTGAAGAAAAGCCAAGTCTTCAATCTACCCAGTACTTCACAAGACTCACTCATTATAGCTTCAGTTACCTGTGTTTGATTGTTGTGAATGGCCCAGTTCTTGAACCACGCGTTTTCACAAGCACAGCTAAGGGGGTTATCTGTAATATCCAGCACACGCAAACTGGAAACATGAGAGCATACAGAACACCAGTGTTGATAATGATATTTTAGTTTAAACAAAGTTTATCACTCTGAACAAGCAGAGTAATTACAGGTCGATCATGATATACAAGGTTGTAGTGATGCTGAATTTATAAACTACTTTTTTTCAATGTGTTTTTTATTTTCCCCATTTTTAGCACAAATATATCAAAGTATAACTAATAAGACTTGGTAGCATGACTATAATAGATGTGAGTATTGAAGGAGTCTAATGCAGTAGACACTCTTTTTTTCAGTGCCATGAAATAAACTCGTGGTTTTAAGCAGCTGATGAAATGCAGGCATACAACACAGCATCACAGCATTACCCTGCTTTGATAAATGCTAGATTCTCAAAAAAAAAATAACATTACAGTAATGTCCAATGTTTACAATCTGACTTGCAATAGGAAGGTGAGGGTAGAGTCTGGATTTAAAGCAGACTGTCTGCTGCAAATGTGTACAGAAGTCTGCTAATACTAGATATTAACTATGCTTCAATGCTGAACAGCAGCAGTTAGAATCTAGAGTTATGCTTTAGTGAGCTGCATGCTGCACATTTTGCTCTACTGTTCTGCAAAATACTTCTTTACCATTCTGCAAATATCTTGGAAGGGATGAAAACGTGTCTAACTTTTAAGTATCAATTCCTCTACGAGCAACTTTAAGGACACTTCAGTAGCTTCTTTTACCTTGGCAAAGCATCCAGTAGAGTTTTGTCCACAGTGTGAAGGTGGTTTGACTGGACCTGGAGAGTTGTCAATGTGTTACCTGGAGGCAGCAGGTTAGCAGGCAGAGCATCAAGGTCTGCCCTGTAAAGAGTGAGCTTCTTTAGTGTTTTTAAAGGAGACAGCACCGCACTCAGGTTCATCGTTTTCGTAAGAACTCCTGCTATGTAAAGAGATTTCAACTTGACCAGGGGGACAAAAGCGTCAGGGTGGATGTCCAGCTTGATGCTGTGCCCAATGCTAACTGAAGTTAATTGATGTGTATTGTGGAAGAAGTTTGGCCCGATGTTCCCGAGTCCTTGACCCCCAGGCCCCTGGTAGTTCATCTCTACATACTTCAAATAGGACATAGGGGGATAGGGAATAAACAGATGAAAGGATCACTTTATGCATACAGTAAATCAGCAGCACTCTCACTAACTAAAGGGCCATGGGGGAAACACGCCGAGGCACGGTTCTTATACTGTGGATTTTTTCTTATTCCTCTTTCATCATCTTAAAAACAAGATTCGATTTGCTGCCTCCTTGTATATAATATCACAATAGTATTAATAGTATTAATTATTAGAAATCTCTAATGTATCTCATCTTTAAGTACACACCCTGGCAGTAGTCCCCATGGCCCTTTCAAAATTTCCCAGAGGTAATTTTCTAGTTAAAAATATGTCCTACCTCCAGAGATGTAAGGTTGATAAAGGGAGATTCATAGGATCTAAAATGCAGGCGGTTGTTGTACAGAACAAATTGCCTTAAATTGGTCAGACCAGACAGAATTGGTGGTGTCAGCCTCTTGATGCGGTTCCCACTCAAGTCAAGGTATCTAGGGGATGGACAGGTGTGTGAAACAATTATACAGTGGTGGAGGTGGATCAATAATTTGATAGAGAAATGTAAACCTCAGGCTGGTCAAGTCTTGAAAGGTGCCTTCTTCTATGAAATCAATGATGTTCAGACTGAGGTTGAGTTTTGTTAGCCTCCTCAGCTTACTGAAGGGCTTCCTGGTGATGTATTTCAGCAGGTTAAACTGCAGGTAGAGCTGCTCGAGTTGAATAAGGGTGCTGAACGCCCGTGGTGGCAGCTCAGTGATTTCATTTTTGGTGAGAGATAAGCAGTTGAGGTTCTTCAGTGGGATGAACCAGTCAGGGTCAATGTCTCGAATTTTGTTCTGGTCAAAGCTTAGAAATGTGAGGTGTGTCAGGCTTTCGAATGTGTCCTTCTCAATAGCAACCTTATTGCGATTCATCTGCAACGTTTTCACTCTTTTGTATCCACTGAATGTAGTTTTGGATATCCGTGTCATCCCTAAGTTGTCCAGATAAAGTTTCTTGGTATTTGCCTTACCCAGTGGCATCTGGGCCACATTACCAAGGTTTGCATCCCTAATGATCAACAAAGGTGGAGTGGGGCAGTCCAACAGGCTGGAATTAGTCTGAGGTAACTTGGATCCTTTCAAGTCAATCTGTGGAAAGTTAAATACACATTATCCGGTATTGTTTGAAAATCATAAAATACAAGGATCTGCTCTATCTGCTCTTGAAAAGTGCACCTACCTCTGCTCTTCCAAGATGGTCCATTCCTTTTAGCAACTGGCAGATTGTTAATGGAGATTTCTCAACATACAGAGAAAATGCCACCCAAGATAGATTTTTCTTTGTCTGAGCAGAGAGCCTCAGTAGCATTTCTGCTTGAACACTCTGACAAAGAAGACCCTTCAGCCTTGGGTTTGAGGCAAAAGCATCTGCTTGCAGCTCCAGCTTAGAGTTGTTGGACAGCGTGATGTACTCAAGGGCGGGGAAACAGCTCACGTTAAGCCTCAGGATTTTGTTTGCAAACAGATTTAGTTTTTGAAGACTTGAGGACCCACTGGACTCTCCACAGCTGAAAACCTTGAGCATGTTCAAAGACAGATCGACTTCTTGAATAGCTGGGAGGGAACTGAAGATAAGTGAGGAGAATGCTGTAAGACAATTGTGGATCAGAAGCAATGTTTGGAGTCTACTGAGTCCTTCAAAGGCACTGAGATGGATCTGTGAGATGTTATTGGAGGTGAGATTGAGGAAAGCCAGAGTATCCAGGCCCCTGAATTCTCCACCTTTAAGAAAGCTCAGCTGGTTCTGGCTCAGGTCAAGGTGCTTGAGCCCAACCACCTGACTGAATGATCCAGGTGGGATAACTCTGATCTTGTTCTTCGACAGGTTGAGTGTTGTTATGTTGTCTGGGATCATACTAATAACATCAGACAGGTTAGCAATGTTCCTGTTGAAACACCACATGATATCTGTCTGGGGGAAGTTCCGGTTGCAGCCTTTGAAGCCATAACTATAGCAGGCTGAGGTGTTCAGTAGAAGAAGAAGCAGGATGGTTTGCATCCTCTTTTTGAGACAGTTCATTATCACTGTCTGTACAGACGTCAGACCACGGGAAGTCTAGAAATACCCTGAAAGAAATACCAATGTGCCATGAGGAAGTTAGACATTGGTTAAAAACATAACTTATTATGCACATCTCCTCTTCCACTCCTTTTTCTTTTTGGTGTTTTGGTATATCCTACTTTTAAATGGCTTTCTGTTTGTGAGTTATTTGTTGTGTAAAAATTGTGTCCATCTCATTTGTTTAACTGTGTGTTTTCTGTGTACTGTCTTATGGCAAAGCAGTGAGGTGTTCTGTTACTTTGAATCTGTTTTCTGCTCTTTCTGTAATTACCTGCAAGTATTTAAACTACAATAGCTGATTTCAGCTGCTTTAGGACAAGTTGTGAACATACCAGCAACATGTCAGCTTTGGAGTGATAGACTAAAAGAATTATCTTGTTCACATCCAACAGCCCTGACTTTTGTCTCCCTATAGAGATACTGCCAAATACATTCAATTTTGCTCCCCTTATTTAATGACCGCAACAAACTGGCACAAGTAGACATTAGCAGTATGAATATTTGATTGAATTTGATTCTACCTCAACTACAGCAGCACTGACATTATTCTGACCTGCAAAATTTTAATGGCTTTGACTCACCCGTATTCTTCCTCCTCCTCCGACTGTGCAACTGTGCCTCTGTCTTGACTATGATCACTTCTGCGATTTAGAAAGTGTGTCACCTTTATCTCAGAGAGGAAGGATGTTGAAGAGTGTTTTTCTTCTACTCACCTTTTAATTGCTGTAATAGTATTAAGAGAAACTCTGATTTTAAACCTGTGTCACAGAGATGCTCAAAGTGCGTGGCTATGGTTGTTAATTCTCAATATTTTCTTCAGTTTTTTGTATAAATTCTGGCACCATAGGCTGTTCCTCTGTCTTTTAATCCTTTAACCACACGAGGGAGCTATTTGCTTCAATCTAAGGCTCGGAGATGCTGCAGTAAAGATTTGCGTGTCTTTAATCTTTAAAATTGTAATATGCACATCTGCCAGTATATATCTGCCGGTGAGACAATCAGGAAACATTAAGAGTTCATGTGAAGTTCCTCTCCCTGACCTAAAATAAATTTCTGTAAATATTTTTGGCAGTTTTTTTCAGTGCCAATATGAAATTTAAAGTTTTACTACAGTCTGAATTTGAAGCTTGTCGTGGGGGAACTCTTGAGAGATATTGCTAACGAGAGGGATGGCTAAATCTTCATTTTCCCCCTTAAACAAAACATCAGATAAGTACAGGAGTTTATTTAAAAATTGGTCTTATCTCATTTTATTTTGGAAGAAATATAATCACTTTAGCCTGAGCATCCTTGTGATTCCTCCCTTTTTAGGAAAAGGAATATTGCCATTTTTGTGAGATGTTTCTATATTTTCTTCAACTACTATACTTTTATTTTATTTTTTATTTTTATTTCCCTTTTCCTTTTAAAACAGATATTTAATTGTAACGTAAATTATATAGATGCATTTAATCGAAAGTTGACTTTGCCTTTGCTGAACTTGGTATTCAATAGGAAATATATTTGTAATTACGACAGAGGAAAAAGGCCACAGTAAGAGAAGGTAAAAAAAAGATATTTCATGAATGAAGCTGTAAATATTAAAGAATTAAAGCTGTTATATTATGAGAATAACTGGGTAAAATTATTAGAACGGAGTTATCAGAAAATAAAGACCTAGTACTTATGGAATCAAGCCAATATTATGAGAAAGAAGCCTTAATTACAGGCTTTGATTAATCTATATGTAGGCTCAAATAGTGAACAGTATGACAGAAAAGCGCTTAGCTGTATGCACTGAGATAAAGAATGTGGACCATCTTGTGGTCCACATTCAAGTAAAATTTTTAAAACTAAGGACAGACAAACAGTTTTTTCTGATTCTGAAGGCTAACCTTTGCTCATAACAGTGCCTTTTGAATATAACAACTTAAGTTTCCTACAGCTTAATTTTAGTTATCGTTATGTCTTTATTCTTAGTGTGGTTCTCATCCTCCATCGTTCATAATTAATTAATCAAATCAGATAAAATCAAGTTTAAATTAATCAAAGTTGGAAAGAGAAAACAGTTTGACCTCTTCAGACAAAACATCCACTTGAGTTTTTTTCTAGTAATGACAGTTGACCTTTGCCTTCTTATACTAACTGTAAAGGTGGTAAAAGGGCCAAAGGACACAGGGCAGCCCGACGCAAGTTGCCCGTCCATGGTGACAGGTAGACCTCTGTTTAATCTGTGTTTAGCCTCAACCTCAGGGCCTCGACCTTTGCAGGAGGGCTCTTGAATCCACAAACAGAGGCAGGGAAGACCTCAGTGATGGCAATTTCCCTTTAGGTGCTGCCTTACCTTTAACACAGCCACCTGACAACATCAGGACAGATGGAGAAAAGGTAGGAAGAGCTGCCTCTGTGAATCTATTTGTCTCTTCTGTAAACTCTTAATGATGGTGACGGCATTTAACCCAACTGTTTTTCAGCTGATGGTGAGTGTGTGTCCAAAATTACCATCCTTCATATGATTTAAACAAAAACTATTAAAATTTTTTTGTCACATGATGTCTTTCGGTTTTTCTTTTTCCATTTACATCAAATTTAACAGATGTGTTTTTTAATCTTTATTCAAATAAATACAGTGTGTATATACAATTTGTTATTATCAAGTGAAATAATGCAATCTGACATGACATCATCCATATAAAACCCTTTACCCTTTAAGTCATTTTCTGTACATGTTTTTAAATACAATATTAACAAATCCATTCAAAGTGTTGTCTGTCGACATCATTTTTATTGATTGTTCCAGTGACGCTGTTGGTAATTCTGATAAGTGCTGAGGTTATATTTTTAACTATATCAGGAGAATCTTACCATGACAATCAATGTCCATAGTGCATTTGAAAGACTTTTTTCAGATGTCTTTCATCTTCTGTTTCTCCTCTAAGGTGCAAAACGTTTGAGGTTTGTCACTTACTTTGTAAACAGAAGTGACGGTTTCCTCAAGCCAATGAAAATCAAAGGCATGCCAGTAAAAATTGAAAACAACTGCATTGTAACAAGTTATTTCACATTACAGAAGATGTGTTTAATTGTCAGTTGCCGTCAGTGGACTTGGAGGACACTGGGCTTCTAGTCGCTGTATAGACGAGGGTCTCTTTGGGGTCTTAGCAGAGGAGGGGATGTCAGTAAACACTACTGAGCGACCGTCAGGGCAGAGCAGGACACTTGAATCCGCCTCACACTTTGTGGTTCTGCTTGGCCACAATGCCTCAGCAGAAGAAGGCCTCATGCCAAGACCACCTGAAGAGAGAACGTCTGTGTTCACCAGCGATGCCTGACTCATTTTGATCAGCAGGTCTAATGATTGCTTACGACTCTCCAACGACGCCTTCATGGCCTTCCTCTCACTCTCATTCTCTTCATCCTCCTTTTTTTCCTCCATCTCCTCATCCTCATCTTCCGTCTCAGTCGTATTGTCTTTAAGGCTGACTTCCTCTCTCAAACTGTGATCAGCAACAGAATCTGTTGAGCCCTTCTTGACTGACAGATCCAGAGGCCCATCACTCTGGCGAGCGGTCCGCTCCAGTGCTTGGTGAATATGAGAGAGCTCGCTACGGATTTTGCTTAGATGTTCCCAGAGATGTCGCTGGGCAGGAAGATCCTCCTTCTCTAGGTGAGAGATTTTGCGTTCAGCCTCCTGATACTCCTGCAGTGCCTTGGAGAGGTCACCAAGGAGGGTCACTACTGACTGTGAAGCCCCTTCTGCCATATTCTGAGTGGCAGTTGAGTCGTGGCTGTTTGGTCCCCCGTTGGTAGAAAGAGAGGAGGTTTCGCTATTGGGACTGGTGAGGGCATCATTGTACCACAGGTCACTGGTCCGCCTCTGAAGCTGAGCATCCTGCAAACTAAGAACAGGAGATGTTAAAGACCTTATGTAAATATATCAAGTTACAGACAATAAAATCTTCATGATGCACCAAAAGTAAAAAGCCTTTTGACGTTTTTTTGACGCAGGTCTAGTCTGGACTCTTTGTTGTTATTTACAGTGATTCATCTAAAGTACTTGGCAAACAGGGGCGTGATAAAACTGTATTAGAAACTTGAAGTTGTACAGCTGTGTGACCATCCAAAAAGTGCGGTTCAGAAAGACTTTGGTGCACCAAATTTGAACATCCATACAGTTGCTAATTCCCTGTCAGAGCTGAGACATGGTAACATTGAGTAATTTAATCCAACTACCTCTGGTTTCACAATACTTATAATTAAATCAGGACTTTTAGTGGAAATCCTTACCTTCCAGGGAAGAGAAGTTTGTCTGCTGCCATATTGAGAGTTGATGCAGTTTGAATATTCTTCAGGAGGTCCAAAGGAAAACCCACGGCCGGCTTCTTTTCCACAGGTGCCTCGTTGTTCCCCAGTGGCGCCCCAGTCCTCTTGACACCCCAGCTTGCTCTACCTTCTTTAGCTGTAGTCTGTGGTTTATCCCCCAGCCTAAAGCCTTGGTCAGCGGGGTCTCCTTGAGGTGAAACCCAGCCAGCCGAGGAGACTGCGGTGGTCCCCGGCCGTAAGGCAGGCACTTTCCACAGATTCACTTTAGGCTGGAAGCTAGACAGTGGATTCACTTCCAGACTGTTTGTGGACGTCTTAAGAACTTTGTTGGCATCATTCTGACTGGAGGCCGGCCCGAATGTGTGCTCACACAAAAAAGGGTAGTAAAGTCGAGGGGTAATAAGAGTCCTGTCTGTGTGGGTGCCAGAGGTTGGGTGCATCAGCTGAGCGGCAGATGCCAGGAATGGCAGCTGGGCAAGCTGTGCGTGTGTCTGAGCAGTGACACTCGTGGCTGCAGCGGGAAGAGCTGAGTTCATGTAGGAAAAAAGGCTGGGGCTGATGGGGTAGCCCACCCCAAGCATTGACAGGTTGAGTCCGGTAGGATCCTGGTAATCCACCAGATTTGGTGGAGGAGGGTAACAGGGAATTGAAGTACTTACGCGGGGCTGAGCACCCTCAGCTTTTGCTTTAGTGTGGCTGGATGCCAACAGTCGCCACTGCTCGGACAACAAGCCAGGAGCTGTTAGACACGTCTTGGATAGCTTATACTGTTTCAGCTGAGCCTCTACCTCTACTGAGCGTGCTCGTAACAGCTGATCCTCAAGGGAGAGCATGTCAGCCATCAAAAACTCTGACTCTGGCTGTCTGGTTTTCTTGGTAGCACTCTCTGTGGTGTCTTCACTAAGGTTTTCCCCTGTGCTCTCCTTTCTTAACTCTACTCCATCTCCTCGGCCTCCCTCCTCTTCGTCCTCTGCTCCCTGGCTGTCCTTGTCTTCACCCTCGTCCTCCACAACCCTGCGCTGTCTTTGCCTCTCCTCGGTCCCTGTTACCTGCTCCAGCCCATCTTTCCCGTTGGTGTGAACGCCGTGTGCTTGCTGAAAGGGTCTTAGCTGTTCAGGATGCAGGATATTGCCTTTTTTGTAAGGCCAGTCTGACTCAATGAGCAAAGAGAGAGAGTTCTTACACAGGCTGTACTTCATATGGTTGTACAGGTGGGACTTCTCCATGCAGGTGAAGGGGCACTGGAAGCACTTGTAGTTGTAGGGTTTGCCCCATGGCCGAGGAATATAGTGAGGCTTCTTGGGCTTCCGCTCCTTGTGTTTGCTGGCAGATGTCACTTTACAGGCATCGTCCTTGGACATGATTGGTTCTCTGCGTGTATGAAGACGTGTTGAAGTGATGGAAACGAAGATAGAATTTTATATTCTTTCTCTCTTTTTGGCGGGGCTCATTTCAGTGGATTCCAGGGTTTTCTTAAATCTGTAGGTAGATGAAAAAGAGAATTTCTTAAGGCAGTAAACACAAAAGAAAAAATCTGTTGTGATCAGGAGACAGATAAAAATAACTAATCTGACTATCCTATAAACAAGAATTTTAAAATAAACTTCACCTTCTAGTTTCTCTTTATTAAGGACAAACTCACAGAAATTAAGTGCTAGAATATCTGAGATAAACTTGGGTGTGCACTGAAGAGTGCTTTATTTATTATTATGCACATATGTGTATCATAAGAGCGTATTTGTTGTCTGCCTATGCTGAGCGTCGCCACTAACCTAACTGCAGGGAGGCCTGAGATACCCTGTTCTCACTGTACCTGCCACTACTCATTAGTTCCAGTGCAGTACCAGGCACTAGCGGGGTCCAGTGCTGGGGGGCAAACATGGGACGGTGCACCTGTGCAGAGCGCCTTCACAACACTTACAAGCCTGTATGAGTTTGGGGTAAGACCCTCTGAGGCCGGCTGCAGGCACAAGGAAGGCCAAGCTGAGGGTTGCATGGAGGAGTTGGGGGTTTGAGGCCTGGTTCTTAATGAGAGCCTGGCGTCATGCCTAAAGGGCGTCATTAGTGCCAGGACTGGGATCTGGGTCAGGACCCGGTGTAACAGTTCATCTCCTCTCCTGTTCTCTGTCTTTCCTTAATAACTCTCCATACTTTACCATGTAATGAACAATAACATCAGTTATTGGAGGTCCAAAAGTTAGATTTAGATGAGGCACATGGTGCAGAAACAGTATTTTAAACCTGGATGTTGTGAAAGATTATTTTGATGTGTTGCTTTAAGTAGGATAATAACCTTTTAGTGTTGAAAAATCTATCCACAGATACTTTAGATAACTCATTCACTTTGAAATGTTCTGTTTTATTTCATTCACGGTTTTACAAACAGAGCTTTGAGGTAATCTTCTAATCTCTCAATGATTTAAACATGTAACCTCTTAATCATCTCTCTTCCACATCATTATTCTTAACTTGACTGTCAATTCAATAAATGACATTAGTTTAATTAATTATCCTTATTCTCTTATACCCTCTATTAAAATTTTCCTCTGTTCAGAAATAGAAACAGTGTAAACTTTTTCGACTTAAAGCCAGGCCAACGGCTGAACCCTGCAGTGAAAGAAGATGTGAGGAGAAGTACGCTCCTCAATTTGAAACACTTTGCTTTGGGGGCTTTTATTTTGTCTTTTTCCTCAGGTCATTCTCAGATAAAAGTGTGTGATGTTCAAGGACTTTGCTGGAAAAAGGAAGAAAAAAAAAAACAAACTACATTTTACCCTCAGTCTGCTTGTGACAAAGTTTTGAGGTAAAGGCCAGTGAAGCAAGCACAGGTGATGGATGGCTGGTTATATCGAGAGACAGCAGACGACCTCATCTATAAAAGCCATAGAGTGAAAGTGATGATGAAAGATGCGGTGAGTCTAACACAGACTGGCAGGCTGTTGCCAACTGCTCTCTCAATTGGACCCTCAGAATTGGCTGGTTTAGTAGCTGACCATTTGATTGGTTCACTTGTCCGCCTCAGGGCTCTGACCTGGGCTTTGAGCTCATAATGGAGCCTAACAGCTGCTGCTACGAACCAATCAATAAAAATCATTTTTACAGTAGTTTTTTTTCCCCTCTCCTGGCCACTGCTATCCACTCGGCTCTGCGATGACTTTGCACTCTGGCCCCCCTGTTGTCCCATATCCAAACCCTGCGGTCTTGTTTTGAGCTTTTAGGGCTGCTGATCAAACAAGCCAAACCGCTTGAACATGTATTGTTGCAATTAAGGAGGTTCACCACACTAAAAGCTTTGACAAGTTACATGCAGTAGCAACCACACCGCCGTCAGCTGTACAGGACAGGCAGTCACTACACACACAGAAAACAACTATAAATTAAAGCTTTAATGTTATTTAAAATCATAAGGAATTTAAAGACTTTACCTTAGGTGGTTGTTAGAATTATAATCAGGTTGTCTGTAAAAGAAGAAAGAAAGAAAGCAAAATTAAATGCCTGTTTCTTAAACATTTTTTGTGCCCTAATTTATTTTAAGTACACTGAAACAGAAACAAACATCCTTTAAATTGTATTTATCATTTAAACTACTTTTAAAACAAAACTTCCAACACACAAAAAGCTTAAATACATTTCACGCATGAACAGAAAAATTATTTAATTGTACTCAAAATGCAGAAACATTACACACAGTTAAATCTATATTTTTGGATTCTTTGTTGTTGTAAAATGCAAGAGAAACATTTTTAAAATACAAAACTGCATGTGTTAAATAAATGGTAATGCAGTGCTATTTAACTCAGAAAGTGCTGTCATAGAAATAAAAAAAAAGATATTTTTTAAAATGTTATAATCACATCCAATTTAAGAATGAAAAAGTTAACCTAAATAAAGTCCTTGTTACTTTGTGCTTCAAAAACCTTCAAAAAATAAAAAAAAACATGCAATTAAAAAATATATATATTTGAGAACATGCATTAACACTTTGTGCAGCAGGCCTCTTTTTAAGGATGCCTCTATAATACTCTTTAATCTTCCACTAACCTTCTTAAATTGTATGCAGTTAGCTACTCAAAAGACCAGATAAAATGTATAACTCCATACCTCTGAGTGTCCCGCTGTGTCTGTCTGTCACTTGCTGCAGCGGCTCTGAGAGGTTCAGCGAGTCCCGCTCAAACAGGAGCGCAGCAGCGACTGTGCACATTTATATTGACTGGGAGCATTGCCCGCAGGCGCTACAATACAGCAGCTCCCCCCTCTCCTCCCTCTCTACCCCCTTTGGATTGTCAAACAGGGTCTCCACCTTGCAGCCAGGATGCAGCATAACAAGTTACACAATATTAACAAAGGTTAGTATTGTTAGAGCTACAGAGGATATAAGAGTGGGCTACTTTCTGGATCATTTGGGTCATTTTTAAAGTGAAACTTTTTTTAAACTAGATTTGGGCATGAGAAACAAGGATGTAATTCCTTGTGTATAAAAAGAGATGGTTGAGTCTTGTTATTTAATCTTGACTAATATTTTTTTTGTTTTTACCAGACACAATGCTTAATTTTGTGCTGTGACAGCCAACCTTTCCAACAGTTTAACCATTTGAACAGGACAAAAAAAATGAAGAAAACTGTAAAGAAAAATTATTGTAAATTGAGGACGTAGTACAATTAAATACAATAAAAACTAACAGATAGAAAAGAATTGGCCATAAGTGCTTTATTCTGTAAAGCTTTGAAACAATCCTGAACACCAGATTCTTTTTAATAAATGCCTATTTTGTTTTATAATTTTCTGATTATTTCGGGGAAATTGACCACTGGTAATAGATGCCATGGATGAATGTTATAAAATGCATTCCTATAAAGTTGTTTGACTTAAATAAAAAACAAATTTTGACTCCTAAAATTCAAACTTCTGTTAAAATGTATCTATCTGGTAATGAGTAATATTGATCACATGTTTGATGATGAGTTTTTAAGGGGATCATAAAAATGATCAATTTATTGATCAGAAATTTCTCACATCTTAGGTTTGATGAAGATTTTAGTTTCGAAACTACTTCTTCCATTTTTTTGCAAGTTTAAAAATGCAGTCGGGCATTTCCGTACAGCTTGTTGTCCCTTAGTTTTAACCATAAATTTTTTACTTGAATTATCTGTTCTCCTTGTGTGTAATGCTTAAAATTTACACACCACTAAAAATATGTCTACAGTAAGATTTGAAAAAACTGGAAGTGTGCAAAAGTCAGTGACAGAACAGTGAACTTTGGTGCGTTTTACCTGTGTGTGCGTGCGTGTGTGTGTGCGTGCGTGCGTGCGTGCGTGTGTGTGAAATGATTTCATATTCTTGCACTCCTATGTCTCTCAGTGGTTATTTAAGACAGAAAAAGTCAACTAAGCAGGTTGTGTTGCAGCTTGTTTTCTCATCGTATTTGATCTACATCACATCAGGTGATGTGATGCTGTTTTTTTATGGGGGGTGGGTAAGTTGGCTCGCTTAAGTAGCGCCCTCCCATATAAGGAAGAGTGCATTACAGGATACTGGATTGGTTACTGCATGAGCTGTAAGCTCATCCACAGGCAATGACTGACATATGTGTTTCCTGACAGATATTTACTCTCTCTACTCTCTGTCTGACCTTTATCTACTCTTTTGTCTTCCACTTACTCTTGATGTCTTTCTCCTTTGTTTACTGCTGGGCTTCCTCTAAATCTACCCAACTTTCAGTATCTGAATTGTACTCCTCTTTCCTTCCCCTTCTCCCTCTATCCCTGGCTCTCCTCGCCTGTAGCAGGCTCTGGGTCATCTCCAGGTTCTTCGTTTCCCTCCTCTGGCAGGGTAGGAAGTGTGCATGCAAGCCCCTTTGAGAAATGTCAGTGTCCGTGTGTCGGTAAAGTCGGGGGCCCTTCACGAGCCATCAGAGCTGCTGTCACGTCGAGGCGGCCAAATGGAGACTGACAGGCCGCTCCAACGAGCCTAACCATCTGTACCAAATGTGACAGCAGGGGAAAGAGGATGTCTGGTAAATCAGGAGGAACGACAGGAGCACACTGTGACATGGAGGAGGAAGAAGAGGGGAAACAGTGGAAAGATCCAGTTGCTTTATAGAGCATGGGCACATGGGAGATGGTGTCTGTTACTTTTTCAAGAGAGTAAGAAACTGTTTCTAATAGATAAAGCATCTTGAAGTGAGTCGTGGCTTGGAGAGAGATAGCTGACATCAAGGATATCAGCCTGTATAAAGTCTAATTATCTTCATCAAGTTTAGACACTCTCCTCTACTAAAAAAACAGTCAAAGGAAAACAAAGCAGTCTTTGTCAGGATATAAGCTGGAATACTTTCTATCTTTTGATTCCTAAAGCAGTCATTGCTGAAGTTCTGAACGTCAGAACTCAAGTCAGACTCCAGTCAGAGTCCAAGGCATGGGAACTACAACACGAGAGAACAACAGGGAGGGAAAGTAATTGTGAGTGCGTGCCACAAATAATAGTCCGTTGTTTAAAGTTGCTGAAGCCCCTTTGACAAAGTGAGAGTGAAAGTGCTATGTACTTTGGTTTTAGATTTTCATGCTAGAAAAGTAGGACTAAGAAGAGGAAGGAGAGACTTGCACCGTGAGCACAGAACTCTCCTGGCTAGTTGCGAGAGTTGAGGGTCCTTATGGAGCAGCATCTGGGGCGGCTGACAGGAGCACTCCATTACCACTCAGAGAAAGGAACCCGAGGGCCGAAACAACATCGCTACCAGGGAGATCCAGCTGTGCAGATGCCTCCAAACACACACACACAGACACACATCCAAACCCATGCAAATGAAGAAAAATCTTTAATGCACACCAACAGCGCAGAGAAGATGGACTTTGTGGGAGAAATATGTACGGATAAAATGATGGATGACTAAAATGGGGACCTCTAACCCAGGGTTAGTCATCTTTCCACTGCCTGAGCTTTGGGCCTGAGGTGGAATAGCTAACTGCTCCTCTCTTAGCCTGCGCTGCTGGGCACATTAACTAAACTCATATCGCTCTCAGCCACTATCAATTATTCACCACCCCCTTCCCTTCTTTCCTCTCTTTTCTCCCACTTTCAAAGGAGAACAACTCCGACAGCCATTTTCCAGCTACTAACACGAGTTTCTATAGGTGTGTTTTATAACTTCATATTGTTGTTTTAGTCTTAAAAATACTCTTAAACTTGCTAATTACTGTCTTACATCATTGTTGCAATAATTGGAGTAAGTATGCACAAAAGCTGCTCCCTTTATAACTGATCTACAACTTTGGCGCAAGAGTGCAGTCTCTCACTGGAGCTGGACCCATAATATAACTGTATTTAAGGTCTGCATAGGGTCTTGAAAGGTATTAAACCTTGTAGTGATGATAAGGCTTCAGGAAGTCCTTAAAAAGATATTCCGGAGCAAAATTAATTTAGGGTCAAACACACTGCAACACCAAGTCCAGACACCACCTCGAGAGATGAATGTTGCCGACCACTTGCTTCTCTGATCATATTTATGATAATTTCTCTATGGAAATGCAATCAGACCGAGACACTAAGGCAGAAGAACTACCGCGTCTGCAGTGCAAAATGATTAATATGGTGATTATTACTATCAAAGATCATAAATGTTCTTCCTTGAGCTGCGTCACCCCATTGCAGTCTGTAATGGACTGGCCTGAGGTCTCGCTACTAACAAGCAGCTGGTGGAAGAGAGTGGGTGAGTTGTGTTTAGTCTCTTTGCTAAAGAAATCAGGCAAATTTAAAAAGATGTTTGGCTAAGACCCTGTATGTACTGTTGATGGAGTTAGGTGCTGTTCTGAGTATTATTTGTGGCTCTAGAGTGGCGTTTTGGTTGAGGTTTGTTTATGGCTCTCAGACCACTGTGTATTGCTATCTGTGGTCGTTACTAAAGTCGGTATAACTAGAGAAGCAAGCAGTCGGCAACATTCATCTCTGGAGGGGGTGTCTAACTTGGTGTTACAGTGTGTTTGACCCTAGATTAATTTTGCACCAGAATATCCCTTTTTCTCCGGCCAACACAAAACTAATGCTCTAATAAAGTGAGATTTTATGGTGAAATTTATACACCTTTGGGGAAAAGTAAACAAGCTGCCGTTTCTATTGGTTTCCTGCCGTTTAGCTAAGCTAGCTAACAGGATACTAAATTGTTTCATACCTTACTCTTATCCTTTGTGGACAAGACCAGTCACATCTTTTCTCTTGTCTTAGTGACAAGTATTTCTCCCTAAAGGTCATGGTTGTCTTTTAAGCTATTAGACCCACGTTTTACATCCAAAAGTCCTGACAAATCAGACAAGTGTCCTTTTCGAAGGTGAACTGCCCCGACAGTATGTCAGCGAAGAGTGCTTGGAGCGCACTATGAGACATTTTCAGCTTTACACTGAAATGAGCACACAGAATTAAACAGAGGAGGGCTAGATGAACACTGGCTACTTTCCAAAAAGGAAATACAGCCTTCAATGTGAGCTGGTTTGATATCTGAAAAGGGCAGATGTGAACCTTTAGCCGCGACTGGACCAATGACTCGTCAGATTCTTCTCTGCAGATATCTTTGCCCTTCTCGGAGTCTGTACACTGAGTAAGGATGTAGCTTCGCCGCAGAATTAGCAGGTCAGAGGGGCCCATAACTGTGAGCCTTTCAGAGGCATTCATTTGGAAGGAGATACAGCTGATGCCTCACAATCACTGTTTATCGCTCATATCTGTGAGTGTGAGGAGAGGTGGAGTTCACACCCGCGACTCTGCTGTGGGTCACTGACGGGCAGCAGCTGGTGCCTCGGTCACCCGCGTTCTTGATCATTTTCTCAGTCTCCACCCTCCTGTTTCCACCAGCTGCCCTCAAACGAACCCGCAGGAGGTGGGGTCTCACTTGCCAAGGCACCTGTGGGTGTCACCTGATGGGGGTATAGCAAGTGGAAATGAAAGGAAGCAGCCGCGTCTGTCAGAGTGCATCAGAGCTGCTGTCCATCACAGCACTGACCTTCGGGGTGTGTGCAGGGCGTGTGCATGTAAGCCTATCTACAACCAACCCAGTGTGTGTGTGTGTATGTGTGTGCATGAGTATGTGCATATTAAGTCACTGACCCACAGGGAGGGTACGTGAATGTGTGCATATGTTTGTTCATCAATGCAGTGTGCAAAAGCGTGTTTGTACATTAATGCCTTGATCCAAGTGAGTGTGTGTTCATAAACACATAG